CGTAAGTACTGATGTTTAAAAGTGTATCCATTTTTTTGTAAGAAGTAAGAACGGGGCAGTGAGTCATTAGCTAACGTTGATGTAAAAGATACAATACAATCCATTTTGGGAAGTTTTAGGTTTTATTGACAGACGATATCTTTTACCGTTTATGGAATCTCCTTGTTTTACCTTTTAACTAGCTTATCTATAGGTCACACCTAATTATTTTTTAATGACGTAAACTAAAGTTGTAATCGAGACAAGAGAGTCAAGGGACCCTATTTGTTCGTGAAAAGTATAAATCATCACATGGATTTCGAATAAAGTTATTCAAAGTTTGAATGAGAATCAAGTGGATATGAATGATTTTTTAAAATTATGCAGAAAAGATACTAATGATACTATTTCACTAACCCCAAAAAAACGTTCAATGAACTTCTGAAATTCTTAGGAGATATCACATCAAATCCTCCAATATATCTCTGCAACCGTTGGTCAATCGTATTCACAACGACTACTCAATGACATTATTGAAACAAAAATTAAACAAAAAGATACATCCAAAGTAATCAACTATGTATATAAGTCCAATCTTAATCACACGTTTTAGTTAGAATACCTTTCATTGCTTCTTATTTTAAAGAAATGACAATTCTTTTACGCACGAACACACATTATTTGTATTTGTCAATGTCCATATATTATGGGATAATGTTTATTTTAAAATACCATATATTTTCTCTATGCATGTCCGAATAATCCGACTTATTAAAACACCAACTCAAATGCTAGTATATGTAGAATTACCTCCCATTTGTTATTATTATAACTTATAAGAAGAGAAAGTGAATACTCCTTTCGTTTCACAAAGAATGCCATTTTGACACATTTCACACAAATTAAGAAAACATTGAATTATACATATACGCCCCTATTTAATAAGTGATTAATGATTTAAATTTAATGAGAATTAACTTTAAGTTAAGGGTAAATCATGAAATTTTGTGTAAAAATCACATCGAAAATGTAGAATAACATTTTGTTGTGAAACAAAATTTTTGTGAAACAAAAATAAAACTCTAGAATGACACTCTTTGTGAAACAGAAAGAGTATAAAATAATTAAATCATTACTCGGCTTATACCAATCAATATTCTACCAAACAGATTGGCGATTGTAGCCTAAATTGATCGGGACTTGTATATCTTAATAATTATCATTAGTCCGGATTAATCCACGATTAGGATACGGTGAACAAATCGTATATAATGTCATATAGGATTAAAAGAACCTTCCTTGTCGGAAAATCGAAAAGAACAATAATTGTTTAATTACAAAAAGACCCTTCGCTCCTCGGCTCTTGTACACTTTTACGTACTTGCAATATTTCAAGTTCCCATATTAAACTGATAAAGATGATGTATCCACAGCATTGCTCATAAATAAATCAAACTGAAATCTATTTACATCAGTTTGAACCAAAATCAAAAGGGGCAAAAACTAAAAAAAAAAAAAAAAACTTAGAGAAGTAAAAAGGATGATTCATTGATGATCAAACCTCTGAACTTCAAGGAGAAGACCGAGTCCTAGTACTAGTTAAACCGATTTCGTTATGTTTTCTGGAAGGACCAGAAGCTGGAACCGGAAACTGACGTGGCAAGGATCCCAAGAACTGTACACTTTTGTGATCTTGTACTTGACGATGGTCATGATCATGAGGTGGCGAAACGACGTCCTTTTGTTTGGGTGGCGAGCTCGTGTTGAAGACGTTCGTGGTTCTTGCTCCATTGCAGCAACTCAAAAGGACAAGAAGAAGAACAAGAATAGGGATTGTTCTCGTGAGTTGATATGTTCTTGATCTTTGGCTTCGAGAAGGCATTGGTGGAGAAAATTGGAGAGAGAAAAGAGGGAGGGAGGGAGGGAGGGAGGGAGGGAGGGAAGTGATTTTTGTTTGAAGGAGTTTTGGGTGGAAGTATTTAATATTTAAAAGGTTTTTTTTTGTTGATGGGTGATGGAATGAAAAAGAGAAGGTTGTGAATTGTTGACAGCTAGATATATGGGCACATCAAGAGAGAGAGACTGTGATTGGAAAGATGTTGACTTATGGTTCTATTCGTATGATTTTTTTTTTTTGTACATAAGGTTCTATTCGTATTCGTATATGTTTTTTAATTAAGGAAACCATGCAGTAGACCTAAATTAATCATGGATTTTACGTCGTTACATTATACAAACCATACTAATCTAATGGATTTGTGAAGAATATCAAACCGAAGACGAAGAAGATTGTTTTGTAATGGTTAAGCCCAAACGTTAACGTCTCTCCATTGGGGCGTAAATAGGTTCCTGATCTCCTAAACAATGTTCAAACCGAACACATCCGTACGTATAGAAATTTGATACACAAGATGTTTTACCCCTAGACTACCTACGCTTGAGTTTAAATTAACTATCTCTGAACATGATCTCATATTGGAATGGGTAAAAACCGTTGTTGGGCAAAAACAATAACGTCTCTTCATAGCTCTTCATATGACCCACAAGACAAGAAAAGTTGGAGGAAGACTCCTTTATAGCTGTCTTTAATTAGGTTCACGTATAAGTACTATTGCATATTTATGATATTTCTAATTTTGCTTTTGAAATAACATGTACTATGTGGGTTTGACCATGTTTTTGATCATAGAATAATGATTTTATAGCATTGTCAATTAGGATTACCGGTTATTAACATTGTCAAGATTTTTAGTTTACTTTTTATTTAGAATACATTTTTCCTTTGTTTCTATAAGCAATATTACAATTTATATCCTCTCTGTGACGTGAAAGTGAAAGAGGGGACAAAGAGAAGAAAACGAAAGAAAAATAATTAGTGGTGGGTCAAGGTCAAGCCTTTTCATTTCATGTTATGTCAAAATTTATCTATATTCATATTACTTGACGACAAAATAATAATAATTTCATATCAGTTTGATAATATTAGAGTATTCATTCTATCCTTACAATTGGTTGAGCTAACCACGCATATACAGAAGAAAAAATTTATATATAGATTTATCCTTTACGTTAAACAAGTTATAGCTAAAACATGACTTAACGGTCACGCAATACTACTGCACCACAAGACCGGATCAACCGATTCTAAATTTTAGTCACTACATCATCAAGACATCAACTGTTTATTTCTTGGACATCTTCCTCAACGTAATCAACTTAATGACCGTAGCTTTAGAGGATACTTAATAAGTTGTATCCTCTTTTGCGGCATTCATAGTGAAGGCAGAGAATAATGACATTACGACCCCTTCGTACGTACAAAATGTTCGAATTTAGAAGAAGGAAGGAAACCGAACATAAAAGGCAACAACAGTAGTTATGTCAGAACAACAGTAAATAAGATCTAAAAGCTTGTCAAAGGTCCTTAGTGTTACTGTATCAACACTGTTGAAATGTAATATTACAAAGTACAAACTGAAACAATGTTCGTGCTAATTACCGACCATTTGTTCACACACGTTTTCTCTAAGAGCATGGGCAGTGGGGTAAGCAGGTGAGTGTGAGTCTTGGGGTGTAGGTATTAAAAAAACGAAAAAATTGTCTCTCTCTTCACACCCGGGTGTAAGTTTACACTCGGGTGTAACACTTTTTCTCTCTATCTCTCTCTTTCTTTCTCTTTCTCTTTTCTTTTTTGCTTTAAATTATAATACTAAAAAAATACTTACACCCACACAAACACATTTGCCACTGCTGATGGTCTAATGCACCATTCTCATTGAAGTCCATTTTTATTCTCACAGTATTTTTTTGTAATCCGAAAGGTTAAACTCTTCTCTCTAAAGTTTACCTTCGCCAAAAAGTAAGCGCAATTGGGCTTCTGGTTGGCAAACTAATAATAATGACTATGCATTTAACGAACGAAGGTTTGGGTTACGTACGAGGCCCATATAAGGTAGCTACAGAAGCTCGTAGTAAAATACTATTTTTCCATTTTTGAAAGTTCTATTCTATGTATGGCCACATCATTTATTTATCAATCAATGTGCTAAACACCGCAACGCTAAATACGAGCCTGGAATGTCACATTCACATAACCCAGTAGTAGTAGTTTACTCTTGATGGCATTGACAATTTGTCGCTAAGGTAATCGATAAAGACTTTAATTTAAGTGGACTTTGAAAAAGAAAAGGAAGCAACAAAAGTTGCAAAAGGCCGTCGAATCTGTCTGGTCAATAAGTTCAGTTCCTTTTATCACATTTCTTTTTAAATTCTTTTAATGACTACAACAATTCTTCAAGGGACAATACGATCAGTATTTTATTTACGAGAAATACATGAACTGGACAAAATTGATTAAAGGCTCTTTCAAAGAAATTAAAAGGTTCCCGAGTTTTATCAAACGGTGCATTTTTTTAAATGCAATTGGGAAACTTAAGTTATATTGGGTGGAGCATTCGGTAAATCTTCACCGTTGGTTACTTCTATCAACGGCTCAGATGAAACCAGATACAAATCCTAGTCTACGCGCGCCGAAAGATACCCAGACTCAACTCTTTGACCAAAAGTGAGAGAACGAAACACGGAAAAAGTATTTTTATTTCATGGGTTTGGCATATAACAAATTGTCAAAAAGTTATTATCTTGATTTAGGAATTCATATTCTTAACTTGTTGGACATCTTGCAAAGGAAAATATTATTCCAATGTTATACAAAATTGAAAAACCTGAATTTTGCTCACTTTCATTAACTACGATAAATAATAATCTGAATTTAACAAAACTGGTGTCTCCATATGATTTAAAACCTAGTAAAAAAGAATATAATTAAAAATAAATTAAGATTCATAAAATAAATAACCTAATTGTATTTTTTTCTAAATGGGAAAGTATCAAGTATTCAAAAAGAGAATTTTGACGTCAGCATATTTTGACATCATCTTCTTAAAACCAAACCACACGAGTCTTTCTCTCTCAGAGTGTTTTGCTCTTTATTCTTTCTGGAACTCTCTTTTAAACGTTTTCGCCGGAGAAGAAAGAGCCAAAACATGAAGAGCGACGATCTTTACATCACCACCGTCCCTTGTTTCTTCAAGTGTCCAATTTCACTTGATGTGATGAAATCTCCGGTGAGTCTATCCACCGGCGTTACATACGACCGAGTTAGCATCCAACGTTGGCTCGATGGTGGTAACAATACTTGTCCCGCCACGATGCAGATTCTTCAGAACAAAGAATTCGTACCTAACCTAACACTCCACCGTCTCATTGATCTCTGGTCCGACTCCATCAACCGTCGTGCCGGTACTGAGTCTCTGGAATCAAATACTCCCTCGCGAGACGAAATCAACGCTGCTATTGAGAGAATCCGGATCGAGAATGATGATTGCGACGTACTTTCGATGATTCTTCGGTTCGCGAAAGAATCTGATGAGAACAGAGAGTTTCTCGCCGGAAAAGATGATTTCGTAGGGATGCTTGTGGATCTCATTAGCCAATTCGATTCTAGACACTTCTCGGATTCTCAATTGATACTTGTTGGAGAGGCGGTGAAAATTCTGAGCATAATTCGCCGGAAAATCTTCGATCAGAGACGGTTATCGAATCTGATCTTATCGAAGGGTGGTGATTGCTTGACAGCGATCTTCCTATTGATGAAAACCGGGAATCCAAAATTGAAGATCGATTGCTCCGCCGTGCTTGAGTTTATCGCCGTCGATGCCGAGTCAAAGCTTATAATCGCCGAGAGAGACGGATTAGTAATCGAGATTATGAATTCGATAAGCTCAGATTCCGATTCAAGCTTAATCGAAGCGAGTTTATCTTTGTTAATCGCGATTGCGTCTTCGAAACGCGTGAAACTCCCATTAATCAGAGAGAAGCTAGTCACGAAGCTCACGAGTTTGTTAACAGAAACAAAATCGAGCGTTTCAGTGACGGAAAAGTGTCTAAAGCTTCTCGAAGCTTTTTCGTCTTGCAAAGAAGGTCGATCGGAGATATGTAACGGTGCGTGCGTTGAGACGGTGGTTAAGAAGCTGATGAAAGTATCGACGGCGGCGACTGGACACGCCGTCACGGTTTTGTGGAGCGTCTGTTATCTTTGCAAGGAAAAGAAGGCGCAAGATGCCGTTATTAGAACTAACGGCGTTACGAAGATACTGCTACTTTTACAGAGTAATTGCTCGCTTACCGTTAGGCATATGCTAACAGATCTTCTTAAGGTGTTGATGTTGAAGGTGAACTCAAGATCTTGCCTTTATACCGAAACCAAAACGACACACATTATGCCGTTTTGATTGATTTTTTTTCCTTCCTTATCAACTTCTTTAAGGATTACTTGTTGGTAAAAAATTCAAGTTGTAAGAAAAAAGAATTTTTGGAAGATGAATGGAATTGTAACATGGAGAAATGAGCTCTAGAATAGTAGTTTCAATAATACACTTTTTTCTGCAATGTCTCAAGTCTCAACGTGAATAGATTCAAGCATTTTCATCTATCAATATGCTCTATCAAGTATCAAGAGAGATGTTGTCTCTGTATCTAAAACAAACTGATGAATTTTTGATTGATTAAGCAGTCAAAACAAAACTAGATTTAAAAGACTACAAGAAGTGGATTTGGCATCTGGAGGAACGTTTAGGAAAAGAAAGGAGGTCTTTGGTGAGGTTCCTCCATCTTTTGGAGAGAATTGATGTGGAAGCAGCTCGTATAATTGGAAGCAAGGTCAAGATCTGGTCGAGGATCTCATCTGGAAGGGAGCTAAGTGCATCTCCACAGCTATATTCCACCTTTTTCGCACCCATGACCATGAACGACGGTGAATCAACAAAAACTGACCTTTTTGCTCGAGCGGCGCGACACTAAACACAACTCTTGACGTCGGCCGTGGCTTACCCGAGCAAATCGACGTTCACTGTCTTTAGATTGGGCTGGATAAATTAGCTTTAGGGGGCTTGCTCGAGCAAATCAAAGTTGGGCCGGATAAATTAGCCCACCAACATATATTTTTTCGATATTCTCTCGGTTTCCTAATATAAAGACGTTTTGGAAATTTTTTTTGTTTTATAATATAAATCGTTTTCCAGTTTCGATGCAAATTATATATTATTTTAAAATTTTATAATTATTTATATTATGCAGTCTCTTTTATGATTGGTTGAACTTTTTAAAAATAAATTTTCTTAATTGACGTGCACTTTTACCTAAAACGATTTATATTGTGAAACGGAGGGAGTATCTGTTTTCTTTTATGATTTTGGGTGTTACTTAGAAATACATATTCAAAATGACATTTGTATAGAGTAGTTATTAATTTTATATCAATCCCTAATAAATTAAAGAAGTAAAATTTAGTTAAGAAATTTAATAACAATTAAAAGGATTTAATGGTTGTAAATTTATTACTATCTCTTACAATGTTTTAAACCTTTTAAGACATACAGTAATTTTGAATTTGTCAAAGGTTAAAGAAAAATAAGAGCCGATAAAGAAGAGTCTTAAAGGAAGAATCCCAAATTACACTCCAGGTGATGCGCACATCAGTTTTCGTGCGCATACGCGGTGCACATTAGCCCCAACCAATCAAAATCGTCTCTCCCGTTCTCCGGCGACTCTTCGTCGTCCACCTGAGTCATGGCCACGTGGAACGCTTCCTCCCCTAAGGCGTCTCCTTGCTCATCCAGGCGACGGACGAAAGCTCCAGCGAGACGCCCTTCCTCCGAATCTCCACCACCGAGGAAGATGAAATCAATGGCTGAGATAATGGCGAAATCTGTCCCTGTGATTGAACAAGAAGAAGAAGAAGACGAAGACAGCTACAGTGACGTCACCTGCGAGAAATGCGGCTCCGGAGAAGGAGACGATGAGCTTCTTCTCTGTGACAAATGCGATAGAGGGTTTCACATGAAATGCCTTAGACCGATCGTTGTTCGTGTCCCCATTGGACCTTGGCTTTGTGTCGATTGTTCCGACCAACGACCTGTAAGAAGTAGGGATTTTTATTTCTTCGCTTTTAAATTTTTGTGTTAAATTTCCTAATTTTCTCCTTTCTCTTATGCTCTTTGTTTTTTCAAAATTTTGGGATTTTTTTCTTGTCCGGGTGAAATGTTTAGGGTTATCTCAGAAGAAGATTTTGCATTTCTTTCGGATTGAGAAGCAAACTCATCGAACAGACAAATTGGAATTGAGTCAAGGTATGTTTTTTGTTTTTGGGTTTCATGATATGATCATAAAGTTCCTGACTTGATGAAGTTGACGAGTTGTGTCACTTGATTAAACAGTTTGATGAATATGAAAGAACTCAGCTTTGGCCAATAATATACTTGAAATTTGTTTCAATTTGTTGCACCTCATTGTAGAGTTAATTACATTGATGAGAACTTACATATCATATACACAGATGTTTCATGATTGAACTAATAACAAGTGTATGAGATTGAGCAGAATCAGTTTTTAATGGCTTCATTTCTTTGTTTTGAAGAAGAAACTAGAAAGCGGAGACGATCTTGCTCTTTGACAGTGAAAAAGAGAAGGAGAAAACTCTTACCTTTGGTTCCATCAGAAGATCCTGATCGTAGGCTTGCACAAATGGGCACACTTGCTACTGCATTAACGGCATTGGGTATTAAATACAGCGACGGCTTAAATTATGTTCCCGGAATGGCTCCTCGGTCTGCAAATCAATCCAAGTTCGAGAAAGGTGGGATGCAGGTATAAACAAGACAATCTTTTAGCCCTTTATCGATAACTCTCTTATTTAAGTTACTTCATTGATTGTTTTACTCGGTTTTTATTTTTCGCAGGTGCTATCAAAAGAAGATTTAGAGACATTGGAACAATGTCAATCTATGTATAGACGAGGAGAATGCCCTCCTCTCGTTGTGGTATTCGATCCGCTTGAAGGGTATATCTCTCGATTCATTCGATCAATCTTCCCTTGATGACAAAGTGGAGTTGTAAACATGTTCTTTTGTTATGCCGTTTATACAGTTACACAGTTGAAGCAGATGGTCCTATAAAGGACTTAACATTCATAGCTGAATATACAGGGGATGTTGATTACTTAAAAAACCGAGAAAAAGACGATTGTGACAGCATCATGACTCTCCTTTTATCAGAAGATCCTTCAAAGACTCTTGTTATCTGTCCCGACAAGTTTGGAAACATATCTCGCTTCATTAATGGCATCAACAATCACAATCCGTAAGCAACAAATTCAAAACATTTGTTCTGTTTGTCTTTTTTCCCACAAAACTAGTTTACCAATGAATCACCACATCACTGATTGTTGCAGGTTTGCTAAGAAGAAGCAGAACTGCAAATGCGTGAGGTATAGCATAAACGGCGAATGTCGAGTTCTTCTAGTTGCTACACGCGATATATCGAAAGGGGAAAGACTCTATTATGACTACAATGGTTATGAACATGAGTATCCTACTCATCACTTCCTCTGATCTTTCAATTCTAACAGTTCTACAGAGTCTCTAGATCAGATGTTCTTTTTGTTGCCATATTACAGGTCAATTAGAAATGTAGAGCTGAATTATATGGCCTTTAAAAAGGTTATGCATTATTAATTATCAAGTTAGCAGTAGAATAATTGGATTTGGAATGGCATTACAGAGATTAAGGCAAATGTCAATGGCTAAACTTTTGTTTGATATCAAATGAAATCCTAACCTTTTTTTATATGTTCTTGGAGAAAACTTCACCAATCACCACCTTAAGAGGTTGCCAAATAAGTTTTACTTTCTTTGATACCCTTCTTCCTTCTAAATTTATCGAAATATTGGTTATAAAATGAACAACTACATCAAAATACAGTCATTATCTACAAAAAAAGTATAATTACAGTACTTGCCTACGTAATTCTTCTTTCACCGAAATGTATTAACACCAGAAAATGCATATGCTATGAATCAAAGAAACAAACTCAAAATAGATGATGATCTCACAATTGTACTTTCGTTTCAGTATTGAGAAGAAAGCTTTTTCACTTTGACCACTTTGACTGAATTATATCTTTGAAATTTAAAGTGGTGATGATAACATATTCAACTCTTCTACAAGACAGAGAGAAAAATAGTACGAGAGGGAGATAGAGAGTGAGAGAGACAAGCAAGTTGAAGGAGCAAATCTTGTGTGTGAGAGCTTGAATCAGAAAATTTCCAACGAGAGAAATGGCTAGTAACCCTGATTTTCTTTGGTGCAAAGAAGAGAGGAAGCAGGAAAGCTTCGTCAAACTTCTTAAGCATTTCGACATGTCTTCAGAGAACACGGTAAACTATGTTCTAAACTCTTTATGTTGTTGAATTAGCTTAGTCTGGAATGTTTAAACTTTTGGTTTCTTAAAGGTTTGAATCTTGATATATAGCTGCGTTTCAAAGGTAGAATCTTGTCGTTAACTGTCTTTTATGGGTCTAGAAAAAGTTTTTGTTTTTCTCTTTTTAAGGAACTTTCTTCATGGTTTTGTTGTTTCTCTCAGTTCTCTATCTGAATGTGAAGATCTATACTTTGTTTCTTCTTGATGAGATCTGTTCTCTGTTCTTTTTCACCGTACGTCTTGTTGTGTTTGTCATTTGTGTGTTATGGGACTAATTTCATGGTGAGATTTGAAAGTTTGGGCTCAAATTCTTGATAGGATGTGTAAAAGCTCACTGATTTTTCACTGTTTTATATTAATATATCAGACATGTATCTTATATCTCTTCAACTTGTTTTGTATAACCAAAGCGAGCAATTCCTTACGACTTTGTGAGAAACTTTTCTGACAATGAGCTCTCCGGAAACATGAAGATAAGAGTGCAATGGGGAAACTCTTGGGAAGTAAAAATCTCCAAGAACCCGAGGTTCTACTTCATGGAGAAGTCTGGATGGGAGACGTTTGTGAGAGACAATGCCTTGGGAGACTACGAGTTTCTTACCTTCACTCACACAGGAAAGATGAGCTTCACTGTGAAAATCTTCAACAAAGATGGCAAGGAGATGATGCAACCTCCACAATCCAGAGCCTTTTTGGCTTCTTCTAGTAAGATTTGATTCTCTGTTTATGAAACAGTGAACCGGATTAAAGACATTGATTCTTTACTTTTGATGATGAAACAGGTCGTGTTAAAACAGAACAAGATGTCAAGAGGGAAGAGGTGTTGGTGTCTTCTGACTCGAGTTCTTGTGGCCCGACAACAGCAACTGTATCTAATGGTAATGGAGAAGGCATGTACAAAAGGAAGCTCAACTTTGGGAAGAAGAAAGCTGAGGAAACCCAAAATTCCAAGAGGACTGAGAGAGTGGTTGGTAGAGTTTATGCAGGCGAACCTTCCTCTTCTGTTGCAGGATTCAACATCTTTATCTCGAAATCATACATCAAATCTCTGGTACTATAAGACCACTAACACACAGTTTCTGTATTAGCTTTTGTTTTTCAACAAAAAAACTGATATGTTAATGATTAATGAACACACCTGTTTTGTTTTTTTCAGGCGATCCCGACAACTTTTGCAAATGATTATATGCCGAAGGAGAAAACAATGGTCAAGATCCATCATCCAGATGGGAAGAAGTCATGGAATGTTGCTTTTGTGGTAAAAAAGAAGGGTCACATTTTCTCTGGTGGATGGAAACGTTTGTGTAGGGAGTATCCTGTTGTTTTTGGGGACACTTGCAAATTCACACTCATCAAACCACACGAGCTGCTTCTAGTTGTCTCGAAGCCATAAGAGAGAAGAACTCACAGGTGTCTTGGAGAACAAGCAACTGAAGTAAACTACTTCTATGTTTAATGGTGTTATGTCATGACTTAGTTCAGTTTTAGTTTGGTATGTAAACTTTTCTGTAGCTTTCATATCTTTAGGACCAATTACAATTTGTTTGGTGTTTCCGTGAGACCTTACTCTGCTTTCTCTTGTCTTAGTAATCATATTGAGCAACCAAAATCTGTTGGTATTTTTTTGAGGCAGATTCCAAATTAGTTTAAAACAAAATTAGTCAAAAACCGGTTTGTGGGATAAATATGGGCCCTTTTGTCTAAAAGAGAGAGAGGATATATATGGGCCCAAAGCCCAAACCCATCAGACGCTTCACAGAGTTACAGTCTCTCCTCCTCCTTTAGGGTTCTTCTCTCTGATCAGTGATCACTTCTCCGACGCAGAAATGACCAAGTTCAGGAAGCTTGGCCGGCCGGCGGGTCACCGTATGTCCATGCTCAGGTTTCATATTCAGCTTCAATAGTTCCTTTTGCTACTACTTCGCACTTTCTTTTTCGATATAAATCGCTTGATTTTGAACTGTTGGTATCACTCAGGACAATGGTTTCTCAGTTGGTGAAGCACGAGCGTATTGAGACCACCGTCACTAAGGTATTGTACTGATTCTATTTCTACCATTTTTCCGGGTTTAGTTAGGGTTTATAGAATCTGCCATTTTCCTACTTCTAACTCAATTTCATCAGATTTTGTGGAAAAAAAGATACTCTTTTATAACAAATTTCGATTCTTGAGCTAATTTTTTTTATACTCACTGTGGTGATTAGTGATTGCAAATTTATATGCTAAAGAAACATTGGATTTTGCAGGCTAAAGAAGTCCGTCGTCTTGCTGATAATATGGTTCAACTCGGCAAGGAGGTATTTTTGTTTCCTTGATGTCTTTTGATATTATTGTGGACCTCAAAGTTTCACATTATTCGATTATCGGTTGTCCCTTATACTAAGTTCTTCTCATTTCTAATCAGTACTAGATGGTTTGATCGAGGTGTTAGTTCGTTATGTATGATAACTTTATCTTGGTGATGATATTTATAGGGTACACTAGCTGCCGCAAGGAGAGCAGCTGGTTTTGTGAGAGGAGATGATGTCCTTCACAAGATTTTCACTGAATTGGCATATAGATACAAGTGAATTTTAATATTCTTTTGGCATCATTTAACTGTACCTAATTAAGCGCTTTGCATATAATTGGGATTCATATTATTTGTTACAGAGATAGAGCTGGTGGATACACAAGACTGCTCCGTACTCGCATACGAGTTGGTGATGCTGCTCCAATGGCCTATATCGAGTAAAATTAGTTTCTCTTTTTCTTTATCAATTCTTCTGCTACTACATTCATGTTTCCATGTTAGATCAAATAAGAATTGTTAATGATCTGAAAGATTAATGTATTTGGAAGCTTTCTGGTGAACTAATTTGGTCGATACTTGATACTTTGGATAGGTTTATTGACAGAGAGAACGAGCTTAGGCAATCGAAACCAGCAACACCTCAACCACCACAACGAGTGCCGTTGGACCCATGGGAAAGATCCCGGCTCACCAGGCAGTTCGCTCCACCTAAAGAGGAGAAAAGCTCTGATTCTGAGCTGTAATGTGGCATAATAAATTTCCCTGTCCACCAAATATCTTGTTTTTGTCTCAAAATGTATTTCGTGATCATTCATCATTTGCTAGAATATGTTTTCACAGAGGCAAACAATAAAGTTAGCATTTTTATTTTGTTTGAATATTTAAAATGTAATCTACATTAACAGGCTTGGAGAGGCTTTTTCTTTGCCTATTTACCCATTAACTAACCTGTTAGTAAAAAAAGTCACTCTCTTTTTCTTGCTTCTACAAAGATTAGGTTAGAGTTTGAGATGCTAATCTCCTAATGTGTGGCCCTATGATCGACCAAAAACAGTAAAATTTATGACCTAATGCATGGATCCATACCTACTTAACTATCTTTAGGTGAACTACTTAACAGAACCTAAACCCCCCAATTTGATTTTCCATTTGCAACCTACTCTTCTTTGAATTTAATGTTTCTTTAACCTGCCCTTTACCAGTTTCTGCAACCTCCATCATCCTCCTGACTTTTACAGCCAACTCTAAACCATTGAGATGGTGGATATTGATAATGATGATGATGATGTCTACTTCGTTGAAAACTTTTGTATTTCGTTTTCTTACAACAAATTCTGCTTTAACGTCAAGCAAAACGCAACTTGAGATCCTCCTCCATACTCATTTGTGATTTTAGCACAACACGCTAGATATGGAATCATTCCCTGCAGGCATAAGCAAAAAAAGTTGCGTCCTTTTAAAATTTGAAACTTTATTGTTTTACTTCAATTAGTCCTAAGACTATGAACTCTCTATTGATATAACATGAATGCAATCTTTGCTTTTATGTTTAAAACACTTTATCGATTAAAGTACAATGAGAAGGATTTCTTCTTTTAAAACATTCCTAAACCTTTTATAGTCTTAAGATTGAGTTAAGCAGACATGGAAGCCCACTCATCAGCCTGAATAAAGTTAGTCAGCGAATACACATGAACATGCTCGTCCGGTATCTCACTGCTCCATGAAACCCTTTGTGACCTATCTGATCCCGGACCCGTGTTCTTAGATTCACCGTAATAAAGCGTCTTCAGCGCGAAATCCCCGCTCCACGGTAACCATCCATCAGGAGTAATCAAAGCCTCTAAATTACAGCCTATAAACACAGTCCTCGAGTAATCTTTCCATGGCCTCCCCAAGAAGTTCTTATGCACCTTAGGGTTAGCTTTAAACAGCTTCATGTACTCCTCTGTTCCGTTAATCAAACAGTTCAAAAACACGAAGCCCGTGGACTGTGACGGGTCGATTCTTCCTTGGGCAGTGACTGCGTTTTTCTCTCCCTTTTCGGGGTTAAGTTGACGCGGTGCAATTAGGATTTCGCAGTCTTGGAAGACAGCAGCTGAATTGCCAAAGATGAAGTCAACATTTCCTTGGATACGGCAGTTTTTGTAGAACTGACGAAGACCATGGGCATAGAGAGTGTCTTGGTTCCCAAGGAACTCACAATTCTCGAGCAGAGAAAAATCGCTGTCGGATCTAAACGCCACCGCTTGATGAGCGTCTGGTCCCGCCGTGTTCTGGAACGATAGATCACGAGCCATGAATCCATCTCCTACCACTCCTATCAAAACAAATCATGCAATCATATTTTAGCCATATACATTTACTTTTGGCATTACTATTACAATCAACAAGAAAAATTTGATTAATATGCTTATCATTTTGGCTTAGCTTAAATATCCATCAAAAAAGTATTCTTTCACGTGACCAGACTTAAAACCACATAATCTACATCAAACTCTACTAAAATATTAAATTATGAACTTTCAACTCTTATTTTTTTTATAAAAAGTAATGTTGCTTCAACATTAATTAGTACGAGAAAAACTCACCGACAGTTGCAGTGTTGTACGTAGTGATCCCAGGCATACCGGCGTTTAACGAACCTGTAATGACCGTTTTACCCATACCGTCACCGATAAACACAACGTTCTTCTTCTCAAACGGAACAATAACGTTCTCTTCGTAGACTCCTTCGCTAATCCTTATAACGAACTTCCGCATTCCGTTATCCTCCGGCGCGGCGTTAACGGCGTCTTGCACCGTCTTGTAACTGCATTTTCCGTCTTTACACACCGTCACGTCTTCTTTTAAACCGGTAGGAAAACCCAAATTAAGCCCTGTACTCGGATCCGAGCCCAAACCCGGCCCAGTCTTTTCCCAGAACCCGTCACGTTCCGTTGCTGGGGAAGTCCACGACGCGACGTTGTCTCCGAAGTTATCGTACGATACCATCATGCTAAGCGCGTTGCTGGTGACGTGGATAAGTCCGTCTAGAAACGACATCGTTTCACCGACTTGGCTCGTGTCGTTGACGTACTTGAGCGCTGACCATGAATCGTACTGGTACACTAGAGCAGCGCTCATCCAAGCTCGAGCATCTTTGATTTTGCCACGTGTCAAAGCTTGGTCCGTCGATTGAGTGCGGTGCTCGGAGTAAGTGAGAAGCTGGAGACACGTGTTCGCGGCGTTTGTACGGTTTAGATTCCCTACGGACGAGTCTACGATAGACTTGATTTTTGATTGGGCGGTTTTGAGGTTTTGGAATGAGATTGAGATCGCTGAGTGGATGATCTGGATTGGTTTAGGATCCGGAGGAACCCGACCCGGTTCGGATAGTGAAGAGACGCATTGGTCTGGGTAACGAGTTGCGTTACAAGCGAGACGGATCTGAGACGGCGAAGGATTGACCGGAGAAGTGTCGCCGGAGGGTGATTGGCGGGAATTGTGGTGGTGGTGGTGACGGGAGGAGGAGGAGGGAGAGGAGAAGAGGAAGAGAGAGAAGAGAAGGATGAGAATGGAGGACATGGTTATGATTAAGAGACAGAAGCAGCGGATTGGGGATTTTCTGCGGTGAGGATGATGATGGAGTTTCGAAGAAGCCATTAGAGACGAATGTGTGTATATATATGTATAGGTGTGTGTGTGTGTGTGTGGAAGTTAATTAAATTTTATGGAAAAAAATAAAATTGAAATAAAAATAGGGGAGAGATGGATTACAAGTCACAGACCATTAGAGAGTCACGGGCGGTGCGTAGTGGAACACTATGGGGATCATGCGCGCAGAGACGGAGAAGAGATTGGAGTTTTGTGAGTGTCTTTTTTTTCTTAATTACGGTTCTATTAGGGAAGATAAGGAGATTAAATTTAGATTGTCCGGTTCGGTCTCCGGTTATGTATTGGTTTAATGTGTTTGACTTGCGGACGGTTGGTAATTATTTGTTTTCTTTATGGTTTTTTTCTTCCTAATATCGAATTATTGATCTAGTTTTTGGATTTTTATTTTATATATGATTAATATTCTAATTTTAGTAACTAAGTGGTTCCAAGCAGTAAATCTAGAATAATTATTTAGAAATTATAATAAATGTAGATTTGGTTAGGTTTTATCTAGATTGGTATTAGACTATTAGCAAACACTATCACCAGTTTCAATATTCTATGTGTTTTCTGAAATTACAGATCTTTATATACATATTTCAAACACAAAACCTAATAGTTGTTGTTTGTTTTGGAAAATTCGACTTTTGATGGTAATTTCGGGAATGCTAGTTAATATAGCTTGATCATATATTCCTACAATTTTTTATGATTTTATTTCACTGGTAGATTATGTTCTACTATATGTATATGTAATTGATTCAAATTTTAATGTTTGTTACAATTAAATCTCAACATAAATTATCAAACGTTGAACTAGAAAGAAATCTGAAGGATGTTAAAATGTGTCATGATTTCAACAAATCTAACCTAAATTTAAATGATTCATAATGAATGCCACATACATAAGTTAATGTAAAATCTCTGAAAGCAATAGTATTTCATAAGATTTTATAACCAACGGATTTGGTATTTACATATTTTGGGTTTAGAGTAAACATCATCGGATGTTTTTTTTTTTTTTTTTTTTTTTTTTTCATCATCGGATGTTTGTAGCGGCCCATAGTTTGGGCTCGTATAAGCCCACTAATATGGAAGCTGCACCTTTGCCAATGAGGCAATGACCCAATATAACAACTTACGGCTTTAGATTGCAAACCCATTATTACGCAAAAGCTAAAGCTGCAAAGCACATTGTCAGGTAAGCTGGGGATAGACTATAGACGTATGAATCAGGCCTAAATAAACTAAAGCGATTCCGATAAGAATGTTGTTTATCGCCGAAAAAACGTTTACAGAAAGACGTTTCTCGCCGAAAAAATATGTTGATCAGTGGATGTTGGAAGAAAGAATGTCCATTAATTAGTGGATACATTAATCTTGTTGAATTTAACAAACATAAATAAATTACTTATAATTGAGTCTATTTGGGTTTGTTTTTTTTTGTTAGTTGAGTCTACTTCTCGTGTATGTCGATACAATGCGGCATTATGCGTATATGCATGAAGGATACTGAAAATACGTTGGTACCACTAATCTAAATGAAAACACTGAAGTCAATTTCATACGTTTAATTTTTATCAAAAAAAAAATTCATATGTTTAATTTGTTTGTTCTCAAAAACAAAAGAGAAAGAAAAGAAAAGTGAAAACTCATTAAAGAGTTTTCCATATCACTAACACTTTCGGACCAAACAAGAGACTTCTTCACTTTTCTCCACAGCATCTGCCCATGCCTTGTAATCACTTTTTTTAGACTTTTAGATCCTCTCGCCAAAAAGAAAAAATAATTGGTTTGTAGTTTTTTACTACTCCATTTTACAAAATTTTAAGCATCATTACTAGTATTATAACGCATAATCTACTCTCGTAATTATAGAAATCAATACTATATAACGATTAACGCATATCCTCTCCTTTTTACGTCTAGCTTTTCTTTTTCTTAACTTGATAACCAACTACGTAATTTAATTTTTTTATTTTCGGATGAATCTAAGTCGGTGGTTTTTATTTTTGGTTTAATGGTTCGATCATTATAGATCATGACCAAACTTAACCGGTGAAATTCGATTATGATAAAGTGATAGCACTAAATTACAAAGTGTTCAAATTTGGAAAGAAACAATACTGAGTTTTTCTTTGTTTGTTCTTCTCCATGGTGGAAGCAGAAAGAGGAAATCCAAAAAAGAGAGAAAAAGAGAAGTCGCTGTAGAGACCAGACTCTGAGGAAATGAGAGTGTGGTTCTTTGGGAATCGTTACACACAAAGATTGTATCGCTATCAATAAAAGCAGGAAGAAGCACAATTGCTGGGAAAAAAAAAAGATAAGTATATAAAAAGAAATATGGTTATTCAATGCTTTTTATGTACGCGGTAATTTGGATGAAAATAATGGAGATTGTCAGATTTTATGATTCAATCTTCATCGGAAAATGTTACATATTTATTTCACCCACTCACGTGTATATGTACTATATATACACTAGATTCATCTAGTTAGGGTTTACAGTTACACACTTTATATACAGACGAAATGGGGGCCGCTTGAGCTGTCACATGTTTAAACCATATCATAAAGTTAAGCTAGTGGTAATTTACTTCAAAGAAAACATGATTAGTGATAAATCAATTGCATTCAATTTTTTGTTTGTTTAGGTGACCTGGTCATTTTCGCCGATGTTAAATGAAGATGACAAGATATATAAGACAACCATAATGTTATAACAACTCGGTGGACATTTTAAAACGTATGGTATATAGTATCAACTTTAAACCATTATGATATTTCACATAACAGTTGTAGAAATGAACTTATATATAACCAAAAACGAGAAGAAAAAATTAGTATATGTATCAAGTCTATATGAAATCATAGATTTCTATTTAAAACCGATTGATAATAAGTAAATTAATTTATGTCGTATATATTATATTTTTTTAGGTCTCAATACATGTTTCTGTGGAAATTTAGGAAATGAATAATATAATTTGCACATGTTTTAAAATAGACTATAAAAACTCTAAATTTATGATCAGCCCTAAAACAATTGTTCTTTGCTCCAATCCATCCGAATTTTTATTATATAATACAAGGAAAAATAAAAGTTCTTTTTAAAAAGATATTAGTCCTGACTGTGTTATTCACATAATATAATCGAATGCTAGCTATCATATCAAATCCAAAATATTACTCGTTTAATTGCCGTTTTCATCTCAAACCTCTATTACACGCATTTCACAAAACGTAAATACAACATTTCACAAATGCGAAACTATATATTATATACTTATATAGAATCAAATTTCCAAAACTTTTGTGTGTATAAGTAGATGTACGTTCATACAACATACATGTAGTTGGCAGTTGGGTGGATTTAATAAGAATAATATACAATGAACAATGGATTAATACCAAAGAGGGAACCCTATCATGCATGATTGGTGCCTGCATGCGCAATTTGTATGATAATAATGCAGACCAAATCATAACATATGTGCAAAATATACAATTTTATATCATATATATATATATATATGTATATATGTATGTATGTACATGTAGATCAGTAGATGTATAATGTATATATACATTGCTTTTGCGGTGAGACATATGACATAAGAAACTTGTCACATTAAATCAGGACCGTCTGATTACTTTGTAAAACCGATCGATATAAATTTGCCTCTTTTGAAGTCTCATAAAATTTTCGTGTATTTTACGGATGTATGTTTCTTATATACATTTATATACAAGAACGTAGTTACGTAGATGTGAGCTTTGTTAATAAAAAGCAGAATTTTCTTCATGGAAAATGATATATTCACCACCGTCTTATACCACGAGTCACGACGATGATACACGTCTTCTTATTAAGGACAATCATGGATAACACCCAAATATTGAAGAAGCCAAGGTGTCCCCATGCGAGTGATTTGATGTTTGTTATCCTTATAAACCTTTAATCACGTCGCAAATTATAGAATAACTTCGTGGAATAAAGCAAGTTGATCATTTGTTTTATATATAATAATCTATAACATTGCGAGTTTCACACACAATTTACATTCAATATTGGACTCCATCGAGGGGGAGAGACAAAATCACGACCGTTGATTGGGATAAGATTATAGGATCAAAACAAAATGTGCTATTTCGTGAAGAGACAGTAGAATGAGAGAAATTTTATCAATATTTCCTATTTTGGTGAATGGGTTTTGTAAAGAGCGAAGGAGATAATTAAAGGGATTGTAAATTGAGAAGTCAGAATAAGAGCACACAAGTGGTGACATCTTTTGTGAATCAAAGAGAAACTCATGTTCATATAAAGTAATTCACATTCTTATAGTAGTTATTATTTTATTACTTTGGTGAAAGCCACTTTTTCGATCTACCTTAAATTCAAGTCTCAATGTGGGAGAGGGAAACCCTAGCCAACTCTAAATGATCTCATTAGTTAATTAGAGCTGCTCATTTAAAAAAATAAAAATCGTGTGTGCGAATATGCAAACCATATGTATATAACTATATATATACATAATTGATACGACGATTGTAAACATTTTCGAGCATAAGAAATCTCCTTATTCAACTATAAACAATTTAGTTTTTTTTTTTTTTTTTTGGTAACGACTAGTGACGTCCACTTATTGAAAAGAAACATATAAATAAAATTATTATTTATTTTCTCCGAACCAAAATCCTTATTGCATCACCAACCTAACCCCTCATCATATGATCACCTTTCTTTTTCCTTTAATATATATATGCTCACACACACACACATATGCCTCGCCTCAGGCATTAAATTTAATTTTCACAAATCAAACAAACAAAAATTATGAATAATAATAATATGAACCCATCTCTCTTCCAAAATTACACTTGGAACAACATCATCAACAGCAGCAACAACAACAAGAATGATGATCATCATCAACATAATAATGATCCAATCGGTATGGCCATGGACCATTACACAAACCTCCATATCTTCAATCCTTTCTCTTCTTCTCATTTCCCTCCTCTCTCTTCTTCCCTCACAACCACCACTCTTTTCTCCGGAGATCAAGAAGACGACGAAGACGAAGAAGAGCCTCTAGAGGAACTCGGTGCTATGAAGGAAATGATGTACAAGATCGCAGCCATGCAGTCGGTTGACATCGATCCAGCAACCGTCAAAAAACCTAAACGCCGTAACGTCAGGATCTCCGACGACCCTCAGAGCGTGGCGGCTAGACACCGCCGTGAGAGAATCAGTGAGAGGATCAGAATCCTCCAGAGACTCGTGCCAGGTGGCACTAAAATGGATACAGCTTCAATGCTCGATGAAGCTATACGCTATGTCAAGTTCTTGAAACGGCAGATCCGCCTACTCAATAATAATCAGGGAAATCCTTCTCCTCCGCCGCAAGATCAAGCTTCTCAGGCGTTAACGACGTCATGGATTTCGCCACCACCACCACCACCAAATTTCGGCGGTGGGGGAGGAAGAGGAGTAGGAGGATTAGTCTAAACAAGGTGACATTTCCATTAATAGTAACTAAATTATTATGCTATAAAGTGTGAGTAATGGTGCAATTATGGAAAGTGTTTATATATATTAAAATGGATACGAAATAAGGGTTTGTTAGGATATATAATATATTGTTGTTGACCGAGAAAAGGTTGTGGAATAATCATAACGGTTAGCTTGAGTTGTGTACCACCATATATTTAATATTATGTTATCATTTCGTATATAATAATAAGTTCTTGATTTATAGTTTGGTTGGATACAAGTTTTGGCCGGGCATTTTTCGGGAATAAGAACCATGACGCCATGAAAGAACCCTATTTAAATAGTGTTATCATTACTGTGGACTTTTGTCTTTGTATACACACAACGTTTATATTTTTATTGTATATTTTAGAGCATATATATGAATGTATGTACTCTATTGCTTCATTTTCATCGTTTACGTACATACATCATATTCTTACATTTGAAAATCAATTTGTAATATATATGTTACAAAATTAAAATAAGCTTTGAGGAAATTTTATATATAGCTAGTAACGAAAAATCAAAAAAAAAAAAAAATGTTCTTGTGAAATGATTATCCATATTCATCACCCAAAACTAAAAACTCTACTAGACGTATCCGATTATACTTGTTGTAAAATATTAAGGACGTATGTTTAGCTATAATAACGTTTATCATATTGAAAATTACGATAATCATCCCATAAAATGATGTTTTGTAACATCAAGTCATCTCAAAATTCCACATGTCTAAAATGATTTAGTGTCGATACACACATACACAAAAAAAAAGATCATATATAGATACATTTATAAAGAGGATGGTGCAGAGAAAATGTACTTGCTCGTTTTGTCTTCGAATCAATGAATCGAAGTTCAATTAAAACAGTTGCAAGATCTCTTTTTACCTTCCCAATAATAAAAAGAAAACCTTTGACAACAAACAAGCATTAAAACCACCAGAGCTTAGCTCCACACTTGTTGGTCAGAAAAACTCAGAAAAAGTAGCAGAGAGATTCAAGGAAACCTATGCTCTTGGTTCACTTCACTTCGATACTTCCGCTGACTTTTGTGTCTCCTCACATTCATAGGTTTTTAATAAAGACACAACGAAATGTCAGTGAGATTCAAGGAAACCTAGCTATATCCATTTTGCTAACGAAATCATTTAATATATCTTTACTTTCTTTTTGCCACATAGTTGTACATTCATAGCCTATAGATAATTGCAAGAACTTACTTAACGTCTAAATTAGCTCAAACAATATGCATTAGACTAAATAGCCATTGGCATGACTAGTATTTTTCGAATTAGTACAGAAAGATTTCAATTATGATTCGAGATAATTCTTACATGATTATCACTTATCAGACTAAAACTGTGATTCCGGTGAAACTGTACTTCACAGCATTAAATATCAATATTTTATTTTACCGGCCCATAAAGAGAGGCCCAAATTACGTGAAAAGTTACTAATGGGCCAAATTTAATTCAAGTGTCTTTTTTATCTCTCTAGTTCTCTTACTCGTCTGAGAAAGAAAAAGCCCACCCGGGATTCTCCGACCCGACCGAGAAATGGGATCGTCAGCGAATACAGAAACCAACGGCAACGGAGCGCCACCGTCGTCGAATCAAATGCCTCCGGCTACAAACGGCGGTGATGCGTCTCACCCTCCTCCTTCTTCAGCTCCTGATCAAGCGATTATAGAGTCGGATCCGTCGAAGAAGAGGAAAATGGGGATGCTTCCTCTAGAAGTGGGTACTCGTGTGATGTGTCGGTGGAGAGACGGAAAACACCATCCGGTCAAAGTAATTGAGCGCCGGAGGATACATAACGGTGGCCCAAATGATTACGAGTATTACGTTCATTACACTGAGTGTATGTCGTTTAATTCCTTATCACGTTTTGATCTAGGGTTTTCAATTTTGGTTGATTTGTACTGTTGAACTTCAGAAAGGTGGAACTTTGGTCAAGGGTTTAAAATGTAGGAAGATAAAAGAGTTAACTTGCAAGACTTTATCAATTGGATCATTGGAATTTGCTTCAATTTAGATTTTTGAGAAGAAGATCAAATCCTGCATTATACTTGGATTCTAAAGATTTTGAACCCTTTTTACTATTCTGATTAAGCTGATGGATGACTAATATGATGATAAAGTTGGTGGTTGTGAAAGCTTGTGATCATCAATGTGTATGTTTCGAGTGTTTGATTTTCGTAATTTTTCTTTGAAACTGTAGTTAATAGGAGGCTCGATGAATGGACTCAGATGGACCAACTGGACCTTGATTCAGTAGAGTGCGCTGTAGATGAAAAAGTGGAAGACAAGGTGCTTTCTTTAGTTTTATATTGTGAGTTGCGTAATGCTCTGTTGGATTACATGAGTTTTCTCTTCTACCTGTAGCACTGAGCAGAGAATTATGTCTGTGGTTTCTAGGTAACGAGTCTGAAGATGACACGCCACCAGAAGAGGAAGATTGATGAGACACATGTAGAGGTAAGTAATTGATGCCACTTGAAGGCTGGTCCTGGAAACACAAGGCTTATGCTGATTCGATATTCTGTGTTTCAAAATGTTTATACTAGGGTCATGAAGAGCTGGATGCAGCAAGTTTGCGTGAACATGAAGAGTTCACGAAAGTGAAGAACATAGCTACAATTGAGCTTGGAAAATATGAGATTGAGACTTGGTACTTCTCCCCTTTTCCGCCAGAATACAATGAATGTGTGAAGCTCTTTTTTTGTGAGTTTTGCCTGAACTTCATGAAACGCAAAGAACAGCTTCAAAGGCATATGGTGAGCAACTGTTTTTCTTAATCTTTGAAGTCTTATGATGCTTTTTAGTTCATTTCCATTGCGAGCTTATTCTCTGTTGTTGCATTCCACTTTCATTGCTGTAGATAGTATCCAATCTTTCAGATTCTGTGTAATTTTTGTTACCGACTTGCATGTCTACATTCAGGGTTCATAAAAAATGCATATTTTAGCTTTGTATAATTGTTTTGCTTTTCCCTGCAGAGGAAGTGTGACCTGAAGCACCCCCCTGGTGATGAAATTTATCGAAGTGGTACCTTGTCAATGTTTGAGGTAATATCCCGAGATCTGTGTCCAATCTTCTTTCATTGGAAATGATTTTTATACTGTTAGCTTTATCTCCTCTTTTGTATATGGATGCTAATTAGTCATCTCTCATTTGGTTCTGTTGTACATTAACAAGTGAATTTGCTCCGAGCAAGAATTATCTTCCTATATCTTTTCTCACACTGTAGCCTAATCTTACAGGTAGATGGCAAAAAGAACAAGGTTTATGCACAGAATCTCTGTTACCTGGCAAAGCTATTTCTTGACCACAAAACTCTTTACTACGACGTTGATTTGTTTCTGTTCTACGTTCTTTGCGAATGTGATGATCGAGGATGCCACATGGTAGGATACTTTTCAAAGGTAATACAGCACAGCATTTTACAGATATGTTTGGGTTTATTGTCCGGTTTGTTAATAAAAAGTAACTTCTACTGGGTACAGGAAAAGCATTCGGAAGAAGCATACAACTTAGCTTGCATTCTAACCCTGCCTCCATATCAAAGAAAAGGCTATGGAAAATTCTTAATAGCCTTTTGTGAGTTCTTTGTCCCTTTGACTCTTTTGCTCTTCTCAATCCCATGTCGACAAAAATAATAACAGATTGTCCTTCTGACTTGCAGCCTATGAACTGTCGAAGAAAGAGGGAAAAGTTGGGACACCGGAAAGACCCTTGTCGGATCTAGGCTTACTAAGCTACAGAGGTTATTGGACTCGTGTTCTATTAGATATCTTGAAAAAACATAAAGGAAACATATCTATCAAGGTTAGATTGTGTTTTAAACTGATAAAAATTCTTAGGCTAATCCTGGTTTCTGCGATCTAAGAATCCACCCATCTGTCTCTGTTTCATGTATGATGATGTAGGAGCTGAGCGACATGACAGCAATCAAGGCGGAAGATATACTAAGCACACTTCAGAGCCTAGAACTGATACAGTATAGGAAAGGACAGCACGTGATCTGTGCGGATCCAAAGGTTCTGGACCGACATCTGAAAGCTGCAGGCCGAGGTGGTCTTGATGTAGATGTTAGCAAACTGATTTGGACACCTTACAGGGACCAGAGTTGAGAGTAAGGTACACTCTTCTTGTGCCATTGGATTTAATTTGAGTGTGTAAGTAAAACGGGCTTTCTTATTCTCCTAAAATGTCTGTGTAGTTTACTTGTAAATGTTGAATCGTACTTGGAATAATGTTTATCAACAACTCTTATAATTAGGAATTTGAAGCAACTTCATTGGTCCATCTTTCTTTTGCTAGTATATATATGTGATCATTTAGAACTGTATCCAATATATATACAAGCCTTAGTTGTTTCAAATACATATATTCGCATTTGCGGTTTTATGTGAAAAATGTTATGTTCATAACCACAAGACATATTGTTGACAAATGTATCAGACATCATTTTCAACTAGTAAACGATATAAAATAGCAAACGTAAAAACAAGGTTGGACGAAAAAAGAAATAGTCGAAAGTTATTGTATTCAATGTTTTTATAAATGGTGTAAAGTAAACAAATGTTTTACAACTTAGAAACCGTAAAAAGTGGAATCTCTGGATCTAACGCCACATTGTTGGTGAAATACTGAAATATATCAGTGGAGTCAGATTTGTTTTTTTGGTTTATGATTATAAGAAACGTTGATAAAAAAATCAGTTCAGAATTCTGTTTCTTTTACAATATGTTCTAGTGTAATATAAAATGATGTTGATATTCCACGATAAAAGCCAACTCAAGTATGTCTGTATTATTCAGTCCACATCATATCATTCATGACCACCGAACCAACACTTTTGGTATTAGGTTTATTGGTGCCAATGTGGTCCATATTCCATAGTTAACATTTAAGTATATATTTCTCTTCTTTACTCTAACATATCCAAATAGATTATTCTTCTTCTTTTGTTTACATATAGGCTATGAATTAAGTTTGATACACAATATGTAACCATACAATATCAGATTTTGCGCCAGATTTTCGTAGTTTTAAGTAGATGACCAATCGTTATCAGTATTTAATATCTTACATAAACCTGTTTAATTTAGTCTTGGGGTTGCTCAATAGATTAAAAGATTTTTAATTATACACCAAAATTAAGTTTTTACCATCAGAAATATGTGAAAGAATGTATATTATGCGTTCTTATACGCCATGGTCAAGTGTGTTGTCGATGGAGAATACGTTCTTAAAAGTTTTCGATGGAGTATGTAAGTTATAAGATGTTCTCATACGATGCATTAGACGACAAGAAAAAAGTTTATTCTATTTGAAAAATTTCCGAGTTTGTGAATGTATTAGTATCGTGTTCAAAAAGGGCAGATATACCTCTATGGCTGCATATTTTATGGGCTGCATGTGCCTCCACTCATTTTTTTTTTATAAAGTATGTTTACAAAGAAAAAGTTTTGGAAAGAACTGTGTGAAAATTCTTGTATATATATGCGTAAAATACACACATTTTTGTTCAGAATAATGTTGTTTTTTTTTTTGTACTAGGAAACACAATTCTACGCCATGAGATGATGAACAACTATGTAATTTACTGTTTCGTAGAATTGTAGTATTGCAGAATATAATTTGGTGAATCACAGTTATTAGAGAAAAAGACATGACACCTTATTTCTTCTTATTCACTTCCCTTTAGATGTAATTTTTGTTTTTATTGCAACTGTACTCTCCTTTTTTTTGTTGAGGTCGAAAGTAGATTTGTCATCGACCAATCACGAGACAGCAGTATTCTGCATTCAATCGCAAAGTTGCTTAACAAGTCTGCGCATGACTTTGAAAGCCGCAAAGCTACTAACGATTCAATAATACCCAAAATAGAAAACACCACCTTACATCTTGTTTTTATTCAGAATCAGATCGAATTATTATATGCTCTTGCAACTATGTCTATATATGTAACCTGGATATATTGTTTTAAAATAAATAAAGATGATATATAAAAATTATACACTAGCAACTTTAGATGACATATGAGATTTTCCAAAATAACATTTTCTTTTACAATCAGTTTTGTTGATTCGTTCTGGGCTTGTAGTGTTCGACTAAATTATTAAAGATAACTAGCTAGGTTTATTGCAAAGTTATCTCCAAAATAAATGTTTAGATAAAAATCGAAAGACCAAATCGTCCAAAATAAACTACTTGCATATATAGCTGAAATCGAACTTTATAAATTCAAAATGTTTTGTCGGATCCCAACACATTTTTGAAACAATAATATACATAAAAGTTTTCAAATTCAACGATTATGAGGTCAGTAATCATTATGAGAAAAGTATCTAAATAAAATGTGTTTAGTTATGGCTTAATTCCAAAAGCAATAAGTCGATAGATGAATCATGGAATAAACTATTCATTTGGTTTGGTTAAAAGAAAGTGAGTCATGAGCATTGGGCAATGTTAGAAAGAGGTAAGGTGTGTCATGCAAATATAAATAAGAGCCAACACTAGGCTAGGCTAGGGGATTACACACAAATTTTGTCATTTATTATAGACTCTTTAGTCTTGGTTTATAGGGATCACTAGGAAGTAGTAGTAGTAGAAAGGAGCAAAACGTCTTCACTATTGGGTTTAAACAACATAGGATAAATTATATGGATAATTAGCAAATAACCAATTAGATAATGTTCTAGATGCATGAAATGAAGAAATCTAGATAATTAAACATCTCGACAACTCAGATAATTTTATCCTTAATTTTGTCTTTAACTAAGAAATAATTTTGTCTAAAATTTTATCTGATTTTTAGACAATCAAATTTCTTTATCGAGTAAAGGAATCTCCTTGATTTCATACAAATAACCTTACCTAACAAAGAGCACGAAATGTCTTATTATTCTTAGTGTGACATTTTATCTTCAGGCTTGTAACTTCTATATAAACACAATAATACACATATATATAAAATTATATTCCTTAATTAACAATTTTCCAACCAGCGTACAGCTTTTATTAGTATATATAACAGTGATCAATAAACAACAAACACAAACCAAAAAAACAAAGGAGACAAAAGATACAATGGCTTCTTCTTCGTTAACGGGACGAAACAGAGCACTCTTCTCTGTTTCTACTCTTCTCCTCTGTTTCCTCCTCTGCATCTCCGAGCAATCGAACGCTCAGTCTTCTCCAGTCTTCGCCTGTGACGTCACCGGAAACCCTTCTCTGGCCGGGTTTAGATTCTGCAACACGGGGTTGAATATCAAAGCCCGAGTCACCGATCTTGTTGGAAGATTGACGTTGGAGGAGAAAATCGTTTTTTTGGGAAGTAAAGCTATCGGCGTGAGCCGCCTTGGGATTCCGGCTTACAATTGGTGGTCAGAGGCACTTCACGGCGTCTCTGACTTGGGGAGTGGTACTAGTTTCTCCGGTCAAGTCCCTGGCGCCACTAGCTTCCCACAAGTTATACTCACGGCCGCTTCTTACAATGTGTCTTTGTTCCAAGCCATTGGCAAGGTGAAAGAACTATCTCCTTCTTCATTTTCCCTATTTTTGAGTACACTGAAAACTCACTCATTATGCAAATGGAAGATTTTGTTTCTTAGGACACAAGTAATGATATATCATATTTTTTTCCGAGACAGGAGCGTTTTCTTGCTTCTAGCTTTAAATTTTTTTTTATCCATGTTTTGGTGTAAGGTTGTATCGACGGAGGCGAGGGCAATGTACAATGTGGGATCAGCCGGTTTAACGTTTTGGTCACCGAATGTGAACATATTCCGGGACCCGAGATGGGGAAGAGGACAAGAGACCCCCGGCGAGGACCCAGAACTCTCAAGCAAATACGCGGTGGCTTATGTTAGAGGTCTTCAGGAGACTGACGGTGGAGATCCTAACCGTCTCAAAGTCGCTGCTTGCTGCAAACACTACACCGCATATGATGTTGACAATTGGAAAGATGTCCATCGTTTCACTTTCAACGCCGTGGTAAGAAGAAAGAGTTTTTTTGGATTCTTTGAATATTATGTAACTTTTGTTATTGGTCACACTAAATACATTTCAATGTTTTATTGTCTGTTGTGTTGGATTAGGTGAACCAACAAGATATGGCTGATACGTTTCAACCACCGTTCAAGAGCTGTGTAGTTGATGGAAATGTGGCCAGTGTCATGTGTTCTTACAACCAAGTTAACGGTAAACCGACATGTGCTGATCCTGATCTGCTTTCCGGTGTGATCCGCGGGCAATGGAAGTTAAACGGGTAAGGTTGTTTGTTTCTAATTGTTTAATTTGATGAAGGGTTTGGTTTTTAAAAAAATCATCGGTTTGTTTTTTTTGTTAGATACATTGTTTCGGATTGTGATTCGGTAGATGTGTTGTACACAAATCAACACTATGTCAAGACTAAGGGGGAAGCTGTGGCCAAATCTATATTGGCAGGTTTGGATTTGAATTGTGATCATTTCACGGGTGAACACGCAATGGAAGCGGTCAAGGCTGGTTTGGTAAACGAAACAGCTATTGACAAAGCGATTTCAAACAATTTCGCGACTCTGATGCGTTTAGGGTTCTTCGATGGGGACCCTAAGAAGCAGCCCTATGGTGGTCTTGGTCCTAAGGACGTTTGCACCGCTGATAACCAAGAACTCGCTAGAGATGCCGCAAGACAAGGCATTGTCATGCTTAAGAACTCTGCTGGCTCGCTTCCGCTCTCACCTTCCGCCATCAAAACATTAGCCGTGATCGGACCAAACGCCAATGCCACCTTAACAATGCTCGGAAACTACCACGGTAAATTGAAAGTAACACAAACGAAACACAAGTGATTATTGGTTTCGACGAGCTTAAATGTGAGAAACCGATTTCGTATTTATTTTCAGGTAAACCATGCAAGTACACAACACCCCTTCAGGGACTGGCAGAAACGGTGTCGTCGACGTATCAGCCGGGCTGTTCTAACGTGGCTTGCCCAGAACCGGATATAGGCTCAGCCGCGGCTCTGGCGGCTTCTGCGGATGCTGTTGTGCTCGTGATGGGCGCAGACCAATCAATTGAGCAGGAGGACCTTGACCGACTCGACCTGTATCTGCCCGGAAAGCAGCAAGAGCTTGTGACTCAAGTGGCTAAGGCGGCGAAAGGACCAGTGGTGCTAGTCATAATGTCCGGTGGAGGATTTGACATTACCTTCGCCAAGAACGATGAAAAGATCACAAGCATTATGTGGGTCGGATATCCAGGTCAGGCCGGTGGTCTCGCCATTGCGGACGTCATCTTCGGACGTCATAATCCGAGTAAGACTCTGTTCTCCACATTAACCGGTTTTAATATCCCGGTTCGGTTTTAAAATTGCAATTTCTGAAACCGGTGATTTTATTTTTCGTAGGCGGAAATTTGCCGATGACGTGGTATCCGCAATCGTACGTGGAGAAGGTTCCGATGTCAAATATGAACATGAGACCCGACAAATCAAAGGGGTATCCGGGTCGGACTTACCGGTTTTACGCCGGAGAAACCGTATACGCCTTCGCAGACGGGCTCACCTACACTAAATTCGACCATCAGCTAATTAAAGCGCCAAGACTCGTCTCTCTCAGTCTCGACGATAACCACCCTTGCCGATCGTCGGAGTGCCAATCACTGGACGCGATCGGACCGCACTGCGAGAACGCCGTCGAAGGAGTATCAGATTTCGAGGTTCATTTGAAGGTAAAGAACGTAGGAGACAGAGAAGGGAGCCACACGGTGTTTCTGTTTTTCACGCCGCCGCAAGTACACGGATCTCCGATTAAACATCTTCTAGGGTTTGAGAAGGTTCGTCTGGGAAAGAGCGAAGAAACGGTGGTTAGGTTTAACGTCGATGTGTGTAAGGATCTGAGTGTAGTTGATGAGATCGGAAAAAGGAAAATCGCGTTAGGTCATCATCTTCTCCATGTGGGAAGCTTGAAACACTCCTTGAACATTAGTGTTTGATTCGAGGGATTTTTTTCTTTTTAGCTAAAATATTAATGATGGTAATAAAATGAGATAGCAATTTTAAAAGGGAAATGTTACAAAAAAATGGTGGTTCAAGCTGAGTACGAGCCAGCGGACCATAGTGGATCTGAGTGGCTACGGACCGTGGTCCGTCCACTGCTGAGAGCGGGAGGTAGTCGCTGCTCTGTGAAGCCAGCCTCACGCATTACCCTCAACCTTTAGAAACCGTTCGAACCAAACCTACGCTTAATTCGTACGGTTCACTCACAGCTTGAACTGGGCAATCCAGAACTATGCCAACAACATATCCGACCCGTGGGCCGAAACAGTGTTCCACCATCTTAGAGTCCCCACTTGGGTTACAAGCTCTTGTTATATAGCTCGACGTTGAGATGCTGATTTAATGAGATATATAAACAAGACAAATTATGCATAGAGAAACCGATGTGGGATATTGGAGAAGTTTCATTGTCCCAAGATTAGACAAATTATCGACCAAAACTTATGAAAATAATTACATATTTCTTATTAGACAAATCAGTTTTTGGTAATTGTGAAGGATGCTTTGACTCCATCAAACCTCAATACAAAAAATCTTTGTAAGTCAAATATAATTAATGATGAAAATTAACAAAAGCAAAACATTGAAACTTAGAGCATCTCCAATGCAGGGTTCTCTTCAAGAATTGATTGGGTTCTCTTCAAAAAAATTTGAAAAAATAAATCAAAATGACATAAAAAGAAGAGAGCTGGTTCTCTTCAGAGGGTTTTGAGAAATGAAGAGAGGCGACTACGTGTCAGCACTCCTTTGGGTGAAGCATTAAAACAAAAGAAAAAAAATAGCATGTCTGTCGTTTTAAGTTTTAACTTTGTTTTCTCCATCAACACAATGCCCGTGTTTCTCTCTCTGTTTGGCGATTTTTCTCCGATTAAATCGATGAAGAGATTTCCGATTAATCCGTTGAGAGAGGCTGAAATTCTCTCCGAAATTGTTGTCGGTAAGAGGTATTACTTCCGGAATCGTCGTCTACACATCTGCTCTTCACCATCGGCGACCCGAAGTTCACTCAGCCGATAAAGCCGACTCCGAATCGTTGGAGAATCGAGGAAGGAAGCTCGTCTGTCTCTCTAATGGTCACCCTAATCGGAGATTTGCGACTCCGAATCGGAGAGTAATCGTTGAAAGAAGCTCCAATTTCTTGCCTATGGTATGAATCAAGCCCTTTTCCTTTGTAGATCGTGATTAAATGTTGTAGTTTGTGGTGGAGATCGCAATTTTGAGCTAATTAGTCGGACTATAGCTAGTTTCTAAGAAAGTTTGAAAGCATGGGAAGATTTGATTGAATTGGGAATGCGTGGTGGTGATATGTAACGGTGAAAGCTATTTTTGCAGGGCTTCAGCAAATCTTTGCTTTCGAATTAGATTTGGCGATTTTCAATTTCTAGAATTGGTGAATCAACATAGTAACGAAGCTGCTTGATTTAGCTTTAGGGGAATACAGATTTTTCAATGCTTTGGAAATAATCTTTTGGTTTGTGTTAAGATTTATCAGTGGTGAAGAAGGGTATTTCTTCTTAGGCCTTTATGTGGTAGTTTGCTTAAAGAAGCACAGACAGGGGTAGAATTTCTAGTTTGCTGTTGTTATACGATGCTTAGACCTCTATGGAGATGATTGCTATTGGTTTCTGGAATTGGAGTTGCTGGTTTATGACGTTAATGAGCTTCGGAGGATTATGAATGATGACTCCTCTTGATGATGGTTCATTGACTAGTTTTTATGCCAATAAATTTCCACTCTAATGTTGTGATTGAATGTAGTAAACTACACACCTCTTCATGCTCATCCTGAAGGTGATGAGATTGAGATTGAGGATCATAGAGCTCAAAGGGTGGGACGCGATGAATTCGTTGAAATTATATTTGATTTCATGTATAAATTTGTAAGCAGATGAATTCGTTGTATATAAAGTATTTGATGGAAATATATATAACTTTGTGTATTTGATTATGTGTTATCTCTTGATGGTTAAATTTATCTTTTTTTTTTATTGCGTATAGAAGCTTCAAGTCCTCAAAGTGACAACTACATCATTCCATCATAGTGACAATATAGCAACCTAAATTGGTTTGTTGATTTATACTCTAATCTGTTTTCTTTGAAAACTTTTATTCATTGACAAATCAAAATTTGATACACAAAAATCCGAATCTCTGTTTTGACACCATATGAAAACTTAAACCATGACTTAAACATATCTCCATATGTGATTTAAGTTTACATCAAACCACAAAACCATGACTTGTAAGACTTAAATCCTTATCTTCTTTTTCTCCGTCTCCCAATATTTGATCAAGTATTTTAAAAACCAAAACACATAAATTTGATCAAATGTTTAATATTTTTATGAATTGCAATAATTATTAAGTTATATGAAATAAAAAATTTAATAACTTTTGTTTTTTTTAGAGAACCCCACTAGAGAACCTACCATTGGACTATGAAAAGTTAAAAAAAAAAATAAAAGTTCTCATCTCACAAATCTCTAAAATTTATATTAAACAATTTGAGAGAGTCCCATGGTGAGAGCTCCCCATTGGAGATGCTCTTATGATCTACTATAGAGAGTAGAGATTCTTCCATTTTCTTATTTTATGTATGATTTTTTACAGAATAGGTTAAACAAAATATTCATAAAGCATACAATGGGGAGAGGAAACAGAGCACCCTCCTCTATTTGCCCTGTTCTTCTCTGTTTCTTCCTCTTCATCTCTTTTGTCTCCGAGCCCACAAACGCCCAGTCTTTACCGGCGTTTGCCTGCAACGTTGCAGGAAACCCTTCTCTCGCTGGGTTTGGGTTTTGCAACACCACACTAAACATAGAAACCCGAGTTGCGGATCTCGTCGGGAGACTAACGTTGCAAGAGAAAATAAGGTTTTTAGGGAGCAGCGGAAATGGCGCGAGCCGCTTGGGGATTCCAACATATGAATGGTGGGCAGAGGCACTTCACGGCGTATCTTACATCGGACCGGCCACTCGTTTCACCGAGCTAGTCCCTAGTGCCAGATGCTTCCCTCAAGTTATTCTCACCGCTGCTTCGTTCAATGTCTCTTTGTTCAAGGCCATTGGCAAAGTACAAGAATAACACAAAATAACATTTTTAAAACCTTTCAAAATACGTTAGATGCTGTTTGCTTTCTTTGAATTAACTTTCATTCTATGATATGGTTTAAGGTTGTGTCGACGGAGGCGAGGGCAATGTACAACGTGGGATTGGCTGGATTAACATATTGGTCACCGAATGTGAACATTTTTGGGGACCCGAGATGGGGAAGAGGACAAGAAACTCCCGGTGAGGACCCAACACTATCAAGCAAATACGCGGTAGCATATGTTAAAGGTCTTCAGGAGACTGACGGTAGGGATCCTAACCGTCTAAAAGTCGCTGCTTGCTGCAAACACTCAACCGCCTATGATCTTGAAAAATGGAAAGGAGTGTCACGTTACACTTTCAACGCCGTGGTAAAAACTCTCAAACACTTATACAGTTTGATATTTGGTCCGACCAAAGTACATTTGGATGATCTCTCGTAACCTTTTGTGTTTGTTGGGTTAGGTGACGCAACAAGATTTGGATGATACATACAACGCACCATTTAAGAGCTGTGTGATTGATGGGAATGTGGCTAGTGTCATGTGTTCTTACAACCAAGTTAATGGTAAACCCACTTGCGCAGATCCTGATTTGCTTTCGGGTTTAATCCGGGGTCAATGGAAATTAAACGGGTAAGTAAGAAAAAATAGTCTGTGAATACCATATCTAATTCTATGATGGCGCAGTTTCGATTTTTCATTTACGGGTTTGTTTTAGGTACATTGTTTCGGATTGCGATTCATTAGGTATTTTGTATGGTTCACAACACTATACCAAGACTCCAGAGGAAGCAGCAGCTAAATCTATACTGGCAGGTTTGGATCTAAATTGTGGTTCTTTCTTGGGTAACCACACAGAGAATGCGGTCAAGGAGGGCCTGATCGAGGAAGCAGCTATTAACAAAGCAATTTCAAACAATTTTGCGACTCTGATGCGTTTAGGATTCTTTGATGGTAACCCGAAGAATCAGCCCTATGGTGGTTTGGGTCCCAAGGACGTGTGCACGGTTGAACACCGAGAACTAGCCGCAGAAACCGCAAGGCAAGGCATTGTTTTGCTCAAGAACTCAGCTGGTTCGCTACCGCTCTCTCCTTCCGCCATCAAAACGTTGGCCGTGATCGGACCAAATGCTAATGTCACAAGAACCATGATCGGAAATTACGAAGGTAAATCCACAACCAAATATAAATCGAATTTTAAACTCAAACGGAATTGAGAATTTAATTGTTATTTTTCAGGCGTGGCTTGCAAGTATATAACACCACTTCAGGGACTTGTGACGACAGTGTTGACGACGAAGTATCATCGTGGCTGCTCCAACGTGACGTGCACAGAGGCGGATTTAGACTCAGCCATGACTCTAGCTGCATCTGCGGATGCGACGGTGTTAGTAATGGGAGCCGATCAATCCATTGAGAAGGAGACATTAGATCGCATAGACTTGAATCTTCCCGGAAAACAACAAGAGCTTGTGACTCAGGTGGCTAAGGCCGCGAAAGGACCGGTGGTGCTAGTCATAATGTCCGGTGGAGCATTTGACATTACATTCGCCAAGAACGATGAAAAGATCACAGGCATAATGTGGGTCGGATATCCTGGTGAAGCCGGCGGTCTCGCCATTTCTGACGTCATCTTCGGTCGTCATAATCCAAGTAAAGCTCTGTTCTCCGGTTTGAACCGGTGGTAACCGATCGGTTCGGTTTTATGATTGTAAATTTCGTAACCGGTGATTTTTTATTGGTTAGGTGGGAAATTGCCGATGACGTGGTATCCTCAGTCATATGTGGAGAAAGTTCCGATGACGAATATGAACATGAGACCCGACAAATCAAACGGGTATCCGGGTCGGACTTACAGATTTTACACCGGAGAAACCGTATACGCCTTCGGAGATGGGCTCAGTTACACTAATTTCAGTCACCAGATTCTTAAAGCTCCGAAGCTAGTCTCTCTCGATCTTGACGATAGCCACGCTTGCCGATCGTCGGAGTGCCAATCGGTGGACGCGATCGGACCGCACTGCGTTAACGCCGTCGGAGGAGGATCAAATTTCGAGGTTCAATTGAAGGTAAGGAACGTCGGAGACAGAGAAGGGAGCCACACCTTGTTTCTGTTCACGACGCCGCCGGAAGTACACGGATCGCCGAGGAAGCATCTTCTAGGGTTCGAGAAGATTCGTTTAGGAGAAAACGAAGAGACGGTGGTTAGGTTTAACGTCGATGTGTGTAAGGATCTGAGTGTAGTTGATGAGATCGGAAAAAGGAAAATCGCGTTGGGTCATCATCTTCTCCACGTGGGTAGTTTGAAACATTCATTGACCATTAACGTGTCATAGACTGATACGGTGAATTTATTTTTAATGGTCCATAAATTAAAAGGAATAAAATTTCGAGGGCTTAAAAAAGAAAGGAATAAAGATTTTTTGGTACCAAATCGCGTCCTGGGCGATTTGTTTCCATATATACCACGTTCAAAAATGCAATTGACTAAATTACCCTTTTAACGAATTTTGAAACATTTGTCGTCTTTTCGTCTTCTTCTTCTAAGTCACGCCTCACGAGTCGTGATTGTCGCCGTCGACGCTATCTTTGTCGCCGTCGTATCTTTGGTAAAGGCAAAAATCGATAAACCCTACAAAAAATGGTTCTGGTCTTTTTTTAAAATGGTTCTGGTCTCTGTCGTCAGATTTTAAAATTAAACCAATTTTAAAAGCAGAACAACGACTTTCGAGGAATTTTATAATGAAAAAAGGAGCAGATACTACGAAAACCCACTTTTTATTATTCCAACTGGGTTTTAATTTCATACTTTATGGAAAAAAGTTTCGATCTTTCTTCTCTTTAATTGGGTGGTGTTTTTTTTTTTGTTAGTTATGTTTTCTCTTATCTCGCGTTGAATTTTTGTAGGCATTGGGTTTAAGAAGTGAAGAATCGGAGATGTTACCTGATGGAGAACTTATTCCGGTGGATTCATCGGCGGTAGTCACGGCGAAGAGGAAAACATCTCAGTTATCAAGGAGTTGGATTTCCATAGACGCGACAGGGCAAAAAACTGTGCTTGACGTTGACAAACACGTGATTATGCACCGTGTTCAGATCCACGCTCGTGATCTTCGGATCCTTGACCCAAATCTATTTTACCCATCTGCTATTCTGGGTCGAGAAAGAGCCATTGTTCTTAACTTAGAGGTTGGGACTTTTTTTTGTTTTCCCCTCTGTTTTTGTTTTTTTGTTAATCATGTTTTGATTTGATTTGTGTTTTTTTTTTGGTCTGATGCAGCATATTAAGGCGATTATCACTGCCGAAGAGGTCAGAGTCAGTTTAAGTTTTGATTGAGAGAGTTCTTTTTTCTGGCTTGTAGCTAAATGTGAAGACTTTGTTAAAAAGTTCACTATCTCGGCTAGATTTTGTGATACTTATGTGATTGTTAAACATTTTGTCTCCTTTTGAAGTGATGATGGTTTGGTTTGGTTATTTGAAAAATGCTTATAGGTTTTGATTCGAGATTCGTCTGATGAAAATGTTATTCCCGTCCTGGAGGAGTTTCAGAGAAGATTGCCTGTAGGGAACGAGGCACATGGTGCTCACGGAGATGGTGATGTGGGTGAAGAAGATGGTACCCCTCAAATTTTGTCATATTAAGCATTGAAAATCTGGAATGTTTTAAATCTTTTGATGTCTACATAAGAACCATTCACTCTTGTCACTTTTGGCATTGAAATGTTTGCTTTTACTATTTAGAATCCCCGTTTGAATTTCGGGCGCTAGAGGTGGCTTTGGAAGCTATTTGTAGTTTTCTAGCTGCAAGGACAACAGAACTAGAGAAGTCTGCTTATCCAGCTTTGGATGAACTTACCTTGAAGGTAGCTAACTCAGCAATTATTGTCAACACTAATCCATTCCAACTACATTTAACTTTATTTCATTTTGTAGATTAGCAGCCGTAACTTGGAAAGGGTTCGTAAATTGAAGAGTGCCATGACCCGATTGACAGCTCGGGTCCAAAAGGTGAGTATGTCTCACTGGGAAACAGAGTCTATGTCTAGAACTTGTGTTGCCTCATAGACTATGACTATTATGCTTCCTTACATATTTCAAGTGAACATTCAAGGAAAAAAACTCATCAAAAGTATTGATCTAGACCGAATAAAAGGGAGAAGTCGAGCATGTCCGTACACTCGACCGTACATCGAGTCTGTACGGTCGAGTCAAGTCCTCATATGTGCGAGAAGGCCTAGGATGGTTCAACATGTACAAGGCCTTAAGAAGAAAAGACCTAAGCCCATGAGAAAGCTTCCAGAAGGAGTGTGTCTCCTAAATATCTCCAATAGAGCCGTTGGAAGCAAGAGTCACGTGTGTCCTTGAAGACAAAGGGCGGAGAGGTCGCTTTCACCGTATGAGACAGAGGAGACCATCTCTCTTTATGTCACTTCCTCATAGGATCATGTCTAACGGCTAGAATGCTCTTTGGTTGGCTTTAAATGTGTTGTAAACAAACCTTTGAGTATATACTTTTTGAATACATGAAACTTTTCCCAATGTCTCTCAAAATCTCTCTCTTGTTCTTCATTTTCTCTCTTTAATTCAAACTCAATTCCGCATTAATCTTTCATGGTATCAGAGCGAGATCTTGCTTCTAGACCATCTATTCTACTCTACTCTATCTAATCTTCACCTTTCTAGTTCGATTTCTTGATTTCTACTCTTTTAACCAACGTGTAATAGTTTTATCCTTTGGTCCAAGATTGTTCAAGCCATGGAAAAGCCACAAAAGCTTGTAACTTCGGTGATTCTCCAAGGGAGAAACTACTTGACTTGGTCAAGAACTACAAGAACGGTGCTATGTGGTCGGGGACTTTGGAACCATGTCATCTCATCTCAAGCTCCAAAGGAAACCGACGAAGAAGAAGAGGAAGGGAAGGAAGTTACTCTTCCCGAGGAAGACAAATGGTTTCAAGAAGACCAAGCAGTCCTTGCTATCCTCCAAAACTCTCTTGAAGCATCGATTCTTGAAGGCTACTCTTATTGCGAGACGGCAAAAGAGTTGTGGGATACACTCAAAAATGTGTATGGCAATGAGTCTAACTTGACTCGGGTATTTGAAGTGAAGAAGGCCATCAATGAGTTGAGCCAAGAAGACCTAGAGTTCACTAAACACTTTGGAAAGTTTAGATCTTTATGGTCCGAACTCGAGAGCTTAAGGCCGGGAACTCTTGATCCCAAGATTCTACATGAGAGGCGTGAGCAAGACAAGGTGTTTGGACTTCTCCTCACCTTGAATCCAACTTACAATGATCTCATCAAGCATCTTCTAAGGTCGGAGAAACTCCCAAGTCTCGATGAAGTATGCTCTAAGATCCAAAAGGAACAAGGCTCATCCGGCCTATTTGGTGGAAAAGGTGAACTTGCTACGGCCAACAAAGGAGAAATGGTGGCTAACAAGGCAATGTACAAGAACGAAGAAAAGAGGTCTTTGGTTTGTGAACATTGCAAGAAGAAGGGCCACATAAAAGAGAAGTGTTGGATCCTCCATCCCCATCTTAAACCGGCAAAATTCAAAAACTCCAGGGCGCATCTCTCTCAAGATACTAATGAAGAGCAAAGCCAAGCCGGTTCATCTAAGGTAGGAGGAGAGACGGCTATGATGGCTTCCGGTGACTATGTGAGGAAGTCCGACTTGGAGGCTCTCATCAAGTCTATCGCTTCACTAAAAGAATCCGGTATCACTTTCTTTTCTCATAAGCCGAGTAACTCTCTTATTATAGATTCGGGTGCTTCACATCATATGATTAGTAATCCGAACTTGTTAAATGATATAAAACCGGCATTAGGAGAAGTGATGATTGCTAATGGTGATAAAGTTCCAATAGATGGAGTAGGAGATTTGAAACTCTTCAATAAGAACTCTAAAGCTTTCTTTATGCCTAAATTTACTTCAAATCTTGTTTCTGTAAGAAGGGCTACTAGGGATTTAAATTGCTATGCTATATTTGGTCCTAATGATGTACACTTTCAGGATATTGAAACCGGGAAAGTAATCGGAGAAGGTGGTTCAAAGGGAGATCTTTATGTTCTTGAAGATGTGTTACCAAACTCTTCTAGCTCGTTTTCTTTTAATTCGCAATTAGGTGTTTCTTTCAATGTTATGTGGCATGCTAGGCTAGGCCATCCTCATTCTCGTGCTCTTAAACTTATGTTACCAAGTATTTCTTTTGATCATACTAGTTGTGAAGCTTGTATTCTTGGTAAACATTGCAAATCGGTTTTTCCTAAATCTTCAACTATTTATGAGAAATGTTTTGATTTAGTACATTCGGATGTGTGGACTTCACCATGTGTGTCTCGAGATAACAACAAATACTTTGTTACCTTTATAGATGAAAAATCAAAATACACATGGGTGACTCTATTACCATCTAAAGATCGAGTGTTTGAAGCCTTTACTAACTTCCAACACTATGTTACTAATCAATTTAATGCCAAGATTAAGGTACTTAGGACCGACAATGGAGGAGAATATACAAGCCACAAGTTCAAAGAGCACCTAACAAAGTATGGAATCCTACACCAAACAAGTTGCCCGTACACACCACAACAAAATGGAGTGGCGGAGAGAAAGAATCGACATCTCATGGAGGTTGCTCGATCAATGATGTTTCACACAAGTGTTCCAAGGAGATATTGGGGTGATGCGGTCATGACCGCATGCTATCTTATCAACCGGACACCAACAAAAATCTTGGGAGACATATCTCCATTTGAGGTACTAAACACTACTAAACCTTCTATTGATCACTTACGAGTGTTTGGTTGTGTGTGCTTTGTCTTAGTACCCGGAGAACAAAGGAATAAACTAGATGCGAAGAGCACTAAGTGTATGTTCCTTGGATATTCAACCACACAAAAGGGCTACAAATGCTTTGATCCGGCCAACAACCGGATTTATGTATCTCGGGATGTGAAGTTTCTTGAAGAGCAAGGGTATCATACAACCAAAGATTGGGAAAACCTAAAAGACTTAGCTCACTCTTCTTCCGATCGTGCTACAAGCCTAAGGTTTCTATTGGATCACTTGGGAAATCAAGCACCTTCACCAACGGATAGTACTCGACCAAGTCATGCCTCTACTCGATCAAGTCATGACCCGAGGCCACCAAACCATGAGCCACAACAAAATACCGTGTCTCATGAAGAAGAGAATGATGAAGGAGGTCACATGGAGCAAAATAGTCCTCAACAAGACCAAGAAGCTCCTTGTCAAGACCAAGATACTCAACCTAGAGATGAGTTGAGTGAATCTAGTGAAGAAGAAGAAGAGGAGGAAATGACTCAAGTTGAACAAAGACCTATTCAACCACTAAGAAGAAGTGAAAGGTTAAAAAATCGTCCATCCAATTGGAAGAACCCAAGGATTTACTTCAACCAACAAGCCGTAGCTCACCCTATTCAAGCTATGTGTTCTCTCGCCCTTGTACCGCAAGATCATCAAGCGTTTCTAAGCAAAATCTCTTTGGTCAAGATTCCCGATTCTTATGAGGAAGCTATGCAAACCAAAGAATGGCGTGATGCGGTGAAAGAAGAAATTGGTGCAATGCAAAGGAACCACACTTGGGATGAGGAAACACTTCCATCGGGAAAAAGGACGGTTAGTTCTAGATGGATCTTCACAATCAAATACAAAAGCAATGGTGACATTGAGCGCTATAAGGCTCGATTGGTGGCGAGAGGGTTCACACAAACATATGGAGCCGACTACAAGGAGACATTTGCTCCGGTGGCTAAGCTTCATACGGTGCGAGTTGTACTCTCACTTGCCACAAATTTATCATGGGATTTGTGGCAAATGGACGTGAAGAATGCATTTCTTCAAGGTGAACTAGAGGATGATGTGTATATGACACCACCACCGGGTCTAGAAGACTCAATTGATCCGGGAAAGGTATGGAGACTTCGGAAAGCTATCTATGGTTTGAAACAATCTCCGAGAGCATGGTACCATAAGCTCAGCCGAACTCTCAAAGATCATGGATTCAAGAAATCCGAATCCGATCATACCCTATTCACTCTCCAAAGCTCACAAGGTATAGTTGTTGTTCTCATATATGTAGATGATCTTATCATCTCCGGAGACAACAAGGAAGGTATAAATTCAACCAAGTCCTTTCTCAAATCTACATTTGATATCAAAGATCTTGGTGAACTAAAGTACTTTCTAGGGATAGAGGTTTGTAGATCACCCGAGGGTCTATTTCTATCTCAAAGGAAGTACACACTTGATTTATTGAATGAGACAGGTTCTATGGACGCTAAACCGGCCAAGACACCTCTTGAAGACGGCTACAAGGTCGATCGAAAGGGGGAGAAAGATGAGAAGTTTCAAGATGCACCACTCTACCGCAAGCTTGTTGGTAAGTTAATCTATTTAACTAATACAAGGCCTGACATTTGTTTTGCTGTCAATCAGGTCAGCCAACATATGCAAACTCCCACGGTGTATCATTGGAGCATGGTAGAAAGGATCCTTAGATATCTCAAGGGAAGCTCCGGTCAAGGCATTTGGATGGGAAAGAACTCGAACACCGAGATTGTTGGCTATTGTGATGCGGACTATGCGGGGGATAGAATGGATAGAAGATCCACAACAGGCTATTGCACATTCATTGGAGGAAATCTAGTCACTTGGAAGACAAAGAAGCAAAAGGTGGTCTCATGTTCAAGCGCGGAATCGGAGTATCGAGCTATGAAGCAACTCACAAATGAACTCACTTGGCTCAAAGCTCTCCTCAAAGATCTTAGCATTGAACAAGACACACCGATCACCATGCATTGTGACAACAAGGCCGCTATCTACATAGCATCTAACTCGGTGTTCCATGAAAGAACCAAGCACATTGAAGTGGATTGCCATAAAGTCCGAGAGAAGATAGTTCAAGGAGTTACACTTCCATGTTTCACAAGAAGTGAAGACCAATTGGCGGATATTTTTACTAAGGCCGCAAGTCTCAAAGTTTGCAACCACATTCACGGCAAACTAGGACTTGTGAACCTTACCACCGCTTGATCTCAAGTCCTCTAACTCATGAGCATCACACTCTTTTTCCCTTAAGTAAAGTTTTGTCCCATGTGGTTTTCTTTACTAAGGTTTTTAATGAGGTGATGTTACATGAGTTTCCAAGCTTAGATTATTTCATAAGTCTAAGCTTGAGGGGGAGTATTGATCTAGACCGAATAAAAGGGAGAAGTCGAGCATGTCCGTACACTCGACCGTACATCGAGTCTGTACGGTCGAGTCAAGTCCTCATATGTGCGAGAAGGCCTAGGATGGTTCAACATGTACAAGGCCTTAAGAAGAAAAGACCTAAGCCCATGAGAAAGCTTCCAGAAGGAGTGTGTCTCCTAAATATCTCCAATAGAGCCGTTGGAAGCAAGAGTCACGTGTGTCCTTGAAGACAAAGGGCGGAGAGGTCGCTTTCACCGTATGAGACAGAGGAGACCATCTCTCTTTATGTCACTTCCTCATAGGATCATGTCTAACGGCTAGAATGCTCTTTGGTTGGCTTTAAATGTGTTGTAAACAAACCTTTGAGTATATACTTTTTGAATACATGAAACTTTTCCCAATGTCTCTCAAAATCTCTCTCTTGTTCTTCATTTTCTCTCTTTAATTCAAACTCAATTCCGCATTAATCTTTCAAAAAGAACCATCAGAGTATATGATAGTGGAATAGAGAAGAATTAAGCTCTCTCCTTGCTTTTTTCAGGTACGGGATGAGCTTGAACAGTTGTTGGATGATGACGGTGATATGGCTGATCTCTACCTTACAAGGAAGCTTGTTGGTGCATCTTCGTCGATCAGCGTTTCAGATGAACCCATTTGGTATCCTACGTCCCCAACAATAGGATCTAAGATTTCCAGAGCAAGTAGAGTGAGTTTAGCCACGGTTCGTGGGGACGACGAAGATGATGTTGAAGAGCTTGAAATGTTGCTCGAGGTGCTTTGTTGCAGACCATTATATCTGTTTTTCAGCTACATATGAAGTATAAACAACCATTAATTTGAATTTTGTTTAACAGGCATACTTCATGCAAATCGACAGCACTTTGAACAAATTAACCGAGGTATTGTATCTCCTTGTTCCTGTGATATTTTGCTAGTGAATCTTTGTGATATCTCTGACTTAGAAAGTATAATTGAACGCAGCTACGTGAGTATATTGATGACACAGAGGATTACATTAACATCCAGGTAACCAAAATGAAAACTCAAGACTTCTTAAGTGTTAAGAATGTTATGAAAATGTAATCTCTCTTACAGGCTATAGTCAATGTTTATTTGCAGTTAGACAATCATCGAAATCAGCTGATTCAGGTGAGTGAATTATAAAAGAAAGGTCCAAGATTAATAAATGTTATGTTTATATTTTGATGAGTATGAAAAAACACTCAAATGTGCAGTTAGAGCTAATGTTAAGCTCTGGAACCGTCTGTGTATCAATGTACTCTATGATCGCCGGAATATTCGGCATGAACATTCCATACACATGGAACCAGGACCATGGATACATCTTCAAATGGGTACGAGTCACATTTCAGTTTCCAGGAGAAAGAAAAGTCTCAACCTGATATCCTTTGGTGTGTGTTTGTTTGTTGTTGTTGATGAAGGTCGTAAGTCTCACGGGAACATTTTGCGCAATCTTGTTCGTGATTATACTGTCGTACGCTCGGTTTAGAGGCCTCATCGGATCTTAATGACAAGAGAGGACAATTGGTACAGATTTATAGCAGAGAATGTGAGAGCAGATCTTGTTTTTGGGGGTCTTCTTCTCGCCAGCAATTTCGTTACTAGTGATGGGATCGTAATTTGTACTGTGTGACTACATTTTCATTTTTGTATTGAATATGTAACTTGATACCAAACCCAAACCAAAAAATACTAATTTGTTATACAAAACCGGAACCAAATTACAAGTTCGGTTTTCAGTTCGAATTAAATATTCTCTGACCTGAACCGAACCAAAATTATTTCGGATCTCCAACAACCCCAAAACAAAACCCGAATTAGACCAATTCGAATTTGGTAATTTGATTCCAGCCTCCAGAGAAGAACACGACTCGTCCATTCTCAAATAGATCTCTCCCTCTTTCGTCGCTCTTTGTTTTCTTCACTGGTCTTTGTTTCTCCTTCGATCTTCTGTCTGGAGCAGTCTAAGATCCACCAGGTATTCAATTTTCTTCTACTACATCTGATTTCCCTTGTTGGGTTGTTATTGTTTGCTTGATATGGATTCATGAAATCAGAAATTGCATATCTATTTTTGTTAAATTAAAGTTTCCAACTTTAAGAATTCCCACCCAATAATACCTAAATCAGCACCTTTAGACTTTGTTTAGATCTTCGCCTTCTTCTTCCTCAGAGTGCTTTACAGAGACTTTAGGTTTTGTTACTAACCGATACGAATTGATCTGAAAACTGGGTGCAGATTATTGCTCGAAGCTCAGTTTAAGCTCAATATGGATTCTACTAAATATGATGATGATTTCACATTCTCAAAAGTTAGTTTCCCACTCATTTCTTCTGGATTTCATAGTTTATGAAAAAACGTGAAAGTCTTAGACTTTATGATTGATTCTTGGTTTGTTTTCGTTTTGAAGGTTGCGCCACCAGATAGTGAAGCTGTTCTTGAGGCAAAAGCTCTTGCATCAGATGTGGGTAGTATTACCCTTAAAGATGGATTAGATCAACAAAGCAATGGTCTTATTTGGAAAGACAAGTCTCTTCCTCCTAAGGAAGAAACAATAGGTTCTTTGTCTTTCAATGTGATTGATTCTTCATCTTTGAAAAAGCAGTCCAATGAATCATCTGAGACTTTCAAAACTCCTGCTAGAAAGCCTGTCACTCGTACCAAAGTTCCGTTTGAGAAGGGTTACAGCCAAATGGATTGGTTGAAACTTACACGAACACATCCCGATCTTGCAGGTAAGCAAAGCTTTCTTTGTTGATCGTCTTTTCCTAAATTACATTTTGATGTGTTACATGAAAGAGGCAATTTGTTTTACAGGCCTGAAAGGAGAGTCAAATAAGAGGCTTATTCCAATGGATGAAGTGAAGAAGCACCGATCAGGAGATTCAATGTGGACTGTTTTGAAAGGTCGTGTGTACAACATATCACCTTATATGAATTTTCATCCTGGAGGTGTCGATATGCTGATGAAAGCTGTTGGAAGAGACGGTACGCTCTTATTCAACAAATACCATGCTTGGGTCAATGTTGATATGTTACTTGAGAAATGCCTTGTTGGAGTTTTGGATGTTACCAAAGTAAAGAAGCAAGAACCCTAATTGCTATTGCTAAGGGGTTGAGATATTCATATACTCGCGTAGAGGATTCATAAGTCAATAAGAATTATTTTAGTGTTCACATTCTGTCTGATTCTTCAGATGAAAACGCTGATCACAATATGTAATGTGTATTAGACTTTTACACAACTCATTGATGTCAATATATTCAAAGTTTCCACTTCAATGATATCATGTACTCTTTTGACAACAATAAGAATGACAAACTATAGATGATTAAATTGAATCTATACAAACCCAAGTTGGCTTCTGTGACAGCTTCCACTACAATTTTTAAACTGTATACCATAGAACCAAATGGTAAAAACCAGAACAAGGTTAATGTCTTAAAAACCCATTTTTTTAAGTTTTGTTTGTAGCAAACTAGTAGTATCAATATACCCAATCAGAGTGAGGGCTAAACCGGACTATTCAAGAAAACCGCTTTTTTTTCTCCCCAATCAGAGCCGGACAAAGACCGAGGGTAGTTTAGGTATTTCAAGGCGAAGACAAAACCTGACTCGTCGACGCTTATAAATAATTACACTATCATTTTGCCAATAGTCGTTTGTCTTGTTTCTTCGACACCTGTTTCTGAAATTTTCTTCTTGTTTTCTCCTTGGAATTCTATCTGGAGCCGGAGTTTCAGATCCACCAGGTTTTGAATTCTCTTCTTGATTCTTTCTTGCTCTCACTCACCGTACATCCAATTTTCTTCTGGATTTTTCATTAAATTTGCTTAATCGGAGTTCATGACTAATAATGCATGACTGTTTCTATCTTTAGACTTTGTTTTGTCTTTCAGTTTTGTCTATGAAATCATTCTTATGTGGAGTACTAATAGAATTAGAATTACATGATGAATCTTGTTTTTTTTAGATCTTCTTCTTCTCCAAAGTGCTTTTTTTTTTTTTTTTTTTTTTTTTTTTTTTTTTTTTTTTTTGTGAACCCTCCAAAGTGCTTTATGTTCTTTTTTTGTTTATTGGTTTGTTCATAAGCTTTCTTCTGATACTAGGATGAGATTATCTTTTCTGGTGTTTTCTTATCCTGCTTGCAATATTCAATCTTCCTAGTCAAAACTTCTGAAAACAAATAATTTCTCAGATTTTGGGATCTTGTGTTTGGATCTTCAATCATAATTCTAATGACATATTGTATTACAAAAGAATAAATGCTGACTTTGGAATTTGTGATGATATTATTGATTACCATTGCTCAATTCTGTTCTTTTGTGAATTATATTTGAGTAAAGATGTATAATTATATCTCATCTTAATGCTGCAATACTTATTTGGTTAGTTCTTGGTCCCCTGTCTCAGGCAGAGTACTTAGCTTCCAATCTTGTGCTCCTTACTTCAAATGCTTGCTTTTATGAATATAATGCCCTTGATTGTTCTTTGCCACATTTCAGTTTTTTCATTCATCTCGTTAACTCTCAAGTTGCATCCTTTCTGGATTTATTTTCAGGTTCTGTGGACAGTTCTCAACAGTAGCATACTTCAACAAAGATCATTGCTTTTCTGCTGAACCTGATTATCTCCAACAAAAATTCTTCGGTTTACAGTATTACACCAGCAGGATAGGTCTGATTTCCCATTCTTGAAGATGGACAGGGCAGATACATCGGGCTTTGTAAGTGGCGGAAGTTGTTTATCTCTCAAGTTTCTCCAATATATGCTTATAGCTACAATTATGATGTGCTAAGTGGTAGTTTTTTCGGAGTTCATCTATCTATTCTTTTCATTTTCATATGAATTTGAACGACGGTGTAGTTCATCTCTCTAATGCCGTTAATATGGGAGACACCGCTCTTAGCCTGAAGTGCCTTGGGGGCTCTGAAAACCAATATTTGTCTGATGTTTCTAATATCACTGATGATGGCTGCCGGTTAGTCCTCGGATTGGGTCCAACGTCCGCTTCATACTGTTTTAGTGTCGGCGTTAATAACAGCAACAAAGATTCTGCTTCTGGATTCAGTCAAGAATTTGGTGATTCAGTTCTGCAACTTGGTCGTCCTGCTGTAAGCATAGACACTTTCAGCGGACTTGATTGTTCATTGTCGGCATATACAGATCCCCGAGTTGCTATCAATAATGGTGGACAACGTGTGATCCCTGTTGTTGATGAAGGTTCTTCTTCTGCAAAGAGATCAGGTGGATACATGCCATCACTTCTGTTAGACCCAAATGTTAGCAACCCTTCACAGATGCAACAACTTAAAGATTTTGGAACCGGCATCCATTCGCAAGTGAGCCTAGAAACATCACCGTACACAGCATTATCTGTACAGCAGAGGACTAGCAATCCGAGGAAGTGTAAATTTATGGGATGTGTGAAAGGAGCTCGAGGCTCATCAGGGCTCTGCATTAGCCATGGAGGAGGCCAGAGATGCCAAAAACCAGGCTGCAACAAAGGTGCAGAGAGTAGAACTACCTTTTGCAAAACTCATGGTGGAGGGAAGAGATGTGAGCACTTGGGATGCACGAAGAGCGCTGAAGGAAAAACAGACTTCTGCATATCTCATGGTGGTGGAAGACGTTGTGAGTTCCTCGAAGGATGTGACAAAGCAGCCCGTGGCAAATCGGGCCTCTGCATTAAACATGGTGGTGGCAAAAGATGTAATATTGAAAACTGTACACGAAGTGCTGAAGGACAAGCTGGTCTTTGTATTTCCCATGGTGGTGGGAAACGTTGTCAGTTTTTTTCAGGTTGTGAGAAAGGAGCTCAAGGAAGTACAAACTACTGCAAAGCCCATGGAGGCGGAAAACGCTGCATATTTTCAGGATGTAGCAAAGGAGCAGAAGGTAGTACTCCTCTGTGTAAAGCACACGGTGGTGGGAAACGCTGTCTGGCTGATGGAGGCGGGATTTGCTCTAAAAGCGTACATGGTGGGACTAACTTCTGTGTTGCTCATGGTGGTGGGAAAAGATGTGTTGTGGCGGGGTGTACAAAGAGTGCGCGTGGTCGCACTGACTGTTGTGTTAAACACGGTGGTGGAAAACGTTGCAAGATTATTGATTGTGAGAAGAGTGCTCAAGGTAGTACTGATTTCTGTAAAGCTCACGGCGGTGGGAAACGATGTTCTTGGGGAGATGGTAAATGTGAGAAGTTCGCTAGAGGAAAGAGCGGTTTATGTGCTGCGCATAACACTATTATGTCTCGGGAGAACGAAGGTGGAAGCAAGAGCGGTTTGATTGGACCGGGACTCTTCAGTGGCCTTGTTTTTGGCTCAACTTCTGAACATTCTCAGTCTGGAGTTAGTGCTGTCTCTGATTGTACTGATTCTGTTGATCGAATACAGTTTGAGAATAGGCAGAAGAAGAAGGAGATGATGATACCGATGCAGGTTCTAGTACCTTCATCAATGAAATCTCCAAGTACTTCACATGAAGGAGAAACAAACATCTATGACTTCATGATTCCGGAGGAGAGAGTTCACGGCGGAGGGCTAATAATGTCTTTACTTGGTGGCTCCATTGATCGAAACTGAAAGCCATTTATGGTCACCTTCTCAGCAAAAACCTGTGTAATGCTGTAAAAAGTGTCAAGTATAGTGTGGTATCCTTTGTACATGGGTCGTTTTGGTTTTGTTGGTTTTTCTGTTTGTAGCCGGTTATGTTGCTCTTTGTCATCTAAACCGATGACTCAAAACCCAAGTCTTGTTTCTTGGTTATTTGTTGGATATTATGCTGGATTAGTGGTGAAACCACTTCCCGGTTGATACATAAATAAATAAATGTTTTGTTTTATAATCTTTTTCACTAAACGGCAGTATGGGCCTTTAGTGGGCTACTTTACAGGCACCAATACACTTGTCGCACCATTTTATAGGTTCATGTAAAACCTCTTTTTCTACGGAAAATTTGAGAGCCACAACGGTCAAGAGACAAAAACAACTTGAAGATAAAGGGATAAGGAAGACTTCCTATGAATTGAACAACATTTCTTTCCACACAAATTCTCATAATAAAAATCATATAATGCAAAAAATTTAGTTACGTCATAATCTTTCAATCTAGTCCCCATGTTTTAAAGTCCTCTCTCCTCTCTAACATACAAATTAAAAAACTCTTTAACAGCTTTCTAACGAGAGAGCAAACAGAGGAACACAACAATGGAGTTTCGTGGAGATGCCAACCAGAGGATTGCTAGGATTTCAGCTCATCTTCAACCTTCTTTCACTCCTCAGGTGCTCTTTACCTTTGCTTCTAACTCAAGTTATCTTCTTTGATGCTTAAGTCAAGTGGGTTGTTCTAAACCATATTAGTTTGTATTCACTCTCAAACAAAACTGATATTGTCTCAGATTTAGCAACATTCTTAGTATTTTCATCAAGACTCAAACTTAAAATCAAGAATTAGTTTCTAGTTAACTGAATATTTTGATGTAGAAAGACCAATCTGGTTTTGCCTCTATTGAAGCCTTCTAGGACTGAAAGTAAAATTTCTTCTTCTTCTTCATGATTGATCGACCATTAGATGGAGGCGAAGAACTCGGTAATTGGACGGGAAAACTGCAGAGCGAAAGGTGGGAATCCAGGATTCAAAGTAGCAATTCTTGGAGCTGCAGGTGGAATTGGACAATCTTTATCTTTGCTGATGAAGATGAACCCTCTTGTCTCTTTACTTCATCTCTACGATGTTGTCAATGCACCCGGCGTCACAGCTGACGTCAGTCATATGGACACTGGAGCTGTTGTAAGAACCTCTCGAGATAAGATTACTTCTTCTTGCCAATGAATGAGTAATGAACCCTGTTGATTTATTTGAGATTATTATTAGGTCCGCGGATTCTTGGGAGCGAAGCAGCTTGAGGACGCGCTAACGGGTATGGATCTTGTGATCATACCAGCTGGTGTACCGAGGAAACCAGGGATGACCCGCGATGATCTGTTTAAAATCAATGCTGGGATTGTTAAGACACTATGTGAAGGTGTAGCAAAATGTTGTCCTAATGCTATTGTCAACTTGATCAGCAACCCTGTGAACTCTACTGTCCCCATTGCCGCTGAGGTTTTTAAGAAAGCTGGAACTTATGATCCTAAGAAGCTCCTTGGAGTTACTACACTTGATGTTGCTCGTGCCAACACATTTGTGGTAATAATTCCTAATGATTTCTCACTCCATTTGGTTTTGTTGACTTTTAAACACCAAGATTTGATATTTTTCCAATCTTGTGTAGGCAGAAGTTCTTGGCCTTGATCCAAGAGAAGTCGATGTACCAGTCGTTGGGGGACACGCGGGAGTCACAATCTTGCCACTACTGTCACAGGTATCATATGAATAGAACGAGAGGTTCAATTCCATAACATAAGCTTCTCTGCTAATTGATGGATTTTGCATAATATTTTTCCTCAGGTTAAACCTCCTAGCAGCTTCACACCTCAAGAAATTGAGTACCTCACAAACAGGATTCAAAATGGTGGAACTGAAGTTGTGGAGGCAAAAGCTGGAGCTGGATCTGCAACACTTTCAATGGTAAAACCAAACCAAATCACTTTAATACATCATAACACTTGTTTATTTCTCTGGAACAGTGAACTGAATCCATGTGATACAACTACAGGCATATGCTGCAGCCAAGTTTGCAGATGCTTGCCTTCGCGGGTTAAGAGGAGATGCGAATGTCGTAGAATGCTCTTTTGTTGCTTCACAGGTGAATCTTGAAAAGACTTTTCAGTTTTTTTTTCCATCTTTTTAATGGAAAACTCTTCACTCTCTATCATTCTTTCAACACTTTTAACTTGTAATGGCAATTCACCACAGGTGACAGAATTAGCTTTCTTTGCAACAAAAGTGCGCCTTGGCCGTACAGGAGCAGAGGAAGTGTATCAGCTTGGACCCTTAAACCAATACGAAAGGTCTGAAAAACATAACTCATCTCTTTCAAAATACTTGTCTCAGAAAGAAAGAGAGTTCTCAATTTGTATCTTGATTTCCTTATTCTTCTGCAGGATTGGTCTGGAGAAAGCAAAAGAAGAACTAGCCGGAAGTATTCAGAAAGGTGTTGAATTCATCAGAAAATGAAACTGAGAGATAATCAGAGAGATACAATAAGATCTTTCCTCAATCATATATAATTAATCATGTTGGTACTCATCATGCCTATGTCTCCCTCTGCTGCTGCTTCTTCAACTTTGTAAATTCCTTATCAGTTTGTGTACTATGTAACCTTTTCAACGTACTTATCTATGGTTTTCAATGATCCAAAACCAATCTTTAGAAACGTTTGAGAGAGGGTCTTTCTTAGTCTTGGGACTTAAAACAGAGATCATCTTCGCAAAAATTAAAATAGAAAAAACAAATGGCTTCGCCCGGGTTCGAACCGGAGACCTTCAGTGTGTTAGACTGACGTGATAACCAACTACACCACGAAACCTTTGTGCTAGTAAATCCAACTTATAAATATTTATATGATATGATTATTACCAAAGTTGGTAATACCTACTCAACAGAACCCCACGTGATCTATAACATAAAATAAATCTTTGGTTTTTTGGTTTTTGTGTTCTGTCTTCTCGGTGATAAAGAATAAAGAGAGCCAGTGAGGGTAAAACGAAAGGCCACCATTTTCAATCTTTCCACAATAATGGCGGCTACTAGAGTGTTAACTGCAGCGACGGCCGTAACCCAAACCACATCGTGTTTCCTCGCCAAACGAGCTTTTGTTCTACCGGCGAAGAAATCCTGCGGCGGATTTGGCGGTCTCTGCTTCAACAGAAGAGCTTTGGTGTTGAAATCTAAGAGACCCTTCTCCTGCAGTGCTATTTACAATCCTCAGGTTAAGGTTCAAGAAGAGGGTCCACCCGAATCCCTAGATTATCGGGTTTTCTTCCTCGATGGTTCTGGAAAGAAGGTACCTTTTGTTTCTGACTTCTCCGTTTTGTGTCTCTCTGTCTTCAATATCAAAGCTTGGTCTTACTGGAGAAGTATTGAGGAAATGGATTCTCTGTTACACCTAAATTCTGAGTTTTTGGGTATATATCACATTGTTATTTGGCTATGTAATGAAGAAATCTTATCTGGGATTGCTACCTATGTTTTGAAAGATCTACATTTTGAATGTTTAATTGAAATGGTTTTGGTTCATTACTCTGTTCTTTGTTTTGTTAAGGCTGAGTAAGGATTTATATGCATTTGTGTATAGGTTTCTCCATGGCATGATATACCCTTGACCTTAGGAGATGGAGTCTTCAACTTTATAGTTGAAATACCTAAAGAGTCAAAAGCAAAAATGGAGGTTGCTACTGATGAAGATTTCACTCCTATTAAGCAAGATACTAAGAAGGGCAAGCTCAGATATTATCCGTAAGTATATAGCTTTCACTTTCTTGAGTTTTGCTTTGTTCTAAGCTAATTTTTAGAGGCTTCAGCATCCATTGGTGACAATCAGTCTTATCTTCTAGATGATTAAGACTACTAGATTTTATCCAGGTATAACATAAACTGGAACTATGGGTTGCTTCCACAGACATGGGAAGATCCATCTCACGCAAATTCTGAAGTTGAAGGATGTTTTGGGGATAATGATCCAGGTGAATCTGTGATACTCCTTTTATCTAATGGAAAATGATATCTCTTTGGAACAAAAAGAATGTTCTTATTCTTGGTTTGGGTTTGGGTTTGTAGTTGATGTTGTTGAGATTGGTGAAACTCAAAGGAAGATAGGAGATGTTCTAAAAATCAAGCCTTTAGCTGCTTTAGCTATGATTGATGAAGGAGAGCTAGACTGGAAGATTGTTGCTATTTCTTTGGATGACCCAAAAGCTCATCTTGTGAATGATGTTGAAGATGTTGAGAAACATTTCCCGGTACGAGTGAATCTAGTAGTAGAAACCAATCCCTATACGTTCATGCAAAAACAAACTATATGGATTCTGTTATTGACTCTAAATCTGGTGATCAGGGTACACTAACAGCCATTAGAGACTGGTTTAGAGACTACAAGATCCCAGACGGAAAGCCTGCTAACAGATTTGGTCTTGGAGACAAACCAGCAAACAAAGTAAGTTCTTCATTTTATCTTCTCTAGTGGTGGTTCTTTATGTTTGGTACTATACCTGAGAGGAGCTATCTTTACAGGAATATGCTTTGAAGATCATCCATGAAACAAATGAATCATGGGCTAAACTTGTGAAGAGATCAGTTGATGCTGGAGACCTTTCACTTTACTGAACATATCTTGCTATCTCCAATTATGAGTTCGAATAATGAACAGACTGGAGAGTCCTATATCATTCTTGTTTTTCTTTCATTTGAGATGTAAACATTGGGATTTGTTTTTCACCATTGATGACTGAGAAGTAATAAATTGACATTTTGCTTTGAAAATATTCAAATGGACACATGAAACAGGGTCTGTGACTTGCCATTGCTCTGTTTCGAAGTGCAACAACACAAAGTCATAGAAGATTTAGGCAGCAATGACTGAAGATTTATGAAGGTAAAATGTGGTAATACCTATAGAGTCGAAAGCAAAAATGTAGGTAACATGTGGTAAATTTACAATTCACCGGATATTAGTTTTAACTGGAACAAACAACAAAGAGAGAAAGAGAGAGAAGTGAGTGAGAATCTTTAGAGAGGTTTTCCATCAATCCATCTTTTGAACATAAGTGAGCATTGATCTGGATTATACTCTGCTGTGTGTCCTCCTCCCTGCAAACCACACAATCGAAACACTCTGTATCACTTTTTGTTTTTTTCCTGCAGAAACTTTGGACAAGACAAGAAAGAAGGGTTTAGAAATGATTGCCTTGATGGTTGCAAATGTCATCTTGTTCGCGTAGGTCCTTGTATATCTACAAACACCGATAACAAGGAGTGTCGTTAAAGATAATGAAATTGATGAGAATGGAGTTAGAAGCACTGTTTTTTTAATACCCTGCAACTTGATTGCTACTCATCATCCAAGGTCTCCAGTCATCAACAATGGAATAGTTGAGAGCTCTGATCCATGCTTCAGTTGAAGTGAACGGTACCATAGAATCATGATCACCACTGTTTCAAGTACATGAGTTTTGTCAAATTATAAAGATACAAAACTACTAGTTCTTGTACTTACCATTTCAAAGAAGAAAAAATAAACTACTAGCTAAAATCAAACAATGACACATCTTGCCTGTAGATGAGAGAGCGGAAGCCTTTAAGACTATTGTTTACGTGATATGGAAATACATTGACAATCTCAAATGTATATGGTATGTTTTGGGTGTTGCATCGATTCCATTTTCCTAATTCCTGCATCACATTAACATTGTATTGGTGATTTTGTGTTTGTAATGTTTTGTATAGAACCAACCAAAACAAAGAAGAAGAAGGATTCACATAGGTACCTTCTTCACACCTAGAGCTCTGCGTACTTTTTCATCGTTTGCCCAAAAGGCAGACAGAAAATACTTGTAAGTCTGAGAAAACGACGAAATGTAAGACGTATCAGAACTTTTCAAACCCATGAATATAGAAAATAATGAAGAAAGTAAAAGAGAAAATTGTTACAAAGCAGCTAGGAGGTGGCAATGATGATGAATCATTTCCTGAAAACTCCTTCAGTTCTCTTCTTCCATCGGTTCTGATGTTTGGTGTGTCTACCAAGACATAATCTACTTCGCAGTTTCGTAACAGAATATGCTCTGAGTAAATCTCTGACATACACTATAAAGTCAGAAACAAAGAGACTAGTTAGTCTATGAAAAATGCAATCAGATAAATACTCAAATGATGTTAACCGTATAAAGTCTTTACATGATCATAAGATTGAAGTTTATTTAAGCATCTTGCATTACTTGGGTCTACGTTAAAGAATTTGCCTCCACAACTTCTTTCAAGTGACTGCAATAATAAGTAGTGAAAAAATATATTGTAACCAAATTAATGTCTAAACAATCATAAGATATGATTGATTAAGATAAAGATTACCTCAAAGAGCTCATCTGAAATAAGTCCCATCCCATGAGCAAATGAAATTCTATGGTTAGATTCCAGGTTTATATCTGTCAAAGGGTTTCCAAGAACATAACCCTGCTCAATTATATAGGAATGTGTTAATACAAAACGTTTTCTTTTCTCAACCGAATTATCGGTATTCATATCATTGCGGGAATGAAGAGACTCTTTTAACACCTGAAGATTTATGAGTGGTGTGAGGCCTTTCTCATTTCCTGTTTTCATATTGTAGAATGTGATTAAAAGCTATGAACTAAAAGATACCAAAACTGTGGAAACAGGTGAATAAAAAGGCTACCAAGTGAAATTTGTTGCACAACTCCTGGAATAATTTTCCCGGAATATGAATCTCCACCAACGTAAAAAGGATTCGATATAAACTCCGGGTGATCCACAAACCACTGCAAGTAATCAGAATCAAAACACTTAAGATAAACATACATGCAAGAAAAATCATCAAAAACTGCAACAAAGCAAAAACAACACTTAACACTCCTAAGAAACTGATCAATTTGGTGCATTTGTTTGGTGTCGCTCGTCTCAGAAGCACGCCGAGTTCTAGCATAAGAAAATCCAGAGCCAGCAGGAGATTCCACATATAGAATGTTAGCCACCTGAAAAACAATTGAGTATATACAAATTCAATATGTTGTTGTTACAGAGAGAGAAATAGAATCACAAAAATTGGTGCAATCTCTCTCAAACCTTTGTCCATGAAAAAGATGTTAGCTCTAAAGGAGGAACTGTTCCATTATACTCATCCCCTTTAAAAGCTAAAGGACCTAAGACAAACAATCAAATTATTACTTGAAGACTTGTCTTAATCCTCCGAATGTGTGTCCAATCAAGAAACATGAACATAGTATTACACTTTCATTAAACCACATGCATCAATTAAAGCTATTTTATTAAGACACATCATTAGTCATTAAACTATTTGTTACCGTTTGCGAAGAGCAATCCACAGATGGAGCTGCAGCCAGGTCCACCAGTGAGCCAAATCATGAGAGGATCATTTTCTGGATTTCTCTCTGATTTCACAAAGTAGTAAAAGAGTTCAACATCTCCAGATTCACCAATACTCACATATCTTAGTAATAAACCCACATGCAAAAGAAGAAAACGACATGTTAGAACTCAAGGATTCTTAATATGTGTTTTCGCTTCTGATTTTGACAAATTAGAGAGAAAGATATGGACTTTTTTTGTACCCAGTCTCGAGCTCAAAAGGAAGGGGACCTTCAAAACCAGGAAGATACTTCACAAGCAAAGAAGCATCAACAAAATGATGCATAGAGAAGATGTTCAATAGAAATAAGACGATGAAGCTAAGGTTTCTCATTTTCTCTGTTTCTTAGTGTCACTTGAACAGAGAATCGTACGTCAACGAAGAACCTTAATTCACATTCAAAGAAAGAAGAAAGCAAAGTAATTACGAGGATAAAACCAAAAGAAAAATGCAAATGAAGTAAGTAAAGACAATATAGCAAACGCAGTGATCAGAACGTGGCTATCGTTAACCTAATAAACGTGTTACGGGCTTTTACAGCGTTTTATTGACCGGATCAGACCAACCGGTTCAATAGAAGAACTTTATGACTCCATCACCAAACTAAGTATCAGATTATTTACACACCAGTGAAAGTCAACGTAACTCAGTTGATCTGTCAACTTAAATCTATTACCTTAAACTTAGATACTGTCGATAATTTAATTTTAGTTAGCTTCTGTTAAGACAGAAGCCTAACTTGTCGTGAAAAGAAGAAAGAGAGTGAGATGAGAAAAGAATAAGGAAGGAGGCGGAGAGGAACTTAGGGAAAGAGATGATAATGTGATTTTTCATAAGATAAGGAAGCCCTAGAAATGGGATCCAATAAATACAACCATAGTTTAATAAACCACAACGTTCTGCATATTAAACAAAAGCTCAAAGACTCTATATGGTTTAGAGTCTCCTTTTCCTTCTTCTTTGCTCTCAGCCACTTTTCACCTTGTTCCTTTCTTCCCACAGACGAGCCTTTCTTCCACTTGTTCTCATCTTTTTCTTCATGAAGGCCAAGGGTGTATCTTCAACCTATCAGCTTTTTGACTTTTCACTGTTGTATAAACGGAAAACGACAAATAGTTTGTGATTGATTCTATTCTACCTGCTGTCGAAAAGTTTTTTTTTTTTTATACGTTTACCAGAATTCATAAAGATAAATATAAATTGTATTAGCTTACACAAACTGATATTATAAAATATGAAAGGAATATTGAAAATTTTGAAATAGAAAATTGAAAAAAATAAAGATTTTTTTTTTTTATTCACTTCTACAATTTAAAAATTATAACAATGCGAAGATGCTGTAATTGATAAGATTCCTTTTGGAAAATAATTGGGTAAATTTCGTTAAGATATTATGCATTAGAATTTGGATTAAAAACATTTTTTTTAGATAATTGAAAAAGTGGTTCCATGTTTCCAGAAACCAACCAATCTTAACAATTTTGATACTCAGTGATTCGCGTTAGAGCTTCTTTGAAAACGTCATGCCAATCATCATCTCTATATATAATACTATAATCTCCCCCAAATTTGCTTCCTCTCTCAATGGCTTTTGGTTCGTTTCTGACGCCGATATCAGAGATTCTCAGTCGCCTTACCGGTACTAGTGCTCATCTCTCCCTTTCTTCTATCTTAATCCCAATTGATTTCTTATTTAGTTCTGTTTCGATTGATCAATAGATAAATTTTGGGCTAAAAAGAGTCTCACTTTTCCAATATTGGTGCAAAATTAAGATTTGGTGAGTGATCGCTTTTGTTTTCTATTTCTGGGTTTAGTAGTTCTGTGAATTTTGGGGTTTTATTAGGGCATATTAATGAATCGAGAATCGCAGGATCTTCTCGAGCAAAGTTGTTTCCTAAAAATGCAAAATTTATATGTTTGATCAACTATTATCTGTCTTGTTGCAGTTGTTGATGCGTTATAATTGCTAGTACACTTTAAGCTGACTAATCAGAAGAAAAATGGATGTGACTGGTACTGTGAGAGATGCATTTGATCGAGTTTCTAAGAAACAGAAGCTGTATCACTCAGTTACTCAAGATGTTATTGATCTTGTTTGTGATGGAATCCAAGATACATTGACTCGAATCCAATCAGATAATAACGACGGAGTCGAACCCGAATCGGTTCTAACCGAGTTGAGGCGCAAGCTTGATGCACTTTTACCGATTATCCAGCTTCAGAAATCACACAAGGAAACTAAATGGAGTCTTAGCAAGTTGGTGAAATTGTTTGAGGTTTCTTACCATCCTGATATATCTCTAGCCTGCTTTAGCGTTGATTTCGATATCAACTTAGTGAATAAGATACTTATCCACCATTGTTACCGAGAAGGGTTGTTCGACGTTGGTGATTGTCTGGTTAAGGAGTCTGGAAGAGAGGAAGAAACCGAGGTTAGATCTCAGTTCTTAGAGTTCCACCAGATATTGGACTCATTGAAGCTCAGAAACATCGAGCCTGCTATGAGATGGATCTTTGCGAACCGCGGAAAACTGAAGCAAAAGGGTTCAAAGCTGGAGTTTAAACTCATAAGTTTGAAGTACTGTGATATTTTAAGAGAAGGAAACCGTGTTGATGCTTTGGAGTATGCAAAAACCCATTTTCACCAATATCCACTACACTTTAAAGAGATACAAAAGCTTATCACTTGTCTGCTATGGATTGGAAATTTTGAGAAAAGTCCTTATGCAGAGATGGTTTCTCCATCATGTTGGGACAAGGTGACCAAAGAGGTAATCATGGAATATCACCATCTTCTTGATCAGCCAATTAACTCCCCATTGAAAGTCGCTTTATCCGCGGGTTATGAGAGCTTACCGTCACTTTTAAAGCTGGTTCATTTAATGACTTTGACGAAACAAGAATGGCAAGGTATGAAACATCTTCCGGTTCCTCTGGAGTTAGGGAACGAGTTTCAGTTTCACTCGGCTTTTGTTTGTCCTGTGAGTAGAGATCAGAGCAGCGAAGAAAACCCGCCAATGCTGTTGTCTTGTGGTCATGTTATTAGCAAGCAGTCAATGATGAGACTCAGCAAGAACTGCGCTCACCGCATATTCAAATGCCCTTATTGTCCTGCAGAGACTTCAGCTTCAGCATGCAGGCAATTATACTTTTGAAAGGTTTGGTAATTTAGTTAATTTGATTGTTTCAGCTCAATAAGTGAACAAAGCATTTCATTTGTTCTTTCATCATTAAAAAAACTCTTTTTTACTAGATCTTGATTTGATCTTCTTCTCTAAGTTGGAACAACTAATATGTTGCAATTAGTTGTTATACTGTTACTTTTTATATCTCTTGAACCAGAGAAATAACAAGTGAATTTCAGTGATTTTAAAATGATTAGAAAATTGGAGAAGGAAAGTTGAAGCAAAGATCACGTGAATTCTCCTATATTTGGTATCTTTCAGGAAAAAAATATGGATTTATTCAGACATTATAGTACATGATTTAAATGGTAATTAATTAGTCAATTAGTCAAAACCATGGCCTTCTCTCACATAGTATCAATAATGTTATTTAAACACGCTATTAAAACACTAAGTGGTCCCCACAAAACTGCCGCAAAAGTCCATCAAAATATCAAAACCATGACTTTTAGCTAACCTCACACCCCCGTCAGCTCAATCTTATCACTTACAACCAATACTTTACTTCCACGTGTAATAAACCAAAGAGTTCACGCCAAAACCACAAAACACTATCATGTCACGTTAGCATTCCCCAAAAACCACCACCGTGATAAAACAACTATCCTTCCTAGTCCTCTCCATTTCTCTCTACTCAACAACCAAACCAAACTCAAAGATTTTTTTTTTTCATGGATTGAGCAAAGAAGAGGAAGATAATTTCCAAAATATCGTGATACAAATGGACAAATTCTCGTACAACTCGTATCCAGATTCAGCTGAATCATCGCCAAGATCTCGCGATGTCGAGTTTGAAAATCCGCCGCCATGGGAGGACCACCAGCAGCAGAGCTACAAAGTGAAGCTCATGTGCAGCTATGGCGGCAAGATCCAGCCGCGTCCACACGATAATCAGCTTACTTATGTAAACGGCGATACCAAAATCATGTCGGTCGACCGCGCCATCAGATTTCCTGCTCTTGTATCGAAGCTCTCCGCCGTCTGCAGCGGCGGTGATGGAGGAGAAATCTCGTTCAAGTATCAGCTTCCAGGTGAAGATCTCGATGCGTTGATTTCGGTGACTAACGATGACGATCTGGAGCACATGATGCATGAGTACGATCGGTTGCTTCGTATGTCTACTAAACCAGCTAGGATGCGTTTGTTTCTCTTCCCGTCTTCTCCGATTTCCAGCGGATTTGGCTCTGAAGGTTCGACTAAATCGGATCGGGATACGTTTCATCCGATCCCTAGTCGACCTGAATCGGAGAAATCTGTAACCGCTCCTCCGAATAATGCTGATTTTTTGTTTGGATCGGAGAAAGTAGCTCCAATTCCGCCGTCGCCTGTGAAGGTGCCTCAACCGTTACCGGAACCAGTGGTGCTTGAACCACCGCCGATGTTCGTAGATCAACGGATGTTACAACCGGAACACGGCGTAAATCCGGCGGAGATTCAAAGACAAATCCAGGAATTTCAGATGATTCAAATCAGAGATCAAGAGCAACAACAAATGCTTCATCAGAATCAACTCCAACAACAACATCAACAACAAGAAGCTATAAATCAGAATCAGCTTCATCAACAACATCAACAACAAGAGGCTATACATCAGAATCAGCTTCATCAACAACACCAACACCAAGAGGCTATACATCAGAATCAGCTGCTTCAACAACAACAACAACAACAAGAGGCTATGTACCGAAGAAAAAGCGAAGATGAAGCCGGACGATACTTTCCTCCAACATACACTCAAAATCCGGCGCCGACTACGAATCCACAACCTCCGGTTGGCTACTGGCAAGGAAACAACATCAATAACAACATTCCGGGGAATATCTACACAACAACGTCACAGAATCTACCGGAGCAACAACAACAAGTATACATGATTCCAGCTCAATCTCAAGCTCCAGGGACAGTATACCAAAGCGTCATGAGACCAACGGTGCAAGGAAACCAAGGCTATTACCCACCTGTTCAGCGACTTCATCATCCTGATGCATACATGGAGCAGCAGAATCAGCCAGGTTACAACGTGGTTCAACAACAGCCACAGTATTCAGGTGGTCCACAAGTTATGACTAGTGTTGGTCCGCAAGTTATGAGTAGTGTTGGTCCTCCAATGGGGTTACAGGAACCGTATTCACAGATGGGGAACCCTGTGTACTATACGGTTGCTGGAGAAGGCATGATGGTTCAACCGCCACCGTCTCAGCCTCAGCCTCAGCAGCAGTACCAGGGAATGGGTCAACCGGTTAGTGGCATGACCGATCTCAGAACCGGACCGGATGGGAAAGTGGTGGTTAACATGGCTGCACCAAAAGTTTCACAAAGTTCAGATGCGGTGTGAGTGAGATTGAGGTTAATGTTATGATAAAGATTATGATTATCCATTTATAAAAACTTTATGATATATGTGTAAAAGTGGTTTTTTAGATCAAATTGGAATCTGGATTTCTGATGAATCAATTGAAGCACTTTTGATGTTTTTATTTTATTCTGGTAACTTTCTTTGAGAGTTCTTTTTAAGTAGGCTTTTGGACCTTTTCGTCTCCTGCCTCTTGTGCATCCATTTAGTGGTGAATAAAGATTATTATCCAATTTACATATTCATTAATAGTTATGTTTATATATCTTTAATTCACTCACACTGAAACAAGATTATGAGAATTAGTTAAGACTAATTTTGTATCAAGTTCATTGCAGAGTAAAAAAGTGGTCCACAATCTGAATAGTATGGACACGTGTTGTGGAGAAAAAAGGTGTTAGGTGACAAAGCATTGGATGTTAAAAGAGACTTGCTCTCACACTAATAACAAACTAATCAACGTGACACATTCTTGTCTTAAGCGACAATCATTATATTGTCATCATCATTTTGATCATCTCAAGTCTTTGTCCATATTATTTTGTTGCCAAATTAATTACATGTCTCAATCCAAAAACAGGTGTCCATGTAAATGCTATCTTGTCTTTGTCATTAGGAGGATTCAAATTGATATCATTCTTCCCCTTGTTCCCAAATTTGTCTTTATCAATTCTTTTTTCTTGTCTTTACATCATGAATGTATGTCAATCAAATTGGTTCCGGATTTTTTTTTATACTAGAGTCGGTATACAAAATTTGTTAACTAGATATCTTCGCATATTATAAACGCAAGAAAGTTTCTAAAAATAAGCACACTTTTAAAGTGTTTGCATAATTAACACTGTCAATTAGACGCATACCAAAAACACCATAACACCACTACGATCGACTAGACCAATGAAAAACCATCAGAAAACCAACTAACTAAAAAAAACAAAAAAGAAAACACCAAAAGCACTCATCAGTTCATATATCCAGATTTATCTGGTAACTGATTAATCCAACCCACAATTTCTTCTTGAATCAGTCTCAGTGTGTGCCTCCCATGCCCAATCTCCATCCTCCAAAAGTGAGGCCTTAGCTTCTCCACAAACTCTCTCATCATTGGTCTCATCTCTTTCTCCTTCATCACTCTCAACGCACACTGTACCTACAAAGTTGCCAAACTTATCAGTTGTCATTCTTACCCATTCTTTATCACTCCCTCTAAACTCCTCCAATACCATTCCCTCTAGCAAAATCCGATTTCAAACACTTCTCCACCACATAGCTTCCTTGTCTCTCCATCGCTAAACTGAAGAAATTTCCACGAAGTCTCTCGGCAATTGCGGTTGTTGCAACCGGGTTCTGAAGTGTCAGAAAGTTCTGTACAACAGTGTGTTCCAGTAGGGGTCAAAAGCTAACCATCCGTCCGCGTTCTTGGCGACGCACTCGAAGATTAGGTCTCTGTATTTGCCTCTGATTTCTTGAAACACATTGTTTAGGGCAAGGCATCCAGTTTCTAGCCTGGCAAGTTGCAGAGTGTATTCGTACGTGAGCTTGTAGAGAACCTCCTTCTTGGTTTTATCGACTGCTCGTATAGCGGATATGATCAAGCCACGAGCGTACTTATCGGTCATGAGCAAGAAGAAGTTTATGCCAACGGCGTGGAATAAGAGATGGTCTAAGCTAGGGCTGCGTCTAAAGAGGATATGTAAAGATTGTGAGCCGTATTGGTTCGTAGCCAAGTGAAGGAAAGTGCGCTTGTTTGTGGTTAACAATGATCCGATCTTGAACAGATGGCTCTCCCTCTCAGCCGTTGGATTAGTATCGAGATCTTGGAGGAACTTTTGGAACTCAGTGAAACGTCCTGCACAAGTCATCATGTCCAACAGTCTTGATAGCAAGTTATGATCCTTTTCGACGCCGGGGCTCACAAAACTTGGAGTAGGAGGGAAGGGTTGGCCGGAGTATCTGGAGGAAGAAGCACCAGATTGAGATTGGGTCATCCACGCCGGAGAAGCGTTGAAGCTAGCGGTGGAGATATGACTAACGTTATAAACGTTGAGATTGGGGTAGTTGTTGTTGGTGTTGATGTTACTGTTGCCATTAAGATTTGCGAACGCGGTGAGAAGATGATTGTAGTCCCTATCGTTGGGCATAGGGTTTTCGCCATTATCATCTGCCATAACTTGGATTGCAAGAAAACAAAGAATGCGATCTGCTAAAGAAGAATCAGAGAGATCTCGAGCGTAAAAGAAAAAGAAAAGAAGAGATTGTGATTGCCAAAGTGTTTGCGAGGGGTTGTTTTATAGAGAAGAGGAGATTGTGTGTTCGGAGTTGGAATAGGAATCGCTGGAGTTGCAGAGATAAAAGCTCCGATCCTAAAAGTTATTTCGGATTTGGAGATATTTGGAACGGTGCTCCTTTGAAATACCAAAATTCGTGTTGAGTTTTTCAATTTTTTAATCAGAGAAAACGTCGCAAAATTATCCATTATATCTTCTTTTATATTGTTGATTAAAGTTAATTGATATTTTTTGCATAATTAATAATCTTTTAGAAAGAAAATCAGATAAAAGTTGTTGATATTTCTTGCATTAAGAATTTAAAACATAAACACTGCAAATAAAACAAACTATTTTAATTTTTTAACTGATTCATCTTTTGAAATTAAGAGCGTGAGTAGTAGTAGATTAAAGTTGACAAATTTCATGAAGAAAAAAACTTGTAGCAACAGAACATTGGTAAACATTTATTACATCATTCAAAAAGGTCTGAGAACAAAGAAAAGCAACAAACATAGCCTCGAATCCAAAAAACAGGTGTTAAATCCTTAACTTTTCAAGACAGAGTTTGACAAATGTTTCTTGCCTCCTTATTAATCATCTCAAAGAAACTCTTACTGGAGACTTTGGCGGCTTCATCGAAAGAGCTTCGGGAAAGGTTTTTAATGGGTCAAGAGTGAGTGAGTACTCTTGATAGTATGGTAAATTGCGGCTAATGCAGTAACCGAGGTGATGACTGGAAGTTGCTGTTGTGTATGGTAAAGGACTTGGTAGAAACTCGGGTAGGTGAGGCAAATCATACCCATTTTCAGGTAGAGAAGGTAGCCGGCGAAAGTGACTCCGGTCAAGTAAACCCCTGAGATTCTGTTGAAAATCGATAGCATGGAGTTCATCTGAGGCTGGTAAACAGTAAGGTGAGGAGATAAAGGGCGAAAGCTTTTGGTTTTTGGTTCCTCCTGTGTTGTCTTTATATCCCCTGAGATTGTAGAGAACAATCGTTTCGATGTTCCCACATCAAGAGCACGGAAAGATCGAGTCAATTGAGCTCCAACAATTGCAGCTTCAGTAGATTTTGAGTGCTGGAAAAATCGAGACAAGGATCACCAGGCAAAAAGTATAAGTTAAGCTGCTCTTAAACATTGCAAAGCAAAAAATCTAAAAAAATGTGGACAAAGTCATTTTACCTCTCGAATGGCATTGCTTGTGTTGTTAGTGCCCAAACCAGTACCAAGAATGTCATTCACAACAGGTTTTGACCTATAAAAGAAAACATCACTTAGTCAAAAAAAAAACATTTACCAGTGATTCTAATAGGTATTTGCATCACAAGAACAAATGAAAACCTACCCGAAAGCTCTACACAAACTTGCATAGTTTTGACCAGTGTATGAACTACCCCATGAAGGTTGAGCATTACCAGCAAGCTGCAAAACAAGAACGTTTCAAGAGCAGTCAAAACAAACACTTTCTCTACGCATATGCAATAAACAAAAAGGCCATAATTTCTAATGAGTGTTAGGCACCCATACTACAACAGTTATATGAAGCTAAACTCTCTTCTTCTTCTTCTTCTTCTTCTTCTTCTTCTTCATCCCAATATTTTTTGCACTATACTCAACTACAAGCTTTCTCAATCAATCAAAAGGAAAAAAAATCCCAGGAATTGCTAACAGTCTTAAGATTAATCATAGAAATTTCCTTTAAACAGATTTGTGTCTACTAACACAACAATCTCATATTCTTCTCAAATTTTGTGTAAATGAAACGATTAAACACATAATACACAACAAAATGAATACATATATAATTCAATCCATGAAAAATTCCCGCAGAGCTCAGATGGGTAAATCATGAAGAAGAAAGACGAAACTAAACGAATCCAAAAAATTTATCGATCTATCTATAATTCCACCAAAAATACGCAGTCAAGGAGCGAAAAACATACAGATTTGTAAACGGAAAGAGGCGCAGAGACGACGTCGCGTCGGCGAATCGATCGGAAAAGAGCCGTGGCAGCCATAGACTGAATCAGATGAGTACTTTGTGCTAATCTCTTCCTCCGAAAATTCGAGACGAGTAAAGCAACAACAGAAATGGGATCTCGATTAAATCATCCCTAATTTCATAAAAATTAAAATAAATTAGAGGGTAATTTCGTAAATTACAAATCCCCCAAAGTTATCGGCACGTTTCAGAGTTTAGATCATTGAATCCTCTGTCTCGTTTAGCGGGTCTCAAAACTTGGAACTTATTGTCATGGGTAATGTGCCAAAATTGTTGACAAACAAAAAAAAATGTGCGAAAATTTAAACCTCTGGCGGATGCCGGTTTCTCTCGTTCGCAGTTCTTCTCTCTGATTTACATTCTTTAGTATAATAATAAAGTTGACAAAATCTTGAAAACTTCTTCTCCTTAACCATCTCACATTACATAACAAAGGTTTTTAGCAGAGAAACATTAAGTTCAGTTCCCTGACAAAAGCTTATTCCAGAAACATATCCATTGCTCGCTCTTCTAAAGGCAAAAGTTCCTTCGACATAGAACCCACCATGATCTAACCTAATCTCTTAAAACCCAAGTGGCAAGAATTTACGAAATCTCTTCACTTTTTCACTTCCTCGTACTCTGCCTCTTGAGCTTGATCACTGCCTCCCTGAGATCCTCCTCCTGGTGCAGAGCCTCCACCAGAACCACCTGACATGTGCTCTCCAATCTTAGAAACAGCTTTGTTTGCCGCGTCAATCTTGGCCTTGATCTCATTGAGATCATCCCCAGTCGAAGCGCTCCTTAGATCCGCCACAGCATCTTCTATCTCCTTGGCGATTTCACTTGGGATCTTCTCTCTGTATTCACCAAGACTCTTCTCTATGCTGTAAATTGTTGTGTCGGCTGTGTTCTTGGTGTCGATCAACTCTTTTCTTTCTTTGTCTTTCTGAGCATGCAACTCTGCTTCTCTCACCATCTTCTGGATATCATCCTCTGAGAGCCCACCAGAGGATCGGATTGTGATCTGTTGTTCTTTCCCAGTCGTCTTGTCCTTGGCGGAAACAGTGACAATGCCATTGGCATCAATGTCAAATGTCACTTCGATCTGAGGGATTCCTCTTGGAGATGGTGGAATGCCAACTAGATCAAATTCTCCCAAGAGTTTGTTGTCTGATGCCATTTCACGCTCACCTTGAAGCACCCTGATCCCAACTTGAGTCTGATTATCGGCTGCAGTTGAGAAGACCTTCAAAAGAATGAAACGAGAGAATCAACATTTTAGTAAAAACTTGACAAAAGACAATGGTAGCTTTGGATAGCTCATCAATTAGTATATATCACAGGAATGTGCTTTCATGACCCCTTAAATTAAAAGAGTGGAATCATATAGGAATCAATGCCAAGAGGAGTAACTCAAGCAGGCCTTGCTAAGACACTACCGATCAAACTATAATACATGCCTCATACTACCCTAGTTTTGCCTTACTCCAATGTAATCGTCAGGATTCCTTCCGAGTTACTTAAGTGGTTTTCCATCAAAAGATCAAATCTTAACGGGCATACCTGACTCTTCTTTGTGGGGATGGTTGTGTTTCGGGTGATCAGTCTTGTGAAGACACCACCAAGTGTTTCAATACCGAGCGATAGAGGTGTGACATCCAGAAGCAACAATTCTTTGACATCACCGCGGAGGATACCACCTTGAAGTGCAGCTCCCATAGCAACAGCCTCATCAGGATTGACACCTTTGCTTGGACTCTTTCCAAAGATCTCCGCAACAACAGATTGAACCTTGGGGACACGAGTCATTCCTCCAACAAGAAGAACCTCATCAACTTCCTTAGCACTTATACCAGCATCCTTGAGACAGTTCTTGCAAGGATCGCGGGTCCTCTCAATCAAGTGATTTACCAGAGTCTCAAACCTTGACCTTGTTAGGGTGATGTTGAAATGCTTTGCTCCAGATGCATCAGCTGTGATAAATGGGAGATTAATTTCTGTCTGAGAGGTAGATGATAGTTCGATCTTCGCTTTCTCAGCTGCTTCTCGAAGCCTCTGCAGAGCAAGTCTGTCTTTGGTGAGATCTATCCCCTCAGTGGTCTTGAACTCCTTTACCAAGAAGTCTAGCAGAGCATTATCGAAATCCTCTCCTCCCAAGAAGGTATCACCATTGGTGGCTTTGACCTGAAAAGCAATTTAATAATAAGAACGAGTATCAAAGAAAAAGAAACAGAAGACCTGACAAACATAAGATCACTTGGGAGATAATTACCTCGAATACCCCATTAGAAATCTCCAAAACAGATACATCAAATGTCCCACCACCAAGATCAAACACAGCAATCAAACCCTCCTTATTGGTCATTCCATAGGAAAGAGCAGCAGCAGTCGGCTCATTTATGATTCTCTCGACATCAAGACCAGCAATTCTACCAGCATCCTTTGTTGCTTGCCTCTGAGCATCATTAAAGTAAGCTGGAACAGTGACAACAGCTTTGGTGACAGATTTTCCAAGGTAAGCTTCGGCTGTCTCTTTCATCTTTGTCAAAATAAACGCTCCAATCTGACTAGGAGAATACTGCTGACCATTGGCTTCAACCCAGGCATCTCCATTAGGTGCACGCACAATCTTGTAAGGCACCATCTTCATTTCTTTCTGTGTTTGTGGATCGTCGAACTTTCTCCCAATCAAACGTTTGGTTCCAGATACTGTGTTTGTAGGATTAGTGACAGCTTGTCGCTTGGCTGGTGTACCCACAAGAAGTTCTCCTTTCGAGTTGAACGCTACAACTGATGGAGTGGTTCGAGCACCTTCAGCATTTTCAATGACTTTCGGATTCTACAAATCAGATAAACACACATAAAGTTAACTCAAACATTAAAATCTCAGCAAAAACTCAAAACCCATGTAAAATCACCAACATACCTTCCCCTCCATGACCGCAACACAGGAATTAGTAGTACCCAAATCAATACCAATGACATCATTCCCAGCAGGCTTCGAGCTAAATCAATAAGAAGAACACTTGAGAAACAGAAACATAGCAGATCTTTGGTGGTGGTAGCAAATAAATGGAAAGATCAAATACCTAAATGCTCTGGAAAAGCTTCTAAAATTCTGACCGAGATACGAACTGTTCAATGATGTTTTCCCGCTGCTCGAAAGCTGCAACAAGATTAACCAGATCAGGCCAAGGAATCGGATTGCAAGAAATGAGTAAAATCGGATCATGTAAGTTAGCTCATTTGAAACTCTGATTTCGTTTACAGATCTCGTAAAGATAGAAGAAGATCGAGAGAAGATAGAAAGACTTACGCATCTGTAAGCTGAGAAAGGAGCGGAAACGACTTCACGGCGTCGAATAGAGCGGAGGAGAGCTGCGGTAGCCATGGTTTCGAAATTCAAAATGATGCGATGAAATTGCGTCTGTGCAAAAGTTAGGGTTTAGGGGTTTTGAAGGTACGAAAGTTGTTTTCTAGAGGTTGAGGGAAGGTTCTAGATGGTGATACTTCTCGACGTCGACGACGATATAATGCTCCTTCAAACGACGACGTTTCGCAAGCTTTAAAATCGTCAAAGCCAAGACCAAGCACAAGGACGTGATGTTGCCACGTGGAAGATTGAGAATCGTTACGTTGAATTTGCACGTAAGTCAATTTTAGAGTATCGGGTACTAAGAATAAATCTTAGGAAACACAGGGGTCGAATTGAAAATTTGAGTATAAAAAGTAGTTTGATTTTGACAAAAAAAAAAAAAGTAGTTTGATCAAAAAGTAGATATTTACACTTTGTTGCATTCTCAATTTTAGGCCGTCCGATTTCACCGCCTTACACGCGGTAGCGGTGCACAAACTAAACCGAAATCGGAACCGAAATGTAACCCGGTTAAACTATCCCCCTTCCCGCCAATCAAACGGTCTAACTATCCAACTTTCATCTTCAATCTTCAATACTTTATCAATCAGCCCTTTGTGATCACCAAACTTGTCACTAGATATTGACTTCCAAAGTCCAATGTCTTTCACAATGCCAAAATTCCATAGATATGAGCTCGTGGAGGAGTATTTTCATGGTCAAAGCGTCGAAATCCATTGATTATATTCATCCATTCTTATGATAAACGAGCTTGAACTAGATGTTCCACCTCCTCCATAAGCCTTTTCCAAATTATAAGAACATGGAACATATATAAGTCTAATTGATCACTATAAAACCAGAAAACAAAAAGTTGCAGTCAGATTTCGAAACATAACAAACCTTAGCAACTTCGGATGTATCGGTTATAACATCGGTACTTCTCAAGCACATTTTGAGATTATTCCTTTGCATAAATGTAATAGCTCCTATTGGCCTGATATCAAAGAGGTGTAACTAACTTACTATCCACAATTCTTTCATAACAGCAGAAGCGTCATAAGGAAATTAAATTTACCTGAGACCAGCTGCAGAACTTTGTAGACTAAGAAGCTTGCCAAGTTCATCGCTTAGTTGATGGTTACCATCTGCGCGCATTCCCTATGCTTAGAACAAATTCTCAATCAGTGATTTTTTTTGAAACAAAGAGGATTTTGATGCAGCAAAAAAAAAAACAATTACCAGGCACTCTCCATATAACCCTCTTCCCAATCTGATCTTGAAAGCTTTATTCAGCTTTAGCAGTTTCTTTGCATCAATAAGACGAGATGAAAAATATGAATTCCCATAAGCAATGAGATCCGCCGAACTTATTTTCAACAACTGCAACATAGAAACATGAAATAATTCACTGAGGAATGGTTTAAGCCTTTAAGGACATGCTCAGATTCAAGAAGAGACAAAGTATCCCAAAAATTGAAATGAAGCACCGGACCTGTTCGTACATGTAAGGATTAGTGATACAATTGATCCTTGAGCGCCAGTCCTTAAGACCAAAGCTGAAAGCTTTGATATCTGGTAACATCCATCGTCGAAGATCGATATCCTCAATGTAATCAAGAACCGATTCAACCCGAGTTTTGTCTTCTACACTTAGCAAACTGAGAGCTTCTACCTATGCAATAGATAAAAACATAAGATCTTTAGTATATTACTAATCAAAGCAGAGTCACATTACACATCATCATTGTCCTTACTAACCTCGGAAGATCTTTGATATGTGAGTTTACTGGAGAAATACTTATACACAGCCTTTGAGCTACTGGTTTCGGTATCAACATAAATCTTAAGCCTCTTCTTCTGCTCTTCCTTTATTGAGCCAATCCTTGTCAATGCCGAGTTCCTGTGATCAAAGCATATGATCCTAAACGCAAAAGAACAAAATTTAACCCCAAAGAACTCAAATTTTGAACCAAAAATAACATCACTGAACATACTCGCAAGCTGTTTTTTGGCAAGCAAGATCTTTGGGAACAACAAAATCAAGCAGATAACATCTCTCGAACCCCTCCAAACACAAATCTTCAATCCTACAAGATATTTTCAAATTTCCAGTAACATCGAACGATTAAGCTCAAAACCCATTCAAATCGAGAGAAATGTGTACCTGAAGGGTATGACGGAAGAAAAGGGTAATATGAGACAAGGAAGACGGAGGCGAGAGTAGTAGAGATGAGCGAAGAGAGCTGAAAAAGCGCCGGAGTAGGAAGGATAATTGTATAGCACTAAGTTTGGTACTTTCTCTTCTAACGCATTGGTTATGGCTTCGAGCGCCGCATCAGATCGGAAACTCCGTCTAGCTTCGAATTGAAGTTTAAAAGAGTCGGAAATTCCCGGCAGAATTCTCCCGGAGAATCGCCGGAAAATCATCGATTGGGATTTTGGTAAAGGTTTATGTTCACGACTGAGATTTCGAAGCAGAGGAAATTAGCTTTTAATTGCATTGAACAGCTCAAAGTTTATATATATTCTTAATTTACCCTTTTAGTTTGTTATTTTCTTTTATAGCCCCTGATGTTCTTCTCTTTTGACATCAAAGCCCTAAAAAGAACCGCCTAGAATCCATCTTCTGATTATAATAAAACAAGAGTCATGTTAATGACAAACTTTAACAACTATTTGATTGGAAGTTAGAATGATTGACGTGAAAAGCAAAATTAAGCATCCAACTTGGAACTCTTCTTGCACCCAGACAACATGTTCATGTAGAGCTGGCACTCAGGGCCGGCCCAGACCTAAAGCCCAGCAAGCAGATGCTTTAGGCAGCAAATCGTATAAGTATTTTAAAAGCTTCTTGTAGTCTAGTGGTATTTAGGACTTCTAGAGGTAAACGGTCGTGGGTTCGATCCCTGGCAAACGAAGATTTTAACATTATTTTATTTTTAGTTGTTGTAAATGGGCATCAAATTTTGTTGGGTTTTAGGCATCATGAATCTTTGGACCGGCACTGCTGGCACTTACTGATGTCTGTTTCATAATCGTTAAGGCACTACACACAAACAAGAAACGCCTCAGAGAATACATTAAGAATCGACAATTAAAACATAATTTCACGTTTAAGATTTCTATAAGATATTTGATAGAAATACATAACATATATAACTATAATCCTATATACAATTGATCCATCACTTGGTTATTCATCCCATGTTGCAACAAAGATAAAGTTGACATAGATGTGCAATGGTAAAAGAAAATAAAAAGATAGGGAAGCTATAGGGATTAACTTACATCTTGGAAAATTTTGTCTTGAGTGGCACATATACTAACGGGAGCTGCAACAGGGGCTATAGAGGAAACCTCAGAGCCCACGACGGTTCGTGGGCACAACATAGCTGCGGATCTAACCAAATCATTATCTATATATAAAAATGTTTAAAATTATTACAAATAGGATAGTTCAAGTGCAGACCTCTAACAAAGGTTAGAAACCGAGACTCACTATCGCTACTAGCCCGATCATCGCTACTACCTCGAACCACAGGGTACAACTTGGTATCAGAATTCTTCTTGCACCGAGACAATGTGTTCATGTAGAGCTGGCACTTATTGATGTCTGTATCAAAATCGTTGAGGCACTACACACAAACAAGAAAAGCTTCGAATATATATTATGATTTGACAATGAAAGAAAGAAAACAGAATCCTGAGTTAGTAAGTCTAGGTTCATTTTGAATAAGCAAAAGTCAGGAAACATGTCATTTTGTATTCACAGAGAGATTAGACTGAAAAGCATATTCAATGTTCAACAAAGATAAATTTGAAATAAAGTGCAATGAAATATAGGGAAGCTAAAGGGATAACTTACATCTTGGAGAGCTTTGGATTGAGTGTGACATGGACTAACAAGACCTGCCACAGGCTCAGAGACCACAGGGGGTGGTGGGCACAATAGAGCTGCGGATCAAATCAACTCATTATCTAAATGTAAATGATTAAAATCATCAAAACATAAAATAGTTAAAGAGCATACTTCGAACCGTGTCCCCAAATAGAGTTTCGCCATGGCTAGTACCCCCATCCCCATCATCGCTAGTATCTTGATCATCGCTACGCATACCTCGAAATATTCCTCCAAACAGATTATAATCATCATCGCTACTAGTCCTATATGTAGGCGGAGTAGATCTTTCTGAACAACCAAGAAAACAAATTATAAATTGTCACATCAAAAAATGTAAAATACAAACATGGTATCGACATAATAAGAATTCACTAAAAAAACAAGAGAAGTATCCAAAATATAAAACAAAAAAGATAAGTTTAAGTATTTTAACGACAATCTTTTAAAAGTGACATTTCTTTTAAAACACAAATTTTCAGATGTTGTACTACTGAAGTTTACCAGTACGAGGCGATGAACTGCGTGTAGGTGCAGGTGAAGGTGCAGGGGATGATGATACATATGTAGCTGCAGGTGAAGGTCGAGGTTGAGGTGAAGAGCGAGGAGTAGAAGAGCGAGAAGAAGATCTGCCTGAACAACCAAGAAAGAAAAAAGAGACATCATTGGATTCATTACATAACAATAAAACCTCTAAAGCTAAACTGATCTTCAGAAACTACACTTATTACTTGATGATTATCGTTCAAAACAATATGTATTTTGCTCACACACAGATCATCCGTTTGTATTAAGATTAAGGTTTGAAAATTTATAAAGACATTGATATTTTGATCAAATAAATAAAATACAAAAATCTTGATCATTGCTAGATTTAACAATAGACAAGAAATGGTTTTTAGTTGATGTGTTTTAAAAATAATCAAATACTATTAAATTTCATTTTATCCCAAACAAGTATATATCCATGAGAAATGTGGTAAAAAATGAAATTTACCGGAAGTTTCACGAGACGGGCTGCGTGCAGCTGCTGGCCGAGGGCTAGAGGAAGATCTTCTTTCTACACAACCAGGTGAAAAGAAAATAACACCATTACATAATTAACAAGAAACCTATAATAGCAATTATATCATTTTCGTTATTATATTTTGTACCAAACAATAACCGTTGATTCTAAAGGCCTGAAGAGAGAGCTATATATAATTTTTTTTTCAAATATATTTACCAGTCCGAGGAGACGAGCTACGGGATGAAGATGATGATCTTTCTGCACAAAACCGAGTACAAAAAAAATCCCTTATAACTTCGTTGACACAAATATTAAAACCAAAATAATTGCTCAAGACACAACATAACTTTCTCCAATCCATAAAGATTCCCCAAGATTTTAACACAAATTAAAAAGCATAGGTGAGAATCATCGCAAACCCTAGTTTTTATGAACTATCTGAAATTGAAAATGAAGAAAATAACAAATCTCGCCTTCTTCATGTCTGCGTCTAGGCATTATGAATTTTTAGATGGCGAAGAGTGAAGAATTTATCCTGCGAAAACCAAATGTTTTTCTACGGCCTAAAAATCTAGCTAAGCAGATCTTTATAGAAATATCACTTGAAAATGCACTCAGTAATATAACGTGTGATTTTTCGAATTAATAAAAGATTATGTTTCCTTCCCCAACACAACACTTGCGCCTCAAGCCAAACGAGAAAACATAGCATCGGTCTCGGATGGGAATTAACTTTCACTGTTGAACAAGCAACTTGTGCAACGTATGACAATTGCATATAACATCTCGATTAATTATCGAAATGGATATATTTATTATTCCCAATCTTTTTTTAATGGGTTTGATGATGATTCTGTAGCCATATATACGTTGACGTAATATTTGAAAGGATTTCTTTATACTTTTTCAAGAAAAAAACAATCAATTTTATAATAAACAAATGGTTTAATTAACTAAATACATAACTTTGATTATCATTTTCCTTTTTCCTCTAGCATGATCCAAAAACATTTGACATGGCCTTCGAATTTTGATTTTGGAAGCAGAGCCAACACAAAAACTTCGTGTCACATCTCATCACCATATCGTGCCACCAAAACCATTATTTGTCACCGGTTTTGTTTTTTCAAGTAAACTCATCAAAGATTAGATTTGAGAACTACTGGTCCATTTGAAGATAAAAAACACGATCTTCAAACACCAATAAGTAGATCTAAGCAATAGAATATACTTTCCATTGATAAAAGGCTTCATCATCATAAAAGATCCCATAAAACCAAAAGAAAATAACATAAAAGATCCCATATCTTTCAATAAGAAAACCATTAGATTTCAACAACTAATTATTAAAGACACCAGAGTTGTTCTTAGCATAGACATCTCGACTAGTTGATTAAGCAGCCACCACGGAACCAGAATTCTTCTTGCATTCACTCAGCATGTCCATGTAGAACTGGCACTTACTGATGTCGCTTCCAAAATGGTTGACGCACTACATACAAACATAATAACATCCAATGTCAAACCAGATAACCTCGGATACACTAGTATTCAACAATCAACAAACAAAATAAAGATCATCACATCCAGAGTCTTCTAAGTTTAAGATTAAGCTACAGCACGTAAACACATCATGTCCTATTGTATTCATGATGAAAAACAACTTTCAATGTGCCTGCTTGTCCTTCAATTTCAATATACTTTGTGAATACACACCTAACCATAACAAGGCCAATGAAGATCTAGCTACTGATTCACATTCAACACTAAACAATCACTTAGCTAGGTTTATAACAAATGCTCAGAAAATATTGGAATCAACCTCACATGCTCAATGAAAATAGAGAAAGAGTTTAACTTACATCTTGGAAAGCCTTGGAGTGAATGTCACAAGCACTCATGCTAGTTGCAACAGGGGAAGCAGGAGCAGCCTGAGAAACAACGGTTTCGTGCTTGAAGGTTCGTGGACCCATCACAGAATCCACAACCCTGTGTGAAACTGCATTTCCAGCACCAAAAGCAAAACCTAGTTCCAAATAAAACAAACAGATCATAAGAAACCAAATCCAACCAAACCACTAATCTACGAAACAAAAATGCTTAAAAAATCACCAAAAGAAACAGACAAATGCACACATACCATCAACTATGGTAGCGCGGATATTCCTAAAGATACCACCTTCACTAGGCTGAGCTGTTGCTGGAGGAGGAGCACGATTAACTGAAAACCCAGAAACAAAACACAATTTCATAACAGAGAAAATCTACAAAGCTACACAATCATATCACAAAATTGCATTGAAGTCGAAATTTACCAGTTTGAGGAGGTGGGCTTCGAGCAGCTGCAGGGCGAGAAGAACGAGGAGGACGGTAACCAGATCTTCCTGCACAACAATTTAATCACACAAAATCAATTTCTCCCTCGTCGCCACAATCATAAACCCTAAAACATGTCGTTCCTCTAACATAATCGCTAAGGAGACTGAAATATTCTCTAATTGGAAGATATAAACCAAATTGTAACATCAAAGGAGAGGATTATCACAATCCCAGGAACAAATGATAAGACTACACAGCAAACCTTAAATAACCCAAATGTGAAGGAAGAGATCTGAAATCAAAAACTGGGAAAACTCACCTCCGGAGCTACCTCGAGGCATTTTGAATTTCAGATGTTGAAGATTACTACGTGATGAATTCTCCGGCGAAAACTTGACGATACTCTCCGACCAAAAAGCACCTGACCGACATAACGTATATTTATAAGAGGAAAACGATATAATCAGATGCGGTGAAGACCACGGGAGGATTTACACGTGTATATTTTTGATTGGTTACACTTGCGAATCGAACTCTCTAGATTAGAATATTCCCCCTTGCCCGTCACGTTTCTTGCGCTCCAAACCCAAATTTTGTTTCCATTTTTTATTTTTCCAAAAAAACAGAAACACGCCGAAGTTGGGCTATAACTGGCCCATAAAAATACAACTAATTTACAGTTCATAATATTAAAAACAGATTATTTATTAATTTTGTACAGACGCATGTTTTTACTTCTTTTTATTTATACAAATTGTGTTTAATGCACAACGCCCTGTATGTCGTCGTTTTGAGAAAGCTTCTTTCAAGGGCTTAACACAAAAGCTTCACTTATAGACCTGCTCTGTTAACGCCCTGGAACATCTTCATCATTGGAAAAGACTTAGGTTTAAGTTAGATGATTCACTTTTCATTGCAGTTTGCTACAAGAAGGTGGGTTTTGAACCTCAAGGTTATGGAGGTTTCAGATGTGAACACAACAGTATCATGAGATTAGAGCTCAAGACCACATGTGCGTTTAATGATGGTCACACTGAAAAGGAAGGTTTATGTAAAGGACTCCTATAAAATGTAATCAGAGGCCACTCTGAACAAAACTATGATGTGTCATGTGTCCAAAACCCAATTCAGTGTGACCCTTGTTAATGTCCCAATTAGCCTCTGTTTTGAAACTTAACAGAAAAGGTTCTGTATTCTTAACACCACTTGACCAAAATTAGTCTACTGTAATTCGATTGTAGGAGTAAGTTCCAGCAATAATAATCCACTGATAGAGTACAGAGAATTGAGATACAAGTTTTTCAATCAATCAAATCTCAATTTCATGTGTCTAATATGATTAACAAAAATAAAGGGGAATATTAAAGAAGTCATTAGACTAACTCAATCAAAGTGGTTCATGAAAATACAATTGTACAAAGAGTCAAAAAAGATCCCTAACAAGAAAATGAAAAGACTGAATGACACAAAGAAATAGATGAAAAGCTCTTTTTATTTCTCAAGTGGATGAAAAAGATTGGGTTCTAGTTCAGGTTGAGTGTTCTTCTCATCCACCCTGCTTTATCTCAGGAAAAAAGGCGTAAAGACGGTTTTCAGCTGCTTGGATTTGATCAGGTGTCCCAGATATGCAAACGTAATATCCATCATTCTTCCTGGATAAGGTTCAAGGAGTTGCACAAACGCACCTGATATCTGATTACAGAACATCAAATGATAAGCTACAACTTTTCTTCAAAGGTGGCATATTTCTTGTCTATCAAGTAATCAGAATATGTGTTACCTCTCTCAGACTCTTCTGTAGACGATTGTGACCATCCTTTCCATATCCAAACATAGAGCTCACATCATCTTCTGAAACTCTATATCGCACAGTTTTGTTTCTAATTACCATGGAAGGTTTGAGTCCACTGCAAAAGGTCAGTGTTTTTAGAACAAGGACAGGTTACTCTCTCATAATCTATCTAGCTGTTATGTTATTACCTTTCAAGTCCAAGGTGGTCATCTCTTGTAGAAGATAATCCTTCACTTCCATATACACTTCTTGGAGCAGTAGGTGGCTGTATTAATACTATGTATGTCAGCTAAAGAAACCAAACAGAAAGATGGGAAAAGTAAGAGACAGAGACATACCGGTGACGCCCACAACCGAGAGGAAGCTTGACTTGAGTGATGGGACATATCATTGAGATCCATAGTAGACCGTCGACCAGAATTTGGAGCATATCCAGTAGTAGGACTGAACCAATTAGGAAATGGATCTTCTGGTCTTATACAAGGATTGGCATAGTTAAATGGAAAATAAGACCCCATTTGGAAGGATTGGTTGATAAGATACTCTCGTGGCATGCTGGTAACTTGGTTTAGAGCATCTTCTTGACTGATCTCAGCATGTCTCTGCAAGGAATCACGAGGATCAACTTCTCTATACTGTCGTGACCTGCATGATGCTTCTCGTGGAACCACATCCATAGTCCTGCGTAAAGCACAAGGAACCGCCTCAGAATGCAAAGACGCCATCGGCTGACAAGCTTGCAAGTGACTGGATATGGATACTAGAGCTTTCTTCACTGCAGCCATAACATTTCCTTCGATCTGCCACATTTGGTAGGTTCACTCAGCATGAGAAATTATAAGATCTGGTAACACAAGCATCTACATAAATGTTATCTGTAGCATAAGTACCATGAATGATTATACAAGAACTTGACCCGAAAAAAGTACTCTGATCAACGACTAATATTTTTACCAATACACTGTCTAGTCCAAGTCCTTTAAACGAAAAGAACAGTTAATCTACTGAAAAGAAACTATATACCCTTTACTAGAATAACCAAGAACATTCAAGATTCAGAGATTTTAGAACATTATCAAGAAAACAAAATCACGAGTTCGTACCTTGAGCATTACGTCCCCAGGCTTTGCGCAAATTGGCAAATCATGTGACCGTATTTCAACATTACAACCAGTTTCTCTCCATATCCTCTGCATCAATTCACCACCATTACCTATCACCGTAACCACATGGCTCCCTTCTATTAAAAGCCTACACGAGACCGAACTAGTAGTCCAAAATCTGAAATTTAGAACTTCGAAAACCCTAATCAACGCCCCTTGTGCTCTGGAGACTTCAACTTCTTGTTCTTGCTCCTCCTTCTCAGCCCCGTCTCTACCCCATGGCAGATTAGGCAAATGCCATGGGTCCACTACCAATTTCAAATATTTTCTTAAAGATAAAAGGACCAATTTTTTCAAAAAAAAAAATTTTACTAAGAAATTTTTAAGTTTTTTTGGTTTTGCCAGAGGTCCCACAACATATTGAGACGGGACTGCTCCTTCTCCTTGTTGCTAGCATAATTAACAACAACACCTAATTTCACCCTAGACGTCAAGCCTACATGAGCGTAAATCGTGATGAGACGGTACAGAGAATCATCAGGAGTCTCGATCCAGATAAGGGATTTCGTTGTTTCTTGAAGCTCCTTAATCATTCTTCCAGATTTTCCGATCACATGCCCGACCTGAGACACGTCGCAGAGAATGCGAAACATTACGTATCCCGGCGGCGGTGCTGATGGTGGCTGCTGCTGCGTACGAGCGGGAGATTGCGCTCTAAACTTCTTTCCCTCCATTCTTTCTCTCTCTCTCTCTCTAACGGCACTTCTTGAGGAAGAAAGAATGAAAATTACCAACGGATTTGCATACGGCGTCGTATAAAGGATGGAGATTATTCACTAACCGAATCGGACCAATGAACGGTTCATATTTCTATTTTCCATATTAACCGAAATAGACCGACTTAACACATTACAAAATCTGGAGACGTCATCAAATTCGAGGAAACCAAGACGGTTTAGAAGGAAATCGGTTACTGGTTCGCTAAGAACGAGTAAGGAAAAACCGAAAAAGTTAACAATGTTATTTTTTTTTTTTGTCATCTGAAATTAATTAGAGCTCAAAAGAGCCATTCCTGTGGAATGTTGTTTACAAATGTGATATGAAGCGGTTCTGTACGAATTTTTCGTGCCAGATGATCCGCTTTTACATTAGCATTGCGAGAAATTAAAGATAAAGAGAAGGATGAGAATTCTTCCTTGTCGCTCTGAAATTCTTCCAAGTACACTGAAAACGCCGGCCATTCGGTTGGAGAAGACACCATCTTAACCAGATCAGAACAGTCTATAAGGAACTCTACCTCTTGATTATCTGCACCTATCATACACTTCATCGCCCAGAGAAGGGCCTCGAACTCGGTATGTAATGGAGATAAACTTCGACGGAGATTTGCAGCTCCCATGGTTGGCGGCTCTCCGTTTGATGATGTACAGAACCATCCTGTACCGGAGAACTTATCACTTTCTTTCCACGATCCATCCACAAAGCAACGGTATCCTGAATAAATTGAGTCAAGTGAAGTATTCCCCACTCGAGACCGATTAACCAATTCCACAGTACCATGAGTTTCATGATGAAGCTCAATTTGGGCAGACTGCCACAATTGTGCTTCTTTTTCCGCTAACCGTAATACCTCTAACGGATCTTTATCAATATTTTCATATATTTTTTCATTCCTTGCTTTCCATATATACCAGATAATCCATGGAAAGGCTGAAGAGTCAAATTCCGAAGGTATTCTCCAAAATAAATGGTCCAAATTCGCAAAAATAGACTCCGTTGGAAAAATTCCCATTGCTGAAGGAATCTGAGAGAGTGCCCAAACCTGTCGTGCTGGGTGGCACTGAAAGAGTGTATGATTGATTGTCTCCACTGGTTCGCCACATCTAGCACAACCTGTATCACAATCAATTCCTCTTCTCCGTAAATTCTCCCTAAGTTAACAATGTTAATTTACTAAATTATGACGATCAAAACATGGTACTAAAACTTTTAAATCGGCAGAAACAATCAGTGACACGATAATTTTGGTTTACACAGAAATAATTTGAGTGAAACAAAATATTGAATATGTAATTACATTTCTCCTATTTGTTCCAATACTGCAATTAAATTAATATTTTTGAAATTTTTGGGAATGTTGAACTGTTAATCAAAGAAAAAATGTAAATAGACTTAGAAAGGTAAGTATTTCTCAAAAAAATACAAATTAAAGCAAAATCAACCAGTGTTTTAAGTAAGATGAACTTTATCCAATAGCAAAAGAAACAATCACTTGCAGTTAAAGAACACTCAGGGAAATAAGAAAAAGAAAATGATCAATTTTCTGCAGCAGCACTTGCAGCACTCAAGTCCACAGACAAATCAAGAGTCTGCAAAAAAAAGACAGTATAAAAACTTAGTATTCAAAAGGTTGCGTTTACTTGTGAACCAAGAAACACACAGCGATGAGGTTTATATATACCTTTCCAGTGATCTTGGTGTACATGTCAAGTACATCCACAACTGTACTCTCGAAATGTGTTGTTGCATCATAAGTCTGACAAAACAAAACAAACAATAAACATCAGAAAGAGTCAGGAAAAAAAAAAAATTGTTGTGATCTGATAATCTTACAACAGAGATGAAACAGTTATCTTCTTCTTGATTATTGGTTGGAACGTATGTGTCATAAGAATGATAGAAGATCTCATCAATAGGTCCAAGTAATTCGATTCCAGGTTTAAGCTCCTCCTCTGGATTGTCAGTTTCAGCTTCTGCAGAAACAAAAGCTATGTATTTGCCCTTTGGTGCCACATTGTGAGCGTATGAGCAACAGAACAAGTACCTACAGAAGCCAAAATCTCAGAGATTTATCTTCAACTGTTTCAAAGTAAGATCTATGTTTCTATAACTTGAATGTGTTCTTGATTATGATCTCTTACATGTCTGATTTGCGACCGAGTTGCTTCTGAGGAAGAATGATTTGAACCGAGTGAGCGTCATTGGTGTCTGGGATAGGATGGCTCATTATACACACCGCTCGAGTCACTTTCCCAACTTTCTTTACCTGAAAGACAAGGAAACCGTCTTAGAAAGGTAGCTAGACAGTATAAACATTAAGCAGTTTCTGCAGTTGAAATGGGTTTAGGGTTACCTTGTCAGACAGGTAAGAAGGATCACAGACAACTTTCTTGCATTTAGCAGTTTCCCCTGCAGAAGTGACACCAATAGCTTTTCCAGAACCATCAAACTCTACCTGTTAGGGATGATGTTGAAGATTCATAAGTTTCTAGCTTTAAAAGAGTTAACATATATCATTTATATACTAAATTAGACCTCTTATCTAATCGATAAACAGAGAAATAAGAGAATATAGGTTGTTTAAACCTTGCATTCAGGCTTGTTGAGCATGTAAGTCCCACCGTACACAGCGCTTAAACGTGCAAAAGCCTGAAACAAAAACAGAGTTTTGAGACAGAGGGAAAGGTAGTAAAAAATTAAGAGGAAACCTGAGATGTTACATGAGAATAGAGTGAACACGAACCTGTGGCAACTCTCCTAGACCGTACAATGGATAGATGTAAGGAGATCCTCCTTGGAATCGAGCCAAAGATTCCGCGTAGAGCTTCACCAGAAAACAGAAAGAAATGAAATTGAGATTGGAACATATCCTTGTTGAAGAAGAAAAGGAAACACTTTACCTTGATTCTCTTGACAAAATCAATGGCGGGTTGATCCAAGTAGTCATCGTCGTTGTGAAGCGCTAAGGCATGCCCTATGAAGTCGATTGTGTCATCTTCAAGTCCATACTTTCTGTTGGGAATAAACAGATACAAAGCGTGTAAGCAAGAAACTATAATGAAGTGACTTGAGATGGACGAAAAATCGTTGCACGTACGAGATGATCTCTCTAGCAGTGACTTTGCTTAGGTCAAGTCCTTCGTGAGATTTGGGATCCTTCTCATCATAGTCTTGCACGTAGATAAAGAACTTTCTAGCACGTCGCTTCTCGAAAAGACCCATCAACGGCGATTTCAGGGCTTCCACATCAGTGGCTGGGACTTTGTAGATCTGACACACATATGGTACGGATGATCAAAATCTCGGAGTAATTAACTTTACCAAAACAAAAATCAGGATAATAGAGTACTACCTTGCCTTTCTTGTAGACAAAGCTACCATCAACGGCCTTAAAGTTAAGATACTTGGTAACATCGGTGTGGATTAGGGTTTGAACAAGGAGTCCATTAGCCATTATAAACTGCAGATCAAGAAACCATATCCACCATCAATAAACATTACATATATATGAATTCACGCATATACATGCAAATATAATGTACCTTTGGGATCATATCGACATTGTATTCTCTGCTTGCTCCGAGATTTTCTTGAGGAGTGTCACTTCCCCTGAAACGCTTCCATAGCTGAGTGAGGTTAAGAGAGGATGATTCTCCTCCATAGTAGTCGTTTCTATCCATATGTAGTACCTATTTAAATAGATCACAAATAAATAAAAACTATTTCGTTAATGATTTCACATATTTGAAAAATAATCTACTAACTTATTCCTTATATATGTGTTTCCAATGTTCCACATAAACCACCTATGATCTATGAAACAAAATTTCGCTTTTTCTTTTGCAGCAACAAGAACACATTCAAAAAGACAAATGTTTCATAAGTATTGATATGACATACCATGCAACAATTTGCAGACCATATTCATAACTATAATAAAACAAAAACATAAAACTTAAGCTTTATCTGGATGTGATGCACAAAAACAATTCGATATGGTGAAAGACAATGGTGAATTAAGGAGAAAACCTTGAGGCCATCGACAGAGAGGAGGCCACTCAGGATACACTCCTTAAGACCAGTCCCAAGAACAATCACATCATACTCTTCATCCATTATTGTAATCGATCTCTATCTCCGTTATCGATCTTTAATTCTTCATCGATCTCTAATATAATAGACTTTTTTCTTCGCTTTTGAGAGATCATAAATGTGAGGGAGGAAAAAGAAATAGAGGATGATGTGTGGCTGTTAACACAGTCTTACCACCACCTCCGATCTTACCGTTTAACCCCATGACAATTTTTCACATTAATTATTAAAACCGTATTGTCAGGGGAGAATTATTTGAATGTTATGGTTCCTATGTATAAAAATGGTTACAAACGCTTACTATATTTAGACGAATAGATGGGAACAAAAATGTCCGAATTACAATGACAATCGTTTTGACCTGAACCAAAAAAATAAAATAAGATAGTATGGTATTTAAGTATTTAACTCGTATATACGTATCGACAAACGCATGCAAACTTCTAATGACAAAAGTACCCTTACTGTTGCATTTTTCTATTACGATTAATAGTGTAAATGTTATGTATATACAAGGTCCTTTTGGTCCACTGCCAAAGAAGCTCTGTATTTAACCCAAACAAATAAAAAAAGGAGCAAAAAGAGTAACGGAGATATGGTAAGCGGCGGCGGCGATAATAACAGAGCGGAGGCGGATCAGTGGCTTGCTACATCGGAGAAGCTCTTGGCCTCAAGTGACTTTCATGGAGCTAAGACATTTGCGATCCGTGCATGCGAAGCTGACCCATCGCGAACAGACGCAGCGGACTATATCCTCGCCATCGCCGACACTCTCCTCGCCGGAGAAACTACCATCGGAGATTCGAAAGTAACAGACTGGTACGCGGTACTTCGACTCAGCCGCCTAACTCGAAACCCCGAACACGTGGCGACTCAGTACCGTCGACTCACTCTTCTCCTCAACCTCAATGTCAATCGTCTTCCTTTCGCCGATCAAGCTCTTAAGCTCGTGTCCGATGCTTGGTCTGTCCTCTCTGATCCTCCAAAGAAATCAATGTACGATCGAGAGTTGAAGCTGAGTCAATTTGGTCAACCTTATAGCCAATCGGAGGAATTTCAAGATTCGCCATTGCAGAGCCAAGCTGAGACCTTGGAGAATCCTACGGCTACGAGCTTCTGGACTGCTTGTCCTTACTGTTTTTCACTTTTTGAGTACCCTAAGGGTTACGAGGAATGCACGTTAAGGTGTCAGCAATGTAGGAAAGCGTTTGAAGCGGTTAAAACGCAAACGCCACCAGTGGAGAGTAATGGTGAAGGCGTTTACTTTGGTTCTTGGGCTATGTTCCCTGTAGGGTTAACAAGTCACGCTAAAACCTCTAATTGGTCGCCAATTTCACATCTTTCCGTCTGCACAGGGCAAAGATCATGTGATCAGCAATCGAAGGCTCTTCCACGAAACGATGATGCTGATGATGTTGACATATATATTACAATTTCTGATGATGATTAAAGATTTAAAGATATGATGCAAAGAAAAACAAGTAGGCATATGTTGCACATGATAAACTCAAGGCTACTTGGTGAAAGTAAAGCTTTATTTTTTTTCTTTTCACTCTGTCTTTTGTTTGTTTTGTGGTTCCTTTAGGTTTTATGTATTGCTAGCTTATGTTTATACCATAGTAGAACTGTAGAAGCTTCTCTAATTTTGATTCCTTTGTGGAATCAATGTTTGATGGAATATGTTTATGTATTTTGGTGCGAATTACAATTTCGGTATATAATCTTTTGTATCATAAGTTCATAACTATAAACTGGTTTTATGTGGCATGTTTGGTTGCGAATCATGCCTAGTTTGAGTATATGAAGAATGTTAGACGAAGTATCATAACTAGCAGAATGTTAATTTAAGGTGGGAATAGCATTTAATCTGCTCAGGCTTGTGAAGGAATGTTTCTTGTTACCGACTTGAGTTTTACACAAATCTGTAACTTTTCTTTTGTTTGAAGATCAATATATCAAATAATTCATTTTACATGTATATGACTTTAATGACAAAGAACAAACATACACACAACCAAAAAACGATTCAAGTCGTTGTGTAGATTACCGGCCAAAACCTAAACATTATATTTTAAGGCCCTTTCATACTTACAAATACACCGAATTTATGTGCAAATATTTCACCTTAGTTTTAATAAATTAGAGCTTCTATTTCAAAATCAATATCGAAATGACTAGAGATTTTAAGACTTATATAATTTGATCAAGTCTCATCTTGATTTTTCTTTTAACTTTTTGTATAAATTTTACATAAATTTGATGTTTGTGTCTCATATTATTTGCAAAACGCTCTTCTAGTTTACAAAGTTTAAGCCTATTTACGTGTAGCTAAAACATGAACACGTAAACACTAAAACCTAAAATTCAACAAGATTGACAATGACAATATAGATATACAGATAGAGAAGTTAAACGAACCTTTTTTATATTCAAACCTCTGTACAGATTTTCCCACCAAACTCCATCTTTCTTCTTCCTCAAAACACCTTTAAATAGCCCATCGAATCAAAGATCATAATCTCATCACAAACACAAACCAACAACAAACACCACAAACAAAGCAAAAGAAGAAACAAAAGCAAGAGTTCTCAAGCAAGCTCAGACATGGCACTAATGAAGCAGAGTATCTCTGCTGCTCTTCTCTCATCACCACTTCTGATCATATGTCTTATCGCATTGCTCGCTGATCCGGTTTCGGTCGGTGCTCGCCGGTTATTGGAGGATCCTATACCGGAGATACCAAAATTGCCTGAGCTACCTCATTTCGAAGTTCCCAAGTTGCCGGAACTCCCTAAACCAGAGTTGCCTAAGTTACCTGAATTTCCAAAGCCTGAGTTGCCGAAGATCCCGGAGATTCCAAAGCCAGAGTTGCCAAAGGTGCCGGAGATTCCAAAGCCAGAGGAAGCTAAAGTGCCAGAGATTCCGAAGCCTGAATTGCCCAAGTTTCCCGAAATTCCGAAACCTGAGCTCCCAAAGATACCAGAGTTACCAAAGGTACCGGAGATTCAGAAGCCTGAGTTACCAAAGGTACCGGAGATTCAAAAGCCAGAGTTGCCGAAGTTTCCAGAGATTCCAAAGCCAGAATTGCCCAAGTTTCCAGAGATTCAGAAGCCTGAATTGCCAAAGTTTCCGGAAAACTCAAAGCCTGAGGTTCCTAAGCTAATGGAGACTGAAAAGCCTGAGGCTCCTAAGGTGCCGGAGATTCCAAAGCCCGAGTTGCCAAAGATGCCGGAAGTTCCCAAGCTTGAGGCTCCTAAGTTACCGGAGATTCCAAAACCTGAGTTGCCTAAAATTCCGGAGATTCAGAAGCCGGAGTTACCTAAGGTACCAGAGATTCAGAAACCCGAGTTGCCAAAGATGCCGGAAATTCAGAAGCCTGAGTTGCCAAAGATGCCGGAAATTCAGAAGCCGGAGTTACCAAAGATGCCGGAGATTCAGAAGCCTGAGTTGCCGAAAGTACCAGAGGTTCCAAAGCCTGAATTGCCAAAGGTTCCTGAGGTTCCAAAGCCTGAGGCTCCTAAGTTGCCGGAGATTCCAAAGCCGGAATTGCCAAAAGTGCCGGAGATTCAGAAGCCGGAGTTGCCAAAGTTCCCAGAGATTCCAAAGCCTGAACTACCCAAGATTCCAGAAATTACAAAACCTGCAGTTCCAGAGATTCCAAAGCCAGAGCTACGGAAGATCCCGGAACTTCCCAAGTTGCCGGAATTCCCAAAAGTTCCCGGAACTCCTTAAGCGTTATTGAACCAGAAGAAGGCCCAACTACTTTGAAGCCCATCATACGATCTTAAAGTACCATTTTACCCTTATTCTATTTGTCTATTTGCAGAGATGCACGTATGTCTATCTACATCATCGTTTCCCTAGTGAAAACCATGTCTTATTATGGTTTTGGTCTCATAGTCATAGTTCTTGTTTTTTGGGTTAAGGTTATACACTTATACTTGTATTCTGTTATATTTGTATTGTTTGTTTTCATACACATTTCGTTGTATTCGATATATATACTTTTTAATTGATTAAGTTATCTATTTAAGAGTTAAGATAAGACATGTTTCTGTTCAAAAGGCTACACAATGAACTCTAATTACTCAATTATCTCAGTTCACATGTTCAAGAAAATCAATGAAACGACGTATATCTACGCATATTGTGGAGAAGAAAAAAGATTTAAAGTAATACCCAATGTCACATATCCCATGTCCAAAACATAGGAAAGTAAAGAGGACATGTACAAAAATTTAGACACTACTGGTACTAGTTGTTAAAAGATATTGATTGATTTGCAATGTAGAAATGGACTTTCAAATTATGGAACTTATGTGTAAATAAACTCAATATTGTTCAAAGTTGTGCTGTTCTGAAACTTTCTACTAACATGAAAGAAGACAGTGATGTGGTTAATATACTTTTGAGAATCGGATCATCAATCAACTCCATATCTGATTCTTCCAAGGCCTTAGTTAGCTCTTTCGTGCACATTATAAGCAGCAGAGATCTTCCTTATCGACTCAGACAATGAGTTGATTCTTCACTTTAATTAAACTCATCAGATTTTCTCAGAGAAACAAATAAAAGGAAATAAACAGAGCGTGAGTGTTGTGCTCTGTTATGCTCTGTAATACTCTGTCTTTCCCTCTGTAAGGTTTACTTTTCAGTTTAAGATTAACCAAAAACAAATATAAAAGTTTTACGAAGTCTAAACCTTTAATAACGTGCTTTCATACGAGGATTATATAAAATCTATAATACGTATAAACCAAACACACGAACACGTTAAACCTAAACTTCAGCTACATTGAAAGTGACAATATAGATAGACAGATAGAGAAGTTAAACGAACCTTTTTTTATATTCAAAACTCTGTACATGTTTTTCTCACCAAACTCCATCTCTCTTCTTCCTCAAGACACCTTTAAATAGCCATTTCAATCAAAGATCAAAGCTCATCACAAAAACAAAGAACAACAACAGAAAGCAAAAAAAAGAAAGAAAGATAAAAGCTTGTCAAGGAAACAATGGCATTGAAGAAGAGTCTCTCTGCTTCTCTTCTTTCACCATTTTTGATCATATGTCTAATTGCATTGCTCTCTGTTCCAGTATCAGTCGGAGCTCGCCGGTTATTGGAAGATCCTAAACCAGAGATACCGACATTGCCGGAGCTACCTAAACTAGAGATGCCAAAGTTACCCGAATTTCCGAAGCCTGAGTTGCCTAAGATTCCGGAGATTCCAAAACCTGAGTTGCCTAAGTTACCTGAGATTCAGAAGCCTGAGTTTCCGAAGATGCCGGAGATTCCGAAGCCAGAGGAAGTCAAAATTCCGGAAATTCCCAAGCCAGAGTTGCCAAAGATGCCGGAGATTCCCAAGCCTGAATTGCCGACGTTTCCAGAATTGCCGAAGATGCCGGAGATTCAGAAGCCTGAGTTACCGAAGATGCCGGAATTTCCCAAGTTCGATGCTCCAAAGTTGCCGGAATTTCCAAAACCAGAAGAAACCAAAGTTCCGGCGTTTACAATGCCAAAGTTTCCTGGATCTCCTTAAGCCCATTATACCAGAAGAAGGCCCATCATACTTTGGAGCCCAGTCTAATTTTCTGATATTGTCGTATGACCCCTTGGCCCTTGTATTGGTTGTCTATTTAAAGAGATGTGCTTCTTTCGTTCTATATTAGCTCATCCTAGTACCTTATTGTATCTACTACTGATTGTTATACACTCATACTTGTATTTCTATTCCGTTGTTGGTATGTTTGATACATATTCGTTGAATCTAAATATACTTTTTAGTGAATTGAGTTAATAATCTCTTAGGACATCACAACATTGGTGTCTCAACAAGCCACCAATCAATACGGATATTAAAAAATTATAAGCACATTTTTTTTGAGAAATACAAACTTTAAAATCAATGTACTTATCGACCAAAATCTATAATCTAATGATTTGTATTAATCCAATCGCCATATCTTAATTAGATTTAGAAAATGTATGAATGTAGATTGTAGATTGTGCTTGAGAGAAAAAAACCTTGCATTAACCCTTGATTTTAATATGTATCTTTAACTTATAAACATTTTTCAATATAATTTCACATCGATATTTTTTTATAATTTAAAAAAATCATCGAACAAATAATCTGAAATACATAATTTAACTTGGGTTTTTTTTTTTTTTTTTTTGTCAACAATTTAAGTTCGATTTCTAAGTCAACTAAAATTCAGTAACCAATAGTTTTTTTAATAAAAAAAACTTTCACTTCTAGGGTTTAGCCGAGGTCCTCGTATATATTTGGATCCGCCGATTTAGGCAACTTCGTCGCTGTTCATTTGGAAAACGTAAGCAGACCACAGATTTAGGGTTTATCCACCTTATCCTTCGCCGAGATCCAACAATGGTAAGTTTCTTTATCTGCATCTCTCTCAATCTACTACTTGTGCTATCAAATTTCCGAAATTCATGGTTAGTAATTTGGCTCCAATGGGATTCTCTAGGCTGATGTCGAACCAGAGGTTGCAGCAGCAGGAGTTCCAAAGAAGAGAACGTTCAAGAAATTCGCCTTCAGAGGAGTCGATCTCGATGCTCTTCTTGACATGTCTACTGATGATCTTGTCAAGCTCTTCTCTTCCCGTATTCGTAGAAGGTTAGACTTTGAACTTAGAAAAAGTTTCGTCTTTTGTAGAATCATCTCTTGTGTTCTGACTAACTGAATTCTCGTGTATAGGTTCTCTAGAGGATTGACGAGAAAGCCTATGGCTTTGATTAAGAAACTCCGCAAGGCGGTAAGATACCTAATTTCTCTCATTCCTAATTAGATATGTGTTGAATTGATATTGTTCTAGGTTTGTAGAATCTGATTCTGCGTTGTGAGCTATGTGTTTTCCTCTTATTGCATCTGTGTGCTTTCCAAATAGAGTAAACTTAGGAATGCTTGCGAAATGTTATGTTTGTTCTATGCAACCAAATTGGTTCAACTTCTAAAGATTACTGCTTTGTTTTGCTTGATCAGAAAAGAGAGGCACCAGCTGGTGAGAAGCCAGAACCAGTGAGAACCCACCTAAGGAACATGATCATTGTGCCTGAAATGATTGGAAGCATCATCGGTGTGTACAATGGAAAGACTTTCAACCAAGTTGAGATCAAGCCTGAGATGATTGGACATTACCTTGCTGAGTTCTCCATCTCGTACAAGCCAGTTAAGCACGGTAGGCCTGGTGTTGGTGCTACTCACTCCTCCAGGTTCATCCCTCTCAAGTGAAGACCTTACAGAGTCTTTGTTGTGCTCTTGTTTTCTTAGCTCTCATTATGCAATTATAGGGTCCTTATATGTCTGTTTTTGGACCATTTTGTCTGTCTGTACTCCTCTTGCTACTCTGCTGCAATTCTCTCTTCTTTAGATGTGTCTAAACTCTTGTTCCATTCGTTTAAAGAAGACTCAAAAACTTTTTGGAAAATCTTCTATCAGCCATGACTAGTTCATACTTTCATATATAGCTTTGAAGTAGAGTAATTTTATACTTTCATATATCAGCCATGACTAGTTCATACTTTCATATATAGCCATGAAGTAGAGGTAGGATGATTGAGAAAATGTATCTAATCTGTTCTCAATTCGACCGTTTTGGCTACAATTCGATCTGTTTCCTCTGGAAACCTGTTATTCCCGAGGGAGATCAGAGCCTTGGAGCAAGATGGTCTCACCAACCAAACAGAGAAAATAGTAAGCTTCTACTATTATCGGTATGATGGAAACAACCTTTAACACGATTGGACTCACACATTGAATACAGTAATAGAGAATGTTTGTTTGCTACATATTGATATGAAAACTATGGCGACTTGCAGAATTTTAGGTGTGTTGTTGTTTACCAGGCAATTGAATCTGGATTATGAGGTTTCTCTATCTAATACTCAACGGCAAATCCCGAGTTTCACTCACCAATGACCAAATCGAACCTTCAGAATTCATATTAAAGTTTGTGTAGGTCTTGTATTTTCCAAATATATGGGCCTCGAAGAAAATAAAAAAGAATTCATGTACCTGATAATAAATAAATGTTACTAGGTTTAGCCGAGGTATATATTTGTTGCTTAAGTTAAGTTGTTTGTCGTTTGCGCAGTCACTGTTCGAGGCTCTGTGGATTTTTTTAGGGTTTCAACAAATTCCAAACAATCAATGGTTAGTTCCCTGATCTCTGTCTCTTTATCATACTATCATTGATCAAATTTTCCGACATTGTGTTTGTAATTTTATCGCAATGGGAAATTTCGTAGGCGGATCCAGAGGTTGCTGCGGCTGGAATCGTGAAAAAGAGAACGTTCAAAAAGTTTTCTTTCAGAGGAGTTGATCTTGATGCTCTTCTCGACATGTCTACTGATGATCTTGTCAAGCTCTTCCCTTCCCGTATCCGTAGAAGGTCAGAGGACTCTTTGAACCATGTCTCGATTTCGTAGATCGTCTCTTGGTTTCTGAGACTGATCGGTTTTGTTATATTAATTCTCGATATACATAGGTTCTCTAGAGGATTGACGAGGAAGCCTATGGCTTTGATCAAGAAACTGCGCAAAGCGGTACAGAACTCTAATTTCTTCATCAATAATTCTTTGTTCTAACTAGATCTCTGCCCTGGAACGTGTCTTCTTAGATTAATGTGTCTTCTCAGATTCATGCCTCTCTAGATACGATTTTTGTAACCAAATGGCTTTAAAAATCTTAAGATTGTTACTTTCTCTGTATGAGCAGAAAATTGAAGCACCAGCGGGAGAGAAGCCAGCAGCAGTGAGAACCCACCTAAGGAACATGATCATTGTGCCTGAAATGATTGGAAGCGTCATTGGTGTTTACAACGGAAAGACTTTTAACCAAGTCGAGATCAAACCAGAGATGATTGGACATTACTTGGCTGAGTTCTCAATCTCATATAAGCCGGTTAAGCACGGTAGACCTGGTGTTGGTGCTACCAATTCCTCCAGGTTTATCCCTCTCAAGTGAATAATCAAGCTCTTGTGGAGAGTCTTTGTTATGCTCAAAATTTGAGTCTTTCGTTTCTTTTTCTTTGGAACATTTTGTCTCTCTTTTTCTCTTCTCTCCTTTAGATTTTGTTCAAACTCTTGTTCATGCGTTTAAATAATACAGAGCTTTTTTTTTAATAATCTAGTACACTTTGGCTTTGCTCTGTTTTGTTGAGTATTAAATAGTATACATAAAAGTTAAAATTTAGAAAATAATTCCGGATCTGTATCCAATTCTTTTGAGTACCTATATATATCTTTGAATTTAATTTTCAAACTGTGTAGATTAGTTTTTAAAAGTTTCAATTCAATATCTTGATGGCTTAGTTTTTTTCACTGTATTGCAGATGATTGTGTAATGAAGATAGAAATAAACACAATGACCCTATTTAAAATTAGAAGAAAATTCCATAGAAATTGGGAAATCACCAACTATATAAAAGAATTTCTTTAAAATATCTGTACAAATTTTGACTAACCAATTTTATCCTAAATCATTCAATTTTACATTAATACTAATAATTAAGTTTTGATTCTTTTGGGGGAAATTGTGTATTTATATTTATATTAAAAGGAAAAAAAATATAGAAGTTTGTGTATTATAAGGGAAGAAATCTAAATAAATATTGACTCATATGTTATTTAGAAACTAAATAATTTAATATTTGGTAAATTTATTGAAGTTTCCTTAAACAGAAACACTGTAGGATCTATAATACATCTGTATATATTGGGTGCCAAGTTATGTCTCTTGTCGTATCTCCATAGCAAAACCTAGCAGCAGTCACTTTCAGGGCTTCTCAAACCAAGAACAATGGTTAGCTTCTCCTTCTTTATCTCTCTATACCTTAATTATTAGATTGTTAGATCTTGGAACATCATCATAGTCTTAAATTTCTCTGTCGGAATCCGTAGGCTCAAGTCGAATCAGAGGTTTCCACAGCTGCTCTTGCGAAGAAGAGAACGTTCAAAAAGTTTTCCTTCAAAGAAGTCGATCTCGATGCTCTTCTTGACATGCCCACTGATGATCTTGTCAAGCTCTTCCCTGCCCGTATAAGAAGAAGGTTTTGATCCCACCAAAAATTTTGGTATTATATATATATGGTTTTGAATGATTGGTTTTGTTTAATTATGTTGATTATTTTGTAGGATGAGTAGAGGATTGACGAGGAAGCCTATGGCTCTCATCAAGAAATTGCGCAAAGCGGTAAAACTCTAACTTTCCGGTACAAATCTTTGTTGTTATTGTGGTCATAGTTGTTATTATTCTGTGATCTCCCAACATTACTATAGCTTTAGTTAGGGTCTGCCTGTAGGTTGGGTTCGATTAGTATAACAACAGTCTCTAATTTACTTTAAACCAGAAACTAGAAGCACCAGCTGGTGAGAAGCCAGAAGTAGTGAGAACACATCTAAGGAACATGGTGATTATGCCTGAAATGATTGGAAGCATCATCGGTGTGTACAATGGAAAGACTTTTAACCAAATCGAGATCAAACCGGAGATGATTGGACATTACCTTGCTGAATTCTCAATCTCTTACAAACCCGTTAAGCACGGCAGGCCAGGTCAAGGTGCTACACACTCCTCTAGGTTTATCCCTCTCAAGTGAAGCCATTGCAAGTCTTCATTTTGTTTTTACCATTTCTTTTGTTTTGCTCATCTAAATCTCTCTTCTTATGATGTCTCTTCTCTAGTGTCTTTAAACTTTTCTTATTATCGTTAAAAGTTTTCTTGGTGTCTTTCTCTACAATATTTTTAGTTATACTTCTACCATTATGGGTTTTAGTCTAAACTTTTAGACTTGAGTTACAGTCTTAACATTATTTGATTTTGATCCTTATATATTTCAATAATCTACCTAATGAGTAAAAAGTAAAAACTATTATATCCTGACCACAAGTACAATTTTCACTTGAAACGGCTACAAGATAAAGTGATAAACTAATAAAATCATATGTAAATGTATTAATCGGTTCGGTAAATCTGCTTTAATTCACAACTAAATGGATTATTTGTTCAACTTTTCAAAATCTTTTCCGGATTTTAAAAATTAAATACAAAATTTACAGGTAAAGAAGGTGGGATGCAAATGAAACGTAAATTGAAAATCTGAAATATAGGTGATTGCTAATTGTAAGTTTTCTTGTAATGTTTAGTATTAATAGCTTTAAAACAAGTAGTATTAACTTAAAGTCGAAACTAAACATAAAGGGGTTCTACAACTAAGACGTAGAATGAAATATAGGTGAGTTTGTTGAAGACTAACATCACATTCTCACAATCGTGCATTGAGATCTTCTCACCAAAAGTTTGACTCTTATGAATCTACTTCATTCAGCTCTCTCATATCAATATTATTTAAGAAACCATTCTCTACACAATACCAAAACACAAACTCTCTATATTCACAACATTATTTAACTCATCTTTCTAAGTTGGTTTCCATTCAAAAATATCACAATGATTAATGTTCGCCTTCCTATTCTTGTCTCTTCGGTTTTTTTCCTTGTCTTTATTTCGTCGTCCCTCTTGTTCGCTACACCTAGTTTTGCTGCTAGAGTAAGTCACTCTCTGGTGCATGAAGAGGTCACAAAGATTCCAGAATACACAGAACCTGAGGAGCCGGAGATTCCAGAAGAGCCGGAGCTGCCGTCGCCGGAGGAGCCTGAGATTCCAGAAGAGCCTGAGGTTCCTGAGGAACCCGAAGTTCCTGAGGAGCCCGAAGAACCAGAAGAGCCAGAAGGGCCAAAATTTGGCTTTCCATCATGGATTCCGAGCTTTCCTTTTCCCGGTGTTAATGGCGGTTTACCAAAGAGTGAAAAGACAAAACCAACATCAACAGTTGAAGAGGTTAACGATTCTAACAAGAAGCCATAGATCAACGGGTGAAGAACGTCAAAAGGGTTGCATCTCTATAGTGAATACTCTTCCTTGATTAATGATTATATAAGTATATATGCAATAATATATATAGTGTTGGTGTGTTTGATTAAAGATGATAGAATACTTATGTATTAGAGTTCTCGTGTCATGTTTGATATAATCTCGTACTGATTCTCTCTTGTAACATGTATGTCTCTTTAATTTATGGTACAAAAAATTATATTTAACTCTTAATTAAAGAGATATATATATATATAATGTGTCAATTACTCGTCATATTGTTTTTCTACACCTATATACTATACTAGATCATCACCCGTACTTTAGTACGGGTTGAATTTTATTTATTACAAAATTTATATAATACATATATTAGAACTAAGTTTTAATATATTATAATAGTAAGTGAAAAAATATTAATTTTTTTGTCAGTTCCTATATACAATATTATAATAAATATAGAATTTTTTCTATAATACTCAATTATGGATAATTTTTTTTTTAAGATATGAAAACGGAAAAAAATTTTAATTTTTAAAAAGTAATATTTTTTGAACAATGAGTTAATTTATGTTAACAACCACAAAATAGGATTGCATATATTTCAGTTAGATCAAAAATTAAAATATCATAAATGAATCGCATATAAAACATAGATTATTTTGAATTAATTAAGAAAATTAGTTATTATTTTGAATTAATTTAGAAAATTCTTTTTCAATTTATAATTCTTTGGTTGTTGAAATAGAGATTTATTTGAGCTAATCTAATTACAGAATGTGTTTGAGATTTATAATTACGGAATTTACCAATTATTAGCATAATCGAATATGTTATAAACATATATTTAGTATATAATAATACCAAAATCAACCCGTGCGTGGGTCTATATTTTTATTTTAGAATCTCAATATTTTATTTTAAAATATTGCGTACACAATCTATTATTCGTTAATTATAAAATTGCTTGCGGAATCAAATTTTCAAATATTTAGAGGTGTCAAACCATATTTAAATGTTCTACACTATTTTTAAATATTCCAAATTAAAATCTTTAAATTTTTTTTGTAGTTTATAAAATTATGAATTTCAAAAAACAAATTATATGAAATTAAATATAACTGTTCAAATAGTTAAAAGGATCAAAACTCATTTCATCATATATTATATTATATTTAACCCGCTACCTATTATAAATATTTTTAAAAATAATCAAATTAGAGTATTTATCATTTTTAACTTTTTGAACTATTAAGTATTGATGATATTCTCTAAAAATATCAAGTAAAACTTATTTTAAATGTTGCAAATTAAAATATTTAAATTTTTATTGTAGTATATAAAATTATACATTTCAAAAAAATAAATGTATGAAATCGAATATAAATATTCAAATTCTGACCCGTTGCTCAGTCGAAATTTTTGTTGACTTTATTTTTGTGTAAAAGAAATATATTACTCAAGTCTGAATTTTTGACCCGTTTAATTGTATCCTTTATAGATTGAACAATTTATATGCGTTTTTAAAAATTCAAATCTTGACATATGCAGAAAAAAAATTACTTTTTTTTATTAAGTAGATGATATGATGATTTATTTGTTTCATATTAATATAATCATATAAAGATGAGAGGTGAAGTTTAATGATTAATAACAAATTAATATGGTAAGTTAGATATCAAATCTTATATGTTCATTTTGATTGGTCATTTTAAAAAAAAAATAATAACAGATTTTCGTTTTATAATTTAATTAAATTAATTAAATGACATAAATTAGTATTTTACTTGTTTATCCTTAATAAATTGAATGAAATTTGTTCTAAAAGAAGATTTTTGTAATGGCATTCTTAAGTAAATTCTTACAAAATGGAAGGTTAGTTAAGGGTATCTTATAAAGTGTACTCCCCAAATAATAGTATAGGATGACTCGTTCGTCCTTAACATCAAATTAGTATGAGTAGATGTTAGATTGGGTTTATTGAGTATTGACCAATATTGGCTTATTCCTCTAGCTTCAATTATTCGTTTCTGTAATGACAAGGTGTGCATCAAGACAAAACAAGAAACATTGTGCTAAAAGCTGGAACCCGTAATTCAGGACTAGTACACAAACTCAAACTACGCGTTGCATTATTTTCTTCTCATGTAGTTTGTCTTCTTCCATTTCCAACTTGTCCAATTTTATTTTTTCCTCTCCAAACATTTTCCTACAAAAGATTCATTCTCCCAAACTCTTCTTTTTTATTTCTTTTTCATTAATACAATCAAATCCTCCGGTAATCGTTTCAATGGGCTTCAAACCATTTCTTGAAGGTGGCATCGCCGCAATCATCGCCGGAGCTCTGACTCATCCATTAGACCTCATCAAAGTCCGTATGCAACTCCAAGGCGAACACTCTAATTTCTCTCTCGACCAAAGCCCTAACCCTAATCTTGTTCTTGATCATAATCTTCCCGTTAAACCATACCGACCCGTTTTCGCTCTTGACTCTCTCATCGGCAGCATTTCCTTATTACCCTCGTCCATTCACGCGCCGTCTTCTTCCACGCGCTCCGTCATGACCCCTTTCGCCGTTGGGGCACACATTGTCAAAACCGAAGGACCCGCCGCTCTTTTCTCGGGCGTCTCCGCCACCATCCTCCGTCAGATGCTTTACTCCGCCACGCGTATGGGTATTTACGACTTTCTTAAACGGAGGTGGACTGATCGACTCACCGGTAATAATACTAATTTCGGTAACAATAAAAGTCAAAATAAGTTTTGGTTTTTATTCGGCTTGATTTGGTTCGGTTCCACTAAAATCGGTTGAGGTTCTCGGTTTTGGTTTTAAATAAGAAAAACCAATGGATTTATAAAAAAATGTTGGTTCGGTTTCGATCTTAACCAGTTCGGTTTGTTTTTGTTGGAATTTTTCCATATTACTACTGTTTTAGAGTACACAAAATATCAAAATAAATTAAACGTAAACAAATTAATTAACCCGATAACTCTCAAAAGGTAACTTCCCACTGGTAACCAAGATCACAGCTGGACTCATAGCCGGAGCCGTTGGATCAGTAGTCGGGAATCCTGCTGACGTGGCGATGGTGAGAATGCAAGCCGACGGAAGCTTGCCGATAAACCGTCGCAGAAACTACAAGAGCGTCGTGGACGCACTCGAGCGGATCGCGAGGCAAGAAGGCATCTCAAGCTTATGGCGTGGCTCGTGGCTAACCGTGAACCGCGCCATGATCGTGACTGCTTCTCAGCTCGCCACGTATGATCACGTCAAAGAAATCTTGGTCGCCGGTGGACGTGGAACGCCAGGAGGGATCGGAACGCATGTGGCGGCGAGTTTTGCGGCGGGGATTGTCGCAGCGGTGGCGTCAAATCCGATAGACGTTGTGAAGACGAGGATGATGAATGCGGATAAGGAGAATTACGGTGGACCGTTGGATTGTGCGGTGAAGATGGTGGCAGAGGAAGGACCAATGGCTTTGTACAAAGGGCTTGTTCCGACGGCGACGAGGCAAGGACCGTTCACGATGATATTGTTTCTTACCTTAGAACAAGTTCGTGGTTTGTTAAAAGACGTTAAATTTTGATTAAATGTTACTTTTTTTTTTGGTAGTTAGGTTAATAAATTTTGCCCATATTTCTTCATACATTGCATATACGTTCAAATATTTTGAAAATATTTTATATAGCGATTAATGTAATATTTTATTAGAGATTTTGTATAAAAATAAATTCTTTCTTTTATTTGCACAAATATTTTCTTTAGTAAATGCGAAAACTGATAGTGATTGAAGCAAAGGGACTTTGTCGGACGGTCCAAGTCTCTTAGACTTGGGGGATATACTTTTGCTGGGGACCTTCATTTGGTATATTCCTTTATTTTTTTGATACTATGTTCTATTTTTGTGGTTGACAGAAATTATGAAATATCGCTTCTAACTTACAAGTTTTTTTTGTTGTTGGTAAAAATCTAAATTAGAAAATATTCAAAAAAAAAATTAAAAAATTGTGATTAACTGTTTAATTAATCGTTTTTTGAAATTGAATTTGATCATCTCTATATAGAGAAGCGAAATATTTCTAATCTTTTTTGCTTGAGTTAAGGACTTAAGGTGGTGGCATAGTGTCAGTGTGTTTGTTTCTTAAGAGTTATCCAAAGCTGAGAACATGGCCCAAAATAAGTCCAAGGCAATGTATAATAGGCCCAATTTTGTATGGTCACTCATCTAACCAAAGCCCAGTCTCAATAATGTGAACTGAAATTTCTATTCAACTGTCCTTTTAACATGTTTAAATAATTTACTTCGGAATAGAACACATCAATTATGAAACCTAAAATTTTAAGAATTTTGAAGTACATATATTTGGGTCCACACGGCAACGACTATTCTCATATCACATCAAACAAAAGAAAAAAAGATTCAACAAGAAATTTAATCTTTAGAAAAAATATTCCAAAAAGCAAAAAAAGAAAAAAGGAAAAGAAGTCGTCAAGGCAATTAAGCACTTAATTCCCCGTGCATTTCTTTAATCATTCACTTGCATTCCTTTTTCCTTTTCTTTTTACTCTTCTTTCACCAAATTTGTCTCTTTATTCCCTTGTTTTTTTCTTTCTCCTATGATCATGGATTATGGTGAATGCTCCAACATTTTTCACCCCAGTTACATATTAAACTATCATGGATAATAGTTTCAACTTAGTTATGTTAAAACGAGTGAACTATATTGATGTTTTACGAGCTACGTAAAATAAAATGGTGTTTTATTAGCTAGCTACTAAACAACAATGTTAGAATGTAAGTTCAATTATTCTCTCGCGTCATCGCAAAGACGTAAATGTAAAATGTTCCAAATCATCCCACCACACTCCATAGTCCACACACACCTAAAAAGAAAAGTTAATAATTAAAAAAAACAATGATTATAGAAACCACCAAAAATGGTTAAAAACTCACTTCCACTATTTGCCTCATAATTAAAAAGAAGAAACGTTGTCCCAAAAGAAAGAAAGTAAAAAGAAGACGAACATATAATGGCTTTACTTTAACGAACAACTAAGAAATTATCACGTTCTTAATTATTAATTTATGGCTTGAAATTATGGATCGTGAGGGTTTGCAACTATATACAGTTATACACCATAATTAGTAATTACATATATACACGTTCGGCCACCTCGTCCCATTGCCTCCATAAAAGTATCAAACTAACCAACAATATTTCTATTCTTTCTATCATTCAATTCAAAATTGTATGCATTTTCTAAAATAAACTCATATCGAACCGAATTAAATAAAAATATATTTTAAAAACCAAAATTTTCAAAAAGATATATTTGTTTGAATTATGAACTCATACTAAAGTGTATTTAATTCGGGTTTAACTTTTATAGAAGAAAAAGAACTGTAAAATCAAATATTCGAATCCAAATCCAAATACTAAAGGCTCATACCTCATAGGTGTTATGATTTGCCCAAATGAGTTTTCTTTTGTAAGATTTGATGTTCTAAATTTTGTTTGATAGGGAGAGAACAAAAAAATCAAAATGAAAATCCGAATTAAAGATGGTTGATGTGAACTCTTTTTTTTCTTTTCTTGTATCCATTATTGACGGTAAATAAAGTGTTGGAAAAGGGTAAAAGCGTCAGAACAAATAAGGACCTGTATAAAGCAATTGTCACACTTCAGTCTTCACGCCCACTTTTATTTCCTTAAAAATATTTTCGTAAAAATTTTCGCTTTCTCTTCTCTTATCCGTTCAAGCTTGCGTGAATTCGTCTCATAAATCTCTCCACTCTCTCTGGATCTCGACGCATAGATCTTCCTTTGTTTTCTTCCATGTAAGCTAATTGTATTCATTCCATCACTTAACCATTGTTTGTATGTCGCTATGCTCTCTGTTTTTTGTCTCCTTGGGAAAATTAGGAAATTGTCGGCGAATTTGAAGTAAATGTGTTTGAAAATTGTTACCAAAACGGAAAGTTCGTCTATTTTCGTAGCTTGGTTTGCAAAATCCTAGGTTTTAGTTCCTAATTTTGCTAAAAAAATATACTTGTCTGATGCTGCAGAACATATACTAATCTTTTTCGGCTGTGTATGGTTTCTCTATCCTTTTTAGTTGTTGTGATATTTGGTTTGTCATTGTCTGGAATTTGATGAGGTGATTCTCTGTTTTGTAACAGAATTCTTCTCTCTTTCTCTGGATTACAACAAAGCAGTGAATGAGCAAAATCTAAAACAACATAGAAGGAGAAAAAAACAGAATGAGTTGGTTCACAAGTTCTGTTGATGTGTACCGCAAAGTGGTGAGCTTGAATCTGTATTGCCGTGTTATTCTGTAAATTCTCTACCTTGGAAAACCCATCTTCAATCTTCGTCTTCATCTTCTAAATCCTCAGCCTTTTCTAAACTCTTTAATAATGGGATCCCAACGTTTCTACGTTTTCCATTGTGAACAATATATGATCAGCTAAACCCTGAAAGCTTTTTTCAAGTCTTCTTTCTCGTTTTTCTTATCAAAGTTCAATACTTTCTCCTTTTTCTTCTTCAAGTCATCTGTCTTTTAGTAGCTTGCTCTGTCCTGTGGAGCAACTCTAGTTTTAACATTCAAGAGTTTGGAAAAGTTATTATGGTAAGTCAATCAGCTGGTCAAACAAGATTTCGAACATTCAAGTACGAGAACAACGGAGACTCTAGCAGACCAACAATTGTAGTCAGAGTTATTGCTTGCTTTCAACCGATGGATAATTGTCAGGTTTGTTTTAGCAAAAATGATATTATACTCTTTTTGTCACACTTCAGCTCATAGGCTTGTGATTCTTTTTTAACACTTTTGTCTCTGTTCCACTTGCAGGCTGAATACTTTAGACATATACTCAAACCAGTGACGTAGTTGGTTTGTGAGTTTGTGTTTGTATTTTTGGAGCTGGCCATTTTTTTTTTTCGTTTTGTCTCTACTTTCTTATACGATTGTTTCAAGAAGAATTAAGAAGTTTTGCGTTCCACACATTTGAGCAACAACTTCCACAATAGGTATGCTAACTGAATCTTTCCTTTTTATGGATTATTGCTTTCTTGAGTTGGAGTACTCAATAGTAATTATCTCATTCATAGCCATGTCAAATGATTAGTCCCTTTCTTTTTTCGTGCAGTATTGTATTCCCGTAAAGTTCCTTTGGCTTAAACTGCAAGAGCATGCCTCTTGATACCCGGCAGCAGAAATGGTTGCCATTGGGCTTAAATCCTCAGGCTTGTGTCCAGGACAAGGCGACTGAGTCTTTCCATCCTGGAATTCCTTTTCCGGAACTCGGTAAAGTATATGCAGCTGAGCATCAGTTTCGCTATTTGCAGCCACCGTTCCAAGCCTTATTGTCTAGTTATGATCGGCAGTCTTGTGGAAAACAAGTTTCATGTATGAACGGGCGATCTAGCTGCGGTGCTGCTCCAGAGGGGGCTATCAAGTCTTCTCGGAAAAGATTTCTAGTATTCGATCAGTCAGGAGATCAGACTCGTTTATTACAATGCGGATTTCCTCTGCAGTTTCGTTCTTCTATGGATGCAGAGCGAGCGAACATTCTCGGTTCTCTACACCCAGACAAAGATCATCCCATTCCTGAAAAAATGTTGCTCCATGAAGATCATGTTAACGGCGAAGAAGAGTCAGAAATGCACGAAGACACCGAGGAAATCAACGCGTTACTGTATTCTGATGATGACGATAATGATGATTGGGAAAGCGATGATGAAGTAATGAGCACTGGTCACTCTCCATTCCCAGATGAACAACAAGCGTGCAACAAAACAACAGAAGAACTGGATGAAACTGAAAGCAGTGTTGATGGTCCACATCTAAAAAGACAGAAACTACTGGACCATTCATTCAGAGACTCATCACTATCTCTTGTGAGCACTAAAGTCAAAGGCTTATCAGATGAAAACCTTCCTGAATCCAACATCTCAAGCAAACAAGAAACGGGTTCTGGTCTGAGCGACGAGCAGTCAAGAAAAGACAAGATTCACACCGCTCTGAGAATCTTGGAGAGTGTAGTTCCAGGGGCAAAGGGAAAAGAAGCTCTTTTACTACTAGACGAAGCCATTAGTTACCTCAAGTTGCTGAAGCGAAACATAAACTCAACAAAGAGTTTAAACAACCATTGGTGAAAAACCTAAAACCCCTTTTGTCCTATTGATAAGCATGTTTGGTTGGTTAAAGAGAAGACAAGGGACAAAAGATAATCAATGAGGTAAAGGACTGATGAAGAAGATTCTCTCAAATTCATTAACGTGGGTTTGAAACAATTACAACACGCCTGGTGACCCTAGTGGGACCGTATCCACTGTTCATCTAGCTGGATCAATAGTGGTTTACTTTTGGATTTGGCATGCTCTCTAAAAAAAGAACCAAAGAAAAGTCACTTTCTTTCTTCTGTGCTTGGAGTGGAAGAAAAGTGAAAGAGGGAAAAAAGCAAAGTCTTGGACTCTTGGTGCTCATTGATCGTTAATAATTATCTTTCCTCGTGAGTAATAATAATATCTCTGTGAAGGTCTGGTGGTGGTGGGTGTGGATGAAGAAAAATCAAAAAGGCACGTATTGAAATTTTTTGGAGTGGTTGTGACTTGTGGAAATTGAAATCTTCCCACTTTCATTAGGTAAAAATCTATGTCCCCACTCTCACTTGTCTCATTATTACTCTTCTGTTGCTTTCAATCCCATATCTTGTCATCTTTTTTAGATCTCTGGCTCTTAAGCTCTTCAAAGGCCTTGTAGTTTTGTACTACTATAATGTTATTTGCTTCTGTTGTTTCTCTCGTGGGTCTTAGTTCTGATGTTCATGTAATAAACTTGAGTGTTAATAATGAAACCTTCTTTGGCTTCTTATTACATGCTAGTATTTTGGTCTAACCTTTCAAACTATCATTTTTTCTTTACTAAAAACAATTGCGAATATACTAGACTTATTATTTAATTTTTTTGGTCAAAATGCTAGACTTATCATTAAATAACAATCACATAAGAAAAACTTCCACAATATAATATGGAACCTGACCTAAGGAAACACATCTTCCGACTAGGCAGCAAAATGTTAAGCAAAATGTTCCGGTGAGGAAATCTGTGTGTCTCATGACCTCCGACGTAAAGAACAAAAAGATAATTAAGAATTACAGTGAAGAGAAGAAACCTCTATTTTATTCATCCACCATGATTGAAGAGCTTGATCTGATTCTTGCCAAGAGCATAAAATTTTCACAACTTATTTCTCAGAGACACCAATCTTATGATACCTCATCCTCCATGCTGCATTTCTTATACGCCAAGAGCAAGTGAAAGGCGGTGGCTATACCCTCTAAACCGACATCTCGAAGAGCATTCAAGATCCTCAAGCAAGTAGAAGCATCAAACTCTGTCGTTTTAGACTCCTTCCACTGATCGAAAACCTCCTCGGCTTCTCTCAAATGACCCAATACTAGATGGGATGAAAGCACACAGATGTAGCTTCTACTACTCAATATCTGGTTGGTGTTTCTCAAAGACTTCCAAATCTGATCAATCATAACCGTGTTCCCTAGTCCAGTGTGCAGAATCATAAGGAAGTCATATGTGATCCATTCTCTTTGCGAAATAGATTTCTCAGCTTCTACGGGTAAGGCAGACTCCGCATTAGTTACTCTACTACTGTTTATATAGATGCTAGTAAGATTGATATATCGAACCCAACCCTCATTGGAACTAGGATCATGCCTCATCTCTTCAAGAATCTTTCTGAGCTCATCTATATTAAAAGTTGCAGCACATGAACTTAACCACAAATTGTAAGTAAAAATATCCGGAGAAACCTTTTTGTGCTTTAACACTTGGATAACCTCGGGTACTTTCTCAACTTGCCCGACTGACATGTATAAAGTCATCATCTCGTTGTATGTGATGGCACCGAAAGTGAGACTATCAGTCTCAATGATTCTCTTGAACAAGGCCTCAGCTCGTTCAGTTTGTTTGGAGCCAGCATAAGCATGAAGGAGAGAAGTATAGGTTTCAGTTGTCTTTGAATCTATATGCAGACCTTCAAAGTAGCGTTCAGCTGCATCGATCCCGAAAACTTTTGAAATCAGATCTATCCGCGACGCGTAATCAGCATCTGAGACCTTTGATTCTTCATGCTGAACCATCCACTCTGTAACCTGTTAATCAAACGTGAATAAGCTCCCAGAAGTACACACAGCAATTCAATTTTGTGCATCAACACGTAAATAATCAAAAATTAGCCTGAAATTAAAGTTTTGTAAGCTTTTGTTCTCAAGTCAAAACACCAAGATAGATCATTTCATATTCAAGAATCATAATTGTAGCAGATAACAACAAAATATCTTTTAAAAAACCCAATTCTCAATGCAGATTCATAGAAACTAGGAGGCTAGGAGCCATGAAAAGGAAATGATCGATGTTATTAGTACCTCAAGAGCGTGTTTGTAACGCCGAGTTCTCCTAAGCTCTTTGGAGATCTCTCGAAGTTGATTGATCGTAATCTGATTTCCTTCTCCAACCCATTTCTCGAGAACAGTAGTCGCGCTCCGTTTGGGAAGTCTCAATCTGAAAATCCTGCTCTTCAGATCGTCTTTCTCACCCGGTTCCTCGACAAGGGAGCCTCCGATAGCTGCATCAGCATTGTACGACTTGGAGAATCGTGACGACGATTCGGCGTTCCGAATGAAATTGCTTCCGAGAAGACCATTATTCGTCAATCGACTGAAATCATAAGAAGCGTGAATCAATTTTCTCAGGAAATCAGTAAGAGACATACAGAGAGTGAAGGTGGAGACTCACCATCTAAGACTATGGAAGAGCGAGCGAGTCGCCATGGATTCTCAGTTCGTTTGACAACCAAAAAGATCTAATAACCGATCACTTACTTCGAGTTCCAATTTTGTGATTAAAAATAACTCATCTAACTAATGGGCCCATAAAAATTGGCCCATTAGCTCAAAGATAAACAATGGCTAAAACCATGGCTAATGGTATAGTTACGATAGAGTTTATCACCGTCCTCGTCTAGTCTAGGGTAATTTTGCATATGATTTAGAATTCTTAATTGTTGTTATCGTCTTTGTTTTGATGATGATAGATCCGTTCTAGTTGCATGGTTTCTTCGTTTTGATTTCCATCAATCTCGTTTCCTATGTATGGTTCTGGCAAAATTTTGGTAATTTGGATTTGATTTTAAATTTGAATGGTTTTCTCTGTGTGTTTGATTATTGGAAAGGCCTCAGAGATGGAACCTAAACCGACAGGTTGTCTTCCACGTCGTATCCGTCCATTGCCGGGATCGTACAGATATTATCCAGACGATACAGGGTCAGTGATGTTACTTTGTCCCGAGTTTACTTAGCTTGAACACTGACTTGTTGTTTTATTTTGTAGGACGCCCTCTGCGAAAGAGCACATTAGAGAGGAGGTTGTACAACTAGGAGTTGATCTCTCAGTCTCTCTAGCTAATTCCATGTTCTTGCTGTGTGATGACATTCATACCATGTTGTGGTTCTGCTTTAAGCTGTTGAAGTATACGTTACCTCCCTCTAATCCTGTGTCAGAAAGGTTGCTTCGTGTTGTTCACTATGTCTACTCAAAGGATATCAAACCCAAGAACAGAGCTTGTCCCGATGGTGGCAACTCGGTCCAATGGGAACTGGTCAGGACCACTTGGAAGGACTTTACTGACGGGATCATCATTCTGAGTCGCCTTGTTGTGCTTCTCAGGAGGAAAGATTGCTCTTTCGATGATCGGCTGTTGTCTTCTGCTATTGAAAAATACAAGCAACAAGTGCTGAAGAAGCTAGAGGATAAATTGATGTCCGCAAAAGATGTTTCAGAACTTAATGGTTTTGAGAGGGAGACAGTAGCGTCTAACGTTTCTGACCTGTGGAAGACTCTCTTTGAGGAAGAAGCTGGCGAATCAACTCCCGAAGTGGCGAGGAGTAGGATTCATAGCGACCTGTTTCAGCCTATTTCGGGCGATTCTTGCCATGGCGAGATACCGACACTACCCGTTACTTTTCCTTACATTCTAGGGTAAGTATTCAGTAGTATTTACGTGGCCCCTTTGAGAGTTTTCCTCAACTCATGACTCAGGTTATTCACAAAGTCATCTTCGTATTTGATTTCTTTTTTGTTGTTGTTGGTTTGGCAGGGATGAATTTGCAAAGCAGAAGCTTAGAGAGGAGGTTGTGCAACTAGGAGTTGAGCTCTCGCTATATGTTGCTGAGTCGATATTCTTGCTGAGTGATGAAATTCGTAGTGTGTTTCAGTTCTGCTCGAAGTTATGGAGAGAATTAAAAAGGACCCATAAAGTTGGTCATCCCGCAGGGGAAAGGCTGCTTCGTGTTATTCATCATGTCTACACAAAAAGTATCAAACCGAAGAATGAAGTGTATCATATTGGTGGCAAGTCGGTCCAATGGGAATTGGTCAAGACGACTTGGGAGGATTTGGATGCTGGATTCAGAGAGATGCACAGCCTTATCTCTATTCTCGAAGTAGATGATGGAAGCTGTACAGATGGCCGAGAGTTTACGTCTCGTATTGAAGAAGCGCTGAAGAAGGTTGAGGAAAAGATGAGGTGTGCCAAGGATGTTTCAGAGGCGAATGGGTTTGCGAGGGAAGCGATGAAGTCTAACATTTTGGACATGTGGCAGTCTCTGTTTGACAGAGAGGAAGTACTATGGACTCGTAAAGTGAGGAGGGAAGAGATTCTTTCTGACCTGTTTCCTCATTTGGAAGAAGAAGACGAAGAAGAAGCAAAACAGTATTAGGTTACCACTTGTTTCTCGTTGCTTGTTTGACTAAAGACGTCTATACAAACGATGCCAAGGAACATAAACGATGTAGAAAATGAATTATAACATCGTGAGGAAAGCGTTGCGGAATATTTTTAGCGGCTTTAAATTCTAGTATTACTTAAACCTAATGCTAAAATTAAAAAAAAAAAAAAAAAAAAAAAAACTAATGTAACTATAACATTTTCCTAATGTTTAACTAAACAGTTTTGATTTTACAAAATATATTTTTCTAAAAAATTTACGTATTAAATTAACATACTTTGGAAACAAACTAGATTTAGCATCCTTTTTTTGTATAATTTGCTTTCATATTTTTTGGAGTGGTCTAATTGAAATTTGTTAAGCATTAACTATGTTGGGCTTAGTATAAGCCGTTGAATGTTTGGGTTGGTAATTGTGAGGCCTTGACTGGGCTTAGGGAGTAAAAAGCTAACTCTTGTTTCTTATTATTTTTATACGGTACTTGTGTCTTCTCTCAATCTAGTTATTACTATCCAGTCTCTCGATTATATGGAGAAGTTGCTATCAATTATCATGTGGCTGATACCTTTTTTGTTATAATTTCAAGACTTAAGGAGGCCTTTAATCTCTCTAGATTCGATCTTGAAGCTTAGAAAACGTTACAATCTTTTTGTTGAGATTTTTGGTTAGATGTTATATTTTTCTGTTATTTACTAGCTATCAGTTGCAACCTAGCATTCTTGTGTCGTTACATAGAGATAGGGGTGTCAAAATGGGTCAAGATTCATGGGTCAACCAAAACTCAACTCAACCCATGAACCCTAATGAGTTGAAATTTTGACTCAAATGAGTTGATGGATCAAATGAGTTATTGAGTCAAATGAGTTGATGGATCAAATGAGTTGGGTTATAATGGGTCAGTGGTTTCAATGGTTTACCCATTTAACCCATCAATTTTTGTTAAATTGAATCAAACCAATTCAAATCTCTAAACCGATTTCAATTTGAGTCTAACCAAAACTTCTAAACCGATTGAATATAGTCCTTAATTTTCCCGCCAAAAATGTAAATACACAATTTTTCCATCAAAATATAAATTCGTGATTTTCCCGCAAAAAACGTAAATCCGCAATTGTCCCGCCAAAAACGTAAATCCACAATTTTCCCGCCAAAATTTTTTTATAATTTTTAACCAAAAACGAAAATATGTAATTTTCCCGCCAAAAACGTAAATCCGTGATTTTCCCGCCAAAAACGTAAATCCGTGATTTTCCCGCCAAAACTTTTTATAATTTTTAGCCAAAAATGAGAATGTAAAATTTTCCCGCCAAAAACGTAAATCCGTAATTTTCCCGCCAAAAACGTAAATCCGTGATTTTCCCGCCAAAATTTTTTATAATTTTAAGCCAAAAATGAGAATGTAAAATTTTCCCGCCAAAAACGTAAATCCATAATTTTCCCGCCAAAAACGTAAATCCGTGATTTTCCCGCCAAAATTTTTTATAATTTTTAACAAAAAATGAGAATGTAAAATTTTCCTGCCAATAACGTAAATCCGTAATTTTTCCGCCAAAAACGTAAATACGTGATTTTCCCGCCAAATTTTTTTATAATTTTAAGCTAAAAATGAGAATGTAAAATTTTCCCGCCAAAAACGTAAATCCGTAATTTTCCCGCCAAAAACGTAAATCCGTGATTTTCCCACCAAATAATGGTGACGTTGATTATTATTATTATTATTATTATTATATTTTAATTATTAATTTATTTATTACATTAATAGGTTAATGAGTCAACCCATTCAACCTTCTAACCCATCAAATTAAATGAGTTGATGGGTTGACTCAACTCATTTGGCTAAATGAGTTGAGTCAACCCATGAACTCATTTAACTCTAAACTCATTGGGTAATGAGTTGAGTTGAGTTGGGTTAACCATTTTGACACCCCTACATAGAGAATTAAAGACTTGCCTTGAGTTGGATTTGTATCTTATATTCAAAAGTAAAGATTTCATATTTGATCAGAAAAATAAAGTAGAGGGGCTACCATTAAAAAATAAAAGAAATCAGGGAAAAATAAACTCTTTAGCATTTGAGTTTAAGGATCTGATGTGAGGGCATTGTTAATAAATTTATAAAATGGGCTAAGAATTGGAAAATGTTTTGAAGTGAAGTGAAGTGAAGGGAAGTGAAATAGATTTGACATAAAACAAGGGGATATGACTTGATATGGAAATTTTTGGATGTGAAAAGTGGAGTCCAAAATGATTTTTATGGGGTTCAATGTTACCAACTCTTAAAGAATGGGGCACTTATTGAATGAATAAAAATAGTTGTAGGTGTAAATTGTGTAATCTCCAATAAAACATTTAACAAGTTGTTATTGGAGCGACTTCATTGATAGCTTACTGCTTTCACTATCGTCACTAGAGTCCATTGATTCGACAAGCCTGCTCGAAGCACTCAACACCAACCAACCCACTGCTCATATTTAAGAATTTATGGGACAATTTAATTCAAGTTACTAAAAAGGTGAGATTGGTAGGAAACTGGATAATAAAAATAAAATCATTTTTTTTTAATCCCACAAGAAATACTTTTATTGTTTAGTAAGCAATACGCCAAAACCTATAAGCTATAGCTTTTGTTAAAAGTGAAAAAGTGATTCTATATGTCCTCTTTTTCTTATCCCCCAAGTCCCAACATCGCCTTTATTCTCCACCTTCCTTTAGATTATTCATTCTCTCTTAACTTTTCTTTTTTTTTTACCGTATGCAAGTATCAACACAACATTATTTATATCTGAATCCATCTTCCGTTTATCTAAAAAGTTTGATTCCTTTGGTTAAAACAAGTTCTTAATACTATGTAACTTTATAAGATTATAGGGGAAACTACAAATCGTTTTTATTAAAATAGATATATGAATCTATATTTCACATATTTCCAAAGATCGAATTTACAGGGCATAACAAAATGACAAAACAAACACAATCCCTTTCCCCAAACCCCGAACCAGACGCGATAGATATATCTACAACTTTCTTTGACTACAACAAGCTTTTAAACTCGCAATCACCATCCATTCTTGCCACGTGTCTCGTTCACGACCGTCTAAAAATCAAACCAAAGTCTTACACGTCGAAGTCTGCGGATCCCACAACGCCGGCAAAAGATATTTTCTACCGGCGAGACCCAAAGCGTTGTAACTTGCTCCACTTGTCTTGTCCACAAGAACCCGACCCGCGTAACCCGGGTAAGCACCCGAACCGAATATCCCGGTACAAGCCGAAACAGCTTCTTGAGACGGATTCGTAACGGTGTTGACAAGAAGAGTCGCGAGGTTTATAATCATTCCGTCAACTCCGACGTCACCGTTAGGCGCGACTAACGGCGGGGTCTGAGGTCCGTAGATAGGCTGATGAAACGGCCACGCGCAGTAACCAGGACACTGCGTTTCAGAGTTTCCGACCCACACGTAAGCTCCACTGTTAACGGAACGTGACTTTGACCCGTGGGTCCCGCACCGGTTCATACAGAGTCCCTCGACGGTGACGTCTTTCGCCGTTAAAACGACAGTTATCGACCGAGCACCACCATCGTTAAGTTTGCTTGATAGAGCACGAAGGTAAGGGCTCTTTAGGGATTTTCCGAGAGGGTAGTTCTCAAGGAGGAGCTGTTTACCGACGACAAGAGTTGAGACACCTTGTTTGTACTTCTCCGTCGTCTTCCACCACGACGCGACGGAGGGACCTTTTGCGGCGGCGACGGAACTGATAGAGCGGATGAAATCGACGATTACGGACCGTTGGATTGGGGTGAATTTTCCGTACCAAATGAGATTGAGAGTGATGTTTCCTTTCAAGGTAAGCACCGGAGGCTTCTTCTGGACCAACGCGGCGGAGGAGAAGCCGACGGTGGCGGAGAGGAGAACGAGAAGAATGGCAAAACGGTATTGATAGGCCATTTTGGGAGTATATAGAGAGAGCAGAGAGGTTTTGTTCTGTTTTCGAATATGAGTTTGTGAAACCATTGTGAGCTTATATATACCGGAGATTTTGAACGGGCAACAGCTGTAAAATGCAAAGAGCGTACATGTCAACGTATGCCACGTGGATATATTTAATTGGTTAGGCAAGGTTTTGGACAGCCTGTAGGAAGGTTTTTCTTAGGGTGACGTGGTAGTTTCCATAAATGTGTATTAAATAATTATCAAGTTTTTTAAATTTAAAGTTTTGAAATGTAGATATTATGCGACAGGGATAAACACTTCCGTGCATGTCCGGATAAAAGTTTATACTATTTACGTTGAACAGTTTACGTCTGAAGTTATTGAAAGGTGCTATTCAATAAATCTAAGGGTTATCCTACTAAATAAAATCAATTTAAACAAAAAAAAACAATGTGGCTATGAATGTTCAAGGAAATTGCGCATTCTAAACGTTTTTTAATGCACCAAGTTACGGTTATATTTTATCATCTTTGACAAAAACATGGGCGTTTAAAATGACCGACTCAACCAAATGCCCACAAAAAAATAGATACATTGATGATACGATTGGCTCAGATGGTTTTCTTGGTTTTTTATTTTGGCTCCTAAAAGAAAATTACCGTATGGTTTTAATATTTCTCTTATTTGCAATTACTATCATTGCAGAAAGTGAAATCAGAATTTGGATAATTAAAAATAGAAATGGCAAGCACTAACAAAAAGCTACTAGCTAGCTAGGCTACATGTCTTGGCTATATATATTGCAATTAAACATTAGATATTTTAGTTTATCATTCGATACTATATAAGATTAGTTGCAACTAGAAATCTAAACCGACATACACTAACTACACTAATATCGTAATAAACCATGCTATTTAAATGCTGCTTCCAGCTATTCAAAATCTATTGTTTTGAGGAAACCCATAATGGTGATACAAGCACTTGGTTTCTGTATGGACTAGGGACCAAATCCTTACGTATTTCAATAACAATTGAACTATGTATGTATGCATAATGGATGGGCGAAACAAAATATGTATGTATAGATGTATGTTTGTATGTATATAGAGATCTACAAACAAAGTACAAAGTGATTGAGCAATGGTCAGTATAGCTAGGGTAAGGACTAAGCTAAGACGTACGAACCAAGCCCTTTCCTACGTCAATTATTGCCTTACATATGCGTGGTCCACTCTTTTTATGTTTCTTTAGCCTTTCCCTTTTTAAATTTTTGAAAACTCTATCTTTATTCGCTTTTATTTTTTAAAAAATATTTTCACTATACTTTATTTTTCTAAATTCTAGAACGTTGTGAATTGTTCTATATTCATGGACATCGAATGATGCGGGCTCAATTTCCAAACAATAAAAATATTAAGTGGGTTTCGCCAAAAAAAATAATTCTATACTTATTTGATGAGACCACAAGTCCACAACCAGTATTGTGTGATGTGAACCTACGAATTAAGCGGACTATAAAACAACTTGCTAAGATAGTGATTTGGCAATTTCCAAATATTTCGTCAATAACACAGTAAGCAGAAAAGGTAATTTTTTTACTTTTCTGAAAAAAAAGTTTTATTTGAATCAATAAGCTCCATTCTACAGCTTGTTTTGTAAGTTTAATGACAAAATAACTATGATTACGGTGTTAATTGTTAACTAAAAGATAATTGATAGTTGTAGTAGACTTGTAGTCTTTGTAGTAGAACTTTAAAAGTTTAAACTCAGGTAAAAAAAGTAGAGCCGATGGATTTACTTACGTCAAGGCACGACATACGAGGAAGATGAGTCTCGTAGATCCACCACATGTAAGTACGTTTATTAAAACTTGAAAAATACGCCTATTTTACGTCACCTTGTCAGAACTCAGTCTTACATTAACCTGCCTTGGTATTTAACACGTGAATTTCAGTCGAAGAAACAAAAATCTACTAAAATATCTATCACAGAGCCCAGTTTTTTACAAAAATACAATTTTGCCGTACAATGATTTTTGACAAAGTAAAGAAAATAAAAACATAACTTTTTTTGTTAAAGGAAAACAAAAACATATGATTTTTCACATTTGTAACTACAGAATCTTGTCAGTATTAAAGAACAAAACTTTAATACAAGATGTGAATTTAATAGTTAGATTTGTTGTATGTAAATATTAGATAACAAATGTTACTTCTGATACAAATAATGTCAGATGACAATCATACTATATCATTTAATTTTGAATAACTTGGTAGAGATTTTCCTATATGTCATAATCACATTTTTGGGTAAACTAATTTCTGTCAGGTTTTCTTTCATATTATCAGTTCTCATTAGTTTTAACTTTTATTTAATATAATAAAATCTTATCATTAAAATTTCTTGAACCACAGCTTTTTTTATAGCATGGAGTCATGGACTATATGCCAAATTTAATCTAGATGATCACTAACACAATTCACTATGCTAAATGTTTTGGTCATCGTAATTAATATTATATCCCCAACTAATAGAGTGATATTATTAACATAAATTAATACAATTGTCAATTGATCGGCTTATATATGAAAACTAAATAATTTCATCGTCATAACAATTAATGTGTATTTGGTGTGAGCGTGCGTCTGGATAGGTATATGTAGTTGCCAATGTGATTCGTAGGGCTAAAAATGATTCAAAGGGCGGCGAAAATATGAGATAATATCAACGCCATGCAACGCTTCGCTGGCATGAAATGTGACACACTTATGTTTTGATGGTGTCTCGTGAAAGCGACAAATTATACGTGAAACGGATCAATTATGCATAATGCACGAGCAAATTATATGTGTACTGTGTTCATATGTGACCCAACCTAAAGAATGGAGAAAACAAAAAATCAATCGGAAGCTACATATACCTAACCTACTAACCGTACCCATTAATTGTAGTTGCTATCTAATTGGAAGCGTACAAAACCAAAATTCATGAAGAACAGTGGACTTAATTTTAAAAACAAAAACAAAAACAGAAAAAAAAAAGATAACGTTTTTTTTTTATATATATATATAACAAAAGATAACGTTATTCTAATATCTAAGCGATATGAAGACCGAATCGCGTAAATAAGATAACCAAACGATGTCTAATGTTTCATATAATCGCGTTAACAAAATCTATTTTTCAAATGCCTTTTTATAAAATTTAGCTATTATCCATCATTAGTGTATTATATATGCTTAACAATTAATATATGATTGTATATATAACTACTTGATGAAAAAGATATGAAATTATGAAACGGGACCATATATAATAAATATATAATATGATGTATATATATGTCGGCGAAGTCAATTAAAGTAAGCTAGCAAAGTCGTATAAAATGCTAAAACATGCACCCATTCCCCCTCCATATCTTAACTTTTGACTTTGATGGTAAACGTAACAGTATTATGGGCAAAACGTTGCATGCATGCCCACTTCAATCATCGTCTTTCTCTTTTTTCCCCTAAACTTTTTTATTCTTGGTCAAAGAATGTAAAAGTTAGAGCATATATATACGTACGAAACAAAAAAACAAAAGCATGATTGAATTCAGTGGTTTCAAAATTGCGTGGAAAGGTTTTCGAAAATATGTTTCCCGTTAAAAGTTCATTTTTTTGGCAAAGATTTGTCTGAATTATGGATAAAAAATCTTAACGTATATAAAGTGTGTTTTAATTAATATCCTATACATTGTGATTTTTATATTTGATATTACACTATTATAACATGAAACGTTAAAACAAACACAAACACCAAAAAAAAAAAACCAAAATCATTATAGTTTAAGAGCAATACCCAATTATATGACAACTACCAGTCTACCACCATGTAAAATGATAACGACGTTGGTTCAACAGCTACAATAATTAAACTTTTATATTGACTAGAGATGCTGAAAAAGACTAGCGAAAGCAATGTAAGTCCAACTAAATTATTACTAAGTTCTATACAAATTAAAAATTCATCTTGTTAGATGGTTCATGGTTATATATATGGGGGTATAATTTGCAAAAATCACGCGACAGTAAACTGTAAACAAGTAAGGTGATATCATGTAAACTAACATGCTATGCAGAATTGAAATCATGTAATAAATAAATAAATTGACGATTTTTTCATTTGTTGCTTTTGCAAATAAATGGGTCGAGACTAACATGTGGTCGTTTAGTACTGCATATAATCAACAAAATATATAGGTAAGGCCGAAAGGTTCAGTATCTTGAATTGAATTTTGTTGTCCTTTGAACATTAATGTAAAACGTCACCAAGTATTTGTCTACATTCGACGTGTGCCGGCAATTTTATCAAACGCTTCAATAATTATTAGTCCGCAGAAGCAGCCAATATCTATATACCACTTTCAACTAAACCCTATATATTTTCTTAGTTACATAATTCCACTAATGCATGAGCCAAGAAAATGATAATAAAAGGCGTTATCCACTGCTCATATAGAAGTGCCACTAAGTAGATGAGCTAAGTCACAACATTAATTAGTAAAATACATCTTTTTTTTTTTTGTCAACAGTAAAATTTTATACATCTCTTCTTTTAACAAAAAGAATTCCTAATGATTCAATCATTATAAGTTTAGGATAAGTTTGCCTTAACTAATCAATAAAATATTGTGAGGTGTATATGTTAGCCTTATATTGCCGCCGACCGACCGACCGACCAGATTCTCATGTTGACAAACCAATCTCTCTTATACATATATAGATCGGTCCCAGTCTTCTTGTCATGTATCGGAAGTCCATATTATTGGATTAATCTTCCCAATATAATTCGACCTTCACATTGTACAACAAAATTAGACGATAGAAAGTCAGATAGGGAAGCCACATAAAAATTGGACCATGAAGTATAGATATGTGTGTGTATATGTATTTATATATAAAATCAAACCAATTTTGTTTCTTTTCAGTATTCTAAATTCCTTCCTCAAAGCCCACCAATCAAAAACAAAGGCCAGCTAAAATAGGCCTTTTAATTGTTATTGCCTTGTTGGAAGTTTTTTTTTTTTTTTTTTTGTAGCTGATTGTATAACTCAGGCTCTGCATTGTGTACATTGGCCTTATTTCAGTTTATCAAGTTCTACTGTTATGGATCAGCAAAGTCTGTCGTGGATAATATAATCGTGTTTGTCACCTAACATAAATTCCCTAGTAGACGTTAATGTTTTAAGCTTTTAAACAAGAAAGAAAGATCATCTTTTGAAGAATAGTGTAAAAAAATTGGTTATTATTTCTCCAAATATAGAAAAAAAGTAAGTAATTCAGAAAGAGTCAATGAGAAAAGATTTCAAATGCTTGACAAATTCCTTGGACTTCTCCAAATTCACAGCATGTCCTGCGTTCTTGATCACCACTATCTCTGCACTCTCTCCTATATGTCTGTTTCACCATTCATTTATTATTATAAACATAAACTGTTGTCTCACATAAGAAAAAGAATAATCTCAATATTAAAACATGTTGTTTACCTTTTTAATCTGTAACCTAGTTCCAGTGGAAATATTTGATCTTCTTCTCCCCATATGATCAATGATTTCTAATTTCACAAACATCAAAAACACAATTTTTTACAGAGCAACTTATATATAAAAAAGCGATTAAAGATTTAACCAAAGTTAAAAAAAACTCTCACCTGTTTGATCCTAGGAAGATCTGAAAGTCTCCGATCTTTGAGTATTGATTTGATCAAATCTCTCTTCTCCTCTACAAACTCCGTACACATTACCTTCACATGATTGAACAAATTTCTCAAAGATGCAATATTTATCAACAAACTAACAAAAGACATTATTTAGAAAGAAACAAAATACTTACATCGATAAAATCCCAGAGGAAAAACGAAGGAACACCTTTGATTGGCTTAACGAAAGAGAATCTTATTAGTTCCTTAAGCTTTTCCGGCGTCTGAGGTATCAAAATTCCGGTAGCTTCTTCTAGGTTCGGTACCTTAAACAATCCATCCTCCATATCTTTCTCCTCCAAGCAAACCCCGGCGCAGCATAGCACAAGCTTCTCAACTTTCTCCGGAAACTGCGCCGCTAAACTATACCCAACGAATCCACCGTAACTAATCCCGACGATGTTCATCCTCTGGACTCCGTGCGCTTCCATTAACCTCATCAGACACCGAGCCTGGAATGATTCGGATCGGTTTGGTTCCGATGTGGAAGATAATCCGAAGAAGAGGAGATCGGGAACGTAGACGTTGAATCGGCCGGTGAAAGCTCGGAGATGTTCTCCGTATTGCCACATTGCGTTGGCTCCGAATCCGTGGACGAGGAGGAGATTAGGTTTAGATCGATTTGGGGATTTAGGGATCCAACAATGCATAGCTGTTGATGCGATTGAATTGCCGTGGGAGAGATCGGTTGTGACGGAACGTAGACCGGCGTTTGCGAATGATTGCCGGAATAACCAATCTCGCGACGCCGTGAAGCTGAAGCATCGCAACAGTTTCAGATGATCAAACATTTTCGAATTTTGATTTGAATAATTCCAAAATGAAACAGAGGAGAAGATAAGGAGGCGTGACGATGAACAAGAGGAAAAAAAAAACAGATTTCAGTTATTTGTCGAGAAATTGATTATAAACGTGACTTATTGTCCGTCCGTGTTGGACTTGGGGAAAATTGTAGTTATGTAAAGGACCGATAAGAAAATAAAGAATCTAAAAAGACCCCATAACATAAGATCAAGTAATTTAGAGGTAAAAAGTTTTCATTCCAATCTGTACACATGTCACAAAACCACTAAATTATTAATCTCTTGGAACCGAAGGATCAAAACCTTTCCTTTTTAGGGGTTTAGAGAAGTAAAAGAGAGATTGGTGAACAAGAAATCGATTAATAATCCTTTTAGCTCATGAGTTTTCGGAGTCGCTTTTCAGCAACCTTTGCCGTCTTGTTCTGTGGTTCAAGGACCAATGCGTGCCTGAAATCTGCAGAGATGATAAACCATATATTACGCTCCAATACCGTACCAGAGAGTAATCATTTCTAATAAGATATTGACAACAATCTCAGAGTAGTTTAGTCATACCTGCTGCAGCTTCCTTGTACCGGACAAGTGATTCTCTGGCAGTCCCTCGTCTCAAATATGCCTTCACATTCTGTACAAACAATAACTATTAGAATCAAAGCTTCCAATTTCTTTCAAGTCTATGAATAAAAAGTTCTTGTGTATAGTTTGAGTGATCGAGTGATAATGAAACTGAACCTAAGACCAAATCCAAAAATAACAACTTAATAGTTTTGATCCAGCTCAAGTGGTTTACTTATACACAAAACCATGTAAAAACTCAATGTAACAAAACTAACTATGCAGGATGGAGAAATAAGGACGGTAATCAAGTTTTCACCTTCTTATCGATCAACATGGCCTCTGTACAATCTTGTTCGGCTTGTTGGAAGCTATAAACAAATTCTCAGATCAGAATAGCATAATAAACTATCTTCAGATCAGAATGAAAGATATGAAGAGAACAATTACCAGCCAAGTTCCAAGAAAGCTGCAGCTCTATTGCAAAAGTAAGTAGCATTTGCTCCATTTAATTTTATAGCTTCAGTATAAAAGTTTACTGCTTTATTCCATTGGCGCCCCTTGTATGCAGCATTGCCCTGGAATTACATTTATCCACTGTAACTTTCTTCCAAAATAAATCATTCCACCTCAAATACCATATGGATCAGAACCAAATAGACTAGTTGTCGAACTCAAAGAGATAGTTTTACCTTTTCCTTCATAACTTCAGAAGCCTCCATATTACCATTGGTGTCAGACACTGGAGCTAAGTTGGATGCAAGTTTGGCTTGGTCTTGAAGGGATGCATATACATCGAGGATTGTATCGAGAAGGAACTTATCACCTCCATAGTAAGTAAGAAACGACACGGATATTGGACGATCACCATGTTGCCCTAAAGGAATTGTAACCTGCAGAATATGTATATATTTGTGTCATGACTACTGACTGAAGAGTAATAAAAAGGCAACAAGAATGTCCTCCAACCATTGAAAGAGAAAGAGGAGATGGAGATATACCTGACAACATCCAGACATGCTAGCAATGCTGGAGAGTGCGTAAGTTCGATCAAGAAACTCATTCAAAGAGTTCTTGTTCTTTGTGTTAAGCTTCGGAGGGGGATCAGCGACTGTAGGGATTACCAGAATTCCATCTTCCTAGTAATAAGATACCGATCTATGGTTAATCACAATACCATAGAACTACAAAGAGGCCGCAAAAATGAAAATGAATAATACAACCTCTTCAAATTTCTGTCTTTCGGTGGCAAAATGTCCTCAGAGACACTAATGGCTTTGAAATTTTTTAAATTTCCAAAAGTCGAAGTTTACCTTTAGAAGGCTTTGAATTGTGGCCCGCATCTCATTTTTCACTCTGTAGAGTGATTTAATGCTCTCGTTTCTGCTCTTCAGAGCTGTAACAACATCATTGGAAAATCTTGGCCCTAGAAACGATTTGCATGTTTGCGACCATTCTTCATGATTTGTTTTGAACTCATGCCTGGTTAAAAGAAAAACCTTTTTATTTCAGTAAATGCATAAATACAATTTAAGACGAAAATAGTTATCTCCATCAAAGAGAGAATAACAACAATCTTTTATTGCACCCGTTAAAAAGTAACGAGAGAGAAAATAGTATTGATGCAGTGAAAATTTCAAGAAGTTCAAAAAGTGTGAGCTTTTTAAATACCTTTGTATTGCTAACATCACAGATGAAAGAGCCTTCAAAGTTGATGCAGAATTTTGGGATTTTCCAGATTGCTCACAGAATTCCGCAAGACTTGGTACATTTGAAGCGACATATTGGCCAACGTTAACATGTTTTGGAGTCTGGTCTGCATGAGCAAGTGGTCAAGAGACATAAGATATGAATCTGGAGATGGGCAAAGAGAAGGAAGCAATACAGATACAAACTTACAGCCAGATAGATTTTCGATTGCCTTTCTGACAACGTGCACCGACTTTTGCTTAGGAATGTCAGAGAGCTCGAACAAATCATCAGCAAAGATTAAAGATCTTTGCCTTCTATGTGCTACTGCACTCAGATTTAGCAAGGCATGTCCGACTTGACACAAAACGGATGGGTCGCTGGCAAACCATCCTACAGAACAAATCAACGAATTCAATAATCAGGAAGGCAAACACCTAGAGTAACATTTACCATTGCAATCACCAAAAAAAAGGAAAGGGATTTGACAAGTACAAGGATTCTTTGTATGATTCAATATAAAACACTAAATACTTTCAATCGATGAACGTAATAATTCGCTAAACATTGTTTAATAAAAGGGAGGGGAATGTAATGTACCAACAGTCTCTAGGCTCTGAGAATTGGGCAAAACTCCAACTGAAGAAACAGTCCCTTGAGATGGTCGAAAACCGAGAATACCACAGAAGGCTGCTGGGATTCTAACACCGCCAGTGGTATCAATCCCTGCAAATCAAGCATTTTTTGATAAGCACAAAGAACCATACGTAGACCAAGAAAACACATTACCAAGAGAAAACGAAGAGATTAACAATACCAAGTGAAAAGTCAACAAGTTCAGCCGCAACAGAAACTGCTGAGCCACTGGAACATCCTCCAGGAACATTAGATGGCATCAATGGATTAATAGGAGTGCCATAGTGCTTGTTTTCTCCAATAATCCTGTAAAATCACATTCAAAACCCAAACTTTTTTCAAATCAACTACCGAAAAGTCATTTCATATGAAGAATGATAGGGAATGGAGAGATACCCAAAACCCAGCTCATCCATGATAGTCTTGCCAACACAAGTAGCTCCATTTTTCAAGAGCGTTGTCACAACCACAGCAGTTTTCTCAGCAGCCTCGTGAGTCTTCTTCCATTGTGGACTACCAAATCCTGTGATATAATCCTTAACATCGAACCTGTCAAATACCCCAAAACAAATTTCTTCATTCATTGCACACGACTTCGTCTAAGCAAGTCAAAATTTCAAATAAACCACAAAAGTTTTAAACTTTTTAAAAGAGATCATTATATGATTCGATATTTCGAAACTGAAAATAAAGTTTGATTTTTGAGAGAGAGAGATACATACGCGTCGGAGATGGAGAAGGTAAGACCAGAGAGAGACTGTTTAGCTGCAGGAGGTGGCGGCGGAGGGAAAGGAAGAAGCTCAAAACGATCTAAGAAAGCACCAAAGTCTTCTTCTCTAAGGGCTTTAATCCGCCGCTTCCGGGTCTCCGCCAGAATCACGATCCCGGCCACCGTCACGCCGATCACCACCCAAACCTTGGGATTCGAGGCATTGCTTTGAATCAAAGTAAGCGTATTCGACATAACGCGATCTCACGAGAAGGAACGAGGAAGAGAGAGAGACAAGGGTTTTAGGAGGGTTTAAGAGAGGAAAGGGGAAAGAAAAAGAGAGAGAGAGAGATGATTTGGAAGAAGCAAGCACAGATGCTATCGTGCGCGGTGTGTTTTAATTACGAGTTATGACTTGGTGAGCCGTGAACTCAAGTCCGTCTGCCCAAGGCGAATCTTCTTTTTTGATTGATGAATAATTAGTCTTTCGAATTTGATAAGGAAAATAATAATAATAGTGAGTTAAGTAAAATGGGAATTTTAATTTTAATGAGTTTATTACTCGTTTAAATTGATTTAGTTTTATGATTTTTAATCCGTTTTGTTGGCCATTTCTTTTCTTAATGAACTTTTCCACTCGTGGAAAATTAGAGTTTTAGCAAGTCAAGCCACTCCAAAACCCAATATAATAATGAAATTTTTTAAAAATATATTGCTATAATTTATTTGTTAAGTTTCCATATTCTGTAGCCTTGCCCGTCAATCCAATTTTATCTCCTGTTTATAGGAAAATCCAAGTTAAGTTTTTTTTTTACTTTAATGGCTTACCAATCCAAATTTGGTAGATAGAATGGCATGTCAACCATGATGTATGAATTTTTGATAAAGAGACGAATATTCAAGACGGATACAAATATGTAACAGAGTAATCCAACACTTGGCTATTATAATATTAGCCGAGAAAAAGCCAAATGATACATAACAACCAAAAAAAACTATATATTATATAAATGTAAAATAGAAAAAAAACTTAGAAGCCGAAAGGAGATAGTGCCTGTTCTATTTCAATCCAAAGTAATAAATTAAACGGTAAATATCAACTATGGTATTTAGTATTTACAGAGAAGAAATAAAGTTAGAAAGTAAAAGAAGAAAAAATGAATACGAGTCAGAATGTAAAATCAAGGAGAAATAGACATCATCAATGTGTCATCGTTCAAAAGAGAGTCAATGTCAATAAAATCGTCTTCTTCACAGTTGACTTCTTCTTTATTGTTTATAGATGCACTTGATGAAGCCTGCAACAACAATTTATCACAAGATTGTTCAACTAAATTATGATAAACTGATGATATGCGTATCTATGTTATGGGTCTTTGATACCTCATTTTCACGGAAGCCCTCGACAACAGTTAGGAGTCTACGGTATTGATCCCGTGCTTCTGGGTATTGAACCATCGACTTCACCCGAGTCAGAGCCTTCTCAAGCCTTTCCTCTGTTTGTTTTCTTCCCTCTTTCAGATAATCATACTCATCTTCCTGTGGGATTGTGGGACATATAGCTGATACAGGCGGTTCCGGTTCCACGGTTTTGGCGACTGCATTGCGTTTAAATCCTCTCAAGCCATTACCTTTGCGTCTCCAACGCAAAATGATTTTTTCGAGTAATCCCACAGACCAGATGACTGTTCGGTATTGTTTCCGGACCTGATGCCCTCTCACATGAGCCTAAAGGTAAATGTAATATGATTCCAGCAATGAGAAACCAGACAAAAAGCTTATAGAAAGAAATAAGGGGGAGAAAAAAACCAATGAAAGGCAAACCTGAATTTTAACGATTCTTTGTCGGATTAAAAGAAACTCTTTTCTCTTCTTCCAACCACGATATTTCTTCTGGATATGGGTAGCAGCAGAACTAAGAGAAACATCACCCTGTCCTGGATTCTTAGTTTTCGAAGCTGCAAAAGAAACAGCTAACTTATCGGAGATATCAATCTTGTCATCATCGCCGATATCAGACAACTGTTTCCGCTGGAATGATTGCATCCTGAATACTTGATGGAGACGATCAGCCGCTTGTGTAGCATTACGAACAGCGGTAAGTGAATCCTTCAAGGAAAGTTTTTCTGGTACATCGCCATAGCTCATAGGAGCAGCGGTTCTCTCAGAGACTGTTTGAACAGCTTTTGCTCCAGAAGAGTTGGCAGGGCTATTTTCCTTTGAGTCCACTGTTAGCTTTTCAAGATAACTAGTTAAGGAAGACTCTGCAAGAAAACCAGAAATTCCCCTGTGTCCATTTGCGTAAGCCAAATCAGCTGCTGTTTTACCCAATGGAAGCTCTGGAGATGGATCCGTCAATGCCCCAGCATCAGCACCTAGAGAGACAAGCACAGCGACAGTTTCCTCCCTATAGTTAACAGGAAAAGGAGTTAGTTTGATATGGCAATGTTGACCAAATAATAGAAATGAAGAAGCATCAATGTGAGCATCTTAAACGAAATGCAAAATCTCAAATCATAATTTTATGATCAAAGAAAATTGAAGAAATGTGAGATAGAGGTCCATACCTGCCACTAAACGCAGCCCAATGAAGGGCAGACCAGCCATTGGCATCACGGAAGTTAATGTTAACTCCCGCTGCTAGCATCGGTTTAATGGCCCAATCATACCCAAGCGCTGCAACAAAGTGTAAAATACCCTGTCCATCTTCATCCAGTATGTTTGGACCTTTACCCTCTTCAGTCACTTTATGGATGAGCCATATATATAGTTCTTCTTCAAACTGTTCCCTGAAAAGCTGTTCTTTTGGTTCTTGTTTGGTTGAATCTCTCTGATATGTCCCTGGAAGGAGATACTCTTTCTCCTCCTTTAGTGACATAATTTTACTGATTTTTCTTCGTTTCTCCCCAACATCTTCAAATATATGATGTTCGTGAACAAAATTTCTGTGAGCAAGCATCTTCTCAAACCGCAACTGAAGTGATGCTTCATTTGTATAGGTACCATAAACATCAGTAGCATCAATTTTTTGTGTAGAACCAGAAAGGAAATCAAATTCTCGTACTTCACTGCAAGCAAATCTGTTGGAACATGTAACATAAAAGGGCACATGACCAGCTGTATGCGGTGGAGCATGACAGCAAAGAACGCCGTCTACTAAAATCTCAGCAGGAACCTCCACTTCACCAAACATGCATGACCAGTTATATTTTGTTACTTCTTGCGGACTAAGCAGAAAAGTCCCAATAACCATGACCTGCAGATAGAGTGATACATGAAAAAGAACTTAGTCACAACAACAAAACAAATGAAAACAGAGAGCTAAAAGAGATCAGCAAAACGGAAAAAACATTACTAATAAAAATAATGAGAAAGCAGGATCATCAGAATGAAACTGCTGCACGAAATTCAACAAGGGATTTCAAACTCTACTACCCAGTTGAAAATATAGCACAAAATATTTTGCAATTGCTTCAAAGTCTTAACAGAAAAGATCATTCGGAAGATAGATCAACAAAACTTAACCATCTGAACAGAATGGTACATCACCAAACCATTTTTCCAAATATGTACAGTGAAGTTACCTCAACTTCTGCGTCAGTCTGTGCGCATTTTGGCCAAAAATCAACTATGGTGAAACGCTGATCCTCAGAGAGAGAAGGGCTCAAGGAGATCCCGGCTGCTGCAGTTTCACATTCAACAGTGGTCCATGCAATATCTCCACGTGAAGATTGCATCTGCAAATCCTCCATCTCGCCAAGTTCTTTACTAGCCCACCGAGAAAAACTATCGACTTTTTTCAAACTCTCTTCGCTTCTTAACAATGATTTCTTTACAGGTATAAATTCAGATTCCATACTTGAAGGAGGAGCTTGATAACTAATTCCAAAAGGTTGCTGATTTTCACTGCCAAGGAGACTGGAAAATGTCTCAAAATTATCTTGTGCATTTTGCTCAAATAACGCCAGATCAGTGTCATCAGCCATTCCAGGATGTGAAAACAGATCCATGTGCCCTTTTGGTAATGGTAGATCATCCTGAACTGGAATCTACAGAGATGAGTATTTCGAAATCAGAGCACTTCAAAACAAATCTTCATGATAATAATCATGCGAGCTTAAATAAATAACTTTACAATATATAGAGGGGAAGGAGCCATTTAACAAAAGTAGGTATTAGATGTCTTTCATCTTCTTATCTGAGGTCAAGGTAAAACTGATTCAGGCATAGAATGCACCTTTTCAGAGTAAGTACCGACAGATAAATTCAACTTCAACCCACTAGCTTTACAATACGTCAATGACAGAAATATCAACCCTGAGAAAATTGCTAATAAAGACATGTAAAACATACATAAATCTAATTTAGCTCCGAAGTTTGCTATGCTATGACATCATAACACATTTCTATGCTTTTTCTTCACAATACATCTCTCCCATTTGTATAATTCCTAACATCCATGGACGCTTCTTTCTATACTTTCACTAAAAATATCTATGCATAGCTCTTTAATAAATAATTATAATAAGCATGCATACACTACCTGCCAATTTAATTGAGTTTGAAGAGGATTTCTGATATGCTCTGCCTTTAACCGCCCACCTTTGTCTGTATTTTCTTCCACAAGCATTGAGTCAGTATTAGAAGGCTGCATCTGAGTCAACAAATTATTACAATAAGGTTGATCATGGTATCTCGTCACTGAATTCCCAACGGCATCCCAAGCTCGAACATCAACTAATCTCTGGGAATCACTTTCTCTGACTCTGTTCCCATGAAATTGTGAAACATTACGCATGCCAGGAGCTGGTGTCCAACCATAGCGATTTCCTAAACAGGAAAACAAAGGCCTTCTTAACAAAAATGCAGACAGTAAACCAGAAAGAGAGGTGAGTACCCAAAACAGAGCTCTGATAGTAAGAATTTAATATGCTAACATCCTGCTTCTCTCTTATTTGAGAAGTACCAGTTTGAGGTTCAGAAGATGCTAGTAAGACGGAACTTGCTTGATGACTATCCCCTGCACCAAAACTGATATAAGGTGGTGTTGAAAATTACACACACAGCCAAGAGCATGTGATGATATGTAAATCATCACACCTCACAAAGTAGGATGAAAATCGATGATTCTTTCATGGAAAGAACTATATTTTAAAACAAAAGATACCAAAGTACCAAACATACAAAATAATAGAAAAGAAATACCGGTATCAGCATCTTCACATAATGATGACAATGTGCTAGTTGGGCTTGCCGTTGAATCAATATTCACTGAAGCTGTGCCATTTACAGAATTTGAATTGTTTTCTTTCATTCCTATACTGGTCCGGTTACCCTGTATAATTAACAATATAAAATAAACTTACGAACAATTATCAGTAGAAAACTACACTACAAAAGATAATTTTAATGTTAAATGATGGAGTAATAGCACAGACAGGACGGGCTATACCTTAACCTCCAAGTAGTGTACGAAAACGATATGCATCAAATCTCTGTAACAATACAGCATAAAAAAGAGTATATAAGAACAAGTCTGAAAACACACTCAAGAAGCAAAGTCAACTCGTACAAGGGAATTTGAAAGATTGCATGGAAATAGTGACCCAGTTGGTATTTTCATGTTCCACACTTGACCCACGAAGGCCTCAGATATCCAAAGGAAAACAAAGACAAAGTAGCGACTAAAACCCAATGAGATGAGGTTTCTCTATAATAGCACCTTCAAAATTATGATCATAAACACCATTTTTTCCGTCCAATCTAGAAGGTCAGTATACACACAGAACAAGAAAAAACTGAAATGTGCACAAACTCAGACTCACTGTTCAAGCATCCAGTAGCAACGTCTCTGAAAATTCTCGTTGCCTTCCCCATGTGCATAGTAACAATGTAGCACATCTATGCTTCCTACCTATATAATGTTACTCTAAAAAAATTAGATACATTACATTATCAACTAGTTTATTACAAATCCGGAAGTAGAACCAAGTAACAGGTTCCATGATTGGAAAACACTAAACTATTTAGGAGACACTAAAGAAAATTCTAACCTTGAGCTTCTCATGAGCTTCTTTTATGGTTTTACCATCCTTCTTCTTCCTCCAGTTATGTCCGTCTTTCCTAAAATATCTCAGCACCTTCCTATCAAAAAGAAAGAGTGAACCACCTTAAGGGTGGGGAGATAATGTCAGTTTACAGGGAAAAGAATATTTGAAAACTGAAGATTGTTGTCACTAACAAGCGGTGTAACAAAAAGTCTACTTCTTCTTCGAAACAAAACATAGGATGAATTAGAGCAGTGCAGGTATAATTTGAAGCCAGTACATGTGGAACTTTATATATGCAAAAAGTTTGACTGCTATAAATAAAATTCATCCTAATCCTAGTAGTTTTCAATAATGGAAGACAAAGTGACCATTCATGCACCCAATAACTTCATAAGATATAAATTGCAACAGAAAACAAGGGAACTTGGACAAAAACATACTGGCGGGTCGGGTGGGAGACTCTGATGCTATATGAAACTTGTGATAGTTCTGAAGAATTTCACAAATCTCCGAAGGCCTAAGCCACCTGTGTTGAGCTTCTGACAGCAACTGTTCCATATCTGCGAATTCATAGAAGTAAAAGCAAAACATATATTACTCCTAACACTTTATTGACTCTGAGTAAAACAATCTCCCAAATTAAACAACCGCTAAACTATTATGCCTTAACGCAGAAATTTCAATTGAAAATGAAATAAAAACATTATTACATCGCAATTTCAGATCAAGCAGACAAACAAAAAAAATCGACAAACATGTGGAACAACAACACCAGTAAGAAACTGAAGTGAGCTAAGTTCCTCTCTAATGGAAGGGAAGGACAGGGGATAGATTCCTTCGCCTACCAAATGTCGAAGCCAGATAAACAAAGAGATGGCAACATAAACGTAATCTAAGCTAGCACAGGAACCAAAGAAACAGTGGAGAGGGAAAAGAGAAAGAGACCTAATTGAGGAGGACTAATAAAGCCAAAAGATCCGCGATCCACCATAGAAGAATAAACCCAAAAAACAACCAAAAGAGATCTCAAGCTTTCGTAATCACAAAGAGAGAATCAACGAACCCTAACCGATCTGAGTATGCATGAACTGAGAAGCTTATAATCCTGTTTCCTTCGTTTCGGGCTATATCCAGGTGTGAAAACGATAGCGATTTTTTTCCTTTTTTTTTAATCTCTTATTGGAGCGAGACCGAGAGAAGAGAACCCGAAATAAATATCGCTTTGTTTATAAACACTGAAATTGGCCCACGTAACCACCAATAAAAATTCGACACGTATACATATCAGATTTGTCTGGCCCATGAAGTCCTCTTTTTTTTTTTTGGGCAATCAAGTCAAGTTCTTTATTATTAAGTTTTTTTCTTATTCAAAATTGATGTCAAATGTCTTTTCCCTCTCTTTCTCCCAGAGGCGGATCTGGCGGTGGAGATTTATAGACGAGATCTAAGTCTATCAGATCCATCATAGATGACCATCGATGAAGCCAAGTGAATACCAATCATCATCATCATCATTGTAACATTTAAACATTAGACACTTTCATGAGATACGCAGTGGGGACTAGCCTTTCTCTTGTGGTTTCGAGTCTAGGCTTCAGACTCGTTATCACAGGTTCCTAAATCATAGCGCAAAAAGGAGATCTATGGAACGAGGTAATATTTGGGGAACCACGAAATTCCCTGAAATCAATATAGGCTCAGCTTTTTCCTCTACTTGCTCTATAGATTGGAGTAGTCAAATACTCAGATTCTTCACAACAATGCCAAAACATCAACGCAACATACAAATTTAAATCTATGGACACGAAAAGAAACTACGTTTAAAAGAAGAGAAAAGATGCTCAGACCATGTATGTCATACCGACCTGCATCAGATGCGACTGAGGCACACTCAAATTTGCAATCCCTCTCCTGCAGTTTTTCCTCAGGAATGTGTAGAAGTAGTTTATGACTAACTTCTTGATGAACCATGAATCTTTTCTTGCTCTTATATCACCATGCCCAAGAAGATACACCACCCCTGATTCTTTTGCTTTGTGTATGAACGATAACTCTCTCTCCAGGCTTTGCTCAGCTTCAGATACAGAGGAGTCAGATGATGCGTCAAAGGGATGGTGGTTTGTGTGATCAGATGAAGCGTTCATTTCCATGATCGGTTTGTTTAAGTCTCTGTACTCAGAGAGGAGGGGGACACCCATTGAGTACATGCTTCCGTTGGGGCCAATTACGACTCTAGAACCTGCGAAATCTTCCTCTGAGTCTGAATCATCGTTCCCGTCGCTCTCCAAGGAACGTTCTTGAGCTTCTCTTCGGATGAACTTCTCGAGGCTCTCGATCAGTAGCTGCTCAAATGCTTGGTGGTTCTCCTTTCTTGCGTCCTTATAACCATACCTTCAGCACATATAACACAAGGAGTGTTTATATTCGATTCAATTGTTCAGAAACGAAATGGAACAGAATGAAAGAGATAATATGTTTTTGTGGGCTAAATTGGAATCTACAGTGGCTCTAAGACGTACTTCTCTATGTAATACAAAAAGAGAGAAGGAAATATCAGATCTACAGACTTGAGTAAGAATCTCTACGTAAAGTCTAATCTAATCCTATATGAACCATGAAAATTTGAGCAGTGAAAGGGAAAAAAGACCAACCTGGCAATGCAACGGAATAAGTGATAGCTTTTGGTGCAGACACGTCTGAAGAGGAACCTCTCATTCTGTGGTACAACTGGAACCGGGACATACTTTATGCAGACGAAAATGACCATGGAATGGATTGCAGGAAGTGTAGTCAGAAAATGGCCAAATATCGCCGGTACTCCCTTCACTAACTCATTGTACAGCAAACCAATACCAGGAGCTCTTATTGTTCCCAGGTTGCACCCAAGTTCTCTCATTAAATCCATTGACAGCTTTTGTTCGACTTCTGTTTCATACCTGAGCTTACTTCCATAGTTCCAAATATACATTATACCAAACATGATTACGGCAAAGACCAATATTATCCAGCTTCCATCCCCAACACTCGCTATGACTGATGAGAAAAAGACTAATTCCACTCCGAGAAAAACTACCAGAAACGCAATCACGATTACGATGTTTATCTGCCATATAAGAAGCATGATTAACGTCACTAGAATTGTAGTTGTCATCATCACTCCAAGCTCAGCCATCCCTGGGAAATCGAAAAAAAAAATCAAAACGGGGGAAGCATATCGGATCACCAAAGCTAGACAAGGGAAACAGAGAAAACAACTATTACCATATGCATTTCCAATCTCATCGATACTTGAGATTGAGCAGACGACGACCAGGCAGACGGCAAGCAGGAACCAGTTTAGGACAGGTATATAAATCTGACCCATAAATTTTCGAGAAGTGTGAATAATTTTGAGACGAGGGAAACAACCCAGAGCTGTTGACTGTTTAATACATGAAAATGTCGCAGTCGTCATTGTGCGACTGGCAATCAGAGCCGCAATGTTGGCTATGAAAAGGACTGGCCAGAATGCAGTACCTACAGAACAGTATGATGAATTAATAACTTAATACTAGATTAATAGATTTAAAAACAAGTTTCTAATCCGCACCACAAGAACAGCCTTTGCAGGGAAATCAAAGTGGTTTCGTTTGCCAAAGAGGCATGTATATTACTGATTGAAGGAAGCAGCTGAAATTTACCTGGAACAGATGAAAAGAAAGCTTGACTAGCATCCGCATGATTCTCCATCAAGTATGCAGCTTGTCCCATATAACCCAACATGAGGCACGGCAGGACAAGACACACAAATGTAAGCTGCAGAAAACCACTACGAAATAAATTAAAGTTGCAGAAAAATTAGAGCAAAAAAGTAGCATACAAAAAGAAAAAGGTAAACATCAGCCGCCAAAGGCCATTCTACTCTTCATTTACCTGGACTGATCGAACAGAAAAGTAGCAAAGGTCTGCAAATAATGCCTCTGAGCCTGAAAGATAAAGATTATATAACATGAACAATTAACAAAGAAAGTATCACAAAATCAGGCGGATTATTCAGCATAAAAAGGCTTACTCGGTTCTGTTAACTTTTGCTACAAGAGTAATCTAGTTCATTTTCTAATGAAATTTAAGCATCCAGCAAAAGTGAGAAAATTACCTGTAGCACAAAGAATGCAACCTCCAAGTGCATACCAAGCATTTATAGAGTTCCTCTTGAAGAAGTAATAGATGTGGACAGGGTTGAATGCTCTGAAAACACTGCTATCGTATTTGATTAGGTTGTAAATGCCAATACCAGCAAGGCAACAGAACCATATAAGTAAGGCAGGACCTACTACTAGTCCCATCTTACTCGTCCCATATTTTTGTAGACTAAAGAGGATCACCAGAAATGCAACTGAAATCATCACCACTTGATCTGCAAAGAAGAAACAAGAGAAAGCTGAACAATAGCAAAAAATACAATGAAAAAGATAAAGAGCTAGCACCAAACAAATTCAAAGTTAATAACAAAATCATCTGCATTACCTTGCTCAACTACATCAACTCCGACCTTAAGTCCACCAACAGCTGACATTACTGCATTATGCAAATCAAGTAATTCAGATAAGTCCATATGGTAGTAGAAACCCCCTGTTCAATAACACAAAACCATGCCTATGAACATACTTAGAAGAGGATATTTAAGAACCTGACATTGCAGGAGTTACAACCCCATCGGCAATCACCATGGAAGTTCCAGCAAGAACAAGCACGAGGAGAATTTTCTTCAGAATTAATGAATTCTCAAGTTTTTCTTTCAATTTCAATGATCTCTCAAGCTCAGGGCAAGGCACCTTCAGTCTAAAACTTGAAATTCGGGTGTCTGAGCGAAGTTGATTTGGGATAAGACTAATCTTGGCATGACGAGAGATTAATGAATATAACGCAAAGGTCCCACCTGAATATCATAAGTAATCAAAGCAGTTGGCACCGTATGTACAGAGAAGATTCAAATCAAGACTATGATTAGGAGATCAGAATAGCTTAAATCATACCTTCACCATCATCATTTGCCCATAGAACAACAAGAACATATTTAATAAGGGGGACCAAAAGTAAGGTGTATAAGACTAGTGACAGTGCTCCAATGACATCTTCTTTTCCTTGGACAGGTGATTTACTGAACATTACACTGAACGTATACAATGGACTGGTTCCTACATCTCCAAAGACAACCCCTAGTGTCTGAAATGCAAGCAACACTTTCCTCCCAACGGTCAAGTCCTGGCAAAGTAAAAACACACAAATAGAAGTTCGATAAACTATGCAGAGAAAAGTACTGGCTCACAAAAACAAGTCATAGATCTTAGATCTAAGATCATCCATCATTCTTTATCTGCAGAACTTGCAAAAATTAGTAGCCGTAATTAAGCTTTGGAATTAGAAAACACATATCCACTGCTCCCAGACTGTGCATCCAGGACACAACCATAATAGTTTTATAAGCCCATCTCCATCACTGAAACTTGGAAGAATCGCATACTAGCTAGTCACAAAGCATTCCTGATTCCTATTTATAATCCATAATCTCCACATATTGCTAAAATAATTTCCACTTGATCTCTTATGGTACTTCCCTATTCAGTTGTCCTTTCTAGTTCGTATCCGAGCTCAGGCAAAAACAGCTAAAAAATGACTATACTGTTTAAAAACCTAAGAAGACACTCATCATGCCAGTCCGTCGCTATATATGTTGATATGAAATGCACTAATACAGGAAACTATCAATCACCTCGTAATCATTTCTCGGAGCACCAGGAACTTCAAGCGCTTCCACGTCGAAGGAATCAACACGTGGACCAGTACGGATCAGTCGATGCTCTGGTATCTCGTCCTCATCGGATTCGAGTCCAGTACCGTCGAATCCATCATTATCATCGTCAACGCCGATATCGGAATCATCATCGTCCTGGATAACCCATCGAGACTCGATAGAATCCATGGATGCCATATCTCCAAGACCACCACCTGAGCTATCGATCTCTTCTTTTTCAGAACCTTCCAAACTGATTTCCTCCGTCATTTTCAGAACCCTTCGATTGCAATCAAGGCTAAAAGATTCGCAGGATCGATCAAACGAGAAGAATCGTAGAACTAGAGTTTCGCATCCGATCAAAATTTCTCAGGAGCTAAAAGAGATTTCTCAACGAGATGTCTTGTTTCTTCACTGCCGAGCCGATTCATGCCGATGTTCTCAATCTCTCTGCTTTACCAGTTCGCTGCTGAACCGGTCTGATACAAAGGTGGCATGTTTTGTACCGGAAATCTGAACCGGTTAGATTGTGTTATTGGTCAACCTTTTGGTTTGAGCCATTTTCGTTTTCTTTCTTCACAGCTGATTTTGTTCATACAGTGATGAGATTTTATTTATAGTTTGTGACCATCTCTATAATTTTCTCAACTAGTAATAAATACTAAATCAATGAGAAAACTAATCCAAATATATTTATATATATGTGCTAACTTTTTCAAACTGAAAAAGAAACATGTCTAACAAAGGAAATATTTCAAGACCTTATGTGTTGGTTAAAAGTACAGACAAAAGAAAATTAAACTTCCTCGGTAGCAACTTCAGAAACCACCTCTTCATATTCCTTAGTCTCTTCGTCGAACTTGTACCTGCACGCATATTTGTAATCAAACAGATAAGTGGAAGCAAAGTGAGAATCGGATCCGAAACTTGATGTCATTTCTCTTGACATACATACGATGATTACAAGACAAAACACATGAATAAAGAGATTAGTAATGGCTTTTCAAAGTACTAAACTCATGCTAAGTAAATTTTACCATTTTCCGGTTGTTGCGGAGCAGTAAAGTCCAGTGTTAGGGTCATAGTAGTAACCAAGGCTACTGCTGTAGTAGTACCTGCAAAACCATTTAGAGTACTTTTAGATAAATAAATATGAGATTCATAAACATGATACTTAATGAATATTGCTAGCAACACAATGCTTCAGACAAAAAAACTGACTGATGCAACAAGAGAGCGAGAGAGGAGTGTATATACAAACATACCCCGAAGACTCATCAAACACATAATCAGAATTGAGCTGAGTGCCGGAGATGGAGCCAGACGGTAGTAGATCAGAGGAAGGTTCAGGAGCATCCTCATCATCGCCAAACATATCACAAGATTCTGAATTGGCAGTCACATTTCCTTTCGCTTGAGCTAGTCTCTCATATCCTTCTAAAAAGACCAACATAGAGAAGAAGAATGTGAAAAGTAAAGCCAATTGTTCCCTAATGTTATGAAAAAGGTAATATCACAAAGCAGAGGAATCTTATCTACATCAACAGCTGATATTAAAAAAGCATTAGAATCTCTAACCTGCTTCACGTTGGAAAACTTCTTGCTCCTCATGATAAACATCTTCAATACATAAAAAAGAGGAACAAATAATTAACAGATGGAGGACATCATATTTGTTGTCACAGTAGCATAAGTAATTAGAGACTTACTGTAGTCACCGTTCTCGATAAGCTTGTCCGCATCCTCAGTAAGCTGATCAAAGATAAGCTTTGTCTCAGATGTCATCTTCTCCTTGCGATTATTCGAATTCCCTTTCAACCTCCTTAAAGCTCGCAGGACCTGTAAAATGAACCCGATTTGTTTTACGTGTTTGAAGTATGTATAACCAACAATGCTATATTAAGGTGATATTTTTAACTAATACAATCAATGTTTCAAGTTTGAAACAAAAACTTGTCAAAACCCAGAATGAGTCTCACCGTTTCTCCTGGTTCAAGGACATTAGCAATGCGCCTCTTTCTGACTCCAATTTCATCTTGAGAAAGATCATCTGCTACTTTTTCGTTCCCACTATCTTCATCCTTCTCAGTATCATTTGCAGCAGATCGTCCCATATACATCGGATTTTTTTCAATACTGTCAAGCCATGCATCCTGAAAGAATACACATAAAATGTAAGACAATCTACAAAATATCTTGGAGCTAAACTTTACAATGAAAGTTGTGTACTTCGCACCTTGACTTCCTTTTCTCTAACATATTCTACAAAGTTCCCATCAGCATCAAAGTAACCTTCTTCTTTCTCTCTGTCCAGACTAAAAGCTTCAATTTGGATCCCATCTTCTGTGCGGTTCCCATCATCCTACAATGAAATAAATCACATCAGCATAACTCTTATTGCAAACAAACATCATTGACGTCTGGAAATAGACACAATTAGCTTCCAAGAACAGTCAACAAACAAAGAAGGATTGTAGAATTCCTACCTCATAAGTCTCCTGAGCCGCATCAATATCGTCATTATCGTTTTCGATAAAGAGATTAGCAGTATTCTGATTGCGAATATGTGCACGCTCCTTAGCAGCATCACGAGCTTTGCGGCGGGCTACAGCTTCTTCCTCTAAGAGCTGTTCACCTTTCGACTTTTTACCCTTTGGAAACCGTACTCGCTTTTCGCTGCCAGAGAGAATCCTCCATTAAAAGATACACCAAACAACTTGTCCATAATCCACATTATAGCGAATGCACACAAACTCAAGTTGTAACTGAGAAAAATATCAAAAACGATTAATACTCCTAGTTCAAGACAATCATATGTTCCGCATTCAATTTCAGGTTCAATGTCTAACTCTAGCAAAATTCAGGAGATGAGAGAATCAGAGGGAAGATACAAGAGCTACTAATTCAATTTTCCCTACCCTAAAACTGAATCACGAAAAGAAGAAACACGTATCGTCAAGCTTAGCAGAACAAAATTGGAAATTAGGGTTTTCGGAAAAGATTGAAAACTTACGGGGGTTGCTTATTAGAATCTTCATCTTCTAAGAAGGATCGTTTGAGGTTCTTCCTCGACGAACTCTCTGCCATTGGAGCAGCTTGATGAGACGAGAACAACGACGATTTGTAGATTTCCAGGCGGTGTTAATCGGCGTTGAGGAGAAATAAGAAGAAAGCATAATCTCTCGCCGACGTATACAAAACGGGCCCTGTTATTGGGCCGAATAATGGGCCTAAAAAAAATCGCGCACATTAGCATAACGGTTGGAACTACTATCGTCTGTTTCCTTTAAATTACCGGTTTACTTTTTCCCAATGGTTACGCTAAACGCCGACGTTTTGATACATCAAAACTCAAAAGGCCCTAATTTATGTGTTTTCTCTAAACCGGTGATCATCCTCATTCTCAAGATCATTGTTAGCCGTCATCGCCGATCAGTCTTGGAGTCGCAGGTCAGCTTCTAATTCTTAATTCTCTGAATTTCGTTTGAAGATATTAATCGAATACTCTTACCTAAATGTTCTTCTGGGTTTTTTTTTGGTCGAAGTGTTTGAATTCAATCGCAATGGAGCAGAAACCACCAGTACGAAAGGTTTGTGTTTGCTATCATCATTACCTTGTAATGTTAGATTAAATATTTGGCTCTGTTAAAGTTTCGTTTTTGAGTTCTTCTGCAGATGAAATTCGCCCCAAAAGCTCCCCCAAAACGTGTGCCAAAACCGGAAGTTAAACCGTAAGCAACACTAATTACTGATCTGATTAACATAAACAGACGTGTTCTTTGGTAAATTTGCTTCTGAAACTTTAGAATTCTGAATGCAGTGAAGTAGTTGAGAATGATAGTAATAGTGCACAAGCCTTGGAATTGCTACGCAGAGTAAATGTAAGCTTTTTATCGTTGAGTGAAATTGTGTGTTGCTCTTGTTTCTTCTTACTTTCTCAGTTCTCTTTAATTTTGATTTTTGTTTGCCTTAGGAAAGATCATTGCGCAAGCCAAAAGCGGACAAGAAAGGTACTGTCTTTAACTTGAAACTCAGACTCTTATCTTACTCTGTTTGCTATGTTATCTAGTTGTAAAAAACATCACTTTGATAAACACTGATTGAGTTTTTGGCATGTATTTTATAGTTCCTGCTTCTCGAGTTGCTTGGATGGGGGGAGTGGTGAATTCAACCAGATCAAATAAGTACCTCAGTGGATCAAGTACGATTTCTTTTCTATTTAAAACATAGGCAATTATATTTACAACACATCACAAGCTGATAAGTCGGCGGCGGTGTTGATACATGATGTTTGTTGTGCAGATGGTGCTTATGGATCAACCTCTACTCAGGAGATAGAGTATAAAGAACCATGGGTCGGTAAAACAGTAACTCATCCCTATAGTTATATCTTGAACTCGTATATCGATAATGTTGATGCATAATTAGCTCTTGGATTGTCTCACAGGATTACTACAGCTATTACCCGATCACACTTCCAATGAGGAGACCGTATGCAGGCGATCCAGGTATTCATATATTTGCTTGAGAAGAAAAAGAAACATCTTTCTGAGAACGGATTCTTGATTACCATTTAAGATGATGCTCAATCTTGCAGAGGTTCTTGACGTGGAGGAGTTTATGCAGGCTGCAGGAAATCATGAAGATTCACTTAACACAGCTGCTAATCTTGGTCTAATGGTTAGTGACATTACAAATAAAAATTCGATAACCAAAACTCACACACAAACTCTAGAAACTCTATAGTTACATATTGTGGATTACTTGTTGGCAGGAAGATAGTGGAGAACAGAAAATGCTTTTTATGAGGTTACCTTCTGTTCCTTTGGCATCAACACCAACAGAAAACCGTGAAACAAAGCCAAATATCAGAGGCCCCGTTCAGACGACTGTTGATTTAAAAGCCTTGCCAGAAGGTTTCATGGGCAAATTACTAGTCTACAAAAGTGGTGCTGTCAAGATGAAACTGGGTGAAGTGCTTTACGATGTGAGTGACTTCTCATACCCGTATTTTTCATCCTTTTAGTAGCATTTCGATTATCGTAGAACCAGCACAACACTAGGCCAATATCTAGTAAGTGTCTTGAATCCATGTTTAACCCAAGTAAAATTGATTCTAGTATACGTCAGTTTGGTTTGGACCTGGTTTCAGTTCTCCGAATACAGAAAAAGTTTAATCGTAGTAAAAGTCTAATTCGGATTTGGAATGGGGTGTAGGTAAGCCCGGGGTTGAAGAGCGAGTTTGCACAAGATGTGATGGTGGTTAACACAGAGCAGAAGAATTGCTGTCTGGTTGGAGATGTGTACAAGCATGCAGTTTTGACTCCTGATATTGATTCAATCTTGAAAAATATCGAAAATATGTGATATTCTTTAACTATTTTTGTTACATCAATTTTGTTTTCATTCTTTTATTCGAAAGAACTCATAGTTTTGACATTGAGAAAGAAAGAAAAAAAGAGTTTTGGTTTACTTTCGATAACAATAATACGCATGTGGTTTTCAACATTTGAAGTTTGAACCAATCCCTTAAAATCTCCAATACAATGAGAAACTGACCCACTGAATAATTGTATGCAAAATGATAAAACTTGTTTACTATATTTAATAAATTAGTCTTTAGACATATAAACCCAAGATAGTTAAAAATAAAATCTTGGCATATAAACTTTTGTTTTTTTGGTATGAATGGTAAGTTTTATACCATTTTTAGATTTTTGACAGAAGGTTACAGCAGGAGCAAAGTTTGAATACAAATCCTTCTACTTTAAGAAAAGCGTTTTAAGAAATTACATTTTTATTTTTTGTTTTCTTCTGTATTCTTCTAACAAATCTAATCATTTTGGTAACAACGTTAATTTCGATGATAAAAACCTTTTAATATTTTGACCAAAAAGAAAAAGAAAAAAGCTCTAAATATAGGATAAAATCCAAATAAAAATGAGCAAGAATCTTACGCGTTACACATGACGTGTACACAAAGACGACGTCGTCTCTATCACTTAAAACCCATATTTAAACACAGCACATTTCACTCATTCTACCACAACTCTCATTTTCTTCTCTCTCGATTCTTAAGCAGTAACCAAAACAGAGAAACAAAAAAAAAATGGCCTACTTCTCCACCGCGACATCTCTTCTCCTCCTCGTTCTCTCTGTTTCCTCTCCTTATGTTCATGGAAACATTGTACCAGCCGACGAGTGCACCCCCGTTGTTGTTACCCTGATCCCATGTTTACCTTTTATAACGGTCGGGAGTACGGCGGATACACCCTCAGCTTCATGCTGCTCCAGTCTCCAGAATATTCTCAGTACGAAACCGGAATGTCTATGCGACGGGTTGAAGAACCCACCTTTGGGAATCAAACTCAACGTTACTAAATCTACTACTCTTCCCGCTGCTTGTAAAATTAATGCTCCTCCGGCGTCAGCTTGTGATGCATGTTAGATTTCTCCTTTATCTCTCTGTTTTTCTTCTTGATTTTTTATGGATTATGATCCTTATACGATAAATCAGATTATGGTTTAATTTCTTCTGTAGTTATATGATTATCTGGTTAATAGAGATTTTTTTTTTTGTTTTGGTTGCAGTGGCTCCTGCTAGTCCTCCTGCTGCTACTCCTCCTACTGCTAATGGGCAAGGTATTTGTCTTTCTTTTTGTTGATTTCATTCTTAATCACTTATTGATATGTTTAATCTGCTTTTTATCATGCCATCTAAATTATTTTTTTTGTTAAGGGAAATGGAATTTTTTTGGACTTCTTGCTTGAATCAAGTTTTGGTTGGCGTTATAATAAAGCAGGGGAACTGTAAAAGTCAATTTTCTTCATAATAAAAAATTTAGTCTTTTTCGTCTTATGATAATTTCAATTTCATGTGTATCATGTGACCATCAAGACAAAATAAAATATTAAAGCTTGTGTGGATGTATTCTCTATGTAATGTGCCATGATCATGTAATATGAGAAGAGCTTTTGTCAAAATCTCCATTTTGTTAAGTTTGATATATAGTTGTGTGATTTATCTCCTTCTTCTCTCTCTCAAAAGCTTTTAAGGTGTGTCAGACTTGATTTTGTGTTTTTGACTCTTGTCTTGTTATGTTTGTGTGACAGCTCCAGCTACTTCTGCTGGATGGGGATCAGGATGGGGATCAGGATGGGCTCCAGCTCCAAGCCCTTCTAAAGGAAATTCATTGATCCCAATCTCTGGCTTTTCCTTTGTAATCAGTACCGCATTGGCCATGTTGTTCCCCCGTATCTAAAACCCGACAGACCTAACCTTCTAGTCGAGAGTTAGACCGTAGCTTATCATTAGTTATGATGTTTCAATAATTCCATTAAGACGTATCATCTTTCCATTAAGACTTGGTATTTTTTTTTAATTTCTGTTTTGTCACACACATTGTTTTAACTTTTATTATTTGAGTTGACTGGTGGCTATTTCTAGATTTTGTTATTGAATCATAATGAGCCATTAAACCATCTAAAACAAAGCTCTAAATCGAATTATAAGAATAAAATAAAAATAAATAAATTATTTGCGACAAATTCTCCATGCATGTGATTAGGAATATGGCCATTGGGTTTGGTTCAGAGAAAATGTCAAAACGTGGCTTATCACACTGGAAATATAGAAATCCAATTTTCATAAGCCTCACAAACTGTGAAATCGTTCGTTCCATGCTGAGAATTAGGCAAAATATCCAAGATTTGCATATAATTCTTAAAGATCAAAATCATTGAGTCTCAAACATAAATTCATATAATCTGGTTTAGATTCTAAACCGGCCATACATTGAAAATTTGTAGTTAGCGAGTCATCTAAAAATGGTTGGGTTCCATTCGGTTAAATTTCAAGAAATTATTCCATTTATGTGTTTCCTATAATATATTCGATATTTTTAATGCCTACTGTGGCCTGTCACCGTATAAGATTTCTTACTCAATATGTAAAACCTTACAAATTTCCTTCCTTATTAGGCCTTTCTTTTTAAGAATATAATGATTTGATACGTTAATTTATAAGAATATGTAATAAATGTTTGACAATAAAAAAACATCTGAAAATGACTGCCAACATATAAAAAAGTAAAATTTATTACATCCTCTGTTTGAGATTTTATGGTGAGAAGAACAACCATGGAGTTCAAGCTCAACGTTCCAAATACAATGGTTAAAACACTACAGACTATAGTCTTCTTTCTCTTTGTTCTTCTTACATTCCAAATCGCGGAAGCCAAGATTCACCACCACACTTTCAAGGTATTGATTGTACAAAATTTTATTTTGACAATATTAAGAGAGAGAGAAATGGATAAAAAATCTGATTATGCCATCGATTTTCTCTTATGCAGATAAAATCGAAAGCTTACACACGACTTTGTAATACCAAAAAGATATTGACGGTGAATGGAGAATTTCCCGGACCAACGTTAAAAGCCTACCGTGGAGATAAGCTCGTCGTCAATGTCATCAACAACGCAAATTACAACATTACTCTCCATTGGTAAGTACACTCTTGTTGATTACATTTTGATTTCATATTGACTAATGTTTATAAGACGTAAAGAAACATGTTTTTACTTTAAGTGTTTAACATCTTAGGCACGGAGCAAGACAAATCAGGAATCCATGGTCGGACGGACCCGAATATGTGACTCAGTGTCCGGTCCGACCAGGAGAGAGCTATGTATATAAAATCGATCTTACCGTCGAAGAAGGAACGATTTGGTGGCATGCGCATAGCCAATGGGCGCGTGCCACCGTCCATGGAGCGTTTATTGTCTACCCCAAACGTGGCTCTTCTTATCCTTTTCCTAAGCCTCACCGTGAAATCCCTCTCATTTTAGGTACACTTACACTACTTGGTTGATGAGATTAGCACATCTATATCATTTTTGGATACGAAAAAACTGAACTCGGATTAAAATTGTTATGGTGTAACATTACGTGACAATTGACAGGTGAATGGTGGAAGAAGGAAAACATAATGCATATACCAGAAAAAGCGAATAAAACCGGAGGAGAACCAGCCATCTCTAACGCATATACCATAAACGGACAACCCGGTTATCTATATCCCTGCTCTAAACCAGGTAAGTCTCTTCCAAGTTTCAACACAAGCTCAAATCTTATAACCAAAAGTTCACATTTTTCTTTATAATTCCGCAACAGAAACATTCAAAATAACAGTGGTGCGTGGCCGTCGATACCTTCTCCGGATTATCAACGCCGTGATGGACGAAGAACTCTTCTTTGCAATCGCAAACCACACCTTAACCGTTGTAGCCAAAGACGGTCTCTACTTAAAACATTTCAAAACCAATTACTTAATGATCACTCCGGGACAATCCATGGACGTCCTCCTCCATGCGAACCAACGGTCCAACCATTACTTTGTGGCGGCTAGAGCTTACTCCTCTGCAGTTGGTGCCGGTTTTGACAAAACCACCACCACAGCCATCTTGAAATACAAAGGTGTTTCTTTAAACCGGAGTAAACCGATTCTACCCTATCTGCCTCCTTACAATCGTACCGAGGCATCTACCCGGTTCACTAACCAATTCAGAAGTCTTCGATCCGATCACCGTCCGGTTAACGTCCCGGTTAAAATCGACACCCGTCTTCTCTACGCGATCTCCGTGAACTTGATGAATTGCTCCGACGATAAACCTTGTACCGGTCCGTTCGGGAAGAGATTCTCGTCGAGTATTAACAACATAAGCTTCGTGAACCCATCGGTCGACATTCTCCGAGCTTATTATCGCCACATCGGAGGCGTTTTCCAGGAAGATTTCCCTAGAAATCCGCCGACGAAATTTAACTACACCGGTGAGAATCTTCCGTTTCCGACAAGGTTCGGGACGAAAGTGGTGGTTCTCGATTATAATTCTAGCGTCGAGCTTGTTTTACAGGGGACGAACGTGTTGGCTTCAGATAATCACCCGATTCATCTCCATGGGTATAGCTTCTATGTCGTGGGTTCGGGTTTTGGGAATTTCGATCGTCGGAAAGATCCGTTGAAGTATAACCTAGTTGATCCACCGGAGGAGACCACCGTTGGTGTTCCTCCTAACGGTTGGACCGCCGTCAGATTCGTAGCTAATAATCCAGGTCAGTTCACACTCTACACTTTGTTACGTTTCTCAAACGTTTCATGCAAAAATGATAATAATTTTCATTAGTTATACAAAAGATATTTAAAAAATCTATAATACTACATTACAGAAACATTAGTACAATCACTACATTACATAGACTCCACTAGGACATTAGATTTAAGTGTTTGAAACATTTGGTTAATGCCTAACAACATTTTGAAGATTTTATATGATTTATGGAATAAAAAAATAGTTAAATGGTCGGTTGGAAAATTGAAATTACCAGACAAGTGAGAATAAAATACAATATTGTCATGCCTGAATTGAGATATTGACGATCTTGGTTTGATTTGTTAATGAAGGGGTGTGGTTGTTGCATTGCCATATAGAGAGACATGCCACATGGGGAATGAACACAGTGTTTATAGTGAAAGATGGACCGACTCAATCTTCCCGTATTGTCAAGCCTCCTCCTGATCTGCCTTCTTGTTAGCTGCTAATCTAATAAAAACATACAATTTCCTAGTTTTTCAATCATATTAATAATTCCGTCAATATTCTCAATCGCTTATTTATTTGATTTTCGATGATTACACTCTATTCTACGAGCTTACCAATTAGAGTCTATGATTTTCTGCGATATGATTCATTTTTGAATTAATCGTTGTCCCATGGAATCAAGAAAAGTTTAGTTGTCAAATAATATGGTAGAATTATTATTGTTTTTGGGTGGTCAAATACACTATCGATTTTGTTGTGATATTTAAATTCAAAAATTCAAATCGACATGTGAAACGATACAATAATAAATGGAGGGAAAAACCAAACGAAATTGCAACGAAAGATTCAGCTTGCGTGGTTTTCCAGCGCACGTTAGATCCAATCACTCGACAAAAAATTAAAAAAACTTTAACTTAAAAAATAATTTACTTCCTTCCCCTCTCTCTCTCCTCTTGTTGTGAATTGCCATCAAAAGCCTCCGACAACGGCGGAGACGACGGCGATTGAACTCCGCATTTGAATTTTCTCAAGCTTGCAACTTTTATTGACAACGAATAATGGGTTTGCTTTGAAGAAGCTAATCACTGGCTTCTAGAACTCTTATTCTTCTCCCTGAGATTATCTCGTCTCGGGGAAAATTTTCCGTCATTACCGGTTTTTATTAACTAGGAGACGAGGAATATCTTGGTCTGTGCTTCGACATTTAGGTTTGCTAGTTAGGAGAAGCTGTGGTTCGTGGCATTGTGAAGTCCCAATTCCCTCGATTAGGCATTCGAATTTTGATTTTTAGTATATGAGATTTGGGTTTTTAGCGACAATAAGGTTTAGTGTAAGGTTATGTTTTTGATCTGGTCTGGATTCGGTAGAGAAACTACCCGATCTACTACTTCTTTGATTCGGATGATTTGAGTCTGCGAGCTAGAATCTCTTATTACAAGGCTGATCATCAAAAATGCAGATGGCACAGTTTCTTTCACTGGTTCGAGGTGATTCGATTGAGTCTCCTCGTGAGATTACCTCGCCCAGTAACCTCATCAGCGAGTCCGGTTCGAATGGGTGGCTTATCAGATTTTTTGATTCTTCCTTCTTCTGTGAGTGGATTGCAGTCAGTTATTTGTACAAGCACCAGCATTCGGGTGTGAGAGATTACTTATGCAATAGGATGTATACGCTTCCTTTATCCGGTATCGAGAGTTATCTGTTCCAGATTTGCTACTTGATGGTGCACAAACCAAGTCCCTCACTTGATAAGTTTGTGATAGATATTTGTGCAAAGTCACTTAAGATAGCACTGAAAGTGCATTGGTTTTTGTTGGCGGAACTTGAGGATTCTGATGATAATGAAGGTATTGGCAGGATTCAAGAGAAGTGCCAAATTGCAGCTACTTTGGTGGGTGAGTGGTCGCCTCTTTTGCGGCCACAGAACGAGCCTTCGACTCCAGGGAGCAAGAATCCGGTTCTTAATAAGTTTTTGTCATCAAAACAGAAGTTCTTCTCACTGGCTTCATCTCCACCCACCCAGAAGTCTTTATTATTCTCACCTACATCAGGGAGCAACTTGCAGGATGATGGTAGTCAGTTATCTGCGGACGACAATAAGATTTTTAAGAGACTAATCCCAAGTCCTAAAGTTAGAGATGCTTTATTGTTTAGGAAGTCAGCAGACAAAGAAGACGAGGAATGTGAAAAGGACGGATTTTTCAAGAGACTCTTGAGGGACAGCAGAGGTGAGGACGATGAACAAATGTCAAACTCAGAGGGCTTCTTTAAGCGACTTTTGAAAGACAATAAATCAGAAGAGGAGGAGATATCAAACAATTCTGAGGGGTTCTTCAAGAGGCTAAGGAGTAGTAAAGGAGATGAAGAGGAATTGACATCGAGTTCAGATGGATTCTTTAAGAGATTGTTACGAGAAAATAAAGGAGATGAAGAGGAATTGGGTGCCAACTCGGAGAGTTTTTTCAAGAGGTTATTGCGGGATAGTAAAAATGAAGACGAGGAGCCAAATGCAAACGCAGAAGGGTTCTTCAAGAAACTATTCCGTGAGAGCAAGAATGAGGACGATAAAGTTGCTGACGCAGTAGATGATGAGGAAAAAGATGGGTTTCTTAAGAAACTTTTCAAAGAAAAGTTTGATGAGAAAAGAAATGGTAACGAAAGGAATAAGACAGATGAAACCTTGTATACTGATGGAAAATCTGGTGAAGATAATGAAAGGGAGGGATTTTTCAAAAAATTCTTTAAGGAGAAATTTGAAGACAAACAAGACATTGGCAAAGCCGATGATGGGAATCAAAGCGAAGATGATGAATCTTCAGAATTCTCACTGTTCAGAAGATTGTTCCGTAGACATCCAGAAGAAGTAAAAACTACTTTACCTAGTGAAAACAGCAGCAATGGCGGTTTAGTTGAAAGCAGTCCTGGGACAGAAAACTTTTTCCGCAAATTGTTCAGAGATCATGACCGGTCTGTTGAAGATTCTGAACTTTTCGGTTCGAAGAAATATAAGGAGGTTTGTCCCCATATAACTTGATCTCAGGTTTTATTTGTAATGCTTAGAGCCTTAGACATTCTTTTCTTTGTCTTTCAACCCATATCTCCTGATTCATTCATCTGTTAAGATTCTTTCTAGGATATTATATGAGATATCAGCTTTACATATTAGACTATCGAAAAGTTTTGCTTGTGTTGCTTGGTTTACCCTCATACATAGGATGGTAGTTTATGATGACACGTAAGGCAAGAGCGCTACTGTTCTCAGGTCATGTTAAATTTCTCTCACTTCAGCAAATTTTAGTCGGCGGAAAGGGGTAGTATGCCTGCCTTTCATTATATTTGCTGGATTTGCTCAGGCGGCCATTAATTTCTGACATTTGCAGAAGTGTCTAGGTTCACCTAAACCGCAGAATGATACTCCATCTAAAAAGCCCCCACTACCAAACAATACTGCAGCACAGTTCAGGAAAGGGTCTTACCACGAGTCTTTGGAGTTTGTACATGCATTATGTGAAACGTCATATGATTTGGTAGATATTTTTCCCATTGAAGATCGGAAGACCGCTCTTCGTGAGGTGTTCTTTTAACCCCTACCTGTCTATATTGATATTTAAAATGTAGATATTAACATTCTCCTTTATTTAACTAAGATTTCATGTTTCTTTTTTTTGGTTTTAGTCTATTGCAGAGATCAATTCCCATTTAGCTGAGGCTGAAACTACTGGAGGTATTTTTCTTAAATATCTTAGAATTTGCTTGTACAGTTTTTGTATCACACATGAGTGAACCAAGTGCCCCGATACATACTCACCCCTTTGCATTGAAGTTATTTTCCAACGGTTATATTTTGCCCTATTCATGTTTCTATTGCGGTAACTGATTCATATCAGATATTGATAATACTTCAATATTATTCCAGGAATCTGTTTTCCAATGGGGAGAGGAGTTTATCGTGTTGTTAATATTCCTGAAGACGAGTATGTTCTTTTGAATTCTAGGGAAAAGGTGCCTTATATGATATGTGTGGAAGTTTTGAAAGCAGAAACACCCAGGTAGATATAAAAGTCAAATTTAAAATTAATCTACTACTTTTCGTTTTAGAATTTGCTTTCTTACCTTATAAGTTATAAGTTCTAATTATACTTTAAAGGGTTTCTTGGTAACCCTCTCTCACTGTTCTTATTGTCTTCTGAAACTTTTGTAGTGGTGCTAAAACCGCATCTACTTCCCTTAAGCTTTCTAAAGGAGGCATTCCATTGGCAAACGGGGATGCATTCTTGCAAAAGCCACCTCCATGGGCTTATCCGCTATCTACTGCTCAGGAGGTTTACCGTAACAGTGCAGACCGAATGTCATTATCAACTGTTGAAGCAATTGATCAAGCAATGACTCATAAGTCTGAGGTAAAATTTGTGAATGCAAGTCTCTCGGTCGAGAAGCATAGTAATTCAATTACCAAATCAGTAAGCAGTGGTGTGATTGGTGTCCTGAGGACTGGTCTGGAAAGTGATCTTGAGTGGGTTAGGGTGGTGCTGACGGCTGATCCAGGTCTTAGAATGGAAAGCATTGCTGATCCGAGAACCCCACGTCGAAAGGAACATCGTCGTGTTCCAAGTATAGTTGCCTACGAGGAAGTACGGGTGAGTATTGCTGAAAATCATTGAGTAGCGTTTCTGCATCACTTAGTAAGTGACTCCTAACATACCAAACAGATCATTCACCTAAACAGTCATCTTAATTTGGATAAGCAATATCAGCTGTAAAAGTGCGTGTATCCTGCTTGATGTCATTATTCCTAAATCAACTCCCTTGTTCAGGCTGCTGCAGCGAAGGGAGAGGCACCTCCAGGTCTTCCTCTCAAAGGGGCTGGTCAGGATTCATCAGATGCACAGCCAATGGTGATTGCAAGTTGATTATAGAAAAGGATATTCCTTTTATTTTTCTGTCTTCTAGTTGTTGAACCTTTTTTTTTGTGGCTCACCAGGCCAATGGTGGAATGCTGAAAGCAGGTGATGCCTTATCTGGTGAATTTTGGGAGGGGAAACGACTAAGAATTCGTAAAGATTCAATATATGGCAACCTACCAGGTTGGGACTTGCGCTCTGTAAGTACTGGATAAAGCAATCCTCCTTATCTTCCGCTGGCGTTTCCTTGTAGAGTATATTTCTCCACTTGAACATCTTGTGTAGCGATAATTAAAATACGTAATGGTATTTCTTGTTAGAAAGATGGTTGCGTATCTCTACTTAAAGTTCAAATTTTATCAACAGTGAAAATATATGAAGCTTTTTACATTCATTCCTTTGTATATAGCTTTTTTTTTTTTTTTTTTTTTTTTCTCGTGTGAAACTGCAAAGTTTAGCCATCAAGCAATTACTGATGCTTTGAGTCTTTGATAATTCATTGAGGGGCTCTGCTTTTGATAAGCTTCTGTTTTTGATTTCTTTCCAGCTGCATGTAAAAGTTGGTTTATACTTGTTGACATTAAAAGTTTTTGTCTAGGAATTTCTGATTGCTTATGATACACTATATTAAAACAACACTAAGAAACTGCTATTTTGTTGTTTGACCTATTATTCCAATTCTTTTCCGGCTCTTGCAGATCATTGTGAAGAGCGGTGATGACTGTCGGCAGGAACATCTTGCGGTTCAACTCATATCTCATTTTTTTGGTAGGTGATATTTTGTTTATCTACCATATGCCTGTTAAGTTCATAGTTATTGGGCTTGGCATCTCAAACTATGCTTTTTTTATCGTTCTCATGTATTCTCTATCCTGTCATCTTATATAAGCATATATATGTGTGTGTGTATATATAACACACATTTCTGCCTTATATAATTAATGGTAACAGCCTTGTCCATGTGGTAGATATATTTCAGGAAGCAGGGCTTCCCCTCTGGTTACGTCCGTATGAAGTCTTGGTGACATCTTCATACACTGCCCTTATAGAAACAATTCCAGATACGGTAATTATGCTACTTTATTCAGTATCCCGCAACCGATCTTGTTTTTATCTTGGAAAGCGAATGTTATAGTATTACCTTTCTCTCCTGCAGGCTTCTATTCATTCTATTAAAAGTAGATACCCTAACATCACAAGCCTGCGTGATTTTTTTGATGCAAAGTTTAAGGAGAATTCTCCAAGTTTTAAGCTTGCTCAGGTAATGTACTCTTCAGGTACATTTTATGGTTTTATGGCTCAAGTCCACAAGCAAGTTGGCTGTTTTCTTTCAGAAACTTATTGACTGCAATCTGTTAAACATGCTGTTGTTCAAATGAGAGGTGTGGAATATACGTAAAATGTTCTCTCCCAAAAATTTCTTCAATGGAGAACCCAATTTCGTTAATTCATAGTGGAGCCTTTTCTGAGAATGAGGATATAGAGCTTGAGAGGTCTTATACTATTTTTAATTTCCCTTTTATGCAGCAGGATTTTCATAAATTTTACTAATATGGTTTATCATATGAAAAATAGGTTGCATCAAAGTCTTCTCCATGAATCAATTAGAAGTGTGTCTATAATTGCAAATTGTGTGAGATGTCACACCATGTATTAAATTGTCTTCTTTTGCAGAGGAATTTTGTTGAGAGCATGGCTGGATATTCTTTGGTTTGTTACTTTCTACAGGTAGGTTGTCTTTAATAACTGCGTCTCTCAGGATTGTGTATTCATATATGTAGGCATATAAGTGCTTTGAAACAAGGACGATTGGAATCTATGAGTTTGGCACTCTGCTGGTGCTCATAAGTTCCATGATGGCTTGCTCTTAGTTTTATGGCTAGTGATGTCCATTGTTTGATTGCCTTCGCGTTCAGATAAAAGACCGTCATAATGGAAACCTTCTGATGGATGAAGAAGGTCACATTATACACATTGATTTCGGCTTTATGCTTTCAAATTCTCCTGGTGGCGTGAACTTTGAGAGTGCCCCATTTAAGCTAACTCGGGAACTTCTTGAGGTTAGAAGCATGTTCTTATAATATCTCTTGCCTCTTTGAAGCAGCTAAGATTACTTAGTTTAGTTATATACTCGAAACCACTTGCACATTTAGGTAATGGATTCTGATGCTGAGGGGGTTCCAAGCGAGTTCTTTGACTATTTCAAGGTATCAATGAGGCTCTTTCGTTTGCTCTCCTCCAAGTCACTTATAAGGCTCTATTTTTCTCCATCTGTAGCTATTATTAAGTACCTCTAACGGTCAACTGTTTTAGGTGCTATGCATCCAAGGATTCCTAACATGTAGAAAGCATGCAGAACGGATTATTCTTCTCGTCGAAATGTTACAGGTATTATGATCTGAATCGATATCTGCTTATTGATAGCTTTCTGACCAAAAGCATATTAGAAGCGAGAGCACTATTGTGAGTTAATAAAGTAACAAAATCATTTCCCGGCTGAAAAATTTGCGTCAGGATTCGGGTTTTCCTTGCTTCAAAGGTGGTCCACGCACCATTCAGAATCTAAGAAAAAGGTTCCATCTAAGTTTAACCGAAGAGGTAAATTACTTGTCTCCCCTTTTATTCTACCAATTTCAGCACCGTTCTAACTTCTAAGGATTATCTTTCCAATCCCAACTGTTTCCTTTGTCATAAGCAGCAATGCGTCTCTTTGGTGCTCTCTCTAATCAGCAGCAGCTTAGATGCTTGGCGAACTCGACAATACGATTACTACCAAAGGGTGTTGAATGGAATACTATGATGTTAATTTACTTACAAAAGTTTGAGATCTCATCAGTGAATCAACCTGATGAGAGACTAAACAGGTATACTTTGGTTGTGTTGTTCTCCATGTCCATTGCATGTGAAGAACCTTTTTCACAACTTTAGTATCAAAGACATTCGAGCTTCAAAGAGCTCTTGAGGAAATCAATTACACGAAGAGAAAGAGTGACATTGTGTGACCAAAAACACTTTTGTACATAGGATAGTTTTTCTTTGCAGAGGTTTGATTCTTATATCCTTATCTATAAAGGAGCAGGCAAAGCCAAAAGTTAATTCATTTTCTTAAACCTTACCATACTGTATTACTGTTAGATGAAACAATTTTTTTTTTGTATTTGTATTTGTATTTGTGATGAAATTGATGATGTGAAAATCAAAGGTTGTATAATGTGTATTTTTTGTTTCCTCAAGTAACAATTTTAAGGAAGATGCTGCTGCTTTGAAAAACAATCAACTTATTCTTCAGAGATTTTGTATATAAGAAACGTTTTTTTGTTTTTTTTATAAAAAGTTGAATATGAGTTATGTAACTTATGTTACTATGAGTCAGTAGTAAAAATTTAGTGAAAAATCAGAAAAAAATAATTAGGCCTGCCTGGATATGAACATTTAACACTGTTTTAGTAGGCTTTTGAATGAAAAAGGGCCCAACACTGTAATTACCAAACGCGTGTAAGGTCTGGGAGCTCAATCTTATATAAACCCTAAGACCGCAGCCATTGACTCAGTTCTGGCTTATCCTTCACGCCACTCTCTAAATCCCTCTCGCTCTCCTCCCCCTTTGCGACGATCGTCCTTTCCCACTGTCGAGGTTTTTCTCTCTCTCCGGGTACGACTTTTTCTCTCTGTTTCTCATCCTACGCCGCGATGTTGTGGATGGTGATTTTGTGTGTTCCGATCTAGTCTTAGGTTTTCCTTTTGTAATTCCTGAAATGGGTTTTTGATTTTTTTTCTCTTTATTGTGATTTCTGGAACTCATAGATTTTCCGATTCATTTTTAGGGTTTTACTAGAGTTTTTATTTATTGTAGTTTGGTTTCTAGTTGGTCGGGTAGTTCAATTTTCTTCTTTTTGGTTTGTTTCAATGTCTCAATAGCAGGCTTTACGTTGCACACCAGATGTCTGTTGATCTCTGCAAGAAGAATCCATCTTTTCTTTGGTGTGACTGTGGTTATATGAGCAGGGGGAGGTTGTGGTGTTTTCAGATAATCCTCTTCAGGCACTGGACTTGACTTGTCTTCAACTCGTCGACTTCTCTCTCTTTCTTCTGCTTTCTTCTTTCTCGATTCTCTACTTTTTTCTGTTTACTTTGATCAAAGGGTATTCGCTTCTGCTGCTCCTGTTTACTGTGAATTTGAAGACTAAGTTTCCTGTGCTAAACTCTCACTTTACTGGTGAGGAGTTTACGGAAGATTGTGTAAAGTTTTCCCCTTTGGATTCGCCAATGGGGAAAACTCAACTCGCTCCTGGATTTCGTTTCCATCCGACTGATGTTGAACTCGTGAGATATTACTTGAAGAGAAAAGTACTGGGGAAAAAGCTCCTTGTCGATGCTATTGCTGAAGTTGACATTTACAAGTTTGAACCCCCTGATTTACCTGGTATACATTTTTAAACATTCTTGTTCTGTTAAGGAAATTTTCATGTGTTTGCAGCTAACTGGAGACTTCTTCTCTACAGATATGTCCTTTATAAGAAGTGGGGATCTTAAGTGGCACTTCTTCTGCCCGAGGGAAAAGAAGTATGCCAGTGGGGTTAGGGCAAACCGTGCAACTGAGTGTGGTTACTGGAAGACCACAGGGAAGGAGAGACCAGTTCTGTGCAATTCTGAAGTTGTCGGAAAGATTAAAACTCTGGTTTATCACTTTGGTAAGTCGCCTCGTGGGGAGCGGACTGATTGGGTTATGCATGAATATAGGCTTGAAGACAAGGTACTGACGCAGATGAATGTTCCTCAGGTAATATATACTACTAATTAAAAATGGCAATATGATTTCAACTTGAACTGGTGTTTAGGTTTTAGAGTATTTACTGATGATGGCTTGCTGTTTTCTTTGTTCTTTAATTGCTCTGATATTGTGTAGGGGTGTGGCAGTTCTGATTTTCAGCGAACCTTATAATTGCCTTATCCTGCCTGCAACTTTTCCCTTCTTCCACTTATATATTGTTTCCTACTTGTTTATTTATATAGATTATTATGTATCTTCCATGTCATGTAAGCTTATATCAGTCTCTCTTTACTTACAATTATTATGTTTTGGAATGCAGGATACTTATGTGGTGTGTGTTCTGTTCAAGAAAGATGGCCCTGGACCTAGAAATGGAGCTCAATATGGAGCTCCATTTAGGGAAGAGGACTGGAGTGATGAGGAAGAACGTACTGATCTTCCTTCTACTAGTAATCCCACAAACCTTCTTGAGCCTAGCAAAGAAACCACTCTGGCTGTGACTGCCCCAGATGACCCCAATAAGGATTGTTTTGGTGGCATGATATCAGAATCGTGCGTCTCCGATTTCCTACCAGCTACAACTAATACCATCAGCGAGCTTCCACATCCAAGTGATGCAGCTAACACTCCTATGTCTACTGCACCTCTGGCAGAGACCCTTCAGACCCCCAGCAATGATGACTTATATTCAATGCTGGATCTTTTTGATGATGACGAAGAATTCTTAGGGTTCAACAATAATGAGGTAGGTTTTTTGGCATTCTTCTTCTTTGGCTGTAATGATAACAAACCGGTTGCTCTTAAGCTAGAAAGGCTACTTTGAAGCTGTTAGGTGTTTTAGTGGCATTGAAACGTAGTACCCATTAGACAAAGCTTCTTTGCCTATTTTCGATCTTGTTCCACAAAATCAATTTGTGCTGTTTTGTATCTGCTTATACATTCTCATAGTTACAATCAATCTACAGGTAAGACATGATCCCGGTGTCTCAGCTCCAGTTTGCTTAGAAGAAGAAGGCATTTTCAACGGATTACCAGAGTTGAGCAACATGCCAAGGACGGCCTCTTACGACCTAATTGAAAACTCGGAGTTATACCTAGAGCTACAAGATCTCACTGCTCCATTAAATCCTCATATTGGGCTACAAGACCTAACTGCTCCATTGAATCCTCAAACTGGGATGCAAGACCTCACTGCCCCATTATATCCTCCAACCGGGAATCTCAATGACCCGAGAAGCTCCTCCTATCTATATAATCAAGGCCACTTTGACTTCTCTGCTGCTAATGATGATGATCCTTATGGCTTTTCTGCTTCCATGGGGCATAGACCAAAAATGTAAAAAACGAGGAAGAGAAGAGTAGCAGGATTTACAAAACAACAACAGATGCAAATCAGACAGAAAAGGAGGAGAACCAATGTTTCTTGTCTTTGAATTTATTAGTTACATCTTTTAATTTGTCGAAACTTCCCTATCAACATTCTCTGCTTCATCCTTAGATTCTCGTACTTGTTTTAAATATTCTCAACATTTATTCTTGTTTCTATTTTGCTATGAATTATGTATATAGGCTTTCGACTGATCGTATCCTTGATATTAAAGATGAAATACTGAAAATCACAAAAACCTAGTCAAGACAAACAAAAAATCCAAGTAAAAACCAAGAATATGAAAGTAAATAAGATGAAGAAGAATCGTACCAGATTTAGGACTAAAACAGAGGGATGTAGTAGCGCTTAAATGGAACTAAATGGGCTTTGATTCGAAGCCTTTTTCGTTGGCCCAATCTTTTAGCTTTTGCACATCATCATCGATCTCGTGTATATAAAAAGCCGATTTGATCTCTTGTCACTATAAAACCTTGCTGACGCAGAATTCAATTTGCTCTTTTCCAATTTTGATCGTCGTCGATCGTACGGTATCTGGGGGATTGATGGAGAACACGGACGTCGTCTCGGGTCTGCATAATTTCTTGAGTAAACCCTCCGCCAAAGATTTCATCAAATCAATTAAAAGGTTCTCCATCTCTCTCGCTTCTCTTCTTCGCTCTTAGCTTAAGTTTTAGGTTTATTTGCTCTCTAGTTACGATACATGTGAGCAAGATATCTTATTAATTTCACATTGCTCTCTTCTAGTAGTTATGAACAGTTTTGTTGGTTATGTGACAATGTCATGATGATCTTGTTAGTTCGATGATTTGCTATAAACTTGAAGCAGATTTTTTTGTGATGGAGATATCACATCCCACTGGTTTTTGATGTTTGCAGTTTCATTGTTTCGATCTTGAACACTGCACCAGACCCTGAAAAAGATTGTGATGCAGTTCAGGACTTCTTTTCGAAGATGGAGTCTGCTTTCAGGGCTCATCCACTTTGGTATGGTTGTTCCGATGATGAATTAGACAATGCAGGAGATGTGAGTATTCTTCTTCCCTTTTTCTACTTTTCTCTCATGATTCTATATAATATTTCTTTGACTTAATTTATGTATACACAGGGCCTGGAGAAGTATGTCATGACGAAGTTATTTCCCCGGGTTTTTGCATCAAACACCGATGATGTTATATCTGATGAGAAACTCTTTCAGAAGATGTCCTTGATCCAACAATTCATATCTCCTGAAAACTTGGAATTACAACCAACTTTTCAAAACCAAACATCTTGGCTCGTAAGTCACATCTAGCTCTCGAGATAGTGTAGCCTATTTTCTAATAATGATTCTTACTTGTGATGTTTTTTTTCTCTTCTTTTACGGCAGCTAGCTCAAAAAGAGCTCCAGAAGATAAATATGTACAATGCTCCTCGTGATAAGCTTATGTGTATCCTTAGGTGCTGCAAAGTCATTAACAACTTACTTCTAAATGCTTCAATTGCTTCAAACGAGAATGCACCTGGTGCCGACCAATTTCTTCCTGTTCTCATATATGTTACCATTAAGGTATGTTTTCAAGGATTGAACCATTTATGCAAGCTGATTTCTGATGTCTTATGTTGTGTATTTCATACTCATGCTTGGATTGTGAAACTAACATTATTAACTTTGTTTTTCCAGGCTAACCCTCCCCAGTTTCACTCAAACTTGTTGTATATACAAAGATATAGGCGTCAATCTAAACTTGTTGGTGAAGCTGCATACTTGTTCACAAATATACTCTCTGCAGAGTCATTCATCTCAAATATTGATGCAGAATCCCTCTCAATGGATGAAGCTGACTTTGAAAACAAAATGAAATCTGCACGGGCACGTCTTTCTGATCTCGGAAGCCAGTCTTATCAAACTGATCACAGCGCTGCGCCCACTGCTCATAATCCTAAGAGGGAAAACACGCTTCTGCATACAAAATCGTCTGATAGTCTCTCTGGTACCAATGAAACACCAATAAAGAAAGCCGAATCCATTACCGATTTGGAAAATAAGGGCGCTGCTACGCTTTCAAAGGATAGAAGTGAGGCAACCAAAATCTTTCAAGAATATCCTTACATGTTTGCCAGTGTTGGTGATTTAAAGATAGGAGATGTTGAAGGCTTGCTTAATAATTATAAACAGCTCGTTTTCAAATATGTTTGCCTTTCCAAAGGCTTGGGTGATGCAACATCTTTAGCTCCATCTCTTTCACAATTACAAGCGTCTAAAGACTCTGAGAATCATACAACATTGTCTTCAGATGTTCAAACGAAAAGCGAAACTGACAGGAGCGTTGATGATTTGTTCCGGGCTCTACAAGGTGATCAGGGAGACAATGTGCATAAGTTCTCAGATGTAAAACAATAATCAGACTTATCTTTTACAAATGTAATTGGATTTGGTTCTTGAATGCTACATGTAATTTTACATTTCTTGATTCACATGTGTTTTGGTCATCATAACTTCACTGATTATAAAGTTCATTAACCGGTTTTGGTTATTACACTTTCTTTTTTCCGGCAAACTGAAATACCAACCGGTTTTATCCGAGAACCGGTTATGGGTTCACTAACTACCAAAGTAAGCCAAAAGGGTATTATTGTAATTTGAAAATTTCTGCTCCTTTTTGTCACACCACACAGAGAGACAGAGCCTACCGGCGAATATGGAAGGGATTGGACTGCGAAGTTGCGGAGAGGATATTCTCCGTCTCGGATTCAAATTACGGGTTGGTACCGGCGGTAGGATTCCGATTCTCCGGCGCGCTATGGGGATAAAGATGAGAGACCGTAGCAAGAACAGGAAACCATTGCAAAGAGGTCGAATGCTCAGTATCGAAGCGATTCAAGCGGTTCAAGCCCTGAAGCGAGCTAATCCTCTTCTTCCTCCTCCTCTTGCTCCTTCTACTTCCTCAGCTCTGGTTGATCGTGTAATCATCTCCAAATTCCGTCGGCTCTTGAAATTCGATATGGTCGCCGTTCTCAGAGAACTTCTACGCCAAAACGAATGCTCTCTAGCTCTCAAGGTTCGTCTCTATCTCTCGCTCGCTCTCTTTCCATTATGTTTTTGCTGTGTTTCTATTTAAATTTTGGAATCGTTTTAGGTTTTTGAAGAGATTCGAAAGGAGTATTGGTACAAGCCTCAGGTGAGAATGTACACAGATATGATCACTGTAATGGCGGATAATAGTTTGATGGAAGAGGTCAATTATCTTTACTCAGCTATGAAATCAGAAAAAGGTTTAATGGCTGACATTGAATGGTTCAACACTCTCTTGACGATTCTTTTGAATCATAAGCTGTTTGATCTTGTCATGGATTGTTATGCCTTTATGCAATCTATTGGCTATGAACCTGATAGAGCCTCCTTTAGGATTCTAGTCTTAGGTCTTGAATCATATGGCGAAATGAGTTTATCGGCTATTGTTAGGAAAGATGCTCATGAGTATTACGGTGAATCACTCGAGTTTATCGAAGAAGACGAAGAAATCTCTAGTGGGACTGGTGTGTTGATCTAACAATGGAGCAAAAACGTTGAGAGATTGGAGCTCTTCATGGTTATATGTTCAGTCGAGCTCGAGGTTTGATCATATCGTATACTAATACCTTCCGAGTATGCACGATGAGATGATGCGTGGATTCTAGTATCTAAGGTTAGCCAAACCATATCATGTAGGCTTGTAACATAGAAATGTTACCGAGTATGCGAGTTTTGATTGCCTGAACTTGGATGTGTTCCAAGTCACTCAAGTCACCATGTCTATGGAGACATTTATAGCTTCAAATTCCATCATAATTGAAGTTTTGTTATTTGTAAAGCTCTTGTTGATGTTATAAGTACACTTTTGAGTATTCAAATATATAAGCTTGAAGTACCACAAGTTCATTAATTTCATCCTATATTTTTAAACAAGTTGAGGAATTTGTGGAGATTTTCTATTTTCTAATTTCTATGATAGAACTAGACTCAGTGGTACATGGAAACGACGTCGTTACATCGTTGTGTTCAACCAAAAAATCGTTTGAACTTTCTTTATTCGCGAGTTATTCAATTTTTCTCTAGTGGCTGAGCAAAATGGAGGCTTCACGGAACGACGACCCAAATCTGAACCCTATACGCAATCGGAATCCGAATCCAACTCCGGCTCCGAACCTTATCTCGTCGGCGCAGGTTTGGCCAACCATCGACGGTCCGTTGGGGTTAACGGAGGAAGCATCGGTGGATTACGCTCGTCGATTCTACAAGTTCGGTTTCGCTCTCTTGCCTTGGCTTTGGTTTGTCAATTGCTTCTACTTCTGGCCGGTCCTCCGTCACTCTCGGGCTTTCCCTCAAATCCGCAATTGTAAGATTTCAGATTATTACAGATACCTTTTTGATTTTGTTTTTCCACCGATCTTCGTATCCGGGAAAATTTGGGAATGTTAGATTGGGATCTTTTTTGATCTGGCATTAGAACCTCTGAAATCGTACAATTTTGCTGGTATTTACTGTTTCAGTAGTGTAATAATGGCTATGAGTGTTGTCTTGACTGCCTTAAACCTCGTGGTTATTGATTTGCAAGTATCATACTCGAACTACTTTGATGCACGGATACATGATAAGTCCATTGGAGTTTTAAGATCTACTGTCTGAGAATTGTATTTTGGCCTATTCAGGTTCAAATCTTATGAACTTTTCACATTTAGTGTGTAGATGCCCGTTAGATTTTATAGGAAGCAATCAATATAAGTTAATGGGGAGTGTCTGATAATCCAGTGGCTAATGAGATTGTTTACAAGTTATCGATGTTCTATGATGTTTATACATTGTATCCTTATTTGATCTGGGGGACACTACTCTAGGTCTGTTAAATCTTTCTCTCTTGTCACGACTAGCTTTGATGTGTTATTGCCTTATGTAAATTCAGAAAGGAATTGATGATCATTCTTGTTTTGACTTTTGAGTTTATGTTCTGATTAAGAAGATTGAAACTTTTGTATCTCTTTCTCAGATATGAAATATGTACATTATCCTCTCTTACACATTTGAAATCCTCTGCTGATGCAGATGTTGTCCGGTCAGCAATTGGCTTTAGTGTCTTTACAGCTCTTCTTTCCGCGTGGGCATTGACGTTCTCGATAGGAGGAGAACAACTTTTTGGCCCTGTTTATGATAAGCTGGTTATGTACAACGTTGCTGATCGTCTCGGCTTGTCTGGCTTGGCTTAGCCCCCACAGCCTTATCTCTCCCTCTTTGTTTATCTTTGACATAGTAGAAACAGGAAGATCTCATTGCCTTTACTTTTGCCTATTCCGTTCTCATGTATTTCTCCACAAGCATAAGTTGTTTTAACAAAAGTTGAGGAGATCCTGCTGTGAATATAAACTGCTTGGATATTCATCTATCAATGAAGTAATTAGTTATCAAGAGTTGTTTCGTTTCTCTTGTTGTATCTGCCAAATTGTTATTTAGTTTGGTGCTCTGTTTCCAAACGTTGGATTTTGGCAAACTTAAGAAGTGTGAAGATATGGATGAGCTATATATTATAGACGTATCTTAAGGGTTTGCAGTACTTTGTAGAAGAAGGCATTCCTTGTCTGTGAAACTGTTTTAAGTGAGGATATCTTGTAACCAAAAATAAGTTTGGGTCCTGGTAAAGCCGTTTTATTTAGTGGGCCATTAAATAATGTTGTGGGCTTAGTTTTTAATATTATTGGCCCATATTTGTCTTACAGACTCGAATTATTCGTTTTGAGTTTTGAGTGTTTGACGATGGCCTTTATCGTGATTCCTTAGTAAAGATTCCCACTTTATGATTAAGGAATCAAAATCTGTACGGCACTTAACAACTACACTTTTCAACAACCTCTGTCTAAAGGATATCCATTTTCTCCTCCTTCAAATCTTTTTTTCCATCAAATCCTAAAAAAAAAAAAAAAATGGCTCTGCATTTGAGATCTTCTTCTTTATTATTGAAATCGACTTTTCTCAACATTCTCAGACAAAACCTCGGTTTCAGTTCTAGGAGCCACGTGACTCGGCATATCCGCCAAAACCTACCACATGATCCTCCGCTTCGAGGTTCACAGAATCCAATTCGTCGGTTCTGTAACACCATGGCAGAGCAAGAGACACTCTCGAGTTTTGGTCAGCACGAAGACGCCAGCAATCATCAGGTGCATGCATTGTTACCGATTCCAGTAACTCCGCGTTTTCACTTTGAAACTCTTTTTGAGTGAAAGTTGATAGCTAACTGTTCAATCCACTGATGTCGTCTTATCAATGGAATCTACTTTGCGACTTTTTGTTTTCGGGTCCACTAAATCGTTTCGTAAATACCCTTTTCGCCTGAATTTAATCGCTTTTATTGACATTTATACATATTTCTGTTGTTGATGTTATGAATTAGTAACACCATTGTTATATATCTCAGAGATTTTCTAGTTTTGTAGTTGTTTTAAAATTCTTCTCATGAACCTTGAGATTTCTTGTTGTGTTTATATTCTCATTTCGTTCTGAAGAATATATATGTATGTGGACCTTGAATTTTCAGGTCATGGATTTTCCAGGAGGAAAGGTAGCTTTCACACCTGAGATTCGATTCATATCAGAATCCGATAAAGAGCGTGTTCCTTGCTACCGTGTTCTTGATGACAATGGCCAACTAATCACCAACAGCCAATTTGTTCAGGTTGACATAATCAAGAAAAAAAAGAATCCTTTTTGTGAATTCTAGTTACTCAAGTGATTCTTCTTTTTTTCTTCCGCTTCAGGTTAGCGAGGAGGTTGCGGTGAAGATATATAGCGATATGGTTACTCTTCAAATAATGGATAACATATTTTATGAAGCTCAAAGACAAGGCAGACTTTCCTTTTACGCTACTGCAATCGGTGAAGAGGCCATTAATATTGCATCAGCTGCTGCTCTCACCCCTCAAGATGTTATCTTTCCTCAGGTTTTTGCATCATTCATAATTGCTAATTGCACACTCATATACATGATGTTGCTACAATGTGCTACATTGACTGTATTTACATACTCTTAACTTTTGTCGAGGTACTATGCAACCGACTGAATTTTTTGTTGTTGTACTTTCAGTACAGAGAGCCTGGTGTTCTGTTATGGCGTGGTTTCACTCTTCAAGAATTTGCAAACCAGTGTTTTGGGAACAAATCTGATTATGGAAAAGGCAGGCAGATGCCAGTCCACTATGGCTCTAACAAGCTCAATTATTTTACCGTTTCTGCAACAATTGCGTAATAGCCTCAGATCCTCTTCTTCTCAACTGTTTATATTCTTTAAGTTTGTCTTGCTTTTGTTACATATTTGTCTTGATGATGGTTTATTTTACCTCAGTACGCAGTTACCAAACGCCGTTGGTGCGGCTTATTCCTTAAAGATGGACAGGAAGGATGCATGTGCAGTCACATATTTTGGCGATGGTGGCACGAGTGAGGTGAGTAACAAAATTTGGGTTTGTTTTTGAAGTTAGATTGGATTCTTAGAACGTGATGGATTTTTGCTTGCGTTATTCTAGAGCCTTTCAGATTTTATGAATCACTATGATTACTGAAACTGAAAACTATCTGGTGGCTAATCAAAATGATTTTTTGCTAGGGAGATTTCCATGCTGCTTTGAATTTTGCAGCAGTTATGGAAGCTCCTGTTTTGTTTATTTGCCGGAACAATGGATGGGCAATCAGTACTCCCACCTCAGATCAGTTCCGAAGTAACTTCTTTTCTTTTTCTTTGGATGATTTACATTCTTTTTACTTGGTTTTTTTTAAGTCTTTTTGGATTTGCCAATACTTTTGCAAACACAATGGCCAACAGGTGATGGTGTAGTGGTCAAAGGCCGTGCTTATGGAATACGAAGTATACGTGTGGATGGAAATGACGCACTTGCTATGTACAGTGCGGTGCATACTGCTCGTGAAATGGCAATTAGAGAACAGAGGCCAATCTTGATTGAGGTAGATTTGATGTGATTCTGTTGTAGATATTAGGTGCAACATACATCTAAACACAAAATAAGTCCAAATCTTCTCTTTTTTTTCTTCTTGTTAGGCCTTAACATACCGCGTAGGACACCATTCAACATCAGATGATTCCACAAGGTACCGCTCTTCTGATGAGATAGAGTGGTGGAACAAAGCAAGAAACCCGTTGTCTAGGTTTAGGACATGGATTGAAAGTAATGGCTGGTGGAGTGATGAAGCAGAATCGGATCTGAGAAGCAGAATCAAGAAAGAGGTAACCAAAAAACCTGGATCATGAGCATTGTATAAGAAGCATTTTGGTTTTATATATGCTGATTCATCCGATTCTTTTCGTAAACAGATGTTAGAAGCGCTCCGGGTTGCAGAGAAGACTGAGAAACCGAATCTGAAGAACATGTTCTCAGATGTCTACGATGTTCCTCCATCTAACCTCATGGAACAAGAACTTCTGGTGAGGCAGACGGTCAATAGTCACCCCCAAGACTACCCATCAGATGTTCCTCTTTAGGTAGACTCTAATTGTATGCTTTGTGTAGTGACTAATGTAAGCCATTATCTACATTGTGTATTGAAATCTTTTATTGAAATCGAGACCATTATTCAAAAGCATACAACTTCTTTGATAGAGCACAAACTTCTTCAGTATCTGACAGTACACCAGATACCCATTTCAGACAGTACATATATCACAGTTTCAGTTGTGTCTCTGAGAGAAGCATCTCCTCTTCCATGGATTCTCTGACGGCCTTCAAGATCCGTGGCATGAGCTTCTGGGTGCTGACCACGATCCCTGTTTTGTGTTCAAGATGATTTCCTCTCGAGAAGTCCAGAGGATTCCCATCAGCATCGCAAACTACACCTCCAGCTTCTGCACGAGGTTATTGCTCAATGCCTTTGGTCACTTTAATTGTGTTTTAGAGTAAAGTTATTGCGCAGTGCATACCTATGGTGATGATTGCACCAGCAGCATGGTTCCATATGGACTCACGGTACCCTTTGAGAGTGAAACGTAAGTATATCTCTGCGTCTCCTCGAGCTAGAGCCGCGTACTTCACTTGACTATGGATTCTTAGAGGTGGAGCTTTGATCCCAAGTTTCTGCTTACCGTAAGAGAGTGAGTTTTAGCGAAAAGATTAATACATTTGTTAGGTTAGGCTTGAAGCAAACTATACACACACACACACAATAGATGTTATACTGTACATTGGCAATGGAGCTATGGATGGGGATTGGTTTGTGGGATGATTCGACAACGGTTGCTTCTTCAAGATTCTCAATGTTGCTCACTTGCACCTTTTAGCAAACATTCTCCAGTCTGTTTTAAGAACACAAAAAGAGAGAACAAGCCTAAGGGACATTAAATGCTCTGATAATACCTTCTGTGGAGGATGAGAGTCTCCTTCAAGCGATTGCACGAAAGCTCCTTCTCCCACTGTAGCAAAGAAAAGGCATCCTGTAGAAGAAGACTTGTGATTCTCAAGTTTCGGGCAAGCCATGACACCGAGCACTACTTTGCCTTCCACAAGCAAAGCCAATGCCACAGCGTAATCCTCTCCTTTTACAAACCTGTTTAGCAGAATCTGCAGGTTAGAGCAAAAAGGAGAAGATTGTTCTGTAATGAGTTTCAAGACTTCTCACCCTCTGGTTCCATCAACAGGATCAAGAATCCAGTGACGACCATTGGAACCACCTTGTGACCTCCCGTGGTCTATCGCCTTCCTTACATCTTCCATGGAAAGAGAAGAGTTGGTGTAGGAATCATCAGAAGCTAGAGCATTGTTCACAAGCTTAGTGATGCTTTCTAGAAATTCCTCTGCGCCATTCTTTTGCAGATCTTCTGCATTCTGCAGAGAAAGATTTAGATTAGAAAACTTTTTTGTATGATTTGATTTATTATATAAGAGAGTGTTCATGAGTTTAGCTACCTCTTCAGCAACTAAGTATAGTGGTTCAGGGTGAAGTTCTTTCTCTAATACATGACTGATCACAGCTTGGGATCCTGCATTTTTATTATTGGTTTTGGTCAATTATGATCGTTTTGGTTATACTGGGTTGACCGGTTTTGTCATGCGAAATCAAAACCGATTGACAACAGAATTGTGGGATTGATCAACCATAATCAGCAGCTGTAACCGGACTTTTATCAGATTTTGACCGGACGTCTGATTGCAAGAGAGACTTCTGCACTTCCTGATCAACCCATAATTCATGAAAAAAATCTGTCAATAATGAAGTTTTGTCTATAAATATGTGGTTACTGACCTGGCTGAGACGAGCAGCGAGAGAGACGGCTTTCTTAGCAGCTGCAAGCTCCTTCTCATAAGACATCGAAACAAGAAGAAGAAAACGAAGACCAAGAAGAGTTTACGAATGTCATGTGTTCATATATTATATTACCCTATACTATGGATTTATTCATCCAATATATATATTTTAAGTATTTGGTCATTGTTAATACATAACCCGAGTTTCGTGGAAGTTTCAACACATTTTCGTCGTAAGAAGACACATTTGTTAAAGTATTAATCAAAACCTATATGGTTTCTCTGATCAATCAATATTAATTGATGATACATATGTATCTGGTAAAACAGGCATGTATAGCTGTAAGAACTGTTGATATGTGCAGCAGAATATATATTTTTGGAATCGAATTAACACGCTATGAAACGAATCATCAAAACTCAACATTTCAATACTAAATATAGGAAGCTAAGAAAAAAAACGAGTAGCTCATAATAACAACAGTTCCACTATTTCTTTTTTACTTTTAGAATTTTGCTTCAAGTTGTTACAACTTACAACTTCTTAAGTTCTTCAAGAACTCACACTAAATAGAAAACATAAAACTAACTTCTTTTTTGGTTAAACAAAAACTAACTCGATCGCTGCGATATATAAACTCCATCTATAGCACACAAATCATCAAACACAACAAAGCTTGTTCTCACAATCTCAACCTTTTCACAGAAACTTTCTTCTTGAATCTTGATTCTTATCACGAATCAAGAATCATGGTTAAGTTCTTGAACATCGCGTTGATTTTACTTTTGATCGTTTTGTTTGTCGCAAATGTCTTGGAGGCCACGAAACTGAATGTGATGGACAAATGTTGGAGACCAAACCCCCATTGGCGTAGAACCCGCAATCAGCTTGCGCGGTGTTCAGTCGGATTTGCAGGAAAAATGACGGGAAATATCGGTAAAGGAGTCACACAATACAAAGTAACAGACCCTTCTGATGATCCTCTGAACCCTAAACCTGGAACCCTAAGATACGGAGCAACACTCGTCAAAGGTAAAAAATGGATCACATTCAAAAGAAACATGAAGATCAAGCTTCATAAACCGCTTCTAATCAGCAGCTTCACGGCACTCGATGGTCGAGGTGCTAGTGTTCACATCTCGGGTCCCGCTTGCCTCATAGTCTATAAAGCCACCGATGTGATTATTCATGGGCTTAAGATCCATGATTGTAAAGCTCATCCACCAAGCTCAGTGATGGGACCAGACTCAAAGATCATTCAACTTGGACAAGTTGACGGCGACGCGATTAGGCTAGTCACGGCTAAGAAAGTATGGATCGACCACAACACGCTCTATGATTGCGAAGACGGTCTTCTAGACGTCACGCGTGGGACTACTGATGTCACAGTGTCGAACAATTGGTTTAGGAACCAAGACAAGGTCATGCTTCTTGGACATGATGATGGCTATGTAAGAGACAAAGAAATGAGAGTCACTGTTGTGTTTAACCACTTTGGTCCTAATTGCAACCAGAGAATGCCAAGGTACAAAAGTGATTCTTTCTTTATAACCGAGGATCCATGACTAATTGATTTTCATTTATTGTTACTTCGATTTCTAATTTCGATGAACTATGTGAAATATGCAGAGTGAGACATGGATATGCTCATGTTGCCAATAACTATTACCAAGGATGGACTCAATATGCAATTGGAGGAAGCATGAGCCCTCGAGTAAAGAGTGAATCAAATTATTTCGTGGCACCAAAATCCGGAAGCAAAGAGGTGCGTTTCAATTCGTAATCGAAAACGTTAAAACACAACGCATTTTCTTTTTTTATCTCATCTAACATTCAAATTTGAACTTGTTGTAGATAACTTGGAAGAAACATAGCCATGGAGACCAAATGCAATGGAAATTCTACTCAGTGAATGATTACTTCGAGAACGGAGCTTGTTTCGGCCTACACAAAGGTGTTGGAAAAGCACGGCCCAATTATGGTCCAGATCAAAGGTTCACTGTTGCAAACGCTAAAACCGTTAAAGAACTCACTTCTTCAGCTGGAGCGTTACACTGCACCAGAAACTCCGTCTGTTAGAACAACAACAACGCTTCACATGACTTCTTTTTAGCGTTTCAACATTTCTGCGTTTTCTTGTTTCTTTCATTCATGTACATCAAAATGTATATGGTTTTTTGTTTACGAATGATATTATATACCGATAAATAAATAAAAGTTTAAACAAAACAGAGTTAAACCCGGTAATGTTAAATCAGTTGTTATAGCATCAATACACAAACGTAAACGCAAACAAATAATCAAGGTTTAAGGCATTGACTTGTTTAAGCCTCCGTCTACAAGAACAACAACGCTTAACATGACTTTTTAGCGTTTCAACATATAAGGAATTTCTCTTCTTAATTCATGTACATGAATTTTATGCGGATAAAGAACACAAGTAGTGTGACAAAACAGATAAACCCCGGGAATATTGATTCGGTTGGAGGAAACTAACCTTGTCAAAAGTCTAACAAAGACAATGGTTTTGAATGTAAATCACTAATTAAGACGTTTTCTTGTCAGATATTGAAGAAGACTTGTCCATTGATTGAGCAGATTTAGAAGCTGTTACTGCTGCTTGTTCATCTTCAACGAGTTTCCGAAGTTTTGTCTGAAGACCACGAACTCGATCCTCGGTTCTCCTAAGTTTCCTCCATCTATAAGCTGTCCAAAGGAAAAGACCACCGTAGACAACAGTATAAGAACCCCAAACATATGGATAAGCTTCGGCGTGATCTTTGAGTTTCTTGTATTGTTCTTCGATTGCTCCTACAAAACCAGGAGCCACTTGGTTTGGTTGGCTCTCCTGATCTTCTAATCCGCTCTGCTCTGTGGCCATCTCAAATCCGAAATCGCTTCTGTGACTAAGCTTGAACAAAAGCGAAAAAAAGGAAACATGTGAAGCAAGAAGACATACAGAGGAGTGTAGAGTAGTACTTACACAATAAAGAAAGGAAACGATAAAGGCTAAGCTCAGTCCCTAATTACAAGATTGAATCAACAAATCTGTGGATTAGCAAGAATTCGAACGAACAGTTCATTTTATAGGATTATCACTTGAAACTTGATACTTTCGGCTTGAAATCTCAAAGCATAAAGAATGAAAAGCTTCAGATTGTAGAATCTATATTGAGCTCATGAAGTGAAACAAACTAAGATCATATGAAGCAAAAAGGTAATCTAAAAGATTCAAAGGGAAATTTCATGAATGTTCATATCCATACTAGTTCTGAAATCTAAAAACTTAAAGTGACTGCGAAATTGGATCCACAATTTCTTAGGATTTTTATGACAATACAACCAAAAGAGGAACGAAATCTAAAAACTTTGCACAAACCCTCGAAACTAAATTGGGGGCGAGATCTATGAAATGAACAGCAATAGAATTTAAAATCAACCATCTCAGAGGCATTTCCACAAACACTTTCTGTGCATCTAGGAGATCTATGGCTACAAAACCCAGAAATTACAAAAAGAAACTCATGGGATCTTATTTCTTCTAAGAATAACAAAAATTAAGAAGATACCTGGAGTCAAACAAGTCGTCGAAGAACAATGAAGATTTCCAAATGAAGCTCAGAGAGCCATAGCTCTTAAACCCTATAAAGCTTTGCAAAACCCAGATCGATATATTATTGATAGTTTGCAGAGTTTTGCTAAATACATAGTCGACTAGTCGTCTTCCGTATCGGTTATTTCTTATTTTCTTTGGTTTATTCTAGATTAAAAAACCATACCAATTTATACGGTTTGGTTTAATATAAAATTTAGAATTTTTTTCTTTTGGTTTTGAAATCTTGATAACAAATTGGTTTGTCATTCCCATTTACAACTATCTTTCTTTCAGTGAATTCTTTATAGAAGAATTTGATTTTCACTCAGAAAAGAAGAAATTTCTATACAAAGAAAGAGAGAATTGTTCCCACTGAGCCTAAATGTCATTCATACTTTCATATGTTCAGGTCAGAGACTCTGAATCTGTTTTAGAAACAACCAAACCATTTCACATAGGAGACTCCATGAACTTGGTTCTCTACAAGCTGCAGGAGTAAGAGAGAATACACAATGAGCTTTCAAGAGCCCATAAGAAAAAGTTTCCAAAGAATGATTATAATCCATGGCTATGTAGTAGTCGATCAGATTCTGATTCTTCACTTCTGAATCAAGCTTCCAAAGGTTCTTCAAGAACTGCAACAACAAAAGCATGTCTAAGTTTAAGGTTCTTTGTATGAAGCAACTGATACTTGAACAAACATCACCAAAACCTTTTCTCTTTGTTGGAGTGGTTTCTGCATTGGAAGCGATTGGTGCTTTTGTTGGCACATCAGGGAGATCCAATTCCTCGGGTTCTTCAGGCACAAGCTCTGTCGTAGGCACTTCAGGCATATCTTCAACAATCAGCTTCAAAACAAACAAACATTATATATCACATTTGACTCCACTCAAGAAGATTATCACAAAGTAAACGGTAAACGGTACTCGAAATATCACTAGTCACAGTACGGTCATAATGCTGGAAAATTTTGTATCTGAGAAACAAGAGAATCCATTATGTAACATACCTGACTTTCAAGGTTGTCGAATTCTGCTAAGATATCTTCTTCATCTTCTGCTGATAGTTTTTCCCCTAATATGGCACTCAGTTCCTAAAATCCAAGTGTTTAACAGTTAGATCAAGCAAAAGCATACTCACAATCATGAAGGAGACAAACGAGGAGAAGCTCGGCTAATAATGTGACACAAACAAAAAGGAACAACAAGGTTCACTATTAAGTATTAACTCACATCCTGATAAGCCTTGGCCTCGGCAGTGTCATCCATTAGTTTTTGAACATCATCAAGGTTGACCTCGCTCTGAATCGCCTTAATTGCACTGTTACCTTGCTTTAAGCTCTCAAAGACTGCTTTCTGCTTGCTTGTAAGTTCGATGTCTGCCAACTAAGTCATAACGACAGGTTCAAAATATTTCGTTTAGTTTTCTTTCAAACCACAAAATCAGCTATCAAAGAAGAGAAAAATACTCCAATAAGGTTGTGTGATGGAAACAAGAAGATGAAAAGAAGAGGTCAAGTAGATTAACTTGTTGTTCGACATTGATGAGCCACTGATCGACTTGCTTCAACAAGTCTTCTTGTGTCCGCTTCTTCTTCAATGCTAACAAAGCCCTGTCCTTTCGCTTCTCACGGATTAAGTCTCTTGCAGCTTGCTTTTCTGCTTCAATTACTTTCTCAAGCTAAAAAGAAATAAGGGTTTAAGAGAAAGAAGATTAAAGCTCAGGATCATAAGAAAGAAAACAGTAATTTTGTTCCACGATGGAACTCACTCTCTACCAACCGACGATGACATAAAAATCAAAATTTGGGTCCAGGACGGATTCTGATTCTTCATCACAAGAAAATCCAAGCTTAAACAAATCAAAACTTCAGCAAGTAGACACCTTTAATTGTTTCTTAGAGACCTTGATAAAATTCAGTAACCTTTACCCTTGATGAATCATGACCTCTGGTGAATCGAATCAAAATCTCAAATTCCAGAACAGACCCAACTCGAGCAAGATTAAGCCCTAGAAATGCGAAAATCACAAGCGAGGGAAGGTATCGAGAACCTGTTGCTGATATTGACCAAGCTTGCGCCTTTGGGTTTTGAGAGAAAGAATCGCTCGATCAACCTCCGTGATCTTCGGTTTCTTCACGAACAAATTCCCCATCGCTCGATCAAACTTCGCGATTTCAAACCAAGTCACAAATCTTTTTGTTTTTCACCTTTTCTCGGTGCAAGCAAACTGCAAAACCACAAAGCTAAAAAGCTCCCGCCGCGCGTTTTCTCAAACTGGCGTTTTTAAAAAAGCGTTCCGAATCTAAAGAGTTGTCACAGTTATGATTTTATCACACGCGCTATAACAGCGCGTAATCGGTGAACGCATTAACATAAATACTCGAGAAGAGAGAGACGACGTTTCATTTTTTCCTTGAGAATCTCTAATCCCTCTCAACTCGATTGCGCAGTAGAAGAGTGCTTTCGCCATCTCCGAGAAACTCGTTGCAGCGTCACGACCAGGTTTTCTTCTCACTTATACTAAATTTTGTAATTTCTCGGTTTTAGTTTTTGTTTTGTGCGAGAGTTTACTCTGGTCTGAAGAGAGCATTTTGGGTCTGCTTTTTTACAGTTGGAGAAAATGTCTTCGAGAGGAAAAAGGAAAGACGAGGATGTCAGAGCATCAGATGACGAATCTGAATCTCACGCGCCGGCTAAGAAAGTCGCAAAGCCAGCAGACTCCTCCGACGAGTCTGACGACATCGTCGTCTGCAACGTTAGTCTACTCCTTCTCTCTATCTTTCAATTTCGTTATCTACTCTAGAGCAGTGAGCTTAAGGGTTTGGATCAAGTTTTGATTTTGTTAATGATGATTTGCTCAATTTTAGGGTTTTAATCGAATTAGGGTTTATGATCGTTTGTTTGGTGTACATTCAGATATCTAAGAATAGGAGAGTCTCTGTGAGGAATTGGAACGGGAAGATTTGGATTGACATTCGTGAGTTTTATGTCAAGGACGGAAAGACTTTGCCTGGCAAGAAAGGTAAATTTTTGTAATTTTAACTATTTTCTTGTGAGTGTTCCTCTTGTTGTCACAATTCACCATTGTTAGTAATGTGTTTCCTTATCTCTTAGTCTTACTCTTTTGTTAATGTTTTAGTTAGGATTTTATAACCACAGATCTTATGGTTATAACGGGTAATTCTGTCGATTGGGACTGTTTTATGTGCTTGAGGGTATGAAAGGAGATGGTGCAGGGTGTTTTCTTTTTATCAACAACGTTTATTTTTGTTCTAGTGCTGTTTAACATGAATTTTTTTGATAATGATTTGCACTATCTCATACCTGTCTCTTAGGAAAGCTATATTAGTTTGCGTTCTTTGGACAATCATTTTTACAAGTTTATTGATATGTCTTTTATATGTTGCAGGTATCTCTCTAAGCGTGGATCAGGTATTCACATCTCTCTATCTCTCTCCCATTGTTTATGTCTTCCACACGTGTTTCTGTTTTGCTTATTACACAGCTTTTCCTTAATGCAGTGGAACACTCTTCGAAACCATGCAGAGGATATCGAGAAGGCCCTCTCTGATCTTTCTTAGGTTTTAAACTTGTATAATTGGTTGTACGTCTATTAGAAGATGGCTCAGGTGTTTTGGTTGTTTTTGTAGAACAACACCATATTCTGCTAGTTTAAGCTGCTTCAAATTAGTTGGTGTATCGAACCCTTCACTTTTGGTTCAGACAAGCTTTGGTTGGTATTAAGAATGGTTGCTCTTTTATTTGCTGCTGTTGAATTTGCAAATTAAGAGACGTTGTTTTTGGAATCGAAGTATTCATTTGATAAATTATAAACAAGATAGGTCTAAATGTTACATAGCCCTTGCCAGATTTCACTTGAATAATCCAGCACAAGAAATGCATCACTCTGTGTTGCAACTTCCATTGCTCCAGTTGCTCTTTTCTTTGTGGTGGTGTTGTCTCCAAAGAAAAGTACCTTCCCAAAAAAAAAAAAAACTCCCGCGTTATTAAATTGGGCGGCGCGTTTTCTCAAACTTGCGTTTATAAAATGCGTTCCGAATCTGAAATCACAGTTGTAATTCGGTGAACGCACTAGATAAATTACGCGAGAAGAGAGACATGGCTTTTTATTTTCCTTGAGAATCTTAAGAGTCGATTTTTGCAGTAGAAGAGTGCTTTTCTTTTACTGGTTGAGAAAATGTCTTCGAGTGGAAAAAGGAAAGACGAGGAAGTCAGAGTGTCAGACGACGACGACGAATCTGAGACCCACGCGCCGCCTAAGAAAGTGGCAAAGCCAGCGGACGAGATTGAGGACATCTTCATCTGCAATGTTAGTCTCTCTACTATTTATCTCTTTTTCTATAGCAGTTCGTTAAGAGTTTTATTAGGGTTTGGATCAAGTTGTGATATTTGTTAATGGGTTTTTACTCAAAATTAGGGGTTTATGATGGTTTGTTTTGTCTACATTCCAGTTAGATAAGAATCGGAGAGTCTTTGTGAGGAATTGCAACGGCAGGATTTGGATTGCCATTCGTCAGTTCTTTGTCAAGGACGGTATAACTTTACCTTGTCATAGCAAGCATGGTAAATTTTTGTCTTTAACTATCTTCTTTTGACTGTTTCTCTTCTTCTCGCAATTCCACCTTTGCTAGTAATGTGTATCCTCCTCTCTTTTCTTTTCTTTTATGGACAACAATGTATCCTCATCCCTTAGTTTTCATGTTTTGTTTCGTTAAGGTTCTGCATTTAGTTAGGATTTTATAACTGCAGATCTTAGGGATTTATTATAGAACTAGTACTTCTGCGGTTTGGGACTATTTATGTGCTTGAGGGTATGAGAGGAGATGTGCAGAGTGTTTTCTTTTCATCAACAACGTTTTGGTTTTTGTCTCTATGGACAACTATATGCCTATATTAGTTTGCTTTCTTTGGATAATCATAATGACAAGATTTTTGATGTCTGCTATATGTTGCAGGTATCTCTCTAAGCCTGGAACAGGTATTCACATCTCTCTTCCATTGTTTATGTCTTCCACACGTGTTTATGTTTTGCTGTGTTTTTACTTATTACACGAGACCTTTTTCTTAATGCAGTGGAACGATCTTCGGAACCATGAGGAGGATATCGATAAGGCCTTCTCTGACCTTTCTGAGGTTTAAAAGCTTGTATAATCGGGTAGTAAGTTTAATGGAAGATATGGCTTAGGTTGTTTTGGTTTGTTTTTCAGAACAACACCATGTTCTGCAAGTGTTAGCTGCTTCACGTTAGTTGATGTATCGAATCTATCACTTTTGGTTCAGACAAGGCATTAAGAATGATTACTCTCTTATTTGCTGTTGAATTTACAACTTGAGATATGTTGCAGGAATAGAAGTATTCGTTTGATAAATTATAAACAAGATAGGTCTAAATGTTTACATAGCTCTTGTCAAAGTTCACTTGCTTGATCTGGACATTGTCCTAGAGAGCTGGGACACTGAGAGATCCCACGTCAAGAACTCTGTGCAATATCTGCACCAAACAGATCACGAGATGACAGATTATTAAGGCTGAAGTTCATGAAATTACGGATTTTTAAAGCATTTTCAAGGCTGAAGGAAAGGGAAGAGTTTACTTTATGCTATGTTCTTACCTCACCAACTCTAGAATTGATTTTCAATGGAACAAGGTCATCAGCTCTTGTTTCGCCTATATTTACAATTGCAGTCATAGCACCAGCCTCATGAGCCGCTCTGCAGAAGATATATAGAAAGCTTTTTAGTGAGATGCAAACTCATAACTGGATGAGATTATTCTCTCGCATTACCTGACAAGGCGAAAAGCGGACATTGTCATTAAGGATGAACCCAACACGAGAAATGCATCGCTCTGTTTTGCAACTTCCATTGCTTGAGTAGCTCTTTCCTTCGGGATGTTGTCTCCAAAGAAAATTACCTTCAATACAATGAAAACATAATAAGAGACAGAGCCAAACTGATTTGTCTCTATCTGATTAAGTCAATCTTACATCCGGCTTTAGGACTCCTTTGCACTTCTCACATACTGGTATATGAAAACCTTCTTCCCAAAACTTTTCGTCAATCTCAATATCACCATCAGGCCTTTGTTTCATGCCAAAGCTCTTCTCTGACCCCGGATCTCCATGATCGATACTTTCTATTGCTTCTGCCCACTACAGTAGAAACAATAACGTTGTAACTTTGCTAAATAATACATTTCTTCAGTTGGTTTGGGTTATGGTATATACTGGCCTTAGGATTGATAGCTTTTAGCTGATCCTGAAACAAGTCTCGGGGAAAAGAGAAGCCACAATCTAAGCACATAACAGTATATACTGTGCCATGTAATTCAAGTGGATCACTCCCAGCACGATGATGCAGCCTAAGAACTTAGAGCTTAGAGTCAACATTCTTCACATCCAACAGAGATCCCACTAAAGAGGAACTGGTTAATATACCTGTCAACGTTCTGTGTGATCATAAAATTTATTCGTCCAGCTTTTTCCAGTGATGCTAAAGCAGTATGAGCTGGTCCTGGTTGTGCTGCAGTGAACCGTCTCCATCCAGCGTAACTCCTTGCCCAATACCGCCTACGAGCTCGGCTTGATCGAGTGAATTCCTGTGAAGAAGGTGGTCGACAATAGATTTCATACAACAATAAGATGATACAAAGTTTGCACTAAGCACCGTAAAGATTTCATAGATCTTGCCTTCAGATCACCTGATGGGTAATTGGTTTGAAACCAGAACTGTATGCTCCATTGGGACTGCACCAAATCATCACTCATCAAAATTATTACAAAATGGAAGCAGCTGCAACTCATCAGACCATCTACTATAATGCAAGGCATTTTCAGATAAGACTAATCGATCAAATGAATTACCTTCTATAATCCGGAATTCCACATTCTGTGCTAATCCCGGCTCCGGTCAAGATGGTGAGTCTCGAACTGCCAAGAGAGAAGAGGAAAGCCATTAGATATACAACACATCTATGCTTACTGCTGGAAAAAATGGTGAAGGAATATATCAACCTTTGCTCAAAAAGTCGATACAACTTATTAATATCTTCCATATTGGGAGGATCAGCATCTGGAACTATCTTTTTATCCCTCAGAAACCTTGGAGGTGCTTTTGATTCATTTCCCAAAGAACCACCAGGGATCGAAACGCGACACGTTGTTCTCACAAACCGTCTGCATCCTTTAAACAACATAACTAAATTTCCCCCAGATTGCAGCGGCCGGTACATACTACGCAGCGGAAACAAATCTAGAAGCAAAAAAAAAAACTCAGCAACATTAACTCATCTACATAATGAATCAAAACAAGCTAGATCACAAAGATGAGGAAGAACATTCCCATAAAGATTTTTCTCATACTTGCCTGTAGATACACCTCCAAACACTCTTCTCATGGTCACATAAGCCTAAATCACAGAGAGAGGGAAGAAGAAAACCTCATTTCAAATACAAAATCGTGATACAAGATTGAGGATTTAAGAAAATGTTTAAAGCAACCACTTTCCTACATCAATGATCACAATTTCACTAGCAAAAAATTGTAATGTAGATATGAATCTATGATAAGCCAATTAAATTCAATGACGAAGATCTAGCTAGAAATGTACTACTGAGATCAAAATAAAGCCAGCGACCGATTTCACCGAGAAGCTAGGTCGAAAATGATCGAGTGTGGAAATTAATACCCAGGAACAAACAGTAATAGATTACCTTGAGAGGTCGTTAATGGCGGACGAAACGAGATTTCTTCAGTTTTGCTTTTTATTTTTCCAGAATTTTTTGTTGTGTAGAAGACGAGGTGGCTAAAATCGGACGTCTGAAACTCATTATTGGCTAAGCAAGTAGCCACGTAGCGCAATTATCCACCGTTGATTTATTTCACCTAAATTAAACGACGTCGTTTAAAGGAAATAAAACAGAAACTTTTTTTTTTGTTTACAAAAACAGAAACCTAAAACGCTTAAAAAATCGTCGCCGCCGATCCGTTTCCTCCTCGTCGATAACGATCTCCGACGTGAGTGAGTCCTCTCCATTTTCCTATTGTTCTTCGCTTAATTGTTTGGTGGTTTTCGATTCTGTACTTTACTGTTGTTTATGATTCCAAAGATTAAAGGATGTACCTTTTCTTATATCATTCGATTCTTTTCTACTTGATGATGTTTTTGTGATTCTCTACTACAGGAATGTTGATTTGTTGATGGAAGCTTCTTTAGATTTGATTTCACAATCTCTGGTAAGTCATTTAAAGCAAACTCCAATAATGTTGAATGGGAACGCTTACTACGAAATGCTTTGGCTTTGAATTTGATTATGTTTTAATAAGATAAGTGAGGATTCAATGGAATCATTATAGTTATTGACTGAGTGATGTGAACTATAATGATTACAGAGCTAAAGATTCTTGAGTTGGAATTAAGATGCCTCACAGAACAAGGCCATTGAAGGGACTCTTGCTTTTCACTGGAATAAACTTTGTGTTGGTGCAGACCATTACTCCTGTCTATGATTTTGTCTGCTTCTTGCCTTACTGGGAGAGAAGGGTATGTTGTAGATTTTATCTCTCAAGACAATATATCACTTTCTGTTTTGATTTTGTTTCTGTATCTCCCAAGTGTGTAGATTAACTCATCTGGTTTACGATCGTGGTAAATAGTTCTGATACTTTAGCTTACATTTCTTAAAGGGCTTGAATCTCTATTGTCAGTATATTTTTCCATCTAAAGATGCAAGCCTTTGAGAGCTAATGATCAGTTTACATATATGTAGTGTGTACATATGATGCTATTAGATGATTTGATGACTCGAGAAAACTGTTCTGTGGTTAAATAGGTAGCTATATTAGTTCTCTTCTCGCTCAGCTTTTAGACACAAACTAGTTATGTTACTAAATACTTAGACTGTTAGCTAATCATTCAGATGATAGCGTCTGTTTCTCAGACTAAAGGTCATACTGGTTGCTTGGAGCTAACTATCTTGGCACAGTAGGTTATTTGCATAGGTAGCATGACGTATGCTCGCAGTTTTGACATTGTGAACAAATTGGATCATGTTGCATTACCAAGCACGCAATAACTCTACTGTTATTATTTTATTTTTTTCCCCCGTTTTCTGGCGTCTCATGTCATTACTGACTAACTTTAGTTTTGTTTGTTTCTCTGTTGTTACATTGAATCTCTACAGAGAGAGCGAATCCGGCAGGAGCGTGAAGCGGTGGCTTCATCCTTACACAGCACAAACTCAACATAGCAAGCTACTCAAGCATCTGTTGGATGATGAACTCTCGTCTACATCTTCTCAATCTCTTAATCAGAATTCCTCTTTGTGAGAAACTAGTTACCCTCTGATTACTGAGAAGGCATATTCACATTTCTGCTCTGAGCTTAGATTCATTAGTAGCAAATCTTGAAAGTTTATGGGTTGTTTTAAAACACGTGCCTTAATCGTAGATACTTACAAAGATTAAAGTGTCTTGGTTTTTTTTTTTTTTTTTTTCCGAATTCCACCGCCACTTAAGTCATTTATTATTATCATTGTCATGGTTTTGAAACTAGACGAGTAGATGTGATAAAAACTCGCATAATGGTACATAATTAACTTTTAGACGTTCCTTTCATTTTAATCTTTTCTTTCATTTTAAAAATTATAATTTTATCTACCTATTATTTTCCAACTACTGTAGAATGAATTAAGATGGAAATTTTACTTGATTGATGTAATAATGATCATTCAATAGAAAACTAATTTCATTAAAAGAATTTTTTTTTTTTTTGTTAGGTGATCTACAGCAGAACACTCTTATTTATCCCCTTACCAAAATTATAGAGACAAACCTCATAACAAAAAGTGAGTTTGGTTAAGCGATAAAAATTATATTATAGGTAGACTTACAAAATTTAACAAAGCCGAGATTAGCATTACGAAAACTCTCTACCAATCCGGTATCTGTAAATCGGACTCATTGCTTTCTTGATTGTAGCTGGTGTTGGGCTTCGAGATCACAATACATCTGCATCATTCGTGTCCATTTCTGCGTTTGCTTTCGACGAGAATGTCACAACTTGTGGATTAGGTACTATAACCGAGAGTTTCTTGTCCATGTCAAAAAAACGAATTAGATGGTTCGTCTTTGCTTTTTACCCCACAAAACTGAATAGAGTCCAAGAACTATATAGATATACACACCTACTATATGAAGTAAAAATGCTGAAAAACAGATTGTGTACATCTCTTGCATTCATAAGTCTTCATAAACTCCCACCAGTCTTATTTATTGACAGCAATAATATTTTGCTGCATCTGCAAAAAAAAAGAAAAAATTTAGCAAAATATTAGCAATTTTAGCAAAAAAAAACTGTGTACACCATCGGCTACCGGAATTATTACACAATAATGTTATTTATTGAACCAGATAGGAATAAGAGCAATTTATCTAATTAGCCGGAGCTCCACCACTACGCTAGCCGTAAGTATCTCCACCAACGGTGTCAACGTTGAAAAAAACCGACACTATTTCTGACATGAAAACAAAAAATATATGACGTTGTGGGTGTGGAACCGACATACCAATACGGCAATACCTCGTTCACAGCAAGAATGTGCTCGAGGCCCATGGCGGAGCTACGGTGGGTGACTACGGAATCGAAGACCGCACCACGATCAAGTTGACCAAGCGTAGTGGTGGAGCTCCGGCTAATTAGACAATGGTTTGCAAAAATAATTAGAAAGGATAAAAGTATATGTAATATACACCTTCCCCCTTATTGGTGTCATTGCCAAGATGGCAAGATCCAAGAACCCTACATGTTTTTGATAAGTGAGATAGGCTATTAGAAAAAGGAACAACCTTATCTTATTTTCTTGAAATAGGTCTTTTTTGGGTGGACAGTTCAATTATACTTATTGAGGAGATTCTCTTTTATGCTAAACCATCCAAATTGCTCCATTTATAACTTAATCATTGAAATGTCAGTGCCTCACTTTGATTCAAATTCCATTTTACCATCATCATGTCATGTATGTCAACACCTAACTAATTCATAATAATCAATTGAACAAGAAACAACCAACACTACAAAGTACAAACTAATTTGATGTAGAATAGAAAAACACACGAAATTATATAATTTATAGCATATTTTAAAATCTTATTACAAAGATGAAACCATACGAAATGAAAACATACAATATACACATTTTTTTCCTTTGAAATGCTAAATAAACAATAAACTTTACACACCAACTTTCTGTTGTTCATCATGGTCCATAATCATCAATATGTAGACTTGAATGGCTTGTAGACCTTAAGATCAAGCATCACTCCGGCGATTGATCCAACTCCGGCGACCACCGAGATCACAAGACAAGCAACACTAAGCATCTGTAAACACACCCATCTCGTGCTCCATTTCTCAACTTTCCTCTGCTTAATATACATCTCCACCGGAAAATAAACCGTCAAGGGCCAAAATCCTAACGCCCCTAAGATCCCGACCACATCGTTGAAAAACGGCATCAGCATTGATATCACAGTGGTTGTAACGACAAAGCCACTCCGGTAGACTACCCTGAAAACGTTTGCTTTGTATGGAGACTTAAATCCGGGGATTTTGATTTCAAATTCCTTGCTGAGGAAGTCATTGTCTGGATATCTCTCTGCGACTGATTTTTCAATAAAGGCGAAGATGGGTTGAGCAAAGACTTGGTAAGCTCCGATGAGGTGGACGACAATGGCGGCGTTGGCTATGTCAAGGAGCCAAAACGGGTTGTAGAATCCAAAACCCGTGAGGAGGTTTCCCGGTGCTGCATCTCCAAAAGCGGCATAACCCATTGAGCCACATAGCATGTAGAAGATAGTCGTGACAGCAATGCTGATTTTTGTGGCTTTCTTCATCGTTTTCGATTCCGCTGGTGGGGATCTTACAGTATCCTAGATACACAGAGCAAAAAAAAAACAAAAAGTAATCGAAAAGCTGAATCTTGTGTGCAAAGAAATGTTCCTTTTTTAACCTAAAAGTTGAATTCTTTTTATGTATGGTTTTTACAAAAATTTGAATCTTTTATTTACCTGAATCTCGATTAGGACAACAGAGTATGAGTAAGCAAAGGCAATGTCTCCAAGTGCTTGGAAGGTTCTCCATATTTTTTGTGTTTGACTCACTGTTCCGATGCTTATTCCAGTGAGACTTCCTTTGAAAACTCCATTTGCTGAGAATTTACATCAAGATTTAGCATTTTTTTCAATTCTCGTAAAGATTATAAGAGTCTTTTGTAGTTATTTTTCACCTGCAACTTGAACGATTCCAAGAGCTAGACCAATGGCAGAGTAAGTGAAAGACATTACAGCTGCAACAATGGAGATCCACCAAATCTGATCGAAATCAGGAACCTGAGAGAGCAAGATCTCTGCCACACCAAATGCGATCATGTAAGGATTGCTCGACATGTGACATGGGTCTTTTCCTCCACTCTTGTGGAAGCAGTTCGATCTCTTGATCGCCCTGCATGATCCATTCAAGTTACTCAAATTTTCAAAATCTTCTCATCGTTTCGTTAATTGTGTGAAGAATGTTTGAAAAGGAAACGAAGAAAAGAACTCACATCATGCTTATAGATGCTGCGATTGTGTATCCGATCGCGATACCAAAGAGATTCAAGTATTGAATCAGCCCACAAATCTTGAACTTGAACCCACCTACAAGAAAACAGAGCATTTCAATACTCAAAACAAAAAGCAGAGCCAAAAACAGAGCAGAACAGAGTGAGAAAACAGAGCAAGGGTACCGAGAATTGATCGAACGGCATCCATGTAAGTGTAGTTTCTCTTGCCAGACACTGCATCGCCAGTTCTGTAGCAATCGCTAAGAAGTGTGGAAGAGTAAAGAGTAACAAAAGAGAACAATAGCATCACCGCAGGGCCAGCGATCCATCCGAGCTGTGCAATCGCCCACGCCAATGACAAAACGCCGGATCCGATCACCGCAGTTATTATATGAGCGCTTGCGGTCCAAACAGTCCCTGTGAAAAAAAACAACGTTTTTGTTTTGCGTTTCAGCATTTATGTTTATAAAACAATGAAAGAAACAAAAGTTTGACATGTATATTTGTTATGTTTAAATCGTGACCGGTTCTTTTGAGGCGGCCATCATCGTCGAAGCATTTAAAAGCTGGTTGTGGAGGGACGACATCGTGGCTGGCCACGTCAAAGACTTGGTGGCCGTGGTGGTGGTGGTGACGGTGGTTATTGGCGGCAGCGGTTTCACCCATCTGTGAAATTAGTAAGAAACCAAAATTAGTTTTGACGAGAAGTATATTTGGACCGTGGGAGAGCGAATTACAAGATACGTTTTATGACTTTTACAACTTGGTTAAAATATATAATTCAGTTTTAGATTTTTTTAAAAGCCAAAATTCTATTTTAAAACTTTTTGTTTCATTCGAATTCAGATGGATGTTTACAATTTTCTATGCAACTCTAGATATACATGACATGGTAGAAATTTCATTAACAGTGTGTGAAATTACACTAAATATAATTTAATGAAAGAGTGAGAGTATTTGATTGAAATCAGAATCATTTGAATGGAAACAAGTAAAGATATCCATACTAGTTTCATATTATTATTCTCCTAAAGTCGAAAAACCGAAACGAGATTAAACATCTCTAAGTTTATTTTTGAATTTGAAACGGATTTTAAATTTTAATGTTAAAATACAAGTAAAAATAGAGAGAAATGTAGTAATAGTACCTCCTCTTATTGAGCCTTACGGGATATTACAAAGCTATGAACAAAAAGAAGAAGAGCAAAATAGAACTAAGGAGATGGGTGATGATAGTATTTGCTGCTGCATTTTGATTTGTGTTTGCTCACCTTCTTATATAAGCCCTGAAAAGTGAGGAATATAAACTAATTAACAAAAAATATAGAAAACAATTTTTGTATGACAATTATGACAATATTTGTTTGTTAGGTATTTTCTTTTTTTCTCCACCATCATTAGTGAGAGATGAATAAAAATAAAATAAGGAAGAATCAAATGCTTGTTTCTCCTCCGTACCTTTTGGTCCGACTTAATCACTGAGATATGGTATAGTATTTATAATTATAAAAAAGTTTTAGAACCCATTATTTCTTCAAGTATTTTATAGATATACAATTTAACAAGGTTATACCAAGTTTAGATTTATATAATTATAAAGAATTTATGCTGCCTAAGTGCTTAAACATAATAATTATATATGTATAGAATGTTCATCGTCATGATGTTCCTCCATATAATGTGGAATTCATTGCAAATGCCACGCGTAGTATTTTGTTCGAAAGTGAAACGAAAAGAAGAAAGATAAATTATGAAAATTTTAGTAGTTTCAAGAATGATACATTTATTCATGTACCTTAATATGAATATGAACAAGTATTAGGGATTCAATGGCTTTTGGAGCCATGAATTTTCTGATCCAAAAGCGGAGAAAATTCATGGCTCCAAAACCCAAGTGTTTAATTACGTTGTTTACACTTGTATGGAAAAGACTATCGATCGCTTTGCATATCATAAATAAACACAGACATGCAACCATTGATCAATTACATGTGCTAATGGACCCAATCCCGTGTGCTTTTTTTCCTTTTCTTTTTTTTTGGCCATTAATATTTTCTGACCTCTCTCTAAAATTAGGGCTTTTTTTGGTACTATTAAAAGTTCTCTATCTTGTTCAACACTCATTTCGATCCCTAATTGTAAAAGCCCTAATTTTAGAGAGAGAATGGGAACTAAACAACCTAGGAATTACCGGCGGCGCTGTAACGATGAAATCGACGGTAAAGATGCAACCGCCGCGGCCAAACCTTCGTCGTCTGATCTTTACTCGTCGAAACGTAGAAAACTCCCGGCCAATGATGCCGCGAAGGGCAGAGACCATGCCAAACCCTCTTGGCGTATCGTCTTACCAGGGGGCTGCTCGACCGTGGCTTCGGATGGATCTTATACGCAAGAGCAGAAGCAGCAGAGTTTGAAGGAACAGAGTTGGGATGAGAGGCCCATGGAGGTAGTATTCAACGGTGAGCCACTGCGTAGCATTGGTATGAATGGTTTGTTTCATGTCTTCAACTGTCCGATGCCGCAAACAGATGATGATAAGAAAGCTTCGCTTGATAGATATTTCAATGCTTATGATGAAAACGTGAATTCGAGGAACGCACGGACATTTAAGAAGGGCGTTGGTAATGAAAGGTCTCATAGGACTGTTAGTACTAGTGGGATACCACTTGCTTCAATGCCCATTGTTTCTGTGCCTTGTACCAGTGTTGTTGATGATGCATTACCAGACGAGCTTGCTAAGAAGCTTAAGGTATTGCTCTTTGAACTTGGCTTCTTCCTATTTATTCTTCTGCTGCCTTTTTCCATTTGTTTTCCTTCTTTTTTTTCTATCTAATTTGGTTTCTGATGAACTGCGTTTTATTATCCAGGAACCTTACGCAAAAACCGATGAGAATTTGACTGCTTCGCTCGCAGCTCCTGAAAGTTGTCCATCTGCTCCTGTTGACAAGTATGTCTTTATGCAGGAACTCAGTGACCTCCGTTCTGTTTTCCGTTACTTCATGCAGGTACTCTTGCTCTGCCTGTACGTTGCAGGCTCTTTACTTTTGTATTACCAATGGCTCTCTCTAGATGTCATTTGACTGCATAGTATCATGTGACTCCAAGGAACAAATGAAAGAGAGCAATATGTTTTTCATTTGACGGTTTGTTCCTAATCCCCAAAAAAAAAACATAGAAAGAGCTTTCATTTCCATCAATCTTAATTTATTCAACTATGCTAGATACTGCCACTGCGAGTGCAAATAGTTTCAAGCAAACGGCTCTTGTGAATAGCACTCCTAATCTCTGTTGTGAATTTTCTTTCGCAGGAAAACGGTTCCTTAATCAAGGAAATTGAAGATCAGATGAATGAAATTACTGAAAGACATGCTTCAGCTATTCTAGAAAGGAGAACTGCAGCTGACGATGACGAAATGGTACTCGTGGAGGCCGCTGTAAAAGCAGCAATGGCAGCTCTAAACAAACAAGGAAACAGTAATTCAGCTATTGCTACGTCTGCTGCCTCTTCTTCTATAAGACAGCAGACGAATCAACCAGTTCAGCGCAGGGAAGTGGAACAGAAGGCTGCAGCCCTGCAGAAAAGGCGAGCTCGATTTGAAAACAAGCGTGCATCAGCCGTAGAGGTTGATGGATATTCCCTGATAATAGAAGGAGACTCAAGCACCGATGAGAGTGACAATGAGACTCCAGCTTATAAGGAGACACGAGATCGCTTACTTGAGTGTGCCGATAAAATCCTTAGTGATGCATCTGTGGTGTACTCCCAGCTTTCAAGGGTGAAGACGATATTTAAGAGGTGTGCGCGAGACTATCCATCTGCTTGTCGGAGTGCTTACAAGTCTTTGACCGTTCCTTCCATCTATTCACCTTATGTAAGACTGGAGCTTTTGAGATGGGATCCTCTTCATCAACATGTGGATTTCTCTGACATGAATTGGTAAAGTTTTCTAGCCGTTTCCAACTTTCCTAATTATCCAAACTTACATTTTCAAAACACACCATCTCTTAGGCATTAGTCTCTTAAGCATATGATCTAAACCCATTGTTTTGTTTGCATTTTTGCAAGTGATCTGTGTCTCCAGGCATGGACTGCTGTTTGATTATGAGATTGGGAATGGTTTTGCACCAGTTTGTACTGATCCTAACTTTGTATCTGAGCTAGTGGAATACGTTGCGATTCCCATTTTGCACCATCGGATAGTTCGTTGCTGGGATATACTTAGCACCCGGGAGACAAGAAATGCTGTTGCTGCTACAAGCTTGGTGGCAAGTTATGTTTATTCTTCGAGTAAGGCCCTAGCGAAACTATCTGTTGCTCTTCGTGCTCGCCTTGTTGAAGCCATTACAGCTATTAGTGTATGAATTTGAATTTGTTTACATCTCTTGCTAATTTTCTAATAAATCCCATTTAGTCTGTTATGAGATAACTAGTGATATCCTCTGATATTTTTCTCTGTTCTCCAGGTTCCGACATGGGATCCTCAGGTATCAAAGGCTGTACCTAATGCTCCACAAGTTGCAGCATATAGGTTTGGGACATCAGTCCGTCTTATGAGAAATATTTGTATGTGGAAAGACATCATGGAGCTTCCAGTGTTGGAGAAGTTGGCTCTGAGTGACCTTTTGTTTGGAAAAGTTTTACATCATGTCAGAAGCATTGCATCAGAATCAAATATGCATGATGCTGTGACTAGAACTGAAATGATCGTTGCTTCTTTGTCTGGAGTATGGACTGGACCAAGTGTCACAAGAACCCACAGGTAACTATAGTTTCTTTCAACAGTAACATCAGAAAATTTGCTTAGTCGTCCAGTGCTGTGAAAGGTTGTAGTTGCAGCTTGTGATGTCGCATAGTATGTCCGATTTCAGTTACAACAATCAGTCTGCTTGAAAAGTTAAGCTATTGTTTTGATACTATTGCCAACGTGAGAGTGAGTAAAGTGATGCTGTCAAATCGGAAACTAAGATGTGAGTGTACATTAAAAAAAAAGAAAAACGGGTCTAGGCACGTCCTGAGTATCATTCATTCGCCTATCTTCATTTGGTTCCCATGATATCTCCATCTCAGATTAGGACATTACCACTTTATGTTGCAACTTTGCCTTGATGTGCATACTCACATGTTTTATTTGATTTTTCAGTCGTCTGCTGCAACCCCTTGTGGATTGTACTCTGACACATGGAAGAATACTCGAGAAAAGGCTTGCCTCGGGACTGGTCGATACGGAAACCACTGGTCTCGCCCGCAGGTTAAAGAAAATACTTGTCGAGCTCCATGAACATGGACACGCCCGGGAAATTGTCAGAGCATTCAATCTCAAGGAGGCAGTTCAAATTTAGCAGAGACAATACTTCTATCAATGTAAGTCACACTAGTTGCACTGGAAGCGTAATAGTATACTTCAATTATCAGTGATTAAGAATCGGTATTTACTAGACACATGTTAATTTGAAAACTGTAAATTTTTTACGAGATGGTAAGTCCCAATATTTTTCCAAATTTCAGCCTAACAGATCAATTTAACAAAAGAGAAAAATGATTGATATTTTATATAAATAGAATTAGAAATTGAGCAAGTGTACCAACACCGTCCAATATACAAGAAAAAGGGTGAGAAGAGTGTTGTAGTGATTAATACTCCCTCCGTTTCGTTTTAGTTGTCGTTTAAGATTTTTTCACACAAATTAAGAAAAGCATTAAATTTTCTGTTTTACCCTTTATTAATATATTTTATAAAAAAATTCATTGGCCAAAACATTAAAACAGTAAGGATAAAACTGGAATTTTCACCAAACATTTGCATTGAAAACCTAAAACGACAACTAATATGAAACAAAATTTAAATCCTAAAACGACAACCAAACTAAAACGGAGGGAGTATGATTATATCGAGAAGAGAATCGAATTTGTCGAGTGCTCCTATCCACCATTATTTCATTATTTTGTTTATTATATATTAGAGAATCTTTGAAATCCGTCACTAAGAAAATAGAACATTTTTTGAATTCCAAGATTCTATCTTCATTTTTTTTTTTTTTTTTTAGTGTAAACAAATACCATATCTCACCCTTTTTCTTGTATATTGGACGGTGTTGGTACACTTGCTTGTATATTGGCCTTAGTGTAAACCAAGGCCAAACCTTTCTCATTTTTTTTGCACTTGAGAAAGGTTTGGCCTTGGTTTCAAATCGCGAAGCCCTACACAAATCTCTTCCCACACTTCTGAAACATTTTGATTTTTCAAAAAATTCTCTTTATCACTACTCACACTAGCAACAAAACTCCTTTCATATATTGTAATTTTCAAATTCCCAAAATATTAGAAAAGAAACGTAGAGTTGTGAAATTTCTAGACGCAATAATATTTTTTTAATATGCTTTAATGATTCTAATAATAACTCTAGAATCATTTTCATAAAATAAAAATTACTGCGTTTAAAAAATATTCACATATTAAAAAAGTTCTAAACATGTATCATTGTGACAAGGATAAAAGTTACTAAATTTGAAAACGACATCTAATTTAAAAAAAAGAAAATCCTAAAACGACACTTATTAAAATACGGAGGGAGTATTTGACAAGGAATTCGGATCGGCTGTCGATCTCCAGCTAACCGACCCGTTTTCCGTAAATGACCCAAAATTAAGGCCCAAACGTGACCCATTATTTCCAAGTTGTTGTGTCGAGAAAGACAATTTGGGCCGATGTTTTAAAGTTGCAAACACAAGATATATATATAAGAGCTAAGAAGAGTAGAATCATTTGTTTTTTTATTTGTTGACTAATCTTTGTCTATATTCTATATATCTCACAAATTTATTTGAAGAACTTTTGCAATTAGCAAGTAGTTTGGTTTTTGAAGAAACTTTGCAAGTAGTTTATTACACACGATTTATAAGAGGTATGAGTTTTTGAGTAATTTCGAAGGTTGGAGGAATCTATCATAAACTTAACAAACACTCCAATTAAAATGCTAGAATAAACTACAATATATGCACGGTTTCAAACGCATGTTATATAGTAAGATTTTTGTCATACGCACACACATACGAATAAGACAAGTAGTCATATGAAATTATGAATAGAGTCATAGAGAATAGTATGCCGCATATGTGATACTAATTGTTGTTAACGATAGGTTCTAAGTTCCGACAACGAGGTCCCAACTTGTCTCCTCCTTATCCAACTTCTCAAGCATATTCCAATATAAATTTCTAGATACGACAAAACAAAAAGGTAATAATCCATCACCAAAAAATTATATATGCATATTTTAGGTCAAGTTCGGCAGCTATAACATCAAGCTCCACGAAGCATCCTATTTCAATTCACACCGGGACTAAATAACAAACAACTGCAAAAAAACTATAAAGTCGATTTCTCTCTTTATCATTATAAATTCAGATCAAGTCCAGATCCAATTGATCTGAATTTTATAATAGGGACAAATCATGCTTATATATCTCTTCTTGATTTTTTTTGTTAAATATTAGTGGGCTTATCTTTTAGTTCTAGACTTGACTGTTATCATCTAAAACGACAATAAACAAATTACATTATAAACAAATTAAGTCGTCAGTGCACGAAAATTATTTAGCTATAAGCCTAAAAGATGTGTATGAAATGATACGACTTATATAACTTACATTCTTATATCAATAAAGAAATATTCTTATTGACAACAACAAAAAAAAGTCATGTTTGACCACAAATATTTTGTATTTGTATTAATTTGGCTATTAAGGGAGTTTTACTAGTATAAGGAAAGACCATGATCTTATAAAACATTATGTTGAATCGATCATAATAGTTTATAAATATGATAGAAAACGTAAGTGATGATCATAAAACGGGGAACAAGCCCACGTCATGCTTTCATACACACCTACCTCAACTTTCCATTTAAAGATTTTAAAATAGAAGAGGATTCATGTGCATTATTTTAACTATAATGAATCTAACTTATGAATTATAAATTAATTAGTCCGTAATGAAAGCGGCTTAATAGGTACTTAATCAAGGATTAAGCTAATGGTTTAAATAGTTGTCTTTAAACATTTTTCTAGATTGCGGGGAAACTCAAACTAAAGCGCAACGCTTTCTTTGCGAACTCAATACTGTTTTTATTTCTGTGAATGTATGTATAATAAATACAATATTATTAGTCGAGAAAATCTATAATTAGTGACTATGATTGGCGATTGCAACTTTAAATGACGTCATCCATCATGACGCAAGTTTCGCTTCGAAGAAGGAACTAATCAGCTGCAGATAAGCTCACCGCAATTTCATCAAACTGTCCAATCACAAGTTAAAACTACAACTTCCAGCCCAAGAAATGCTGACTTATCTTTAGCAAGGTTACAATAATGTGTCAATTTCAGTTATCATAAAAAAGTAGTGGCTGCTGAGAAAAAATATTTTTTTAAAAAAAACCTTAGTGGTAAGTAAAGGAACAAAAGCGATAAGATACACTGAGAAGCAGGAGATTACGGTTTGACATAGAAGGTCGGTCAACAATTCACAAAGGGTTCAAGTGACGCAAGCAATGACAACATCCAAGTCGACCATCCAATAATATCACGCCACGTACATATCCAGCTGGCTGCGGTCAGCGTAGAAAAGAAAACGGTTGGTTTTGCCGCACGTGCTTGAAAATCCCCTCGTGTCATCTTTTTTCTGTTTTTTGTGTTTTTTTCAATTTAATTAATTAAAAATTTCGGCGATTTTCGTCCTTATAAAACCTTCGTCGCCTCACTCACATATCCTCGATTACAATCTTGAGCAGACGACGAAAACCAAAAACCCAGATCCAGCTGAAATTAAATTTTCAACCAAACGAAGAAGAAAATTTTCGAAGAGAAGAAGAAGAAGAGAATGAAGGCGGAGCTTAATTTACCGGCTGGGTTCCGATTCCATCCAACGGACGAGGAGCTTGTGAAATTCTACTTGTGCCGGAAATGTGCATCGGAGCAGATCTCGGCTCCGGTTATCGCCGAGATTGATCTGTACAAGTTCAATCCTTGGGAGCTTCCAGGTACATCTATGGACTTCTTCTAATCATTTTTCGCGAAATCATTTGTCTTCGACACTTCGAGAATCGTTTTTAATTGAGATTTTTGTGCTTCTTTCAGACATGTCTCTGTACGGAGAGAAAGAGTGGTACTTCTTCTCACCTAGAGATCGGAAATACCCAAACGGTTCGCGTCCAAACCGGGCAGCAGGAACCGGTTATTGGAAAGCTACCGGAGCAGATAAACCGATTGGTAAACCGAAGACGTTGGGTATCAAGAAAGCACTCGTCTTCTACGCTGGGAAAGCTCCAAAGGGGATTAAGACCAATTGGATAATGCACGAGTATCGTCTCGCTAATGTTGATAGATCAGCTTCTGTTAACAAAAAGAACAACCTACGAGTAAGTTCTGTTTTTTTAATTAACTTATGTTTCATCTTTTCGTGAATGATGATTTAGATTATTGACTTTGTTGTGTTGGGTTTTGCTGTACAGCTTGATGATTGGGTTTTATGTCGAATATACAACAAGAAAGGAACCATGGAGAAGTATTTCCCCGCGGATGAGAAACCGAGGACGACGACAATGGCTGAACAGTCATCATCGCCTTTTGATACATCGGACTCGACTTACCCGACATTGCAAGAGGATGATTCGAGTAGCTCAGGTGGTCACGGTCACGTGGTGTCACCGGATGTTTTGGAGGTTCAGAGCGAGCCTAAATGGGGAGAGCTTGAGGATGCTTTGGAAGCTTTTGATACTTCCATGTTTGGTGGTTCCATGGAGTTGTTACAGCCTGACGCTTTTGTCCCTCAGTTCTTGTATCAGTCTGATTATTTCACTTCCTTCCAGGATCCGCCCGAGCAGAAGCCATTCTTGAATTGGAGTTTTGCTCCACAGGGGTAAAAACGGAAGAGATTAAAAAAGTTGTTTGCTTGTACTGTGCCAGAGAGAAGAGTCTCATCTCAACTCATCCCTGGTTCTTAGTAGTATAAAAGGATTGTAGAATGTTAATAGGTTTTAGCATCAATGCCTCATTAGCAGGCACATTCTTGTTCTTTCATGAGAAATTTATATGGAAAACTAAAAATTTATATTCAAACTCTTCAAGATGTTGCACTTATGTAGATACTGATATTAAATTACAACCTAACCTTTATAAGATATCATGCTCTTCAGAAGCATATTTTTATGAGTTTCATCAGCTGAATCGAGGCGATTTCCTCACAGCTGTTGTTCCTATGTCTCGGAGTCTTTTGATTCTCGTTTTCTTGACCTGTGGTTTCTTTTGAGAACACTTCTGTCTTTCCTTCTGTTCAATCTGTTTGGAGGGTTTTTCAGATCCACTATTCCCACAAGGAGTTTTCATCTTGGGATCCTCTTTGCATAATCCTTTGCTTATACCTTCGATTTCACATCCTGGAGATTCAGAATATGGAACCACGGTTTCATCACAGGAATCGATGATCTCAGAGAGCTGGTTTTGTATCTTTTGGGCAGCCTTCCACAGTTCTCTGCAGCTTTCCTGTAGATAAAGAAAGGCGAAAAAAACAAAAAGATTCAGAACCGGTTTTTCATCAGCTCAAAAACATATCAGTGACATGAAGTAACAGGGATTTTCATCCTCACCATTGATAAAGGCAAACGAGAAACATCATCAATTTCTGAAACAGCTTTGTTCTGCTGGTCTTTCTCTTTGCACTGTTTAAGCATTTTCCTATTTTTCCAACCCCAAAGAGAAACATGAGCATTAAGCTAATTCAAAGATGAATAGAAAAACAGGCAACAAAAGGGATCAGAGCTTACTCTAGAGCAATGATATTGCTGCATGCTTCGGTTTGGCACTCCCAAAGTTTTTTATATGCTTCACTCGTCACTTCCACACATGCTTCTTTCGTTGTGTTAGATGTTCTACACAGTTTTGCTTTTCTCTCTTTTGAGCTTGTTTCCATTGCTTCTTTACCCGACTCTTCCGTCAACACATCATTTTGCTTATATTGAACAGCTACTTCATATAATTCACCTCCTCTACTGTTTGCTTCAATCCTAGCTTCAGTCTCACTATTTTCAACAGCCACTCCTGGTTCTTCAGCAACTCCCTCTTTCCTAGGAGTTTGAATACTCGAATCCCTTAAATCTGCTTTGACTCCATTATCTTCTGTGTGCCTTACTTCAATGACTTTAATGGCACAACATGCTTTACGTTTGGAGCCAGTTCGGGATTTAGTCAAACTCTGTTCTTCCAACAAATCAACCTTACGATCCCCAGACTTTAAAATTTCAACACTTTCTTCCTCGTTTTGGCAAGTCATAACCTCATTCCCCACACGCTGATCATTTTTTCTCACAGTTATCACAGCGCTCTTTCTCTCAACATCAGTGGAAGCAACAGTCTTCTTCTCACCCGGGAGAGAGTAACAGTAGCTGTTGCAGTCACAAAGTATCTCTCTTTTCTCCACAAGCTTAGCTAAGTGATGACTGAGCAAACTCTTGTGAGCAAATGGCAAGTTCTTGTACTTGGACTTTATAAACTCAGATATAACATCTTCACTTGCGCCACCTTCTTCATTCAAATCCATGATAGCAATAAATATCATCTGAAACAAATTTGTACAGTCATAAGAACACAGCAGAGATAAGTATATGCACATAACATATGTCATAATTTCATACATACAGCGGAATAAGTGGGATGATCAGGAGTACGGGATAAACACAGATCCAAGAATTTCTGTTGGAAACGTTTAGTCTCAGGAAGGGAAAAGCCTCTTGATTTCGCCAAATTCACCATAAAACCTCTCAGATTCTCAACTTTTCTTTCGTGTGCCTGTCCGTCAACAAAATTTGTTCATAGTTAACATTCAGATGCAACGCACAAACAAGTGCTCAAAACTGTGGAATCAAGCAATCAAACTTATGAACAACTCAAACATTACATGATCGTACAAATTTTCCAACGAGATTTAGAGGAGCACACAGATCCATAAACTACTATCAGAAGACCTCGAATCACTAAAATAGAAACTTTTTGTAAGTAAGAAATTAGTGATTTAAAACCCAATTTGACGAAACCTAAACCACAAACACGTTGATAGATGCTGACGAACTAAGAAAAACCTTGAAAATAAGCGGATTAGTGAAAGAGCAGAGTAAATTACAAAGAACGAAGAAGAGAAGAAGCAGGAGTTACAAACCATAGACATTAATGTAGCAGAAGCCGCCATTGGAGAAGAATTGAGGCTCTGCAGTGTACGCAGAGTCGGCGCTTAAACCCTGAAGGCGACGAGGAGGGAAGTAACAAACATGCGAAAGTTATGGGACAAGCCAAACTTATATCGAATTGAACCAAATGTAACCGGAATAAACCGATCCAAATCGAGTATGTTCTTTAATTTAAACCGATCGTTATGTTTGGTTCAAGTACTAAAGCTAGTAAGCTACCTTAAAGGGAAAATAAAAAGCAAAAACAGCCAACGAAGAAGACGAGAGATCAGAAATCGGAAATGCTTCCATTAAAGCTTGCTCGATCTCTTCTTCTCCACGAGACTCTCGATCTCACTCATAAATCCGGCGATACAGACGACGGCAATGAAGACGGAGAAACCAGTATCCGGCAAATCCTAAGTTCCTACAAGCAATCAAAAACCGGATCGAGATCCGATAACAAGAGAAATTCGAAAACCCCATTGCTCTACTTCGTTCCAACACGAGAACTGATTTCAGATACATACCGATTAGCAACAATCGCGAGAGATCTAGGTATGGATTTGTACCCAACACCATCACTCTCTCACATCATCTTCTCATTCCCGTCACGAGAATCGAAATCGCCGTCACCTTTCTCTTCTTCATCGCATCCTTCGACGTGGTCGTCTTCGGCTTCGTTATCGTCGTCTCTCTCGTGGTCTCTTCCAAACGACGCCGTAATGCTCTCCTTCCCATCACTCTCCGCCTCATCACTCTCTCATCTCCGATCTTTCGTCTCCCTCTCCAACGGTCTCTTTAAACTCGTCTTCTCCGCCACCACCGTAGAGACATCTTCCTCTTCCTCGTCCGGATCCGTTAGCAATTGGGATTGCTGCTCCGTTTCTCTCTTCTCAAGAATCGCCAACAAGCGAATCGGATCGATGGAGAGTTTCTCGAATGCATTGGCTTCGAAAGGATGGACAATTTACAAGACGAAAGAGAATCCGTCGCCGGAATCTACTAGCAACGGAGGGAGCTCAGTGTATCTGTTTAGGAAAGTGTATACGGGTCGGATCATGGCCCGAGAAGGAAACGGGTCGTGTAGAGTAAGAGAGCTGAGACTTCCTCAATTGGACTTTAGGAACGCACCTCTACGGATTTTGCAATATTTGATGTTGATGACTGACGATATCTTCTTCCTTGCGTAAATTTGGACTTTTTCTCTGTTTTGTTTTGTTTTGTTTTGCTTCAGCTCATTGACAAAAAGATTCTATGAGGCTTGTAAATTTTACATCAAACTAAATAAATCATCTAGGGTTTTAATCGATGGTTTCTAACCATGGAATTCTTGCTCTTTCTCTTTCCATTCTCCTTCTTGGATCTTAATTACGCCAAAAATATTACTGAAAAAAAATTAAGACAACTAGAGCCACACTTTAGCCGACAAATCCCATGTATATATAGTTGAACAAAATTTTGTTTTTATTTATTTGAAATAGTGGCACTAGTGTTGTGGTTTGTGATAGTCGTCTCCGTTGCATATGTTTGTTGTCTTCTGAATAATTGTTGAGTCGATTTTATTCTCTCTTCACTTCACACCATAAGTCCATAAACTAGATAAGTGAAAACTAGTAGTAACCAAACGGATGTATTAGTGTTGGAACACATATTTTTTGACCCTTACGAATGTTCAAACTTCAAACTATCTATTACCTTTTAATATAAAATTTTAAAACAAAATTATTTAATTTCACGTTTAAATCCACGGTAAATTTATGTATAGGCATGTCCATGTAATATTTTTAATAATTGCACAGCAATAAAGTTGCCTCTCCTTGTGCATCCCCCGTGATACAGATAGATATATTGTTTCTTCATTCTTGAGAGTTGAGACATATAATAATTATGGGCCTTTTCCTTTGGTTGAGTTAGAGTGCACCGCATGTGTAGACGGTACAGTACGGGGACGCCCCCGTGGGTAGTGTCCTGTAACAATATGCCCCAGATCGTAGTGTTGAACTTTATGGGATTAAAGTTGTATATATAGTCTACTCGAAATATTTGGTTTTGAAGCTCATAAACTTACTTGGTGGTGGACTTGCAGAAGATTCATTGGCGCATCGAGAATCCGAGTACCTTGTAGTAACTAGAAAAATGTTGAACATTATATACACTGTCTAGGTTTTGATTTCCAAAACTACCATCAAAAATATCATAAAACATTTGAGCTATAGTTGGTTGAGCTTTCGCAGGATTCTTTCAAAAACAATGTGATAACTTGAACAGATAAAAATATGCATAGACGATTATATATACTAGACCTGCGTTGTAGTTGGCCTCAGAGACACCAACTTGAGAAGAAAGACATAGAAGCAAAGATAGAAGAAGAGCAATTATATATGATTTCTCTTTAGACATATTAACTGATTTTCTTTGTTACAACTTACAATGCATCAAATGGCATATAAATACAGAAATAGAATGAATCATCTGACTCACCAACTAAATTCCAAGTTAACGAAAAAAATAATAAAAAAATTCCAAGTTAACGCGCTTCTACCTTGTACACTGACTAACGACTTAATATCTACCATTCTTTTGCTATCCAACAAATGGTAAAGACTTTGGAGTTCTTCTCTAATTTTGATACAGGGTAATGGTTCCAAACACAAATAATAATAATTGTTTAGTTAATCTTCAAAACAGAAGATGAGAGTGACTAACAATAAAAGTTCTTACTGTGAAAAAAAAAAAAGAGTGACTAACAATAATAATAAACGAGATGCAAGACGAAAAAAATTGCTAAAAATAACATAATTCATATTATAATACAAATAATAAATACGACGAAGAGATTTTTGTTGTGAAGTAACATTCAGTTTCCCTTTTTTTTTTTTTTCTTCGATAAGAGCAACTAATTGTACATTTTGTGTCTTGAAGGAGAATAATGTAAATGATATTGACAGAGACCAAAAAAGAGTAACACGAGGATATGGATGATGAAGAATTTATCATGTGGAGGAGTGAGAAGCGTGTGAACGTGAAGCCCAAATGCCAAACACAAGAAACCAGAAGACGAACAAGATTGCCCAGTAACGTGCTGGTCCGTACCTGATTCTTGTCAGCACAACCTGTTGTTCCATCGTTTCTTAATCAATTTTCTCATTCACTCTTCAAGAACAAAGAATATGAAAATTGTACTTACGAATCTGAAGAAGATGACTACTGTTAAAGCACAGAGACCACCTAGAAGTATGTGTAGTCCACTCTTTGCAGTTCTCTGAGCAAAAGTAAAAGATCTATCATATCAGTCTTTAACATTCTAAACACCGAGGGTTATGGGACAATCAAAGTGTGATCAATTTACATATATACGGTACCTTTCCGACACGAGGAGCAATGAGCCATGCCAAAGTAACAGTGAGTAATCCGGTTGCAAGTAGTATTCCTGTACCTTCAACCGCCCATTTGGTCGCACGGCTTTCCATAGGCAAGATATCAAAGTTTACTATACCCACAGGTTGTTCAGATGTAACCTGAGAAGAAGCCGTCCCTGCAGCAGCGGAATTACTACTATTGTTGTTGTTTGAACAATGTGGACCAAACCATAACGAAATCTCACTAAGTCGTTGCCTTCGAATGGCTGCAACTGCATCAGGATCAATTCCTGAAGAACTCGTGTTGTTGTTAACCGCTACAGGATTTGGATCTCCATCCGCTGTTCTTTCTCTTAGCGCTGCGTAATCTTTTAAAGCGATAACCACTTTGTTGAAATCAACTATTCTTATATTCTCCGCGGTTTTTCCACATATCTCACAAACTGTTGATCCGTGGTTGACGAACCATTTCAATGCACAAGCGTAGTGTACCAAAGCAAGATCATTCTTGCAAGAACATCCGAGTTCTAGCAACTTATCTCGATGCTGCCACGCTCCCATTTCTATATCGTCATTTGCACAAACGAAAACCTCTCCATCAGGACTTATTAGTTCGATGAATCCACTAGGTTTGTTAACCGAGCTTTTCTGATCAACGGTTTCTTCACCCGCATTGCTTCTGCGAGGTTCTGAAACCGGAGGAGTAATACCCAAAAACCCTAAAGCAGCATCTCCTCTTCTATCGGATTCTGCACACTGGCACACACGGCAAGTTGGTAAACCCGTGTCTTTGTCTGAACTGTAACGTGGTGCCTCATGTTCTTCGTTCTTGATAGGTGGAGAACCGTGATCACTGACTCCGCAATTGGTAGTCTCCAACTGATTCTCTTTACCCATCAAATCCAAAAACAACCAAAACTGATATATCTTCACAACACCACTAAAACCATTCCTCCAAAATCAAACTCCTTTATGGCTGCTTCCTTGTAAACAATTCTACTCCATATACATAGAAAATACCTTTTGACAACTCAAGAACAAATTTTCCCATCTAACAAAGGACCTTCACTGCATCAATATGAGAAGACACAAAGCTCCTGCAGTTAAAAACATATGAAACCACCAGATTTAGCATAATCTCAAAACCGGTATTGAAGAGAAAACACAAAGTAAAAAATAGAATCAAGCTTAAAGAAGCATCAAAGAGTTTTTCTGAATCACAAGTGAGAAGAAATGTCTAACAAGAAGCGAGTAAGACGTAGCAACAACAATAATCTAATAATAAGATCAAACCAGCCTATCAGATTATGAGAGGAACCACTAAAAAGCTTTCATCACAAAGAAAAGATGTATGCACATCAAAAAGATTTAATTTTTATTAGTTGATTGTAACGGAAAAGAATTCAATAATGTATAAGAAGACACCATTAACTCTATAAAAAAGCTTCAAACAAGGATTCCACCAAACTCCCACTGATGAATAAACTAAAGACTTTTAAACTTATAAGACAAAAAAAAATCGTCACTTTCAAAAAAGGGTTGCTCAACTTCATGAGTTACACTGCCTTAAAACATGATAAACTCATAACACCAAACTAATACATTATTGATCTAACTTTACACAACAAAGCAAAAAATGAGGAATAAAAAAGATCTGCAATTGCAATAAGCAGATCAAACGCATGCCAACTTTTGCAAGAATTTTGGGCGAAAGCGAATCAATAATAAGTACCTCCGGAGAATCTGGGTAGAGATCGATTGATACACATGTAGTAAGAAGCGAGAATCAAGGCTCTTCAAAAAAAAAAAAAAACCCCAATGCGTGTCTCTCTTACTATCTCTATCTTTCGGCGCCTAAAAGTATGTGAAATTGGGAATTAGGTATTGGGATTTATCAAAGGAAGAGAAAACTTTCATCCTTGTCTCTCTGAGCTTCCGTTTCAGATTTTTGTTTTTTGTTTTTTCTTTTTGTTGGGACTGTTTTTTTATTTTCTGGGTTTCTTTTTATTTTACTTTTTTTGGTAACAGATGCAAGTGATTTTAGTGATAGTTCTCTTCTTTGCCACTAACACCAACCACTCGTATTCTGAAAAGTGTAAATTGTTCTTTTTCTTGCGTAGTTTTTCATTTGTTGGATACATGAAAAAGAAAAGCTTTTCCAGGAAGAAAAAAAACTGTTCAGATTCCCACTAAAACAGATTAAAAGCAACGAATCTGATCTTTGCAAAAATCTAGAATTTGACATCGCAAGAACTCACATTAGTTGTGACTTTTTCAGTGACTACAGAAAAATGGTAAAAAAAGAGTTCAATATACTGTAGTTGTGGTTGTGGATTAACAGAATCATGAAATTATTTGACTACACCCTTATTTTTGTGATTTTTTCCGCTGTGTATATATTTATTTCACCGTTTTTCTTTTACCGCATCGCATTTTCGATAACCGCACGCTAGTCTCAACCGCGTCTTTTTGGCAGTGGAAGCGTTTTGTCCTTTTATCGTAACACTAAACGTTTGTCCAAATAGTGGAGAGCGTGGAACCCCAAACATCCATAAGAAACTAGACGTCTCAAACAATCACTTCCATCTCCGGCAATCCTTCCGGCGATATAAAAAAGTCAACAATGGCCGTTCTCTCCTCCGTGTCTTCTCTGATACCCTTCTCTTGTACGTCATTCTTCTCCTTAATCTAGTTTGGTTCTATTGCTCAAGTCGATTCTTGTCTCTGTTCTACTCCAATCATCGAATCCAATTTCCGATTGTGTTTTTCCCGGACAATTAGATAAATTTAGATTTCTATTGAAAGCTTGATTAGTGAAGATGATTTCAATTTTGTCTTTGGGTATCCATAAAAAGATTGTCTTATTGAGAAGACCGTTTCGATTCCTTTGCTTATTACTTCAGTTTAAGATTCTACTCGTTGTTTGATTCCAAAGACTGCACATTGCTGCTTTGATGCTAGTGATATTCTAAAGATGGAAGTTTGAAACTTTTGGTGTTACTCTCACTCAATGTCTTTCAGATGGGGCAAAGAGACTGACTAGTAAAGCTTCTTTAGCTTCAAGAACTTCTGGATTCAATCTCTCTTCTCGTTGGCACTCAACGAGAAGCGCCCCTAGGTTGTATCTTTCGAGGGCAGTGACAAACAACAGTGGCACCACAGAGATTTCTGAGAATGAAACAGCTCCAAGGACTTACATATGGCCTGATAACAAGGTTCATAACTCTCTAGAACGATGTATGAGATTTTTTAAGTTTCAATTGCGGATTTCGTAACTTAATGAATGTAAAAAGCTCTCTCTTTTCAGAGGCCAAGGGTGTGTATTCTAGGTGGTGGGTTTGGAGGATTGTACACAGCTTTGAGATTAGAATCGCTTGTGTGGCCTGATGACAATAAACCTCAGGTGATGTTTCTGCTAATTAAATTCAATCTGTTTGCAAAATACTTGTGTTCTGAATACATTTGACTGTTCTTATATTGATCAGGTGGTTCTGGTTGACCAATCCGAACGTTTTGTGTTCAAGCCGATGTTGTATGAACTTCTCTCTGGAGGTAAATTTAGTTTCTTTATGCTCGACTAATCTTTGATACTTTTGTTTTTTTGTGTTGATTTAGTGTCTGGCTCTTTTGATCTACAGAAGTTGATGTGTGGGAGATTGCTCCCCGTTTCTCGGATTTACTTACAAACACAGGGATCCAATTTCTCCGAGATAGAGTGAAAACATTGCTTCCTTGTGACCATTTTGGAGTTAATGGGTCTGAAAGTTCTGTTACTGGAGGGACCGTATTGCTCGAAAGCGGTTTTAAAATTGAATACGATTGGTACTATGTTTACACAATCCCTATAAATTCAATGCAATCTATCTCATTTCTCTTGTCTACAGACTCTAATGGTGTGTGATACAATAAAACCATGCACTTAATTCAGAGATTTGGACTCATTTTCTTTCTTTTCTACAGCCAGGTTGGTTCTTGCTCTTGGCGCTGAATCTAAACTCGATGTTGTTCCCGGCGCAATGGAGTTGGCTTTCCCATTCTACACTCTTGAAGATGCTATTGTAAGAGTCAGGAGTACCCAATCCGGTGTTCAGTTTAAATTTTTTGGTTTATGAAATATAGAAACTGATTTGTCGGGTTGATATGGTTTTTGCTTTGGTTCCGATTAGTTAAATCGAATTGTACACTCTTTTCTGACTAAATCGTAACTGTCACTATGATATTGCAGAGAGTTAACGAAAAGCTGAGTAAATTGGAGAGGAAGAATTTCAAAGACGGCTCTGCCATAAAAGTGGCTGTTGTTGGGTGCGGATATGCAGGAGTTGAGTTGGCTGCTACCATATCAGAGAGACTGCAAGATCGTGGAATAGTGCAGTCCATTAACGTATCAAAGGATATACTAACATCAGCCCCTAATGGGAACAGGGAAGCGGCTATGAAGGTACTTTCAATCCAATTGCATCCTCCATTTGATTAGACAGAGTACAAGATGGTAATAGTGTCCTTTGGATTGTGGTTAGGTCCTTACGTCGAGAAAAGTCCAATTACTCTTGGGTTATCTTGTTCAATCCATAAAGAGAGCAAGTGACTCAGAAGAAGATGAAGGATATTTGTTAGAGCTTCAGCCTGCAGAAAGAGGATTAGAGAGTCAAATTATTGAAGCGGATATAGTGTTATGGACAGTCGGTGCTAAGCCTTTGCTGACCAAACTAGAACCCTCGGGTTCCAATGTCCTTCCTTTGAATGCTAGAGGACAAGCGGAAACAGACGAGACACTCCGTGTTAAAGGACATCCACGGATTTTCGCATTAGGTGATTCGTCTTCTCTAAGAGACCCAAACGGAAAGCTTCTTCCTACAACAGCTCAGGTGAGAAAAGAAGAAGCTATAAGCACTCTAGAATCTGATCACATTCATGCTTCAGAACTGAATCAGAGTGATACGGAAATCAAAACTTTCAGGTTGCTTTTCAAGAAGCAGACTTTACTGGCTGGAATATATGGGCAGCCATAAATAACCGACCGTTATTACCATTCAGGTAAAAATAATAGACTTCTTACTGGTCTGTGTACTGAAAACAGAACTTTAAGCTCTGTTTAATATTTTTGCAGGTTTCAGAACCTAGGTGAGATGATGACTCTTGGAAGATATGATGCTGCTATATCGCCAAGTTTCATTGAAGGGCTTACACTTGAAGGTCCAATTGGCCACGCAGCAAGAAAACTGGCGTATTTGATTAGGCTACCAACTGATGAACACCGGTTTAAGGTCGGAATCAGTTGGTTTGCTAAATCTGCTGTTGATTCAATTGCTTTACTTCAGAGCAATCTAACCAAGGTTTTGTCTGGATCTTGATCTCTGTTTGTTTTGCTCTGGAGTATATATCGCTGCCGTATGAAAGACAAATGTGTCACTTTGTATACTTTATTGGAAAATCATTGTACGAAATTGATCTGAGACACAAAGATCATATCAAGGATAAGGAAGTTGGAAACAAAAGACTTCGTTGTTGGTTGTGTTGGTTAACTCGACCACAAATTTCAAAATTATTATGAGCCAAAAAGATAGGCTAAATCAGAACTGGGCTCAAATTTGAGCCCGGTTCTGAATTTGGTTATAAGATTTTGGGCCTAGACACAAACATCCTCACTCATATTTTTTGAAGATTTTTTGTTTCAATGTCTCCAATGTGAGATTTTTTCCCATTTGTTTCATTTATGTTGTTCTAGCAATCAACTTTAGACATTCATTTTTGACATAGGAATACACTATATTATAGTGCTCACGGCAAGGAATCCATCACTTTTATAATCCGATTATTCCATCATTTATAATCCGATTATTCCATCAAAATGATTTATCAAAAAGTTATCTGAAAAAGTAGTCTGGCACACTTGTTGAAAATGAGTTCCAACGATATGTTCATACACACATCCTCGTTATCTTCTTGAACATTTTAATAGTTTCCAATCATACATTTTCTTATGGGTTTTAGATAAATGATCATGTATAGTTATATATATGTAAAAAAAATCTAAATTGTACATATTTGATGATAAGTATAAGATTTCCAAACATACAATAGTTTGACACGCGTTGATATAATTTTTTTTACAGCTAATACAGTAAATTACAACTTGAAAGTTTCTTAATTATATGCAATTATATATAAAAAAAGTTTCCTTGTGAACATCATAATAATATTCAAAGATATGTTTTTAGCATGTATAAATCAGAAAGTATTAGTATTTAATAATATTCGACACGCGTCCATAGAAAAAAAATAGTTTGACCGCATTATTTTAGTAAAAAACATATTTGTTCCTTAACTTTAAACAGAAAATTAATGACAAATACAGAGTACCTAAATTTACTAAATATACTGTATTTTTTCTTTAATTTCTTATGATGTAATTTTTTTTTCAATTTTGTATATAAATACTTCTTGCTGGCTTGTGGTCTTATATACTCATCATCAGTGTTTCTTTTCAAAATACCATAGACGACAATCATCCTTATCCTCCATTTATTTGAGTTGTTTTTGTTACCTTGATCCGTAAGCTACCGTAAACCTTACTCTTATCGATTAACAAATTTTCTCCATACAATATCCTCTTTCGTTAACTTTTAGGTGTAAAAACTAAATCTTTAAATTCTTTATTTTTTTTGCAGTCATGGAAGCCGATGGTCAGAAATACTCTGTTCTTGCGAAAACAGATGTCCGTGAGAAGATGATGAAAGAAATCGAACAGATCTCGGAAGTCTTCTTGGTGTCAAAATCTGATGCAACCGTAATCCTAATCTGTCTCCGATGGAACTCGTTTAAGGCTTCCGATCTTCTTGGTGACAACAAGGAGAAGTTTCTGGCGAAGTTAGGGCTGGTTCGAGTTTTCGATTCCAACTCATCTTCTGCAGATCGTGAGACGACGATCCTTTCTGCTGGTGATGGAGATTACTTAGTCTCCACGCCCTTTTGCTCACACAAGTTTTCAACAACTTGCTGGAGTGAATATCTCAGCGATGCTCTGGAGAAGAACAAGGAGGAGAGAGGACTCATCTCTTGCCTTAACCAAGACTGTGTCGCCTCCGTTGGACCCGATACGATCGAAAAACTCACTGAGCCAGTGAAGGTGATGTACGAGAATTATGCTCTCGAATCATTCATGGAGTGCCATAAGGCAACGATCAAATGGTGTCCTGCATTGGGTTGTGAATACGCTATCGAGCTTCAGGAGGATGGTAATGAAAATGTGACTGTGATCTGTTTGTGCGGCCACACCTTCTGTTGGACATGCCGGCTTGAGTCACACCGACCGGTGTCTTGCAAAAAAGCATCAATTTGGTGGACGTACCTGTTGGATCAGTCAAGAAGCATTTCTTGGATCCATGCAAACACCAAACCTTGTCCCAATTGCAAGAGTCCTGTGCAGCAGAATGGTGATCCTGATTACAGGCTCATCACTTGTATCTGCAGGTTTGCTTCTTTTTTTTCCTTTCTATGCTTAGAAACATGTGCAAAAGATTAGATCTTTAAACTCATTCTTATTGTTGTGCATCAGTAATAGCTTCTGTTGGATCTGCTTGCGCACGGAGGAGGAGCATAATGGGAACTGGAATTGTGCTCCAGTCGCTGTTCCAGCTGCGGATCCTTCTACCGCTGAATTTTCGCACATTCTCCACCTGAATCTGTGGGAGGGAGGTCATGAAGCATTGGAGAAGGCTAAGTCCAAGCTGAGAGCCTTAGAGGAAAAAATCATTCCGAAACTAGTTGAGAATTGTGGATTGAGCGAGCTGGACATTAGGACAGTAAGAGAAGCAGGGATGCTTAGTGTTCAGTGCAGGCAGGTACTGAAATGGAGCTGTGTTTTTGACTACTTCATAACCGAGTACGAAAGCACGAAGAAGCAGTACACGAAACACCTCATAGGTCAAGCGATCGCAATGCTTTGTAAGCACGAAGGGAAGCTTGATGAGTCCATGAGTCGAGCCCTCTCAGGTGGAGATTTCACTTTCTTTAAGCACATGTTGGAAACCAGTACAACATGCACTGGTAACTACTTCGATGGATTCATCAAGGATCTGGAAGATGGTAAGCCGCCTGAAGTGAAGGCTGATGCATATGAGGATGGACAAAGCAGTCACTGGTTCTGCGATAGGTGCACGTTTGAGAACAGCTGTGTTGATAAACAGTGCAAGATGTGCTTTTTCCCTCTGGACTCTTCTCCTCCTCCTGAAGACCTTGGAAAATTGGAGTGAGAGTGAGTGATGAGTAAAGGACATGTCTCATCAGTGATTGATGCTGGTTTCGTTTTATGTTGGTGCTTCTCTTGTGTTGTTTTGGGTTTAAGAGTCTCCTTTGTTTCTCCTCTTATGTGTTGGATCATCATCCATCATATTGGTTTAAGAGTCTTGTTGCATTTGTCTTTTAAGTCTTTTGTTGTTGTCGTTGTTGTTGATTTTTGTTATTGTTTGTTTGTGTCTATGTTTGTGTTTCATTGTTATGATATTTTTTGTAACATGAAAATGCAAATACAAAACTCTGTTTTAAATCATGGGTTGGAATAAAAATGTCTATTGAAGAACAAAAAGTGAATTTCAACCATACATCAAAAGTATAAAAATATATTATTAGGAGAAAATAAATAAAAAAATCCGGTGGCTGAGAAAATTTAACGGTAATGTAATAACACTCTGCAACAGTATCTTTTTCCTCCACACTGACACATTTCGTCGACCACCTTTCGCTAATGTCAGTGAGCAAACTTCCTCATCTCTCCCATGGCGTTCACACTATCAACTTCCTCAATTTCACCAACGAACCAGTGTTTTTAAGTGTATTGCTCCCATGTCCCTCTCGGATTCGAGTATTCTCGACCATTTCCACCACCGGGATCGGCGGCGCTGGGGTCGCCAAGTGCCACGGAACGAGACATAGCGGCGCCGGTAGAAGTGATAATGGGTTGAGGAGTGGATTAGGTTTCGACGAGAGAGGAGAGAAAAAAGTGCGTTGTGAGGTTGATGTGATCTCTTGGAGAGAACGGAGGATAAGAGGCGAAATCTGGGTCGATTCTGATTCTCAATCCGTTTGGAATGTTCTTACTGATTATGAGCGACTTGCTGATTTCATACCCAATCTCGTTTGGAGGTACTTCACTCACTAATTCCCACTTTTTGTTCATTTTATATACATAATTCTTCTGAATAATCTCAAAAGATCCAATTTTGATGTAGTCTGGTTCATGCCATATAAATGGTTTATAGTGAATACAATGAATCTAATTCTCCAAGAGAATGCTGAATCTCCATGCGTAGTTACCTCACATTTGTTGAGTACTGTATATGTTATGAATATTGAATTGTTGAAGCTAACATGGCCTTGATGGTGATTGTTTCAACATCTAGTGGAAGAATTCCTTGTCCACATCCAGGACGTATATGGCTGGAGCAACGAGGCCTTCAAAGAGCGTTGTATTGGCATATTGAGGCTCGTGTTGTCCTTGATCTCCATGAGTGTCTAGATTCTGTGAGCACTTTTAAGCCTTTACTTTTTCTCTTGCTAAATGATTGGGTTTTAAGTCTAAAACCTGCAAACTCTTCCGGGTTCTGTGGTCTTTCTTTTATGCATATTTCAGCTTTTGATGAGAATCAAGAAGTTGCCTTTACACTGTATGATCTGTTAGTATGAGTAAATAGGATTTGCCTGCTTCCCACTTTCTCTAGATACTTATTAGTTCAAGAAAAAAACAATCATAGTGAGGTTTACTTATTAAAAAATCCATGGTTCTAATGAGTTCCCTTTCAGCCTGCTTTGCAGTCCTTGCATTGGGTATATTGCTTAGGATTAGTTAACCTTTACTCTGAGTTCTTATATTACATTGTTTCTCAATCCATACATGTCTATTAATATAGTTTTTCCTATTCTCGTATTAGCCAAATGGTCGTGAGCTTCACTTCTCTATGGTAGATGGCGATTTCAAAAAGTTTGAGGGAAAGTGGTCTGTGAAATCTGGTATCAGGTACACTCATTATTCCCGTAAAAAGTTTGTGTGCACATCCTATCATCATTGAAATCCTCTATAAATGTGTATCAGAGAAAATATTTCTTTAAACAATCTGTTATGCATTTCTAACCACGGATCATTTTGGAACCATCTATGTTCAGGTCCATAGGAACTGTCTTGTCATACGAAGTAAACGTAATCCCCAGATTTAACTTCCCTGCCATTTTCTTAGAGAGGATAATCAGATCAGATCTTCCTGTAAATCTCCGGGCCGTAGCTCGCCAAGCTGAGAAAATTTATAAAGATTGCGGAAAGCCGTCAATAATAGAAGATTTGTTGGGTAGAATATCTTCACAGCCAGCCCCTTCTCATGGTGTTGAGTTCGAAAGTCTTGCTACTGAGAGATCTGTTGCCTCCAGTGTTGGATCATTAGCTCATTCAAATGAATTGAACAACAATTGGGGAGTGTATGGAAAAGTCTGCAAGCTTGATAAACCTTGCACCGTGGATGAAGTTCATCTTCGTAGATTTGATGGTCTATTGGTAAGAAGTTTGGTTCAAAACTTACTCTATATACTACGGAAAAAAAAGTTTTCCCATCTTTTGTGGTTATTAGTCAGTGGTTTTTTCCTTGGATGAAGGAAAATGGAGGTGTTCACCGTTGCGCTGTTGCTAGTATAACAGTTAAGGCTCCTGTTTGTGAAGTTTGGAAAGTTCTAACTTCTTACGAGAGTCTTCCAGAGTAAGTACCGAACACATATATTATCATATTCGGGCTTCACTGTTCTGACCTTAAGGAGGATTTTCTTGTCAATCTTCTTTAGATGTTGGTTTTGTTGTCTTATATATATCTCTTTTTCTTCTGCGTTTTATTGGTTATGAACCTATCAGGATAGTTCCAAATTTGGCAATCAGCAAGATTTTGTCACGTGATAACAATAAGGTCCGAATACTTCAGGTATGAGCATTCTCATCTGCGGTAACCTTGTAATCAAATTTGGCAAGGACTAGAAATCATTCTACAAGTACTTGTATTGGGTACTAACACTGGAAAAAAATTATAAGAGATAGAATTTGGTTGCCAAAATATGACTCATAATTTGCTCTTTCATGATTCAGAAAGGCTCTGTATTTAGTCTGGTCTTGAAGATCGAAATTCTGACACTGGCCAAAGCCAATGTTTCTTATCTTGATTTCAAGAAATTATATAACTAAACTGAATTCTATTTGCAGGAAGGATGCAAAGGCCTGCTTTACATGGTGCTTCATGCGAGAGCTGTTCTCGATTTGCATGAGATTCGCGAGCAAGAAATCAGATTTGAGCAGGTTGAAGGAGACTTTGACTCGCTAGAGGGGAAATGGATTTTTGAACAATTAGGAAGTCACCACACACTTCTCAAGTATACCGTGGAGTCCAAAATGCGAAAAGATTCATTTCTTTCTGAAGCAATCATGGAAGAGGTTTGGTTAACAATTGAGTGTGTTCAGTGCCATCTTTTTTTTCTTATTGTAACCACAATGTTACTCTGAAACTTTTCAGGTTATATATGAAGATCTTCCGTCAAATTTATGCGCTATTCGGGATTACATTGAGAAAAGAGGAGAGAAATCTTCAGAGTCATGTAAACTGGAGACATGTGAAGTTTCAGAGGAAACATGTTCTTCATCTCGTGCCACAACAGTTGAGACACTTTACAATAATGATGATGGTTCGGACCAAACTAAGCAGAGACGGAGGATTCCCGGTCTGCAAAGAGACATTGAAGTATTGAAATCAGAGATTCTCAAGTTCATATCAGAACATGGACAAGAAGGATTCATGCCCATGAGGAAGCAGCTTCGGTTACATGGAAGAGTTGACATTGAAAAAGCCATTACAAGAATGGGTGGATTTAGGAGAATAGCTTTGATGATGAATCTTTCACTTGCTTATAAACACCGAAAACCGAAAGGATATTGGGACAATCTTGAAAACTTGCAGGAGGAGGTAAAGGTTCTAGACATGTTCACAAATTAAAACCATTGTCCAATGGTGTTTACAAGAGCTTCTCCCTCTGCATGTGTTTGCAGATAGGAAGATTTCAACAGAGTTGGGGAATGGATCCATCATTTATGCCGAGCAGAAAAACGTTCGAACGCGCAGGTACAAAGAGTAAACTCTATTTAAGCTTTGTGTGTTCCTCTCAATCAGCTTGGTCTAAGAAACATTTGGTCTGTCGTTTCAGGTCGTTATGACATTGCGCGGGCGCTGGAGAAATGGGGAGGATTACATGAAGTGTCTCGTCTTCTAGCATTGAACGTGAGACATCCGAACAGACAGGTAAATTCTCGTAAAGACAACGGTAACACGATACTGAGAACTGAATCTACCGAGGCCGATTTAAATTCAGCGGTTAATAAGAAAAATAAACCTTACGTCTCTCAAGATACAGAGAAATGGTTGTATAATCTTAAAGATCTTGATATCAATTGGGTTCAATATTAAAGCATTAATTATGTACAATATTTCACTATTTGTGTAGTCTTGTAATTCGCAAAGATAAACATGTATTTATGTAAATTGCAACATTAGATTGAAATAATCTTAATTCTTATAGATCTTGATCTCTTTTTATTGTTTCAGCTTTTTTTAGTGTTTATATTTAACTTTGAAAAGAAAAAAAGTGAGAGAGCACCGAACAATAAGGAGGATAATAGCAAGGAACAAAGAAGTAAAGGCAAGTCAATGAAATTTGATAGTGATGGTTTTAAGAAAAAACAAATGTCCCATCATTGTCTTTGTCTTCCCTCAATGTGAAATGAAATTACACGTAATTAGAAACAAACTTCTTTCTAGAAACCAAGTTTCAGAGGTCGTGACTCGTGACTGAAGAGAAAGGGTCAAGATGTTTGGATGTGAATTGTGATGTGAAAAGGGAAGAAAATCAAAATTCAAAAAGGGGAAAACAGTAAAAGATATAAAATACATGCATAAATCTAGAAATGAAAGGGGTTTAACATTGAAGGCAAATTATCAGAAAATCTTGAATCTTCCTACTCTATTGACTTATGATAATTGGGAGTTTGGGACCTTCCTCTAAATTTAGACAAACCCTCCAACAGCTAAAGAAACATGTAACAACATTTTTCTTTTTTACATATAGACTAATCAGGAGAAATGATAAAAATGTAGCTTTCAATTCAAGATCTACAAATAGTCAACAAAACCCATTTCACAAGAACTATCAAAGAAGATAGACAAAAAAAGAAGTAGAATTAAGAAAGAATGTGATATGTCGGTTGGGGGGAATGAAGCCTGGTCCGAGAATCATTTAGGGGTTTCATTCTTTAAAATGAATCAATCTAATGATCTTCTTCATGACCTCGAGCCAGACAACATTCCTCTCAACCCAAAACCAAAGGAGGATAACTTTATGTAAGTAGACAGAAGAAAGAAGAAGAAGAAGCTAAATAGGTGTATGTGTGAGACGAATCTTTATATATATAGGAGAGAGGAGCAAATGACCACGAGACCAAAATTTTCATATTTACTTCTCTTACATTAATTTAGTAAAATTTTGGGGGTTTTGGTTACTGTCATAATATAGTGTGTGTAGGGTTGCCTTATATAGAAGTTTACAGTGAAATCCAGAGTTGTAAAGATAAAAGTAAAACATACTCCATTTGTACATTCAAACTTCATTTGTCTTTAGTTGTTTCTTAAAATTCCTTCTTTTCCGAGAGGTCAACAGTAGTTTAATCTCTCTACATTTTGTTGGTTAATTGGTTCTCTACTTTAACAAAAAGAAATTGTATGGTAAACGAGATCCATAAATCCTAAAATATATCTATACTAATAATACATAGACAAGACATGTAACATAATTGTTTTGTTACAACACATATTGCATCTTCATTCCTTAGCTACTGTTCATAATCATAACAAGTACTGTTATAAAATCTTAAAAGTGTAACTTTGAGTTAATTGGAGACAAGTACCATGGTTTCTAACTTTCTATCTCATTATTGCCTTATTATTTCTTTTGGATCTCTCTCAATGAACTCCTACTTTTTCTGTTCTTTTTATTCTAAATTATAATAAGAATTCTAATTGTACACAAGTATATATTCAAAAATATGTTTCATTTAACTTGTACTATATCTATATGTGTGTTATATCTTTATATATATATATGGGTGCATTGGCTTATATAGGTGGTTTATGACGACTTCACGAACATATGCATTGATTGTTGTGAAAATGACAAAACATTGTTTTGGTCTTTACCTCGGTACGTCCAAATTTTTCCTATACTAGATCGCTTTTTAAATTTTACATACAAGACTATTTAAAAATTCAACCATAAAACATTTTTTTTGTCTTTATTATTGGTCAACATACCATTTGGATTTCTTTTTTTTTATTTAAGTTTACTAAGTATATAGTAAAGTTATAATTTAGCTATAGCTGGACAACAAAGTGAGACAGACAACGTTGGAAAAAATTGATAAGACCACATAAAAATAAGAAGGATAATGGGAAAGAGCAAATAAAAGGCACGTAAAAGATATTTGACAGTGACGGTTTTAAGAAAATTAAAGTCTCGTCGTTGTCTTCAATATGAAATGAAATTACACGTAATTAGAAACAATCTTCTTTCTGTGTTTTAGATTATTACAGAAACCAAGTTTCAGAGATCTTCTTGACTCGTGACGGAGAAAGAGAGAGAGCGTTAAGATGTGAACTGTGACGTAAAAAGCGAAGAAGAAAAAGATATATAGAATTCAATCTTGAAAAGCATGCATAAACCCAAAAAAGAAAAGGGTATGATATTGAAGTAAAATATCATTCAATCTTGAATATCTCTAATTTTCTCAGTTTCTATTTATACATATATATAGAGCTCTATAATATGATTACTAAACAAAACCAAAAAACTATAGAAACATATAAACAACGACAGTTTCCTTTCTCATGTAGTCATGTAGAATTAATCTAATAACAAGATCAAAACTTATCTCGCTCGCAAGATAGATCAAATATGAAACTAAGACAAAAAAAAAACTAAAGGAAGAAAGTGGGCAAAAAGCGATATATAAGTCGGTTAGGGGGAATGAAGCCTGGTCCGAGAATCATTTAGAGTTTCTCAATTCGTTCTTCCAAATTAATTCGAGTGATCCTCTTCTTCATGACCTCGAGCCAGACAACATTCCTCTCAACCCTATATCGCACCACAATAATTAAATCAACACTAGAACGTTATCAAGAAGAGAAAAGAGACCACACAGTCAAAGGAAATGTGAATGTGATGATAATTTATGTAAGAAGAAAGACGAAAAGAAAAGAGACCAAAGTTAAAGATAATGTGAATGTGATGAAACTTTTTGTAAGAAAAAGAGAAAGAAAGGTATGTGTGCATGAGACAAAATAAATCCAGGTCTTGTATATATATAAAGAAAGAGAGAGGAATACAAATGACCATAACCCCAAGAGTTTTCTTGATTTTTTTTTTTGTCTTTTATTACTTCTCTTACATTAGTTTACTAATTAGTATGCAAAATGTCGGACTGTAATATGGCAATTGAATTTTGGTATAGAGTTTATGTTGGTATGAAACTTTTGGGAAGTGTAATGAAAAAATGCGGACCGACAATGAATTTATGATGGTATGGAGAAGTATGCTCAAGTGCATACTAGTATGGAGATTTTTAGTATGCACTCAGTGCATACTAGTCCGAAATAGTGAATGGTGCATTAAGTGCGCACTGATCCGATTTTAGTCCAGTATGCAACATACTATACAACCATTCAAAGCCTAACTATATGGTTACCTAAAAAACAGAGTCACACAACCAATTGCCTGATTTGGGTGTGAAATGTACAAAAACAAAGTTGAAGGCGAATTTGAAAAATAGAAAAAAGTACTGGAAGGACCGATTTTCCAAAAAGCTTGTCATTCTAGAGACTTTCAATAACGGGAAGACGTAGCATTCTTGCTATCCATCAGTTTCTTCTTCCTTCTTCTTCTTGATCATCATATGTGATTCCATTTACAAGTTCAATGAAAAATCCAATCTCTTTTCAAACGGAAGAAGAAGAAGAATCCATTTTAACCATCTAAATTCATCTCCTTTTATCACATTTCCTTTTGATTTCTACAAGTGAAAATGTTGACTAGAGCCATCGGACGAGTTCGAATTCCTGTGTCGAGGATTCAGGGATCGAATAATTCGAGTGGGTTTTTAAAAGATTCGAAATTGGGTCCGATTGGTGTTTCCTGTAGAAGATGGTTATCGATCGAGAGCGGGAAACGCTTTGCGGCGATGTGGGGAAGTGGAGATTACGGCAGATTAGGGCTCGGAAACTTGGATTCTCAGTGGACACCTGCCGTTTGCTCTGCCTTGAGTGATCACAGTATCAGAGCTGTCGCTTGCGGCGGAGCTCACACTCTGTTTCTCACCGGTGATTTCTTCATCTCCTGACTTGCTTTATGATTTTTATTTGGTGACTATCCGGAACTTTGAAACCGTAAGACGTTGCAATGTGATTTGGTATGTGAGTAATAAAAGTAGAGGGAGAAGAATTGTGTTGACTGTTGAGCTGAGAAATGCGGAGAATTGGCATCTCAACGACTTTGCTGAGATTGAGTCATTCGCAGCTATGATCTTGATGGTTCTAGCTGCAAATAATCTGTATTAGAGTAGTCTTCGTTGGATAGCATTTCTTGGCTTTGTTTAATTGGGCATGTTGTTGTTGAGTTGGGTTTTTGTAAAGTTATCATCTTTGAATCAATGATTGGTTTTGAAGAATTTCAGCAGTATCTGATTGTCAGCTTACACATGTGACAGAAACGAGGAGAGTCTTTGCTACGGGTCTTAATGATTGTGGTCAACTTGGCGTATCAGATGTTAAAAGTCATGCTATGGTATGTTAGTAATCGGTAGGTTGGTCAAAACACTATAGGAGTGCTGGCTTTTTTGCCTATTTGTTCCAGTCTTCACATGTCTTTATCTCAGATAATTCGATTATAAATGATGTTTTTGAATGTTGTTATAGGACCCACTTGAAGTTTCTGGACTAGATAAGGATATTCTGCACATCTCAGCTGGTTATTATCACTCCGCTGCTATTACAGGTAAACAACCAGTAACCACAATGATCTTCTTAAATTGTCATGACCTGAACCTGAAACATGATCTTCTTGATATAGTATGTCACTCATATTTGCTCTCTTTAATTTCATTAGTTGATGGAGAACTCTACATGTGGGGAAAGAACTCAAGTGGACAGCTTGGACTGGGAAAAAGTAGATACCTTTTCCATTCAATCATTTATGCACTGTTCTTCATGTCCTCATACATAAAGTTTCTTGCTCTATTTACATGTTCTTTTCCTTTCTACATTTTTTCTTATGAAGAGGCTGCAAGAGTGGTACGTGTACCAACTAAAGTGCAAGCTCTGCATGGAATCACCATACAATCCGTGGCTTTGGGTTCAGAGCATTCAGTTGCTGTTACTGGTTTGGATCCTAGATTCTTATCTGGATACAGAAGAAAAAACCTTTTTGTTTAAGTACTCGGAGAAAGCTAAGGGTATCTTTTTCTTAAGCAGATGGAGGTGAAGTCCTGAGTTGGGGAGGAGGGGGCTCTGGAAGACTTGGCCACGGTCACCAGTCCAGTCTTTTTGGCATCTTAAGAAGTAACAGGTTGGTCTGTTTTGTCTCTTTTTCATGCATTTTTTACTGACAAGAATTTTCCCATTTCCTCCTTTACTATATCATGATTCCTTCATAATTTTCTTGTATTGCGCTGTAAAGTATCCCCCTGATTGCAGTGAGTTTACTCCAAGGCTTATCAAGGAACTTGAGGGGATCAAGGTATCTAGTGGTGAAGAATATCCACCTTGAAGAGTTTCTAGTTACCTAGTGGTGGTTTTAATCTTTAGACTTTCATGCTTATGTTTTCCTGTTCTTTCTGTCGAGCACTAGGTTAAAAATGTTGCTGCTGGTCTGCTGCATTCAGCATGCACTGATGGTATTGATTTAATTTCTTAAAAGTATGAATATTGTGCCATTTACCGACTATATGAGGCTTGTTTGCAAATAATGCAGAGAATGGCTCTGCTTTCATGTTCGGAGAGAGATCTATAAACAAGATGGTAACAAAATGTCTTTTTCCTTGATTCTGTGGTCATATATAGTTATGTAAAGCTATCTAATGGGAAAATACAGGGCTTCGGAGGAGTAAGAAATGCCACAACACCATCGATTATCAGTGAAGTACCCTATGCAGAAGAAGTTGCTTGTGGTGGCTACCATACATGTGTTGTTACAAGTAATACTCTTTATTATTTAAAGCTTTTTTTGTTATTGAGTTCGCTTGTGTATACTGCAAATGCCTGTCCTGCTCAAATTTCTTTTTGTTGTTCTTTATAGAGGCACAAAACTACTTTTTAGTTTCTTCTGCTAAATATATGAACATATTGTCTTTGTAAGATGGACTATAGCAACTCATCCTTTGTTGTTTCCTTCGTTTTTTCAAGGAGGTGGGGAGCTTTACACCTGGGGATCAAACGAAAATGGGTGCCTTGGAACAGAGTAAGTTATATACCCCGAAAAATTAGAATGTTTCCCCAGAAGATCTGAAAACAAGGTTCTTGCACTGTACCTATACTCTTATTTCAAAATTTTCAGTTCAACATATGTCTCACACTCACCTGTGAGAGTTGAAGGTCCTTTCTTGGAGTCTACTGTATCTCAGGTATCTTGTGGGTGGAAGCACACTGCAGCTATTTCAGGTAGCATCTCTTTTAAGTAAAACATATTTGTGTCCTTTCTCATTGTGCAAGTTATTCAACTCAATTTCTGAAATTTGTTTGCAGATAACAAGGTCTTCACCTGGGGCTGGGGAGGCTCTCACGGCACATTCTCTGTTGATGGACATTCCTCTGGTGGACAATTGGTTTGTTTCATCATCTTATCTTATTGATCAAATCTCTGAAACAACATTACTCTGACAAATTTAACTTCTTATGAGAAGGCGAAATCATTTCAATTAGTTTTTCCAAGTCTCGAAGAGAATAAATATGGTATGTTCAATATGTAGGGCCATGGTAGTGATGTAGACTATGCAAGACCAGCAATGGTGGACTTGGGAAAGAATGTAGGAGCAGTGCATATATCTTGTGGCTTCAATCATACAGCAGCAGTTCTTGAACATTTTTGAAGACTCAGTCTCAATTTCATACCATATACAGATGTTTTGTTAAAATTCTTGCTTAAACTTGAGTGAGGAGATTGTACATCGGTTCAACTCTATAGAAAGAACCTTGTGGAACTGGTTTTGTAAGAATGACCGAAAGGATAATATATACAGAAGAAGAAGACGAATAAAAGTGCAAATTCAACACTGATATTCTAACATTTCTTGTCAAATGAGTCTGTTACTTTGAACAGCAAAACATTGAATTCTGTAAATCCTTAATACAAAAGCTTGAACACAAATGTGGAGAGATTGAAAACATCAACACTTGTCTCCTTTATTCCAATTCAAAAACTTCAACGAATGAATCTGTTTTCTCCGTACTATCTCTCACACTCACAATGATCACAATGCATCAGCAGAACAGCCTAAAGCATTGCCCTTGTTTTTTTTTTCGTTATTGTCAACAAAAGAAGAAGAGAAGTATTAAGCATATGAAAGAGATGAATCAATAATCCCTTAAGCTGCCGACTCTTTAGCGATCTTCTCTGCCTTTGCAACCACCTCATCGATACCTCCAACCATGTAAAACGATTGTTCGGAAAGATCATCGTACTTGCCATCCAACAAACCCTGAAACAAACACAAGATGATTTGGGTCAGTTACTCTACATATTCCATTTGATAACAACAAATCTATCTATGGCAGAGTCATCTAGACATAGACATCACAAAGGAGTCTTCTATACTGAAAGCCAGTTGTAGCTCAACTTCAAATCCACAGACATGTTAAGGGAGCATTGAAAGCTTTTAGGAACTCTCAGCAAAATGTTTCAAAATCATATGATTATAGCAAAAACTTGTTGTGTATCAAAATTGTTGTGTGTATCATACCTGGAAACTGTTGATGTTTTCTTTAAGGTCGACATATTTTCCAGGGGCACCAGTGAAGATTTCAGCAACATGGAATGGCTGACTCAAGAATCTCTGGATCTTACGGGCACGGGCAACAGTCAGCTTGTCATCTTCACTTAGCTCATCCATACCCAAAATGGCGATAATATCTTGCAAGTTCTTGTAGTTCTGTAGCACTTTTTGCACACCACGAGCAGTGTTGTAGTGCTCCTCACCAAGAATGTGGGGCGAGAGCATACGGGACGTCGAATCCAAAGGATCCACAGCAGGGTAGATACCAAGCTCAGAAATCTTCACATGGAAGAGAAAAAGTATAAAGATGACAGATTTATGAAGCATTACAAGAAATGCAGAACTATATTGAAAAGAAGCATCAGAAGGAGAAAGTTCACACCTGTCTTGAAAGCACAGTTGTGGCGTCCAAGTGAGCAAAAGTTGTGGCAGGAGCAGGATCTGTCAAATCATCAGCAGGGACATAGATGGCTTGGACTGAGGTAATTGAACCTTTCTTGGTGGTAGTGATTCGCTCTTGAAGAGCACCAAGATCGGAAGCCAGAGTTGGCTGGTAACCCACAGCAGACGGGATACGACCCAGCAAAGCAGACACTTCAGAGTTGGCCTACACAAGAGAGTATTTTAGCTCATGCTTATGGCACAAAGGTGCTGAAAATATAGATCAAAATAAGGCTCACCTGGGTGAAACGGAAGATGTTGTCAATGAAAAGCAAGACATCCTGGCCTTCAGCATCACGGAAATACTCGGCAACAGTCAAACCAGTCAGTCCAACACGAGCACGGGCACCCGGGGGCTCATTCATTTGTCCATACACTAGAGCACACTTGCTCTCGGACTGTTAAGACAAGAAAAATGAAAGAATTGAGGAACAAATATCAGTTAAATTCCATTTGCAGGAAAAACAAAGGTGAAGACTAATCCAACAGAATTGAAAACCTGCTTCTCGCCTAGCTTGATGACACCACTCTCAATCATTTCTCTGTACAAGTCATTGCCTTCACGGGTTCGTTCTCCCACACCAGCAAACACAGAGAAACCACCTGTTCAACAGAAAAAGAACTCATTAATAAATTGAAACAGATACTAACACGATTAGGAGAACTTGTGCTAAACAGACCATGAGCTTTTGCAACATTGTTGATCAGTTCCATAATAAGCACAGTTTTCCCAACACCAGCTCCGCCAAAGAGACCAATCTTTCCTCCTCTTTGGTAAGGAGCAAGAAGATCAACAACCTGAAAAGAAAAACAACAATTATATCCTGGCAACACGAAAGACAACACATGTGACCTGTGGAAACAGTGCGAAGCTAGGACCCAGAACCTACCTTAATACCAGTGGCCAGGATCTCTTGCCCAGTAGCTAGATCAACCAAAGCCGGTGCATCTCTGTGAATAGGTAAGTAGTGTTCGGTCTCTGAACAACAGCAAGAACATATTGTCATGACAAGTTTGCAGAATGTGAGACATAATTAAGTGTGGCTAAGACTTCTTACTAATTTCGCCCCTCTCGTCAATGGGTTCTCCAAGAACATTCATGATACGTCCAAGGGTCGCTCTTCCAACAGGCACCTAAAAAGGTGAAAACAAGCAAAATGTCATATTTTTGTCATCCCAACGTAGACACCTGGAAGAATATTAAGAGCAGTATCAAATAAATGATTGGTCATCCAAAATCACGAAATCATCTGCACATAGAGGAGTTCTTTGGAAATGAACAAACTTTTGACGGAAAAAAAGAGTAATTGGGCAAAGTCAACGTTGAGGATAAGGAAAACACGAACAGAGACCGGCGAGACTAGGCCAAATCCAATCAACGAATTCACAGATCTATATTCAATAATGGCTAATTTTACGGATCATAGACCCAAAATGAAGGATCTATACAGAGACACTACTTACAGTGATTGGAGCACCAGTGTTGAGAACTTTCCTTCCACGGACAAGACCCTCAGTACCATCCATAGCAATGGTCCTGACGACATTTTGACCCAAGTGATGAGACACCTCAAGCACCAGCCTTGTGGGATGATCCTGCACCTCGAGAGATGTCATGATCGGAGGCAATCCTTCCTGATCCTCGAATCTCACATCAACAATGGCACCGATGACCTGGCAAACACGCCCGATCGCACCTTTGCCACCGTAATCATAGGTCTTCTTCCCCTCATCCTTAGCAGGAGCAGAAGACGGCGCAGCTGAGCTTGCCGGTGAAGAGGTCGCGTACTCGGCGACGCGGCCGAGGAGGTAGCTACATGGAGCGGCGTGACGCGCGGGTGAAGGAGAAGGAAGCCTGGGGTTACGGTTGCCTAATTTGGAAGCAGATCTGCCGGAAGATGAACGGAGAAGAGATGATAAAACTCTCCGAGTCGCCATGAGTGGGTGTGTGTGTGTGGAAGAGGAAATGTTAGCTAGGGTAACTCAGCACCTGATTCTAAGCTCAAACTTTCCAAAGTTTGGTGGGTTCAGATAATGGGCTTATTTTGAACAAACAAAAAATATTATGGGCTTATTCATCTGGGCCTATATCATAATAGATTTAGAAACATGCAAGAAAACTAAAGGATACAAAATATGAGATTGACCTTTGGCTTTTTGGGGATCTGTTGAGCTTTTAGTTAACAAAAATATATTTTGGGAGGTCAAAGTTTGATTAAGCCAAACAAAAATAGTTTTTGGTGGTTTTAAATTTTTGCAAGTTGCTCTTTTAGTTATCTTAAAAAGTACAAAGAAAAAAAAAAATATATATATATATATATATATATATATAATTTCTACGCACAATCAAAATATTAAAATGATATAATATATCAGGAGGTCAAAATGATGGTATTATGCAACACATTTGATCCTGAGCAATGTAGTGCTGCAGTTGTACTTGTAGATGCAATATTTCAATATCGAGAGACATAATCGAATTATAGGATGCTAGATTGCTTGTCTTTTCTGACATAGATTTTATTAAATATCTTGGCGTACTGCATTCTCTGAAACAAAGAGCCAAAGATCAAGAAATCATAATCTGCAAGACTTGCTTAACCTTTATTTCAACAAGTCAAGGAAGTAAATGAACCAAAAATCTGAGTACAAGGGAATGAAGGATATGTTCAGCATCATCTCGTAGCTCTCAAGGAATCCGAACCGAAAGAAACTATAAATACGGAACTCAAATTCCGCTTGGTGGGGGTAACTCACAGGCAGTGGTTTTTTTTTTCGTTATTGTCACAAGAAACAGACAAGTATTAAGCATATGAAAGAGATGTATCCAGCTTCTAAGCTGCTGACTCTTTAGCGATCTTCTCTGCCTTTGCAACCACCTCATCGATACCTCCAACCATGTAAAACGATTGTTCGGAAAGATCATCATACTTGCCATCCAACAAACCCTGAAACAAACACAAGATGATTTGGGTCAGTTACTCTACATATTCCATTTGATAACAACAAATCTATCTATGGCAGAGTCATCTAGACATAGACATCACAAAGGAGTCTTCTATACTGAAAGCCAGTTGTAGCTCAACTTCAAATCCACAGACATGTTAAGGGAGCATTGAAAGCTTTCAGGAACTCACAGTAAAATGTTTCAAAATCATATGATTATAGCAAAAACTTGTTGTGTATAAAAATTGTTGGGTGTATCATACCTGGAAACTGTTGATGTTTTCTTTAAGGTCGACATATTTTCCAGGGGCACCAGTGAAGATTTCAGCAACATGGAATGGCTGACTCAAGAATCTCTGGATATTACGGGCACGGGCAACAGTCAGCTTGTCATCTTCACTTAGCTCATCCATTCCCAAAATGGCGATAATATCTTGCAAATTCTTGTAGTTTTGTAGCACTTTTTGTACACCACGAGCTGTGTTGTAGTGCTCCTCACCAAGAATGTGGGGCGAGAGCATACGGGACGTCGAATCCAAAGGATCCACAGCAGGATAGATACCAAGCTCAGAAATCTACACATAGGAAAGAAAAAGTATAAAGATGACAGCTTAATGAAGTACTACAAGAAATGCAGAACTATATCGAAAAGTAACATCAGAAGGAGAAAGTTCACACCTGTCTTGAAAGCACAGTTGTGGCGTCCAAGTGAGCAAAAGTTGTGGCAGGAGCAGGATCTGTCAAATCATCAGCAGGGACATAGATGGCTTGGACTGAGGTAATTGAACCTTTCTTGGTGGTAGTGATTCGCTCTTGAAGAGCACCAAGATCGGAAGCCAGAGTTGGCTGGTAACCCACAGCAGACGGGATTCGGCCGAGCAAAGCAGACACTTCAGAGTTGGCCTACACAAGAGAGTGTTTTAGCTCATGCTTATGGCACAAAGGTGCTGAAATATAGACCAAAATAAGACTCACCTGGGTGAAACGGAAAATGTTGTCAATGAAAAGCAAGACATCTTGACCTTCAGCATCACGGAAATACTCAGCAACAGTCAAACCAGTCAGTCCAACACGGGCACGAGCACCCGGGGGCTCATTCATTTGTCCATACACTAGGGCACATTTGCTCTCAGACTGTTAAGACAAGAAAAATGAAAGCAACAAAAACCAGTTATATGCCATTTGAAGGAAAAACAAAGGTGAAGACTAATCCAAATTAATTGAAAACCTGTTTCTCGCCTAGCTTGATGACACCACTCTCAATCATTTCTCTGTACAAGTCATTGCCTTCACGGGTTCGTTCTCCCACGCCAGCAAACACGGAGAAACCACCTATTCATCACAAGAAGCACCAGTTAATATGTTGAAATTTTTTGGAACACCATTGGGCATACTACTTAAAATTACCCTGAGAGTACATACCATGAGCTTTGGCAACATTGTTGATTAGTTCCATAATGAGCACTGTTTTCCCAACGCCAGCACCGCCAAAAAGCCCAATCTTTCCTCCTCTTTGGTAAGGAGCAAGGAGATCAACAACCTAATAAATATAGAGAACGCAACAAACGTCAGCTCAGAACACGAAAGACTACACGTGTAACTTGTGGAAACAGCGCAGAGGTAGGAAGAGGATCTACCTTAATACCAGTAGCAAGAATCTCTTGACCGGTGGCCAAATCAACCAAAGCTGGAGCGTCTCTGTGAATGGGTAAGTAATGCTCGGTCTCTGTTGGAGCATTCAAAAGCCACAAACAGCAAGACTTAATTTTCATGACAGGTCCATCGAACATGAGACATTATTTAAATATGGCTTAGACTTCTTACTAATTTCGCCTCTCTCGTCAATGGGTTCGCCAAGAACATTCATGATACGTCCAAGGGTGGCCCTTCCAACAGGAACCTGAGGAGACAGATAAATTCACCACAACATAAGACATGAATCAATCGGAAAGAAAGAGACTTTAGAGAAAAGGAAACTTTGAACAAAGTCAACGATAAAATTAGGACAAGAAACTATAGAAACCAATCCAATTGAGTTGCCATAAACATATCCTCAGATCTAGACTAAGAAATGAAATGGCAAAAATGTCCCAACTTGAGCCCTGATCCCGGATCGACGAGACTTTTACCAGAAAACTCACAAAGACATAAACTACTTACAGTGATTGGAGCGCCGGTATTGAGAACTTTCCTTCCACGGACGAGACCCTCAGTACCATCCATAGCAATGGTCCTAACGACATTTTGACCCAAGTGATGAGACACCTCAAGTACAAGCCTTGTGGGATGATCCTGGACCTCGAGAGATGTCATGATCGGAGGCAATCCCTCCTGATCTTCGAATCTAACATCAACAATGGCACCAATAACCTGACAAACACGCCCGATCGCGCCTTTTCCACCGTAATCATAAGTCTTCTTCCCCTCATCCTTAGCAGGAGCAGACGATGGCGCAGCTGAATTAGCCGGAGAAGAAGTCGAATACTCAGCGACTCGGCCAAGGAGAGTCCCACATGGAGCGGCTCGATGAGCGGGACCTGGTGATGGAAGTCTCGGATTTCGGCTCCCGATCAAGGAGGATTTAGAAGTAGATCTACCGGAAGAAGAACGGAGAAGCGATGATAAGATTCGCCGACTCGCCATGACTGTGAAACAGAGAAAGCTAGATAGAGAAAAAAGGGGCTACTAGGGTTATCAAATGAATATGTTCTCTCTTCTCTTCTCTCTATATAACTCTCCTCGATTCAGTAGCGTAGACCACTTCTTCTGCGTAACGTGTTTTGTTCTCACTGCGACACGTGTGATTTTCCGATTCTGTTCCATATCAGGCCGTTGATTGGAGAAGGAAATAATCAAAACGTTGATCTTTTATATAAATCCAACCAAACCAAACCGATGCAATAAATTTGGAAATGTCGGACAACAACAAAACAAGATGTACACTAGAGCTACTAATAATAAGTTGTCGACAAACAACAAAAACTAACCATTTTCTCATCTTCATCATACATATATATATATGTAAACTATATGTGGAATGTGGTTAATGTAATTATTTTGTTAATCAAACGATGTTCCCAACATTTGAACGTTTGGTTATACATACGAAAATCCAGATAGATTTGTAACGTGAATTGTTTGTATTATGTCGGATTAACAGTGGTCTTTTCAAAGGTTTTGCTACTGATACGACTTTTTATCACCAAAAATATATGTGTTTAGCATGATCTACCAATCAAACTTTGACCTCCCAAGAGGCCAGACATACCTTTGTTAATTTTATGGATCCCCAAGGGTCAGTCATCTTCTTCATTAGGTCTTAGTCCTTTGGTGCATATGTTTCTATGGATAAAATAGGCCCAAATAAGCCCATTATCTAAGCCCACCAAACAGAGAGAGTGGAGCTTAGTTTCGGCAATCAGCATATGTTGTGTTACCCTAGCATTTCCTCTCTCTTTCTCTCTCAAACACACACCCACTCATGGCGTCTCGGAGAGTCTTATCATCGCTTCTCCGTTCATCTTCCGGTAGATCTACCGCCAAATTAGGCAACCGTAACCCTAGGCTTCTTTCTCCTTCACCTGCGCGTCACGCCGCTCCATGTAGTTACCTCCTCGGCCGTGTCGCCGAGTACGCGACCTCTTCACCGGCAAGCTCAGCTGCGCCATCTTCTGCTCCTGCTAAGGATGAGGGAAAGAAGACCTATGATTACGGAGGCAAAGGTGCGATCGGGCGTGTTTGCCAGGTCATCGGTGCCATTGTCGATGTTAGATTCGAGGATCAGGAAGGTTTGCCTCCGATCATGACATCTCTCGAGGTGCAGGATCACCCCACAAGGCTGGTGCTTGAGGTGTCTCACCATTTGGGTCAAAATGTCGTCAGGACCATTGCTATGGATGGTACTGAGGGTCTTGTCCGTGGAAGGAAAGTTCTCAACACTGGTGCTCCAATCACTGTAAGTAGTTTCTCTGTATAGATCCTTCATTTTGGGTCTATGATCCGTAACATCAGCCATTATTGAGTATAGATCTGTGAATTCGTTGATTTGATTTGGCCTAGTCTCGCCGGTCTCTGTTCGTGTTTTCCTTATCCTCAACGTTGACTTTTCCCATTCACTCCTTTTTTCGTCAAAAGTCTATTCATTTCCAAGGAACTCTACGTCCAGATGATTTCGTGAATTTGAAAAACTAATCATTTCCTTGATACTTTAATCTGAATAAGTTCTCACTGTTAAGGTACCTGTTGGAAGAGCTACTCTTGGACGTATCATGAATGTTCTTGGAGAACCCATCGACGAGAGAGGCGAAATTAGTAAGAAGTCTTAGCCACACCCACGCTTAATTAATGTCTCACATTATGCAAACTTGTCATGACAATATGTTCTTGCTGTTGCTCAGAGACCGAACATTACTTACCTATTCACAGAGATGCTCCGGCTTTGGTTGATCTAGCTACTGGGCAAGAGATCCTGGCCACTGGTATTAAGGTAGATTCCTAGCTCTGCACTGTTTCCACAGGTCACATGTGTTGTTTTCTTATTCCGAGGTGATTCTTAATTTTGCTTTTCAGGTTGTTGATCTTCTTGCTCCTTACCAAAGAGGAGGAAAGATTGGTCTCTTTGGCGGTGCTGGTGTTGGGAAAACTGTGCTTATTATGGAGCTAATCAACAATGTTGCAAAAGCTCATGGTCTGTTTAGCACAAGTAGTTCTGATCGTGTTAGTATCTGTTTCAATTTATTAATGGGTGCGTTTTCTGTTGAACAGGTGGTTTCTCTGTGTTTGCTGGTGTGGGAGAACGAACCCGTGAAGGCAATGACTTGTACAGAGAAATGATTGAGAGTGGTGTCATCAAGCTAGGCGAGAAGCAGGTTTTCAATTAATTTTGATTACTCTTCACCTTGCTTTCTCTGAAAACGGGATTTGATTTAATATGTTACTCCATTCTCTTTGTTTTCCTGTCTTAACAGTCTGAGAGCAAGTGTGCTCTAGTGTACGGACAAATGAATGAGCCCCCGGGTGCCCGTGCCCGTGTTGGACTGACTGGTTTGACTGTTGCCGAGTATTTCCGTGATGCCGAAGGCCAAGACGTCTTGCTTTTCATAGACAACATTTTCCGTTTCACTCAGGTGAGCCTTGTTCCTAGCTTTGTCTATTACTCTGCCCCTGTGTGCCATATATGCATGAAGAGATTGTAAATTTAACTTGGTATACTTTTTGTGTAGGCCAACTCTGAAGTGTCTGCTTTGCTCGGTCGTATCCCGTCTGCTGTGGGTTACCAGCCAACTCTGGCCTCCGATCTTGGTGCTCTTCAAGAGAGAATTACTACCACCAAGAAAGGGTCTATCACCTCAGTCCAAGCCATCTATGTACCTGCTGATGATTTGACTGATCCTGCTCCTGCTACAACTTTTGCTCACTTGGACGCCACAACTGTGCTTTCAAGACAGGTGTGAATTTGTGTCTTTTTGATGCTTCTTTCAATAAACTTGTGTGTAAATCTCATAGAGGTGACATCTAGATACTTGTATTTTTTTAATGTGAAGATTTCTGAGCTTGGTATCTACCCTGCTGTGGATCCTTTGGATTCAACATCCCGTATGCTGTCACCTCACATTCTGGGAGAGGAGCACTACAACACGGCTCGTGGCGTGCAGAAAGTGCTACAGAACTACAAGAACTTGCAAGATATTATTGCCATTTTGGGAATGGATGAGCTAAGTGAAGATGACAAGTTGACTGTTGCCCGTGCCCGTAAGATCCAGAGATTCTTGAGTCAGCCATTCCACGTTGCTGAGATCTTCACTGGTGCCCCTGGAAAATATGTCGACCTTAAGGAAAACATCAACAGTTTCCAGGTATGATACGCACAACAAGTTTTTGCTATAATCATATGATTTTGAAACATTTTGGTGTGAGTTCCTAAAAGCTTTCAATGCTCCCTTAACATATCTGTGGATTTGAAGTTGAGCTACAACTGGCTTTCAGTAAAGAAGACTCTTTTGTGATGTCTATGTCTAGATGACTCTGCAATAGATAGATTTGTTGTTATCAAATGGAATATGTTGAGTAACTGACCCAAATCATCTTGTGTTTGTTGCAGGGTTTGTTGGATGGCAAGTACGATGATCTTTCCGAACAATCGTTTTACATGGTTGGAGGTATAGATGAGGTGGTTGCAAAGGCAGAGAAGATCGCTAAAGAGTCAGCAGCTTAAGGGATTGATTCAGCTCTTTCATGCTTAATACTTCTCTTATTTTTCTGACAATAACGAAAAAAAACCAATGCCTGCAACTCCCCGACCAAACGGAATCTGAGTTCCGTAATTATAGTTTCTTTTGGTTCAAATTCCATGAGAGCTGGCAAGATGATACTGAAAAAATCCATTCACTGTTACTCAATTTTTTGGTTGTTTTGCTTCCTTGTTGAAATAAAGATTAAAAATCTTGCAGATTCTAATTGCAATGTATGTTTAAGAATTTATGATGTCAGTCTCTTTTGTTATTTTGTTTCAGAGAAAGGTGTGCAAGTGTTGGTATGATGATCATCATCATCATTTACCCATCGCAAGTAATATAACATCCCATTCCTGAAAATGTATCACTATATTGAAATATTGCAAATGATCTAACAACATTACGTCACATGACAGCTCCTTCCATACCCTTTCTTTTATGCTCTTATATACAACCAAACATGTATGAATCAGAAGCCGGTTTTGTGCATTGGCCTCACCAGAGGCCATAAAACACACAACTCTCCATTAGAAGCTCAAGCTACCTTCTTTTAACAATGTTTTATAATCTCTTGGCACATCGACCCGATCTATCACATCCAACACTTTTTCCTTGTCAATAGCAAAGTCAAGAAGCGGAAAACCCAAAGAATACCGCTTCACTGCAGCTGATTTGCTTCTTCTCACTCCACGAAAATACTCACTGCTTTTGCTCAAAGGGTCACACTTTCTTGCCCGCGAGTACTCAGAATCAAAATCCTGACTCTTGCTAACACATAGAGTTCTCTTTCTTGTGCTTGCCTCTTGTAACAGCTTTTGCTCCTCATCTGTTACTAATGGGACACTGAGTGGTTCAGATATTATTTGCTGGTTTGTAGTATTCAATGGAGACTTGATAGAAGAAAGTCTAGGAACTCCTCGAGCGTCGCTCTTCGCTTTTGTAACCAAATGTTGTAACCAAATTATCTGTCCAAGAATGTAGATCTCTGTCTTTTCTTTACTAGCGTGATAGAGTGTTTCAATACGTAGTATATCTCCACCACTAGGCTTACTAGTGAAATCAGTCCTGTAAGATTAAAAACGAAAGCATTGGCGAAAAAAAAAACACAAAATGCAGTGGAAGAGAAGCTGCAGGTCTCATTTCATTCATCACTCACCCTGTATTTGCCCACTCTCCAACCCAGCCAAAACCATGATGCGCTCTGTGATGAACCCATTCAACAATCATTAGCCATTAAAAATAAAATTTTATACCGAGATCAAAAATTGTAAAGCCAGCATGACGAAAGAAGGGTCAGATTTCTTACTTGGTGGTATTGCCTGCAACAGGGACAAGCCAATGCAGTGTCCTCTCCATCTCGTCCTTAATTTGTGTAACCGAAAGCTGTCATAAAAATCAGAAACCATACACACCTTGTGTTTAGTGTGATTGGCCAAACAACCACATTCTTTCTTCAGTTTTGTACACCAGAGTGTAAGCCAGAAGACATTACCTCCTTATCGACATTGAAAGATTTTATCTTGGAACGAAGAGCCAATTTTATACCAGGTGGCAAGCTTTGGTACAGAGAATCCCTTGCATTTGAAGTTATAGAGCTTGCACGAGCGACCTATACCCATCGAAACACACATGCGATATGATTAAGAGAATACACAGAACCAACCAAACCAAATGAAGCAATGCTACGTTTGTTCACTCACAAGTGTATCAATTTGCACAATTATATTTGCATAATGTAAAGCAAGACCAGCAGGTCCCAATCTTTTATCATAATCTGCAGCTCCTTTCTTCGATGGTTGATCATCTGGGCAAAGAAAGTGAATTTGATATAAGAAAATTCAGGTTTTTATGTGAAAACTTAATTATGGAGGATCAATTAACAAGAAAAATTACAGTATGTACTAAAATAGAGCAGTGGCCGAGAAAAATATATTCAAAAGCTTAGATACATGCTCAGTAGCACATGGTGAAGGTACAAAAAGGAGGAACTTACATACCGGCACCACCGAAGATATTATGAATCTCTAGCAACAAGAAATGTACAATGTCTACTAGTTTCTCCATCACCTGAAATACAAGTTAGCGGGTGAGTTAAAAATCATAATAATCTATTACTGTTTGCAAGATTTTTATAACAAGAGATTTAGTTTGACTGGATTTTAGTTGGTGAAGTGTAATGTTTGAAGTGATTTAAAACGATGCATTTACACCATGCAGCTGAAGGATTTGGTGAGGTTAAATGATAAAGTTGTACACACCTCTTCAAAACCTCTGGACCACAACGACTTTTTCTTTAAGCTTTTCACTACCTTTCTCTGGGCTTTAAGTTCCGTTTTTAAGATTGCAAGGCCATCACCTACGTGAAAAAGAGAGCGCTGTCATCTACCCAATGTTTCAAATCTAATAAAGCAGGCAAGTAGTCTTCGATAACTTACCCTTACTGCTGTTAGCTGAGTTCTCTTCTTCTCGACGCTTTTGCTCATAGTCTTTCTCCAATCGATACAATACTTGGAGTTCTTGGTATAGTTCCTGAACCAAAAGAGATATTGAGATGTCTGAGTGACATGAAAAATAACCTCCATTTTTCTATCACATATTCTTTCGAAAGTAAACAGCTACTAAAAAACATATATCTGATAGCTCAACGCATAGAACACCACATCTAAGTTAGCAAGAACAAGTCAATATGCTTTTAGAGTTTCTAATTTTAGAAAGTATTCACTCACAGCAGTATACTGCACTAGAACCATCAGTTGATCAACAATCAACACCGCGTCTTCCTCTAATTGCCTTTGAGGAGTTAATTCTTTGCTAATCCTGAGGACAAAAGAAACAATTCGGCAGCTCAAAAGAAAGCTATAACAAACAACTATTAACATTCTCTCGTGCACAAATATTTTGTATAAAGCTACCTATCGAAATAGCGCTGTAAATTATGCCACTGAAAATCTTTGGATCGGTTTCCAAACCGAACCACTTCTCCCGAGAAAACTTGCAGCTCCTGCCTGCAAATATATCAAGTTAACTATTTTGCCATGTGTTTTAAAAAAGCTAAGAAAAAACAAAGAAGCTGTCTAGACTCGAATTTTCACCTCTTATCAGCTGCAACAAGTCTGAGGAGTTCATTGAAATCATTCGAGACTAAATTTTGAACACCCTCGGAATAAAGGACAGTTTCTTTTAAATACTCGATGTTCCTCTTAGAAAGGGAATCAATGAGATTTGAGCTTTTAACAATTGTATTTGCTACTTCAAAAGATAAGATCCCGAGTTCATTGCCTTTAGTTGCTATTCCAGAAGTAAATCCACCACTGCTAAGATCAGTCATGCTACTCCCAAGGGTATCCAAAACATCCTTTGCTTTACCTAACCCCGCTTTGCCTAAAAGCACACTTGCCTCTGTAACCTGCCACAGTGTACCAAATTCGGATTGTTCTCACGACATTTTACTTCATACAGGTAAAACTTAAAAGACACTTGCGGTTACTAAGAGACAATGCTTTAACTCTCAATCTTAGTTGCTAAAAAAAGCTTATTTCTATCTCATTTCGTCCATACTAACCTTTGAAACTGCGGTTTGAGTTGATTTTGCAGACCGGATTTTCTGTGATGGAGCCATGGTATACGTCGGAATCCCATCATAGAAATTATCTTCAGTTTCCCTTTCACGGAAAGAGAAAACATCTTTTAATTGGTTTTGTTCCTTAACGTCTTTAACCATAAGCTGCCTCATACCAGGAACAATCAAACTGGTTTGTCCATTTGGTTGTGGGTGGCCAAAATCTGGTTCTCGACCATCATCAGCCACACTTGAACCTGAATACTCGCTGCCAAAATTGATCCCAAGGCTCTTGGAGCAAAAACTCCCCATAACTCTTTTCCAAAGACCTTAAGCTAAGTTATCGGAAAGATCATGCCACTGTGGGAAGAGTAGTCTAACAAAAATCTCGAGACTTTGATCCAAAACAAGCGAGAGTAATAACCTAGAACAAAGGACAAAGTAAGGAAAAAGTCAGATCAAGAGACTCAAGGAAACCAAACCATTTAAACTAAATTAGCAAAACAGGGACAGGATCGTGTCCGAAATAGTTTGAAGGCATTGTAATCGCCTTGGGGAAAATTAACAGATTCACATCAAGCCGAAGCCGTTCACGAAGTAAAGCCTTTAAGTCAAACACTGTGCAAGCCCCTCTATATCCAAAATACCTAGGCAAGATCGGATTTTGAGCAGAGGAATGTGAAGAAGAAGACTTACCCAGAAGAGAAAAAGACCAGAAAAGACGTGGGCCAAGCCAATTTCGGAGGTATAGAGCTTGGGATTCACGACACACAACAGTGAAAAGACAAAAGACAAAGGAACCTCGAACACGAGAATTGATGTTAAAAAGGAGAAAGTCAAGGAGAGTAGTATGAAACTATGAAACAAGGAAGAAATCAGAAAAAAAGAGGATTCAACAACAAAAAATTAAAGAGAGAGAGATTGGACCACCAAATTGGCATCAGCTAGAGCCAAATTGAAACAACCAGCTTGATAAAGAAACAAACGAAGAAAAGTCTAAACCTTTTTTTCTTTAATCTCCTCCCCCATGTTAAAAAGAGAGTCACAAGCGGTGATGGATTGGTCAAAGCTTCCCTTATTACCACGACATTGACTCATCTTGTGCTCTGTCTTTTTAAATTCCGTGGAAGTAAAAAACTCATCTTTGCTTCAATTCTCACTCTTCTTACTTCTAAACCGAAATTGCGCAAAAGGTTAGGACTTTTCAAAGGGATTATATTAGTCTTAAGGCATGTGAAGATCTATATAAAAAATGATTAAACACTAATCAACTCATCATTGAATAAAAAGAGTCTTAATCTCTGGTTCATCGAATCATGGCACAACAATTCTGAATCAAAATCTTATAGCTATGTTTTCAGACAATGCAGATAAGCCACTTTTGATCCGGACATTGGTATCAATTAACAAAAATTCCATTTGTAGTTGAATTTGTATTCAAGATTTTTAGTTCAATTTCGATTTAATTTGATTAATATTGCACACCAAACAATGTAAGTATATTTTATGAAAACAGATTTGGATCGGATCGAATCGGGTCGGGTCGGGTGGGTTAGAATCTGATGGGCTGGCCCAATCACATAGTTTTTTTTTTTTTTTAAGTCTGTGGCTCAGGATTCTTTAAAAAAAAAACAAAAAAAAAACGATTCCTCTCAAAACAGTAGAGAGAGGTGTAGAGACTTACACAGTGCCATGGCCATGGCTTCTGCTATGGACTTATCTCCTCCAACGTTCTTCTTATCCGGAACTTCTACATCTTCTTCTTCCCCTTCTCTTCGTCGTCTCTCCTCCATTTCCGTCTCTGGATTCCGCCGTCACTCTTATCGGAAGTTACAGATACTTTGCCAGGCCACAGCTGGAACTGAGCCTCAGAGCGGTCTCTCTGTATCTGGCTCCAAATTAGCCGCCCGTTCTGGTCAAGACCGTCTTTTGAAGGTCGGGTTCTGTTTTGTTTACTGTCATCATCCGTGTGCCGAAACTTGGGGAAGAATTCAGATTTTTTGAAATTGAATTTGTTTTGAAATTCGCAGGTTCCGATATCGAACATCAGGAATTTTAGTATTATAGCTCATATTGATCATGGGAAATCTACGTTAGCGGATAAGTTGCTTCAGGTGACTGGTACTGTTCAGAACAGAGATATGAAGGAGCAGTTTCTTGATAATATGGATTTAGAGAGAGAACGAGGCATCACTATCAAGCTTCAGGTTTTTGTTTCTGTCGTTTTCTCTGCACAATCAAGAATCGGTTTCGATAGGATTGCTCAAAAGTCTGATTCTGACTTTGTAACTTTGTGTTGTATGTTTGTGTAGGCAGCTCGAATGCGTTATGTTTATGAAGATACACCGTATTGCCTCAACTTGATAGATACTCCAGGTCATGTTGATTTCTCCTACGAGGTACTTACAATCTTCTAATCTACCTATTGTCTACGGATTTATTTGAAGCTTAGCCTTATAGTTAATTTTCATGCTTATATATGTGTCATGTGAGAAGTTACTTGGGAACCTTGGTTTGTGTTATATATAATATATCACTTAAAAGCTTAAAACTTTTTTACATTTTGGAAAATACACAAACTATTAAGTTGCAGTTTTGATGAAGAATGCACTGTTTATTTCCTTTTATTCATAGGTTTCCCGATCTCTTGCTGCTTGCGAAGGTGCTCTTCTTGTTGTGGATGCGTCCCAGGTGATTTTTCTTTCTCTTGACATACAATTTTCTAACACGTTGTGTAAACCTGGAATCTGTATTTCTAAAGCTGTTTTTTGGCATGGTAATTTCGTTTTTTTTTTATGGCTACATTAGTGAAAAACTTTCTGAGTACTTCCTCTAACATGTGCATTAGGGTGTGGAAGCACAAACGTTGGCTAATGTGTATTTGGCCTTGGAAAACAACCTCGAAATTATTCCTGTAAGTACGAAATTATGCTTCATCTGATTAGCGTTTATACATTCTTTTTTAATAAATCACATTTCAAGTATATGTGGTAGTTATCATCATTCTTTCCTTTGTCTCATCTCCATGGAAGATTATTTACTGATGTCAAAGCCCGTTTTATTTAAAAGAAGTCGGAGTCTGCAATAAGTTAACTTTCAAACAGGGTAATATGTTACAAAAACAGCTAGTATCACTCCGGCAGTACATTGAAGAAAAGAATATCTAGTCTAGGATAAAATGATTATATCGTTTAACGTTTCGTTGTTGCGTCAATGTAAGGTGGTTTCTTGTTCAAATATTTGGTCTGTATACCAGAGTTTAAAGCAAATGAATTCTACTCCTTCCTGCAGGTTTTGAATAAGATTGACCTTCCAGGCGCTGAACCAGAGAAAGTTCTCAGGGAGATTGAGGAGGTTGGTGATTATGTTCATTGTGTTGCCCATTTTATGATGTTAGTATTTAATAGCAATCATACAATGCAGCCAGTAATAATTTGAACACTATCCCTTTTTGGGTTTCTGCAAAAACTCTTCTCAGTCTTTTATTTTGCTGTTGTCAGTACATTTTACGAGGTTCTAGCTTCTATTAGATATTATGAATTATTTGCGGTACATTCTTTTATGCCTTCAACATTTTCTTTGTGATATTATGATCCAATCTCATGTTCCTCTAATTGGGTAAATGTCTCATTGCTGCAGTTTCAGAGACATCAGCCTTTATGTGAACACTGATTGATAATTCGTGTTGTTTGTAGGTTATTGGGTTAGATTGTAGCAAAGCTATATTCTGCTCGGCAAAGGTTAGATTTTAAAATTATTTTAACATTCTGCTACTCAAAAATTATCTATTCAATTACAATTTTTGGGGAATAATATATTGACGCAGGAGGGAATTGGTATTACGGAGATTTTGGATGCAATTGTTCAAAGGATACCTGCACCTCTCGATACTGCAAAAAATCCCTTACGAGCTTTAATTTTTGACAGGTTTATTCTTGTTGTTTTTATCCATAACGATTTTTGCCTTTTCTAGAGCAAACATTAGGAGATTGAGTCTTCTAGTCTAAGTTGTATTGTTATATAATGATTGGACTAGTCATTAGCATGTCAAGTCAGTTCCAGTTAATCACTGGTAAACTAAAAATGAGTGTGAAATACTCTTTTTTTTTTGCTTGATTGTTCTACAAGTGTGCAGTTTTTACATGTCAACTACTTATATTTTTCGTACACAATACATTTTACTGCAGTTATTATGATCCATATCGTGGTGTCATTGTATACTTTCGAGTTATTGATGGGAAAGTGAAGAAAGGCGACAGAATTTTTTTCATGGCAAGCGGAAAGGTTTATCTTTTTTACTCTACTGTGCTGTCTTTCTATTTAATCGAGATACCTTTCCATTTGCCAATAATGAATTGAATGTAATTTGTGCATGAGATAGCTTCTCGCGGTCTATGTATATAGAGCAATGTGAAGTGTTATTCTGTTATTTTTTTCAGGAAAAAGTTGAGAATATTTAGCTTTTAAGAACGCTTTCTTGTGTTTCACCAGTATTCGTCATGTTCTCAGTTTTGCTTTTACGAATTGCAGGATTATTTCGCGGATGAAGTCGGAGTTCTATCTCCAAATCAAATTCAAGTGGATGAATTATATGCGGGTGAGGTAGTGCATTCTTTTGAACATAATATTTTGTTTGTTTCATTTACTTTCAGGTTCTTTCATTTCCCATTTTCTTATTGAATTTTTTTCTTTCATCAAAAACCTTGGTATTATGAAATGGAGATTTCAGTATTCTTTTGCAGTTTTCGGTGTTCTATTCCAACAGATGTTAATAGGAAAAGTATTTGCATTTGTAAATGGAAGGATTTCCTTATCATTTCCTTGTAGCAGCTTTGGCAGAAGATAGAGTTGTGGTTAATAACAATTTGATTGCAATGAAACAAATATGTTTTCGCTTTTCTTGTTTGGCTATATTTGAGAGGGAATGGTTGGTTGCATCTTCCCTTGCTCAAGTTCTATTAGCTAGAAAGATGTTTTTAGCACTGATCGATGCTGCTGGTGTATATCAGATATGCCTGAATATCATGCCACATTTCTTGCACATATTTTGAATGTTACTATCTTTAACTACAGGTAGGGTATATTGCGGCTTCTGTAAGATCTGTTGCAGATGCCAGGGTAGGAGATACAATAACACATTATAGCAGAAAGGCAGAAAGCTCTTTACCTGGTTACGAGGAAGCTACCCCTATGGTGTTTTGTGGCCTTTTTCCAGTTGACGCTGACCAGTACTGACTTTTTGCTTTTGTTTGTTGACTTTTTGCTTTTTAATTTTGTAATTTTTTTTTCACGCTTGGTCTATGATGGCAGGTTTCCCGATCTTCGCGATGCATTGGAAAAACTGCAACTCAATGATGCTGCACTGAAGGTATAGTAGAATAATGATAGAAACCAACATTTTTGTTTTGTCTGTACGGCTGTACCCAGAAGAATTTGTACAGACGAAAAAACTATGATCTTCATATATTTACTTAGCCACTATATTTTTATGCTCAGTTTGCTTCGAATTGGAAAGTAAAGTTTTGTTTTGCAAAGAACTGGTCTAGGGATTTCAGTCCTCTATTTTATGTATCTTTGTTAAAAATATTCACATTTGGTCTAAGGAGCGTATACGTTAACATTAATTCATCTATAGGTTTGTCCTCAACTTGGTTTTTATCCTGCAGTTTGAGCCTGAAACTTCAAGTGCCATGGGTTTTGGCTTTAGATGCGGTTTTTTGGGTCTTCTCCACATGGAAATTGTGCAGGTCAGATATCTTTCGCTCTTCTTGTTTGAAAATGTTTTTGGTGCGTCTCTGACTGAAAATTTCCTATGCTGATAAGTGATAACAGAAGATAGACAAAAAAAAAATGTATCCTACTTATTTACAATTTCCTCCCTGATGGATGCCCGCCATAAATTATACTCAACAAAGTGAATTATATCATTCTTCACTCTTACGCTCCTGTTCATTCTTCTTCACAGGAAAGGCTAGAGAGGGAGTACAACTTAAATCTTATTACCACAGCTCCAAGTGTTGTTTATAGGGTGAACTCTGTAAATGGTGATACTGTAATTTCCTCTTGATCCTACACTTTTAAATTTTCCTCTTTGTTCCCTGAAAATTGCATCCTTTTGTGTCTCTTTCTTGATATCTATAGCCTTATTACCTGTGATAAATTTTACTGCAGACTTTGTGCTCAAATCCATCACGCCTTCCAGATCCTGGGCAAAGGAAAT